TTTCGCGTCGTCGTTAGGCATCATGATGGGGGTCGAAAATGCCTCTGGTTCCACTCCGGAAGCTAACCATCACCCCAGAGCACAGTTCCTACACCGTAGATTCAGTTGCTACGGGAAATCTTGAACAGAAGTTCTTAGCAAGACCCAGGTAGTAGCAGCTAATTACTATTAGTAGTATTAAGCTTCAGCAACACCAAGGAAAGAAAGAATGTAAAAAGAAAAGCTACCTGCCCGCATGAATGAACCACCAGCTTGTAACACCAGGATCATTTTATCGCTGTATTTTCTAGAAGCCATGGCCACAATTGCCTATTGTCATTTCCACTTTGTATAGTACTAGCAAGTATCATCATCACCGGGAAGCATCCTGAGTGGATGGTGAGGCGACTACTATGATGATCACCGGACAGCATTGGGGGAAGATGATCAACATCAATGCTTGCCCCGAGCGTGGGGAGATGCCTTGAACCAACTAAAACTAACTATTTCGGATCAATCACCTGTCAACCATCCATCATCCTCCTCCTCCTCCTCCACCATCATCATCATCATCATCATCACTACAATCCAGACTAGTGCCATACCAATGAATCAATCCCTCAAAAAGTACAGGCACAGAATGGCTGATTTATATTTCGAATTCCAGTCATCGGGATCTGTCACGGGTACAGCCGTGTTGCCCGTGGCACTACTAACTATCTGATTGAGAGTATCTGCTGACAGGGATAGATTAGTTAGTAATGAAACTTGATGGGCGATGAAATTGCATTAAATTCCACGCTGAGACCTGTTGCGACACATTTACCCCTGCGTCTGTCTGTGCGTGCTTTTGAAACCATACCCAACACCGCGGGTTTATCTACTGTGCATCTACATACTCAATATATTTCTCAGAGTACTACATGCCACGCCAGGGAGATACACACAGAAAAGAGAGGGAGAGGGAGAATGTGAGTGAGTGATTCATTGTGTGTTGCCACCACATAGACCACGTGAGAGACCATGATAAAAAAGGAGTCTTCTTATAATTCACACCATCGAAAATGGCTTGCATCACATGAAGGCCCGGGCCCATGATCCGGTGCCAATCACTGGCGGGCTGAACCATCCATTCGACAACCTCAGAGAGGCTTACTCAGTAAGCAAATGATGTCTCTCTCTTTCTCTCGCTGCCCCGCAAAGCTAAATGTCAATGGGCAGCGCAAAAGTGCGGAGGAGCCCACGAGATCCCCGTCCATAGCACGGCTTGGTATCGATTCATCCTTCCTTTTGAATGGTCCCATGTGGATTGCTCAGGACAGATCTGCCCCCTTCCGTGCGTCGGTTGTGACGCAGTCGTACAGATTCAGATATATACAAAAGTAGTGTATTTCTCTGAGGGATACTTGGAGACTATCCCGGTCTCTACGCAGTATGCAGGCGATGGAATGCTGGGGGAAAGGAGAGGCCGGGGCCTGGGTTGCCACCGTCAGACAGAGGCTCCTGGAATAGCCTGCAGAAAGGATGTTCCATGTTCCGGACGTTTTATTTGATCTCAGACCGGGAAAAACGGTTGCCAGAGAGCATCGGCATTGCTTTTTTTTGTTTTTTCGCTCTGCGATTCGGGGGGCCAATTTGATACTTGCTCCACTCCCCGGAGTTACTTAAGATGCCTGCAGTCAATCAACCGACCTGCAGTTAGAGAACAACTCCGAACGGGAAGAATTTTCTATTCCTAGGGGTGGATATAGATACTACTCCGTACTTCGTGACGAACTGACTTGCGAGTTGACGCTAAATGGAAGCCCAGTGGAATCTTCTCAGGCGAGCAACCATGGTAGCCCGTGTTTCGGGGGGCGCAGGCTCACTCGTCCAACTAATAACAGGACCCTCACTGTAATTCGCCGCTACGCCCTGGATGGATGGAGTTTCTGGATAGACATGGTGCGATGCGCGCCCCGGCTCCTCTCCTCTCCTCTCATCTCCAAGTATCAAGGCTGGTCCCTCTTCGAATGGGGATTCGGTCGTCTCTAGTTCGTAGAATAGTACGACTTGCTGCAGACCTGCGCATTCCGTTTGCCCCACAGAGAGAAGATCTTACCATTTGACTCGCATGGTTGCCATTCTGTTCCGGCATTCCAACCCCAAGGGAGAAAGAAGAAGAAGAAGAGAAATAGCAACACTTTCCCACCAGCCTCGACTTGGATATTTTTCTCCTCCCTCTCGCTATTTTCGGCGCGCAATTTATCTTTTAGTTCCTCCCTTTCCTTTTCCCATCCCTTCTTGTCCCTTAGAACTGGGTCAAGGATAATTTTTTTTTTTTCCCTTTTAATTTTCCATCACCCCCTACATCACTGGCCCTGATCGTCTGCCCTGATTCCCAAAGAGACCCAGATTTGCCTCCGGATCCACCTTGGAACCATTGCAATGCGCCGAAGCGACGAACAACTCTAAAGCTCACTCATCTATCCCCGACTTAACTTGAACGGAAGAATTCGAGGACTGTCAGAAAAATAAGATCCCAATATAGGGCTGTCGCGTCGATCGCACGAGGTGACAGACAACCAGAAAGTGGACAAGGACAGCCAGCAGCATAGCGCATTCGAGAAGCGATCGTCTCGTGGACTTTCTTCCCCGATCAGCTAACTAACTTAACACCGACCGAGTTGTCACTCTCGCAAAAGTTGATAAGAGAGAGGAGGGAGAGAAAGAGAGAAAGGAAACAAAAAGAAAAGGATCTTAAAAAGACTTGATAAATCCGATCCCTTCCCACTGGTTAAGGAAGTTAATCACGCGAAGCAAACCCCGAACAATTATTCACTTTTTCTTTTCATTTTCTTTTCTTTTTTTTCCTCCTCCCCATCCCAAACCCATGTCTGTGTCTGCATCCGTTTCCGCCTCCGCCTCCTCCAACCTCCCATCCGATTCTCGCTCCTCAGGACCCCTCCGTCGCCTGAGCCAACTGCGTGCCTATACTCAGCAGCATTTCTCCTCTTCATCCTCTGCTACCGCCTCCTCCTCGCACCCTTCTGCCTCGTCATCCTCGTCCAACGGTCCCCGCATCTCGCGTCGTCATACCCTCAGCAGTCGAGTTTCCTGGTTTTCTCCCGCCTCCACCGGGACCGAATCTTCGCAACTCTCGCCTGTGGGGTCTCGCTCGTCGGGCCCATGTCCCGAGAGTGAGCAGCCATCCACTCTTGCCCGCTATAGTGCGGTTTTTTTCCCCAGCTACCGCGGCCTTGAGCTCGACTTGCGTTCCTCCCGCCAGTCGGACCTGTCCAGCTCTTCCCCTTCTAACCACTCCGGTGGCCGTGAGACGACAACTCAAGGCACGACCATGGCGCGGCCCAGAGGTGCCTCTCAGGCGCTGGATGCGAGACCTGATCTCGATGCTACCACTCCATCGGCCTCCAATCTCCACGCCGGAGCTTTGGACTCGTCCGACCCGGTGATGTCGGAGAACCCGTCGACTGCGTCCCCGCGACCGAAGCAGAAAGCGACCATTCGCTTCTTCCCCCATCAAGACTCCCACCAAAGCTCCCGCCCTTCCTTACCTTTCATCCCCGTCTCGCGAACGCTTCCGTCCGAAAGTTGCGTCATCCGAGTTGGTCGGTACTCGGAACGCGATGGTCTGCCGGTGGCCAACCCCACGGACCCCTCTGATGCTCCGGTCGGGTTCAAGTCAAAGGTCGTGAGTCGGAAACACTGCGAGTTCTTATACCTGAACGGCCAGTGGCATATCAAGGATGTTGGAAGCTCGTCGGGGACGTTTCTCAATCACATGCGCTTGAGCCAGCCGAACATGCCCTCTCGGCTGTATACCGTGAAGGATGGAGATATTGTGCAGCTGGGGATTGACTTTCGGGGAGGCGAGGAGATGATTTTCCGTTGCGTCCGTATACGGATCGAGTGTAATCGGTCCTGGCAGCAGCAGCCGAATGAATTCAAGTATGACCATCTCTGGCGTCGAAGCTGCTTTGTGTGGAATACCGGCTAATGAGTGATCTAGTAAAAACACCGAGAGTCTGATTCGGAATCTGGGCAAGGGAGATACAGCGGATTATTCTGGATGTCGGGAGTGCTCCATTTGTCTTGGCTCTGTTCTGGTTTGTTCTCCCTCCTCTGGCAGATCGCACAACTGCGGGCAGCATAGCTAATTCTGTTTGAAGCGGCCTTATCAGTGTTTATTCATGGCAGCCTGTGCCCACGTCTGGCATTACAAATGCGTTAGTCGTCTTATCCACACGCCAGACTACCCCATGTTCCAATGTCCCAACTGCCGTGCCTACACCGATTTGAGCGCCGAGGTCGATGATACGAACGACTTTGACGAGGAGGACGAAAAGAAGGACACTCCAGAGGACAAGCAGGATACCACCGATGCATCTCGGTCACAAACGAATTCCCCCCAGTTGGAGGCCCAACCAGCCCCTTCTGGCGACGAACCCCGCCAGGATAATCTGCCGGCCGAGGCAGGCCTCGCTGCCAATATTGAGAGCATGCGTCTGCAAGACACAGATGCATCCGATGATGCGCGGCGTCCCCGCGCTCCCACGTCCAATAATGATGGCGCCTCTGCCAATGCCGATAATGAAGTCCCTGGCTGGCAGTCCGTGACCCAGTCCCCCAATGCTCTGCAGACCCGTCAGTCCCACCTGCGTGCGGACACCCCTGTCCGGTCGGAGTCGTCTGATGACAATCCTCTGACCCCATTGAATGATTCAGGGCCCCTTGCCCTTGACGGCCGGGCCGCCATGCCTTGAAGCAATGAGGAGCGTGGCCGCGACATGTTTGGATAGATCGCTCCGAGCTCCTCCTCGACAGCTGTATCTGGCTTCTAGAATTGGACAACCCTTGCATCCAGTCTACTGGACTGAGTCATTAATCTGTGCATTCCTATTGTCGCCTTGGTTTGATGTCTTTTGTCTTTTGCATTCTCGAGCCGTATGTTCATGTTCCATTGTTATTAGCTTCTTCTTTAGTCCCAGCATTGAGCATCGCGATTGTTCTTCCCCCTTGCTTCCCCATTTATTCTCTAACACCCCACCTATTCAACCTATTTTATACCCATTTGCAGCATCCTTTCTCCCTCACACACCCCCCACTTCTTCCCTCTCGGCACTGGCTACTTCACCATCAACGCAATGGACCACCCTATCACCCATGCCATGCCATGCCTTTCGAACTCAACCCCGGCTTGGAGTACACAACGGGAGTCATCTTATTTGGAACCCGGAGGTTGGCGTTTGCAGTCAGTCAGTCAGTGGTAGCCACCCCCCTTCTTTTATTCTGTCTTTGGTTTTTTTCGGAACGGTGATTCATTGGCGCGCATGAATGGGTGGTTGTGAGATGTACATACCAGCTATACATATACTCTATCATATTTTTATTTCATAACCTACACCTATACATCATCATCATCCTTGTCTCAATTTAGGCAGCCTCCTGCAAGATCAGTTTCCTTGTCCCCATGACACGAGGTGACATGAAAACGCAGCATTCATGATGCTTGGCGGAAGGGCTGTTCAACCCACCTAACTCACTAACCAATTCGTCACCTTCAATGGTACTATTAGTAGTATCTCATCCAGGTAGATAATATTAGTATTACCATACAGTAGTACCATACCATACCACTCATCCTGAATGAGTAACTAAGCATCTATTTCCTAAAGTGTTCTATATCACCATGTAAAAATACTTATCTCCGAAATACTGCTACTTAGTTATGGCGTAGTGTCCGTTACACACGTCATGGACCAGATTACTTACGTACTGAGTGAGTAGTTCCGATAACAGTTTTTATTTACCTGCTTTACCAGGCTCTTTACTTTTTAATCACGTGGTATATAGTCACCCCCTCCCTTTTGAATTGGATCAGTATCACCTAGTTAACTAGTAGTACTTACTAGTACGTTCCCGCACACATATGCATAATATGTATAACTAGCAATCGCTTAGTACCGAGAACGGTGCTGACATTTTTTGAGTGTATAACATGACTTTCATTGAATTAGTTCAACATGTTTGAAAATACATAGTAGTCCTTACTATTACGAATGACTGTTGTAAGAGTACTACTAGCATTATAGAATAGATATTACTTTCAAACTTTGAATCAAGACGTAAGCAAGGCAAAAGTAAGTCCGAAAACATTTCTCTTTTCATATGATGAATTGATTTATTTATTCCTCACTCATCAATCTGATAATAGTACAACCAGTCATTATGTCACATAAGAAAAAAACACAAAAAGCAATGAGTATTTCGCTGGTATCAATCATCTCATCTCATATCATGTTCAGGCCTAGTCAAGTCTCTCCTGGCCCACATTCTTTAAATGTCATCATGGGATATTCATCAACGCAAGCATTTATGTTTGCCCGCTTCTCTAATAAACATCATCTCTGAGCTCAACTAAGCCCTCAAAACCCACGCTGGGTGCCCAGGGTCCCGCGGTTATCGAGGTCCGAGTCGACGCGGGGATCGAGCTTGTTGGCCATGTTCGAGCTGTGAGGACCGGCAGTGGTTTGACCGGGAGCGTTGTAGCTGCTGCTGGCCATACCCTGGTGACGGGCGCGGTTGTCCATGTCTGAGTCGACGCGGGGATCCATCTTGTTGGCCATGTTGGAGCCGTGAGGGCCTGCGTTGCTGCTGCCACCGTAGCCGCTGCTGGTGGTGTAGTCGTTCACGCCGCTGCCGCCGTAGCCTGCACCGCCGCCATAGCCTGCACCTGCACCGGCACCTCCGTAGCCAGCGCCAGTAGTGTGGGTACCGGAGTAGCCGCCAGCGGCACGGTTGTCTGGGTTCGGTGTTAGTATGGTGTTAGATGGTATAAAGGTGGATGGGTTAGGGTGTACCTCTGTCACTGTCGACGCGGGGATCCATCTTGTTGGCCATGCTGGAGTCGTGAGGGCCGTGGGCACCACCCATGGCTTGGTGACGGGCACGGTTGTCGCGGTCACTGTCGACACGGGGGTCCATCTTGTTGGCCATGCCGGACTCGTGGGGACCGGAAGAGTAGCCACCGGAGGAGTAGCCGGCACCGGAGCCGCCCAGACCGCCAGAGGGATTGGCACGGTTGTCACGGTCACTGTCGACGCGGGGGTCCATCTTGTTGGCCATGCTGGAATCGTGGGGGCCGTGAGCGCCACCCATGGCTTCGTGGCGGGCGCGGTTGTCTAGGGAATGTTAGTATCGTATGGAGGGGAACGATTGGACAAGGGATAGCTTACCGCGGTCGCTGTCGACGCGGGGGTCCATCTTGTTGGCCATGTTGGAGGAGTGGGGACCAGCGTTGGAGGAGGTGTTGGAGGTGTTGGTGTTGCTGGACTCCTTGTGGTGGCCAGTCACGGCATCCTTAACCTTGTGCATAAGTCCGGACATGATGGGCAATTGTATGTGTGTTTGGTTTAGAGATTGAGAATAAAGTGGTCGATAAGAGAGTTGGTAAAGTTGATAGTTGTAGACAGTAGATGTACTAAGTCAATTATTGTGTTGATGATGAGGATCGAGATTTCTTGGAGATTAGCCAGGTTTAAATAAGGAGTGCTGAGAGTGGTGAGTGAAGAGAGGTCTGGCCATGACGTAGGGATACGTCGAGTGGCCGCGTTCACTCCTGGACGTGCCCTGGTCCGGCAAAGTGACTCGATAGCGGTTGAGTGAATGAATGATCGAGTTCATCTCCCTCACCATAGCGGGCTGGTAGGATGACGTTGGGATGTGCTCATGTCCCTCAGCCCTAAAGCAGCGATGAATGTTGGTCCTTTGTCATTGTCCTCTGTTAAGCAGCATCGAAAGCGGCAGGGAATAGCTTCCACGGATGTCGATCGTTCCTAAGCGGGACGTTGGAGGGGTGAGTGGCTCCGCATCTTTGTGTTAAGGCCAGACTACGTTTGTAAGAAGTCGTCTATTTTTGTCTCCAACCAGGCTGTCTAGCCAGTTACTGCCTCGAGTCCAAGTCTGGGGTTGCTGGAGATGAGCATCCAGTGAAGATGAGTCAGCAAACCATGGCGGATGATGACCTCAGCCAGTGCCGTCGATGTCGTCGGCCAAGCCAAGATGCAGGGTAGTTATTGGCTGCAGCTGTAAAATTGCGGGAATCAGGGGAGAGCCAGACCCACTCACACCGATCCACTAACTGCGGGTCCAGATGGTGCCTCCGATCGAATGGGGATCACTCTTCCCCCTCCATCTGGCATGCCAGATTGAGCTGCACACCTTATTTTTTAGGATTATTTTAGTATCAGCACTAGCCAACTGCACTGGAGTACCTCTGCAGTACAAGGGAGTCGTGTCTCGCACAGATATTTGGTGGCGCGGTCTCGTATATGGCTGGCGTAACATGCACATGGTAAAGAATCCTATAGTTCAGACTCCTGCCGGCTTACATCACGGATTGACCCGATCCAAGATGATGACCACCCCGTTCCGTGGGCGGAAGCATATCACTGCCGTTTTGATACGATTCGGTCGCCAAGGTCTCAACCAGGCATGATGCAATCTGCGTGAATCAAGCTCCTCATAGTGCTCTGTACGTTGACGATATTCCTACTTTAGCAGTTCGGTCTGTTTTGGACGGAATGTCCAAGAGCTCTTTGTCCTGTTCCTGAAATTGCTTTGCTGGCAACGCTGGGGTGATTCCTTGGAAGGCTGGAGACGTAAGCGGCTGTCAGATCTACATCCGCCCGTCCACTGGAGCGCAGAGTTGTGAGTGGCTTGCATCGCTAGCAGGGCTGGCAGAACGGTCTAGTTCGCAACAGCATGTATCTCCGTGTAGACGTTCGTCATTTAATCCGACGTAAAATGAGGACCGTCTATTGCAAACAAGCTAAGACAGTCTGAGCTCTTGGCTATTCTAGCATCAAGCTAGGTCCAGAGCAGTGTGGCTGATGTGTTACGGAATTAGGCCTGGAAAACCTCAGTGCTGCGGGTTCAATGCTGGGTTATTGCGCCATCTTAGTCTTACAATGTCTTTCGGCGACGTCCTGGAGACGAGTTCGCTTGGTGTGGCCTCTACGACAGGTCCCTCATGGACTGGCTGTAGCTCGGGCGTTGCTCTAGTTGCAGCGAAGATCTCAAGTTCTGTAGTGGCTGTTTTTGCAGCTCTAGGGTCACTAGCATCCAAGAGTAGTTTGATGATGCGCTCGTTCCCATACTCAGTGGCGTAAGTGAGTGGTGTAAAACCATCTTGGTCCTCCAGACTTGAGTCCATTTTGCCCGTCTCAAGCAGTGGCAACGATCTTTTCATGACCAGCTTTACAGGCAAAGGCCAGCGGTGCCCGAACATGATTGTCTCATGTGCTAGGATCAATCGCCGGGTACTCGAGCAGTAACCTCACGATTCAATCATGTCCAAAGTGCGATGCGTGTGTGAGCGGCGTCTGACCACCAGCATTCTGACAGTTTGGGTCAGGTATTCCGGTACGGAGGAGTAACTTGACAATTTTGGTGTGCCACATGGATGCAGCATGCAATAGTGGAGTGTGTCCAGACTTGTCCCTAGAATTGAGGTCTTTGACGCCAAAGTCGAGCAGTATCCGAATAATACTCTCGTGGCCACGGTGTGCTGCTGGTGAGATCAGATTCATGCCTCGCTTACAAGGGGGTGTTGTTCCTGGGTCTCATCCTTGAAGACCTAGTATCACACCATACTCTTCTCTGAACTCGGCCGGAGCTCGTCTACTAGATAATTAGCCAAGGACGGATTTCCCACAGCCAGGATCGGCTGAAACCCAGAGAAGACCCGACGCATGGTCTTCTCTCCACTTTCGGAAATAACGGTGATTAGTGAACCACTAGCAGGTCCCATTAATCCGTTGAGGAGTTCTATCCTTAGCGTCTCGACAATTGCGGGTGTGTGGCCGTTTGAGGACGTTGGCTTTCCACTCTGGAAGAAGTTCTTCGTGCAGTCGCGTATCTATAATAAGGTTAACTTATCTCATCTTTAATGGCCTCGCTTCAAATGATTCGGGCTCATACGCAGTGGCTCTACGTACGTCAGAGTATCCTTAGCTAAAGCTGCAGCCGCGCCTGCGGCATATGCATGCCAGTCATCGTTCTGGTGAGAGTCACAGTAATGCAAACTGCCACGAATGACAATGCATGGAGACTGGTCCATTAGCCCGGCAGCCCCATTTCACAGCATATAACACCACCATATTCAGTGGCCATCATGTCCCGCTTTCTGCTATTGTTTATCATGCGATTACCCGATGCTATATTACCATAAAAGTCGCACGACTCATTAGACGGCATTCGTGGACGCCATTGAATGGCTTCGGTTTTATCACAAGAAGCACAGCTGCCTCCACCTTCACCGTGGGTATAGGCGGCTGGATACAAGGTATCCGTTTCCGACAATGGTCGATGATATTCTCTCAGTCCGGGATGATTGCGCAGTATGTCCGACAGAAACTTGCGACGCGATTCGACCGAACACGGTGATCTGACTGCATCATGGTCATCATCCCTCTCTACTCAGTCGGAGGAGGACAAGATATTCCCTTCCTTCTGAACCCGCTTGTGATCTCCTTCCCCATATCGTATTCAACATCTCCTCCCATAATGCCATCTGGGGCACTCACAACCACGATCCCCTAGACGAATATCGTTGTTATTGTTGGGAATACCCCGGCCAACGCCCACCAACAACGAAGCTCGATCGCTGGGAAAGTGCGAGTCGGGTGGATGGCGACAGCTGCTGTGGATGCCGTTCCCTGTGATCCCTTTGGAAGTGACGCGAGCACCACATTGTGCCCACTCAAGGATCCCAGTACATATGTATTCGGGTCATATCAGTCTCTCAGAAGACATGTATGCTCGTCGTCAAGCATATATCGTGCTGTACTTAGTCCGACCTCGGGGGGCATATTAATGCGGCCGTGTATGCGCCATGCCAGAGACGCAGTTTTGGAATACTAGGCACAATATCTAATTTCTTAATCAAACAGCAGATAATTCGAACTTCTCGGCGGCTATGAAACTCTGAGAGGTCTGGAGTTCCTTGTGAAGTGCGGAGAGGAAAGAGATGGCCCAGTTCAGCCTCGCAATGGTGGTTTGCGGACGCTTCCATGCACCAATGAACGGCAAAGCTCATAGAATCAATTAGACGAACAATGCACGAACCACTTGGATTATGATCGTATTCGACGTGAAGCTGATCCTGCCGCTTTAGCAAGCGTGCTAGCGAGGAGGTCAAACATGGCCGGATCTCCGCCAAATAGCTTTCCAGGCGGCAACGGCCTTTCAGAAGAGTGAGCCATAGATGCCGAAGAAAAGCGAGCGACTTGTTCTTCTCAGATTCGAAGGCTGGCTGCCAGGCGGCAAGCCGACGAACTGCAACGAGACGATTGGCTCCCGCTAGTAGATAGTCGCAACAAGAATAAGTCTGTGCTACTCCTAAGGCGCCGAAACACGATTGTTTATAAGTCGAATCATTTGAAGCATAGTATTGGGCTTGAAGTTCTTTGAAATCAGTAGTAGCTCCCACGTATTAGTAGTAGTCTTGACTGTACTTTCGATAATGAGTCCAAGCTTGTCCGGAGACTAAATATGTATCCACCCATCTTCACTAATAGCACATTATGCACTCGAAGCCCCCTTTGTGGGTGACATGGGTTTCATCTTTTCGTGCTATCCGAGTTGGAGATCTCATCGTGGTCAAACCAGGTCAAAGTACGTGGAAGTCAACTGGTTGGCGGAGGGATGAGAGAGAATAGAGTTCTGGGCGTGGCAGCCCCGTGAAGATGAATTCACCAACCACAACATCCGGCGGCTGGTTGATCCCCCGCGACTCGTCGCTACTTTCTGCACGATGATGCCACTCCTTATCTCGTACCATTTCCCAAGAGTCTCATATGATAATGGCTTTCGGGACAAGCGCACTAATTCTAGAGAGCCCTTCAGCACCGCTGTCTCGCCCTATCGTTCCACCTCGACTAAGCAACTAACCCAAGTTTGACAAAGCGGACGGGCTGTTGACCGCTAGACGCAAATTCTTTCACACTGTGTACAAAGACCACCTCATCTGTTTCTGTACTCTCCTCCCTCAGTCAGATTGAATTGGAGGCAAAATGCGATTGAATTTCAGTCAACCCCCGACACCGGCGTTGAGTCGGCAGAACACCACCTTCCTCAACAATGCGCATCACTATCGCGCAGGGACGCATCCGCATCTCCTGACGAGTCGCAGCAAGCCTCGAAGGTAAACCGATATCATCACTCATCAAATTACACCCTACTATAGCACCATGCTAAATACGCGCCATGTTAGATGGCCTTTGGTGTTCCGATTCATTAAAGGCGCTATCCATGCGGCCATTCTGCTGCCCGTCTTCCTGCACGCCGCGTTCACAGCCTTTGTGGTCTATCTCGATGTCTATGTATTTGATACGGTTGGACTACCGAGCAGTATTGTAGGTCTCGCTCACATGGCATGCCGTTGTGCTTCCCAATCTGATTATGCAACCGTAGATCCCATCCTTATCTATAGTCGTGGGTTTGATGCTCGTTTTCCGCAACCAGACCTCCTACAACCGATTCTGGGATGGGCGGAATGGAATGAACACGATCTATACGTGCATTCGAAATTTAGTCAGGACTATCGTCACCAATGGCTACAGCACCGCGGGTCCTCCCACTGCCGCAGAGAAAGAGGACATCGAGAGGACGATACGTATCCTCATGTCAATTCCCTTTGCAGTCAAGAATCATCTTCGCGCTGAATGGGGAGCAGCCTGGGCTCTCGGAAATGATGTAGCTGAGAACGGTGTCGCAGCTTTCAACCCCGATTATGCAAGTCTCCTTCCAGCTGGACTGGTGGGCCACGAAGATGAGGGGCTGGGATTACCGTTTCAACTAACCTTCTTTGTGGATGGATTTATCAAGAGGGGAGTGGAGCGCGGCTGGTTCAATGCTCCTGGGGCAAGTCAAATGCAGGCTCAGTTGAACTCTTTGATGGATGCCTATGGAAAAATGGAGACCATCAAGCTGACCCCTATTCCGGTTGCGCATTTGTAAGTTCCTTGTCTTGAAACGCCCCTTTGACTATCCACGCCAGCTCACATGCGAAAGGATTCACCAAAAGCAAGTTCTTGCTCTCTTTGGCTGCGTCTTACCCTTCGGTATGGTCGACGATATGGGGTGGTGGACCGTTCCCATGGTCAGCCTGGTCATCTTCACCTTGTATGGCATCGAAGGCATCGGCTCGCAATTGGAAGACCCCTTCGGGTACGACCGCAATGACATCAAGATGGATGCCATTGTCGGCGACGCTAAGACTGAAATTGACGTTGTACTGGCTGAATGGCGCAGACTGATGGCGTCGCTCGAGTCAGCGACCGATAATGGCGATCAGCATCTCGGCAACGGTCTGGTTGTGGAGGAGGAGGTTAAGGAGCCGAAATTCATGCCGCCTGATATGTTCCTCAAGCATCGTGCGAGACCATCAGGGCGATAAGTAGACTAGCTAGCTATTTCTGATTGTGATGGTTTTCAGAAACTGGGCGTTGTGGAGATCCAGCAAATCTAGCGTCGCTAATAGGGGACTATCACCTTAAGACTATCTCGGTTACTAGAGATCGACGCCCCTATCAGCCTGTCAAGCATGCGAGTGATTATCTAGGAGGATATTTCCTTCAGTGCGATCGTCAGGGGATATCTCCATCGAGTAACTCGGATCATTGCTGGACCAATCCGACGTCGTCGAGATATCAAGTCTATAGTTTCTTTTTTTGTATCCCGAATAGCTCCACTTCCTTTGCATACCCTCAATATCATGAACATAAACCATATAAAAGCCACCATGATACCCCTCGAATACCTAACAACAAAGCCATCAATCAAATCTACCAACTCAAAAATTTCCACATCACTTTAAACTAGAAACCTCACTCCGCCAAAATGAACCTCCTCCCCCTCCTCCTCACCCTCACCACCTTCCTCCTCCCCATCGCAACAGCCTTCACCTCCACCTTCGAAAACTGCCAAAACCTCAACCGTCTCAACCAAACCGTCCACCGCGTCCACCCTCTCCTCGAAAAATTCTCCTCCATCCACGCCTCCCAATCCCAATCATCGACCACCACAACCACCACCCTTGCTAACGGAACCACCATCACCGTCACCAACACCACCTCCTCCGCCGCAATTGAGAAGATCGAGGGCGTCAAGGCTCTCCTTCTCTCTTCCCAGGAGAAAATCTACGGCAGGTTGAGCAACTGCTCGAGTGATGCGGTGTCGCCCCGGAATGTGCTGGAGAAGGGCGTGAAGAGAGATGACGACGACGACGGTTCTTGCACTTTGAACGATGTTCTGGATCAGTTGGTGGATACCCTTGAGTGTGTGCTTAGCTTTGCGACGGGATTGTTGGAGACCATTCTCGATGGGCTTTTTGATCTCTTGAAGACTATTATTGAGGGGGTGGAGAAGTTGTTGTAGGGCAATTCTCCTGTTCTTCTGAATAGGAGGGATTGGAGAGTTGGGGGTGGATAAAATATATGTATGATTATTTAATTAATTCGTGATATCCTATACTTGAGCTTCGAAGCATATTTTGGCAATGATCTATTTTCTTGATCATGTCATGCTGAATTTAGCCATAGAGCTACAAAATAAATACCCATCCATGATATTTCGCACAATCCATCAAGTACGTTGGGGGCAAGCACATGGATATCACTCTTAACTCGCAATCATATCCCTCGGCCTATCGTACACTCTGGGAGTTTCGTCTTTGCTTCATGTGCCGTGTTGAACTCATAGCTAGAATTATTGATGTCGATGACCATATTGGTGCAGTATCCTCGGACGTCAATAGCTAGAATGAGAACTCGTTTAATTTGTTCAGAGTATGTGGATATTTCTTTATAAGGGTTGTATCGGATTATATACATGATGGTGTAAATCACAATGGCGCTTCTAATGTAAGCACCCCGTCCAATATTGAATCCGGATTCGCATACTCTAGCACCTGCGATACAGCGTGCAAGTCACTCCCATATTGTAAGCTTCTATCCTCCTCAGGCTTGGCCACGATGATCCGATGCCGGAAGACTTTTCTTGCTGCTAGTGCTACGATTGAGGGCGTGAGGAAGTCGATGCCGTGTAACACGGCGAGGAGCCTATGCTGTTTATCAGCGCTCTCCTGCGACATGCAGGATATGATTTGAGAGACTCACTTTGAAAATGACTTGAAGTAGAGGTTTGACCGGGTCGATATGCCTCCAGCTACTGCACGACTGAGTCGAAGGAACACAACTATGTCTTGTTGGTACCGGGCTATGTCGGCACCCATGCTGACCGTGGTGCTTAGTTGTTGTAGTTGTCCGAGAAGCTGATTGTTATTTTCTTGTTAGTGGAATTTGGCTGGGTAGAAAAGGGGAGACAAACTGTGCTGTCTACGTAAGGATGGCCTTTCTTCATTTGAGCTTCTGGTTTGTGGATAACGGATGATGCGGACAACTGGCCATCGGATAGCCAGTCGTTGTTTTCTTCTAGATAGACGTAGCCGTCTTCTGTGTCGTGGAAATGAGAGATGAATAGATAGTCGTTCTATATTTGGTCAATTATATTGGGTGATAGGCTGAACCCTGTGGACAACATACTAGATGAGGGTTTATTGGATGGGTTTCGTCGCGCACTATGAGAGGTAGGAATAAGAAATTGTTTGGGGCTTCCAAAACTCCTGCCGGTGTGGTGAGTTGCTTTGAGTGCATTAACTATATGAACCAGTCAATATCACATATATCACTTGGATGTCCATGTGTTTACCTCGAGAGCTTCGCGCTGAATATTGTCGTTTACATGGTTAAAGTTTTTGGCTATCACAACATTGACGACTTCCTGCTTGTGTTCGATAGGGGCTGACTTGAGGCGTCCTTTATGATCTCGTAAGTCATGATAAGATGATATCATGCCCGCCTTATTATATCAATTTAGTTATACAATCAAGCAAAGTCCAGTAAATTGACATACAGACTCAGTAGTCAGTCGTGAGCGCGAAGGTCGAGCATAACTGCTCCTGTAGACTCCGGGAGGAAGTAATTCAGCGCGAAAGTCATCTAGAGATGTCGCGCTAGAGCAGTCCAGGATGCTATAAGAGAGACCAAATGTATTTGTGCATATCTAGACCAGTGAGGAATTAGCAATCTTGTAGACAATATCACGGGATCCTGAGTTACCAGGGCGAGCTCCTTTGCGACGTCATGGATATTGGCGTCGGTTGTGTCAATGCGGCAGTGCTGGTGTGCCGCAAGACAAAGAAAGAGAGCTACTTCAAGATCAGATAATTCCGGGGCGAGTCTTGAGATTTCCGAGCCATCCTCCATGATAGTACTTTCTTGCATTTGACTGTCATAGTGGCAGCTGGGATAGTCCATGAATAATTACCCGCGCGATACATGGTCCGGCCACCTCAGGCACTATATCCCAATGCGGTTAGTGCCGGAGACCCGTCCGCATGTGAGCTCCAGGAGCTTCCCGATAGACAACAACATCCGGCTGGAGGGTCTTATCCCAGCACTATCTCCATTGGATCTGTATCGCTTTCCATCTATACATGACCTTCCTCGGTGTCAATGGCGCCGTCAAACCCTCTGGCCAACTGGGAGAGACTAGGAGATAGCTTCTACCGCAAAGTCCCCATATACGATGCCATCTTCGACGATGATGTCGAATTAGAGAACTACATCATCGCTGGTGCTCCCTACGGAGGGGCTATTGGTATGTGCAATAGCTGTTACAATTACCTGATTCCACATGCTGATGTCTCTGTTCAGCGCTGCACCGGGATGAGAGCAAACCGTACAGGTTCCGTGATGCTCAGACCGCCAAGTCGAGCATTGACATCTACTCATGCTCGGGGAAGCATATCAACCGAATCAATGTCAGTCAGTTCTGCCTTCACGTAAGCACTTTCTAACATCTGTAGTGGGAGTACGGCACGATTCGTGGTCTCGGCTGGTCCGACAAGGAAGAACTCCTAGTGATCACAGAAGACGGCACCGTCAGACGCTATTTCGGCCTCCACGGCGACTTCACGTCGTTTTCTTTAGGAAATGTAACGCTCTCATCCAGTTATTGCTCTGCTGAAATTGACATTCACTTAGGGAGCTGAAGACTACGGTGTGAGGGCTTGCCGATTCTGGACCTCGGGCTTTGTTGCACTACTTTCAAACAACCAACTGGTTGCAGTGTCGAATTACGACGAGCCGCGGCCTAGGCTCCTAGCTCCTTGTCCAGAAGGAGAAGTCTCATCGTGGTCACTAATACCTCCGGCTTATACGCTGTCTCGCTCAGTTGAAGTCCTGCTTGCAGTCGACAAGACGGTCTACTTGGTCGACCCCACGGAAGCCGAAGACAAAGTCCTTCAGAATGGGCCATTTAAACATGCAAGCGTGTCGCCAACTGGAAGATTTGTTGCGCTAATCACCGCTGAGGGGAAGGTATGGGTAGTCAGCAGTGACTTCCAGAGCAAGTACAGCGAATATGACCCGGAATCGCGCGTCACTCCTCGGACAGTCGACTGGTGCGGAGATGATGCCGTCGTCATCGCATGGGAAGACGAGGTCCATCTCATAGGGCCTAATGGCGTTGCGGCAAGATATTACTATGATGGGACTGTCCACGTCGTGCCTGAGTTTGACGGTGTGCGTCTGATCACCAACGACACCTGCGAGTTCTTGCACAAAGTTGTTGGTAAGTAATCCCCGCTTAGTCTAGGAGCAAACCTCTGATAGCCTGCAAGATGTCACTGAGGCGATCTTTCGACTCGGGTCCACGTCGCCTGCCTCAGTCCTCCTGGACTCAATAGATCTTCTGGAGAAGAAGTCTCCCAAAGCCGACGAGAACATTCAACGTATCCGGCCAAGTTTGCCCGAGGCGGTTGACACATGTGTCAAAGCTGCTGGTCACGAGTTTGACACATATTGGCAGAAGCGCTTGTTAAAGGCAGCCTCGTTCGGGAAGTCTGTCCTTGACTTGTACAATAGCGATGAATTTGTCGAAATGACCGAGAAACTCCGGGTGCTGAAAGCAGTGAGAGATTACCAGATAGGGCTGCCGCTTTCCTACGAGCAATATATGCGCCTTACGCCTGAAAGGCTCATTGAGCGATTGGTAAACAGGCATGAATACCTTCTTGCGATCCGCATTTCTGAATACCTCGAGTTGCCTGCCGATAGGATATACGTTCATTGGGCAAGCCAAAAGGTCAAAGTCTCGACGGTGGACGATGATGCCGTCTGCAAGCTCATAGTCCAGCGATTGGAAGGCAAACCGGGCATATCCTTTGAGTTGATCGCGCAAACAGCTTACGACGAAGGGCGTGCTCACTTGGCGACTCAGCTTCTGAACCACGAACCAAGAGCTGGGAAGCAAGTGCCCCTGCTCTTGGACATGGAAGAAGACGAGATTGCCTTGGATAAGGCTATCGAGAGTGGAGACGTTGATCTAGTGAACTACGTCCTTCTGCACCTTAAGACTAAGCTACCCCTCGCCAGTTTCTTCAGAACGATAAATACACGTCCTATGGCGTCCGCTCTGGTGGAAACGACTGCCCGGGGACAGGATACCGAACTGTTGAAGGACCTCTTCTACCAAGACGACCGACCTATTGATGGCTCAAACGTCCTTCTCTCCGAGGCGTTGGACGCAACGGACCTGCCACGCAAGACTGAAAAGCTCCAGCTCGCATCGCGTCTACTGTCAGACTCAAAAGATCCTTCGGTGGTGTTACAGCAAAAACTACTCAATGAAGCATCCCAGCTGCTGAAGGTCCAGGAGGCCCTCGACAAGGACCTTGCAGATCGTTCAGAGTTCCTTGGCTTGAGCTTGAACGAGACAATCTACAGACTAATACGATCAGGCTACGGCAAAAGAGCACAGAAGATACAGAGCGAATTCCGGATGCCAGAGAAGACTTTCTGGTGGTTGAGATTAAGGGCCTTGGTAGCTAAGCGCGACTGGGGCGAGCTGGAAGAAATCGGGAAAAACAAAAAGTCCCCGATAGGGTGGGAGGTAAGCCGGCCAACAACCCCAGCATATGCGCCCGCATGCTCACGGATAAATAACAGCCATTTTATAACGAGATTTTGGGAGCTGGAAATACAAAGCTCGCTTCGTTATTCGTTCCCAAATGCACCAATTTGCCGGCTGAGGACAAGATGGAAATGTGGGTGAAATGTGGCATGATTGCAAAAGCCGGCGAAGAAGCCTTCAGGGCAAAGAATGTCAACGCCCTTGAGCTCCTCCAGGCGAGGGCTTCAGGACCAGCCGCCGTTGAGATCGAACGGATGATCAACCAGCTTAGACCGCGGAAGTAGATAGCTGGCGCAACCATGGCGGTATTTCCTCTGCAGGGTAGACGTCCACGCATCAGGTGATATCATCGTCCACGTCAATGCCTTCGTGTTCCTCCACCACAGGAGTCTGAGTGACAGGGGCCGGCTTCGAGCGTTTCGCTGGCTTAGAAGCCGCAGCATCGTCCACCATGGCATCATCCATGTTATCGTCAGCCTCCTCGTTGAGGGCTTCGAACATTGACTTCGTTTTACGATTCAGATCCTCCCATTCAGCCTAGACACTCATTTCGTCAGCATTATTGACCAATCACGATGGAAAGCCTGGCGTCCTCACCCTACGAGCCTTGACCGATTTGGCGCGGACCTCACTTTTAGTGACCTTCTTCTCCAGCTGGTCCATCACGGCCTCTGCTCTTTCAACACCCTTTTGTTGCCTCAAGCGCTGCGCTCTAGTCTTAGCTTTGCCTTTTGACTGTTTCTTCGAGACGCCTGCATTAGCGCGTTCCGATAGGATCGAATCCCGCTGTACTGTAGTTTCTTCGGCCCGCGGAAGAGATGTCAATGACTTGTCGACGTCGAGACTGGGGGAAGCTGCCCGCCTCGCAGCGCGGGAATGTTTGGACTGGGCTAGACAGGGGTATTATGTTAGCATTGAACGTGCATTTAGAAGCAGACTTCCTGTAAGAATAGCTGTACTCACGCCTTGATTTCGCCATGATTGATGCAGGGGAAATTTGATTTAGTGTTTTCCTGCATGGGCGCAGGTGAATAATTTGTTGTGGAGCCGGGCATTATCGATAAAACCTTTCCGGGTGGCGGAAGACACCTGGAGCGCACTCGGCCGCTGCTTATTCTGCGTCGCAACACTGGCTGGTCAAAGTCGATCCAGTCGTCACTTCGCCAGACGTGGTCGTCGCCTCTTAACTGCTCTGCTAAGTGATGTCAATGTCCTCGTCCCTATGCCGTGGACTTTGCCTCCTTTTCATCAGCCATGAATGCTCGCAGAGAGGGGATTGACTTCCTCACTCCGAATCCCTTCAACGTGCGGCACAGCAACTATGAATCAATACTGCAGCAACTGCAGGGCAACCCATCCTTAGTTGCCTCTATTTTAGTGACTGTCATCACTTTGTATTTAGCCGTCAGCTATTTGGGCCCAGCTTCGTTGTCGGTGGCTCGGATAGCCTGGAATATACTTGTCTACTTGACACCTTCGCGATTGATTGCCGCCCTAGATTCCAAGACACCGAAATCCGACGAGAACCCTCTTTCGTTGACCTTCGAGGCCAAGAGTGAAGCGATGCAACGTATACTTGGCCTTGACGATACCTCCTTCTCCTCCCTCTTCCCTCGCGCTCCGGCTTTCTCGAGCTTCGGGACCTCCCTCTTGAGCAGCAAAAACAACGTACCGCCAGGGCTTGGAAACTGGGATAATTCGTGCTACCAGAATAGCATAATACAAGGACTGGCGTCCCTTCAGTCGCTGGAGAGATTCTTGGATCAAAACGTTGAGCAGCTAGGACAAAAAGCTCTTTTGTCCACGCATCAAGCTTTGAAGGATATCATAGAGCGACTCAACAGTGCCGACAGCAATGGCCAACGTCTATGGACTCCGGCAGATCTCAAATCTATGAGCAGCTGGCAACAGCAGGATGCACAGGAATATTTCTCGAAGATCGTTGATCAGTTGGATCTGGAAGTCCAACAGGCGACTCGGCGACACACACGCAACTTGGGCCTGAAGATGGCAGGACCGCAGGAACATGTGATTGGATCTGGTATATCTCAGGAGCTACAGGAAAGTAGTGCAGGGGAGACACGGATAACAGGAAATCAGATCTTTCGGAATCCGTTGGAAGGTCTTCTTGCGCAGAGAGTGGGATGCATTCAGTGCGGTTGGACCGAAGGTCTCTCACTAATTCCTTTTAACTGCTTGACTGTGCCGCTTGGCCCGAAATTTGAGTACGATATTCGAGAGTGTCTCCATCATTACATGCACTTGGAACCCATTGAGGGGGTGGAATGTGCAAAATGTACATTGTTACGTGTACAGTCTCAGTTACTGAACTTGCTGAAGCAAATCGGCGATGATGAGGAGACTCCGAGTGCTACTCCGGAGTCACCAAAGATATCAGATGCGCTTCGAAGCTCGGCACAGGAGCGCCTACAGGCCGTTGAGCAAGCGTTGGAAGAGGAGGATTTTGCAGAGAAAACGCTCTCCCAAAAGTGCCATATTCCCGGAAAGAATCGAGTGTCGTCGACCAAATCCAGACAGGCCGTGGTTGCCAGGCCTCCACAATGCCTAGTCATTCATGTCAATCGAAGCATGTTCGACGAAAATACAGGAATGCTCCGGAAGAACTACGCAGCCGTCAAATTTCCAAACGCCCTCGACTTGAATCCGTGGTGCTTGGGCGGGGTCTCCAAGAACCAGAGTGAACCAAGTCTAGAAGCTTGGGAAACCAATCCCAGCGTATCAATGCTCTCGCATGCAGGAAGAGGCGCGAATGCAGGTGGTCACTATCAGTTGCGTGCTGTGATCACCCACTACGGCCGTCATGAGAATGGCCATTACATATGTTACAGAAAATATCCAACCGACACTTTTCCGGCCCACGTCCCGGACGCGATTATCGAGGCAGATGGAGACAAGGAGAGAGACGAGCGTTGGTACAGGCTAAGCGACGAGGACGTGCAGATGGTCAGCGAAGCGAACGTCATGTCTCAGGGCGGCGCCTTCATGCTCTTCTACGAGGCGGTTGAGGACTACTCCCCGGAGGCCGCAGAGGATGTGGATTCTGGGTTGGCGGAAGAGGAGGGTTCAGCACCTTCTTCTAGCTGCACGCCATCGGAGACCATGTCCACAACATCTGCTGCCACAGGAGACTCCACGTCCGATGTATCGCAAGCGACCAGCGTCTCAACGGCGTTAAATGTTGAACCTCGCGTTGAGAAATCCCTGCTTATGTCCGACGTTGACTGAGCCAGCGCCGTCTCGATTGCCCAACCTTACTCTGCCCGATTGTGTATATCAGCATTATATGATACCCCGAGTACGACTCTTTAGAAGCGCTCATCCATAACTTTTTGACTGTCTGCTTTACGTTTTGTTTTGGAGTAACCGACGAGACGTTGAACACGGCTTTGTATAACACTGTATGTACTTCATATCTGATCGCCGCTTTATAGCTAAAGTACATTGTTTTTTTGACACTCCATAACCGCACCCGTATAATCCCAAGCATGCCGTATGCCCCGACTCCCTGTTCCAGATTGTAAGTAAAGCCCCAGTAACAGCACAAACATATACCCAACGCCCGCTGAAATATCGAACAACCCACCCTATATCCATCAAACGAACCAAGGATGAATCAGAATACACCAGCCCTAGTCATAACATCATGAAACTGCTCCAACGTAACCCCAGCATGTACCCCCGCACCACCATTCGCCTCCAAAATCATATCTTTCAACAGCTCATCCCCCAGCTCCTCCTCCTTCAACTCGCGAGCAATCCTCCTCAGATGATTCAACGTGATCACCCCCCCAGACCCCCTCGTAAAAAGTCGATACGCCGCGTCCACCTCCGCCGCCATCGCATCATCAGATCTAGATCGTAGCTTCGCCGCCGCGACAGCCAGAAACGGCTCGTATGGCACATACCCCGTATCCGTGGGGTCGACGGCCTCAATGATGGAGTGGAGTTCTTCGCTGTCGGTGGGGTCGAGGCCGAGGGCTCTATTGTTTCACTGTGTTAGGGATTCCGTTGCCGCGATACGAATGCGCAGGGAGGGGATACCGTACACTAAAGCTTTGCGGACATCACCGCGGGGAATCACGCCTTCCTTTTGATCTGCGAATTCTTCGACGGTCTCGGAAAAGAGGTGGAAAACTTCTTTAATTTCGTTTTCTTCCGATGCGCTGATGTCGTTTTCTTTGGCGAGTTTGGATTGGCGTGCGCGTTTGGGCGCAGGGCCGCTGCTTGGGGCGCTGCGCTTTTTGGGGGGCTGGTTGTGGTGATGACTGTTAGCGCATTGGTTGAGGGAGAGTAGATAGATGCGATAAGCACGAAGGTGACTTACCATGGCAGCGATTGGCTTGGTATGCTCTTTGTTAGTGTGTAGGTAGAGGGGAAGCCTCGTCGCAAACTGCGATGATGTCAAGGGAAAGGGTGGTTGGAGATGAGGCGCGGGGGAGGTTGAGCCATGGACCTTTGGTAGGCTGGGAAGGATCGGGATTTGCCGATTCACATTGCACTGCGGTTCGGAGTCAGGATGGGGATGCCAATGACTCCGAGGAAGATGAGGTGAGAAGAAGATGGTTTGCTTCCATTGACTTCGATTGAAGTGAATCTCGTGATGGCGGCGGGCTGCTGACGTAACCCCGCGATGCCTACGAGGATCTTTCTGGTACTTCAGCTGCGTTTGCGCCGGCGAGGATTGCATTTCCCAGACATCTTGGAGTTGCGAGTCGGTCTTTTTGTGTGGAATCTACTTCGGTGCTCTTTGATACTCCGCAGCTTTAGTTCGAAGACGCCCCGTCTCAGCCATCGTCATGGATGTCGAGCTGTATGTCTATGACCTATCCAAGGTGAATTCTATAGCTTCAGGTGTACATGTTCAGTCACGGAGTCATGGGCTAATGCGGAACAGGGTCTTGCGCGAATGGTAAGACACGCGTTGAATGTGGCAGAGTCGCCTCGTGTCTAACTCCATCTAGTATTCGCTGGCCCTGACGGGTACGCAAATCGATGCCATCTACCACACATCACTGGTGCTGAACGGCGTCGAGTATTACTTTGGCCAAGGCATTCAAACGGCCATCCCCGGCAGTACTCATCATGGACAGCCCATGGAGAAGCTGCATCTTGGCAAGACCGAGCTTCCCCTGGACGTGATCGAAGAATACATCCAGTCGCTTGCGGAAATCTATACCCCTGAGGTAGGAGCTCGTAACCCCAGCCCGGTCATCTCTCTAACCCGGCCATCCAGTCCTACGATCTCTTCCTGCACAACTGCAACAACTTCACGCAGGATCTGGCCATGTTTGCTCTCGGCAAAGGCATCCCTGAGCACATTCAAAACCTGCCGCAGACTTTCCTGAGCACCCCTTTTGGGCAAATGATGAAGCCCCAGATCGAAATGGCCCTGCGCGGTGTAACCCAAGGCACTGGCGCTGGCACGGGCACAGTCGGCACTCAAACGCCCACCACCAGCGCACCAACCGCCCCTGCGCAACCTGCCCCCGTTACTCAAGGTTCTGTGCGCATCGCAAGCAACCTCGCCCAGCTCGAGCACCACCTAGCTGCCGCGGCCGACTCATGCGCCGTCATCTTCTTCACCTCGGCCACCTGTCCGCCCTGCAAAATGGTCTACCCGACGTACGACGAACTCGCCGAGGAAGCGGGCGCCAAAGCCACCCTCATCAAAGTCGACATCAGTACCGCCATGGACGTCAGCATGAAATACAGCGTCCGAGCAACCCCAACCTTCATGACCTTCCTAAAGGGCCAGAAGCTCGATGAATGGTCCGGCGCCAACCCAGCTCAACTACGAGGCAACGTCCGTCTCCTCCTGGAAATGGCCCATCCTCCCCATCGTCACCAGCAACTCCGTCTCCCCAGCCTCCAACGCCCCATCACCAACTATGTCACATACAAGAAAGTGCCCCCTCTCGACAAGCTCGTCCAGAAACTCGACCCTCACCACGAAGACCCTCGCCTCCTCTCTATGATCACCTACCTGAAACACCGCACCTCCTCTTCCACCCCGGCAGCGGACACCCCCTTACCCCAAGACCTCCCATCCTTCGCCACCTACCTGCAAACCACCTGCGGTTTTCTAGCCCTAGACCACCTATTCGCTCTCGTCGACCTCACCCGCCTGCTCTTCCTCGACCCCCGCGTATCCGGCTACTTCGCCGAAGAGCCCGGCCACACGACCCTCCTCACCTTGTTATCCCCGTCTGCTGGCCTCTCTGGATGTCCCTACAACCTCCGCATCGTCATGCTCCAACTCTGCTGTACTCTCTTCTCCACCCCTCTCTACCGCGACCAACTTACCACCTCCTCTTCTCTCCTCCCAACCCTCCTCCACCTCACCACCTCCTCCCTCCTCGACTCCCACACTAACCTCCGCGTCGTCGCCGCCTCCCTCGCCTACAACCTCGCCGCACTCAACCACAACGCCCGCTTCGCCGGCCATGCCGACCCTCTGTCCGAGGAAAGCCAGGTCGAGCTGACCGCGTCGCTCGTGGAAGCCATCACCCAGGAAGAAGAGAGCCAGGAGGCCCTGCACGGTCTTCTCTTCGCCTTGGGATTGCTCGTCTACGAAGCTAGTCCTGACAGCGCAGTCGTGGATCTCTGCAAGGCCATGGGGATTGCAGAGACGGTAGCCGCGAAGAGGAATGTGGAAAAGGTTGCGAAGGAGCCGTTGATCAAGGAGGTGGGGGAGGAGTTGTTGATGAAAGGGTTGTAGATTAGTAGATTTAGATAGGAATACTCCTTTTCTTCTTGATTATTATCAGATACAGATGGCTTAGATGGGTTATATGGATGTTCCATTAATATATGATGTACTTTATTCTGTGACTGGATTGTCTGACTCCTCAACTATCCTACCGGTGTCCTAATTCATAGATTCCCCCACTAACAAAAGGATATCCCTCATCCCATCCCACCCATCCTATCCCATCATCTCCCATAACATTCCAAATCTCTAACCAGCTGAAACAAACCCCCTCAATCAATCAATAGTTGCCTAACATCAGCACCACCACCAAATGAGGGGTTATGTTATAGTAATCAATAGTCCCATCTACAGTGTCTCGTGATGATGATGACACCTTCAGCACAGATCAATAATCGACCATAGTCATAAGTACCTTACATAAAAAGAAAAAAGCCAATCTACATGGTAGTAACGTGAGTAGGAGGCATGTGATGGCTGGCTGGCTGGCTGGCTGGTTGAATCAAAAGGAATAATAATGCTGCTACTGCTACTGTCACTACTTACTGCATGTGCTGTTTGCTTTTATCTACCTACCGGAATTATGTGGGCAGTTATCTGGTTGTTACAGGGGTGCACTAATTACTAGTTACTAGTGTCTCTCTACTAAGGTGGAACTAATGGGATTTGCGTCGGGTATATCCGTGCATGTACTTGTGTCAGATCGTATGAAGTAGTTACAGGTAGGATAGTAATGTAGTAGTAGGAGGATACATTATTGTATGATTGACCACTTCATTTTTCGGTGGTTATTATTCATTCATTCAGTCATTCATCATTCACATGGTGAATGTAAATAGGTATTACCATACTAATTAGGAAAATGGAAAGACATCAAGTAGTGTGAAACAAAGCCATCGCTGCATGAATTAATGGGTATGTCGCTGAGCTATGCAAAATGCAATCCATCTAAAGTAACGCGGGAGCTGTTCTGTGTAACACGCTCGGGGTATGAGAAATGAAGGTTGGAAACGAAACAAGGAAGCGCCAGGAAACAACATGATGACATACAAGACGGGGTATCTGAACATCCGACGCTGAAAACAAAAAGAAAAGAACAAAAGAAAGGGGCAATAATTAGATCGGAAATCGCGAGTAAGAAAAAGAAAAAAGCAAAACCACTGACGAAAAACCCAGCTGAGAGGGGCATCTGGGTCTGGTATCCCGAAATGTTGCTAAATCCATGACCACCAAAACCGACGCGACAACGCATGAAACGGAACAATAATTAAGCAAGTTAAAGAAATCCGGTTGACAAGAGGGGAAAGAAAAGAAACCGGAGAGACAAAGAACCACAAGCAAGGAAAGACACAATGCGCAACGAGAAGCCGAGTATCCAAGCGCGTGCCATGACCCTTTGGGCCAGCATGATCGGGGTGAGTCACCATCCGTAGGTAAGGGAAGGGAATGCGATCAGAGCGTGCCCTGACAATGGCGGTGAGGTTGTGAAGAATGATAGGCAGCAGACAGAGCCCTGTCCAGCGTGCATCAGCAGCAGCCAGAGAGGGGAAATGTCCCCCCAATTTCCATCAAATGCGCCGGCTGCGACAGAGAAATTAGGTAATCAGGCAGCCAAGCTCGGGCACCAAATCAGAGGCCGCGAAGGCGCAACTCCGGCCTGCCAATTCCGCCCGGCTACAGCGCCTACCAACTATCTCTCCTCGCTTCGTCTCCCATTCCTTCGTCGCACGTGCACCCTCTGTCGTCATATTCCCCCGGTCCCATGCCCGATCATGCTAATTCATGGCCCTGTTCTTGAAAGTCCGAGCCTTGTGATGTCCCAGACTCCCAAGCATCAGTGCCAGAAATGTGTCATTGTGGCGGGGGGTCCATGACTGATTGCTTCTGTCGGCAACCACTCAGGTCGGGGGTCTTCCCAAAAAGGGGGGATAAGATGTGGTAGTTGGAAAAAAAGAAAAAAAAATTGGTGGAAAAAGGAAGCAACCAGATAGACGTGTTGGTCGCATTTCTGGACAGCTGAGCTGGAAACAGATCGGCGTCGATCATTCGACAGGTCTAATCTCCGGCTAAATCGGACCAAAATGTTGGCGTGGGGTGACGAAGTCGTGGGGTATCATGACATGCGCAAGTAGATGGTTTGGCGTATTGGTGTTACAACGAAGAAAAAAGTAATGAGAAGATGACACCCTTTTCGGTGTCTCTTAGGCGCGGCAGACGGTGGCTTTGGAAGCAGATGCGGTCCGCCGCTTCCTCTCGGGGATGGCCTTGCGCTTCTTGCGCTTTGCGTTCTCGCGCTCTGCTGCTGCCATCTGTGCCACCCGCATGGCCTGCTGTGCTCTCGCATGGGCCTGCACCTGAGCAAGGAATCGCGCGCGCTGCGCTTCTTCTTCCGCTGCGGCGCGAATCATCTGGATCTGCTGCTCGGTCGTCAGGTCAACGTCTCCCATGGTCGGGTCCTGCGCGGCGGATTCTTCGTCGATCGCACTCTCGCAGGGGGATCCAGAGCCGATGGGGAGGAGATCTTCATCGGAAAGGTAGGCGCTGGCAGTGGAACTGTCCGAGTCTGCACTCAGCAGCGAAGGGCGGTTGGGCCAAGATGGGAAGGCGCAAGAGTTGTTCATCTCATAGCCGCTGGAGAAGGAGCACTTGCGAGGAGTGATGTCGAGCAAGGAATCAGTGGGAGAGGGTGGTGGGGGAGGCGGCATCGAAGTGGGTGAGCAAGAGCTGCCGAAGCTAAAGCTGAAGGAGACATTCTGAGTGCTAGTGGTGGCCTCGCTCAGAGAAGAGCGAACACTAGACTGGTTCTGACTCCAAGGAAGAAAGGGATACATTGTGAGAAGAGGTGTTGTTATCAGTAGTAGTAGTAAGTGGTGGTGGTAGGTGTGGTGGTAGTAATGGGAGTGAATCTCGGTGTTGTCCAGAGCGATGCAGGAAGTATAAGTAGTAGTATGACTACTACTAGCTCTGTGACAGTAGGTTGATGAGTGGAGGTGAAGAAGATCGACACGGTCTGGGGAGGTCAAGACCCAAGAGTTGAGAAGGGAGGAGTGGGAGGTCAGATAAATAAATAAGCTTGGAGAGGAGATTCTGGGGATTGACGCTGATCAAGGAACACTCCACCGGTGGATCAAATGGCGGAGAGAGGAAAATGAGGTGAATGTATAAATGGAAGAAGGGCCAGATCGATCGGGGGAGGCGTCTGGACTCCCTTGCATCTCCCAACAGATAAGGCGTCGTGGAGAACGAAGAAGGAGGTGTGGAGTCCCTGTTAAAGTCGGAGGGAGGGGGGTTGGCAGCAAATCCGATTTTTCCTCTTCGGATTAATTTGATTATTGATTTATTCAATTTTCTGATTTTCAGAAAATCGAAAAATCGAAAATCGAATTTCTTTTTTTAAAAGAAATTCCCTTGTTTGGGTTTGAGGGTGTCGCCCCACTGGGGGAATTACCAGTCACCAGCCCGACAAAGCGGCCAGAATCACTTGGAATTTTCCGCAATGCTGGCCTGAAAGCAAAGCATCCACTGGTAATCCTGCGTGTCAAGCGCGGCGATCAGGCGGAAGGGGCGTTCCGGTCGCTGTACGATGGATGAAGCAGCAATCCAGTTGGATGGACACGAGAGAGTACTACCACTGTAGTAGTAGCGGTAGTGGCAGGTAAACAAGTAGACGTATGTGTGTATGTGGAAAATGTGTGGAGGTATGTGGATGATGTCGGTGATGTCGCGGCGGTATGTCAATCACAGTAAAAGTACCAAGTGGCTTGGTATAGTATTGATTACTGTGATCAGTAGTAAGTAGTAATGATCAGATGGTACTATTGTCAAAAGTGATAGATGTTCGAGTTGATCAGTCCAGTGCGATGTAGCAGCGAACTCCTGAAATCCATCATCGGACCAGGGACTAAAGGTACATATTTATCTATTATTATGATTTATTCCCATCGGGTGGATTCGACCCTAATCTGACAGCCAGACCCCCGGTCCAGGGCGTGGATCTATCGGCTTTCTTTTGTTCTTCCATTTTAATTTAATTCCTGGGCGGATTTGCTCGCTCCTCCGGTCCGCGGCCCGGGGAGCTTCGGATGGGGGGCGAGAAAAGGGAAAAGGGAAAACGAAAAGGAAAAGCGTGGGGATGGATCAAGTGTCAAAGAATGAGTCAACTTAATCCACTGCTCCCTCCGTTTTCTTCCACATCTCCGAGCTCCCCATCAGTGGCACCTCCGTAATTGATTCTTTGGTTCGTCCGACCCCAGATTTATTGGCATTTAGCCAAGTGCAGGATAATACCAGATTAGAGAATATTTGTAGAGAATACAACTGGGTGCCCTGTAGGGGCTACATTGAGATACTTGCAACAACAACACCATAGTATTAGTAGTAGTATTCCTGTACTTTGACTATAGTAGTCGAAGGCTGACATGATACGGGTCCGGTAAATATTCCCCCATACCCGACCGACTGACTGACAGTGGGGGCTCATCATTCATCCATCCTTTGGTGTTGTTTTGTTTTCCGGCGGCTGACGATATTAATTTAATCAGAAACAACGCCTCAATGCGAATTACTCCGTCTGCCCCCAATTTTGATTATTATTTTTCGGGCGGATGTTTCATACTTCCAACCTGGCAGGCAGGCTGTACACCATAAGATAATCAACTAATGGATTATTCACAACCCCGCCCTGTTGTCCACCACAAGGACGGAGTAAGTAAGTACAGTAGTAGCCGACAGGAAATCAAAAATCGCTTTGATCCGCGATATCCTCAGCACAAAGCGACAGGCGGTGTTGGGTTCTCGTGCATCTCGCAACGGGATCTTGCGGTCTGTGTAGTTTACCAGGTTTTATCAGCCATCTGTCGGTCAGTCCAACGATTCATTCAAGCCAATCCCCTCCCCTCCCTGCATACATAAACAGCATCATCATCATCATCATCACCCCCCGTAATTCCGCGGCCAAATCAGCACGCTCTGACCTCACCGCTTCAGTCAATTGTTTGGCATCTTCGCAGCAACTAACACCACAGCATGCTTCCGATGGATGTCGACATACATCCGCCCGTCTGTATGAGTATGCAAGTATGTATATACATCTGGCGATAACGGTAGTGGGCATGTAGTAGTATGTGGGTAAAAGAAAAATAAAAAGTGGTTTAGTTAGTCAGTTACCAACTCGGTCCAAAAGTGACTAAGATGGTTTCAAATGCGTTTAGGCTTTTTGCATCTCGCGTTGGTTTTACAACTCATCCCATTCCCTCCCTCGAGTCCCCTTCAACTCCCTTCTAACATGGGGTTCGCTGGGGGGGTGGTCTGGCGGTCAGGCAGGCAAACACCCGGGCGGGCGCCTCAGAAGTCGGCTGAGACGGACATGGACATGGAATTGTTGGCAGTGCTGAATTCTCGAGGCAAACAAGACAGTCATTGGGTTTCCTTTTTTTTTTTTTTTTTTTGCGACATCTGATTATTGTTATCAGCTCGTGCCGCGATACCAGACTAAGTGGAAAAGGCAAAAATAAGCAAGCAAAGAAAAGGAAATAAAGTAATTCGATAGAGGGTCAACTTACTGTCACAAGCAAAAGTAACGTAGGTAATCGGGTACCTAATCCATGCGCGGTATCCGCGGTGGATCCCGGGTATTCCCTTATGCCCTGCTACCTTACTGTACTTCGGCTGTGTATGTCCACATCTCCATCTTAGCCCGATAGGAAAGCTGCTATACTCTACAATACTCTTCACAAATGATAAACTCTACAGTCAGTATCCTCTCAAACAACAGGCGGCGCACACTTCTTATTTGTACATCCAATCCATGGAACTTGTCTTGCACGGATCCGACCCCGGATCCGCTACTGTCAAGTCGGGGGGGTTGTGCTGGAACGACCCAGAGTACATAGACGTGTGGTTCCCCGTTCAACAATCCACCCCCCGCGACCCACGCGTATCTACCCAGATAACTATCCTTCACTACTTTTCTACCCCGGACGTTGTGTACCACCGCCAAGCCCTGTTATCCGTTCCGTAATCCTCACTCCTTCGGAGCCGCGTAGGACTTAAACAGTTCGTAAATGAAAGAGGCATGAATAGAGTCAGCTGTGCCTGTCTGCCCCCAATCTGATCTGACGGGCCGCACCACCCCCAGGTTCCATCCACTGTCTGAGTTGTCGCGGTCTGCCCTGCCCTGCCTTGCTCGGCCCTGCCCCCCGTACAGCCAGTAAGTTTCAGTCAAGTTGGGGGAGGCGAAGCAGCAACGGCCCCCCCCAATCATCCCTCGAGAGCATCGGTAGTTGTCCGTTTCAGCCCGCGAACTAGTCACGTCCAGTCACCTAAAACTGAAAATGGCCAGACTAGGCAACTCTTCCCACTTTGTGAAAGAAAACAACGACGGCGGGAATATACTTCTTTCGGATAACTACATTTTCCAAATCCAATACTCCTTTAACTACAGTAGGCAATAGAATGAATTACTCTTTGTGTAAGTCTAGCCTAGCTGATGAAGATCACTGCTAGTAGTACTTCTCCGACCGTCGCAAGTATCGAGAGGCGAAATGCACGGTTAATCTGGGCGGGTAGTTTTTAGCCTTGCCGGGCGGGATGGTGCCTCGGCATCTGGGGGGCTGTTGATTTATCCATTCATCCCTACTATCTCCCTTCCTTTGTTCGGTAGTGGTAGTGGTAGTCTAGTTCTGACAAGGCACACGCAGGGCTGGCTCGCTGGCTGTGTGTCCAGTGATCATCTGAGCGTTTTGTTGTGTGATGACTGACTGACTGACTAGTCGTACAGGGACAGCGTGTTTCAGACTTTGGGGCTGGATGGCATTGTGAATGCAGTGATTACTACTGGTACTATATTTATTGGACAACGAATGAATGAATGACTCGATGCGATGCATAAGTACATACGGAGTACATATGCTGGCATGCAGTATGTGTTTGAAAGATATATATACTATATATATATATCAAACAAGCGGAGTGTGCTTTATCAATTCTGGGTCGCGATCAATCAATCGATGCAATGCATACAACTAAATTCATACAGTGTACTTTGTACTACTTGGTTCGTTGGGGTGGATCTGAACGAATGATCCAATTCTAGACTTCTTTGCATATGTACCCCTGGAACTAGTCAGTCGCGCCAAAGAACCTGATCCCAGCTAGTCACTAAGTCACTAACAACTTATCTTTGTGAAGTACGTTGGCCGATGGTCTGTCTCAGTTCAGCTCCACCACAAACAAGATGCAGTGTGAAAGGCATCAAACTGACACTGATCATCCCAGACAAAGTACGAGTTCAGTATCATCACGAGCACACCAATACCATGTCCAGAACGGCCCAATGACTACTACTCCAATCTAATAATGAAGATGGATGTGATTCATTTCTTTCTTTCTGAGATAGTAAACGCTTTGACCGACCGGGCACCAGCCATCACAAGCCATCACAAGCACACTATTTATTTGACCGTCTTGAATGGCTTCATCTTGTGGTTGCTGCTGCTGCTGCTGCTGCTATTACTACCGGAGCTGATTGGCGCTATCAGGTGGACAATGAAACGGCCCAGCGGGACTGAACTGAACCGTGACAAAAAAGCCTGGCCTGTCAGTCAGTCAGTTGACGAGTAACATGGTCCCGACCGGGTGATTGGGAGCAACACACCCGATGCGCCCAGACCTCGGTTGTTAAAGAGGGTTTCCTTTGAACCTGACTGACGGGTAAATGAAAAGGTACTAACCCGTCGACGGCTCTAGACCGTCGGGCCTAATTTGCCCGAGGGCAAATGATCAGATAGAAGTCAATCAATGATAGTCCACGATCAGTCAGTTACTCAGTCAATAGTAGTTCTGTTCATGCACAAATGCTTTTCTTTCACCCGCGGATTGCGGAACCCGCCTCCGATGAATGATCGAACCGCCGTGCTGGATTGGATGGTCTCCACCGCCCCAGCGATCGTCCGTTTTGGGACAGAGTAAATAATGAGAAGTAATTTTCCCTTTTGGGACGGGGATCGTCTCTTCCCAATCCGGTAGCTTTCTGAGCTCCCCGCCAACCCAAAGTACATCCGCATTTCCCCCCCTCGCGGCCCTTTAAGACTCATCAACTGCACTATTTTGGAGAACACGACGCGGGTAGACCCGCGGAACCGCGGTACGAGCTGCCGGACTAGGACTTGGAGAGATCATGGGGAGGATGAGGAACTTTTGCCCCCCTTTTTGCTTTTGGTGAAAAGTATCGCAGGTTCTTCAGGGTGCACCGTGAGCGGGGCAGCTCCCCCCGGCCCCGGTGGCTGCAGTAGTTCGCTTCGGGTGGAAGTCAAGTAGGAAGTACTGAGTACCTTTCAGCTGGTCCTGAAGATACATCCACTCACTGTGAATGGATCATCATCTTGATTAAGGGAGGAGGATGACGACAATGACGACTATCTGTCCATAGCTCCAGCTCTCTCTGCACATGCGCATTCCACTCAGCTTCAGCTGCACATTTCCTAGATTGTGTACAGTATACTTACGTATGCACTTGCATACATAAGTTACATTCCCGAATACTTCTGGTCAAGAGGACCAGAAGTACTCCGGATTCCCATTCTGGGGTACACCTGTACTTTTACTTATTGACTTACTCTTCCGGGACTTGCTCACATTTGCCTGTTCTCCACCCTGGCGCATCCGCGTATGCAAGCCTAACATTCCAGACTGTCCCCGACTTTGGGTACTGCACTTCCGATCGAGACGATCCATCCAACTGATTGGTGCTGACCCCCCTTGTCCATCGTCATCCCATGATCCCGGATACCCTCCTGCATTTTCCACCCACCCACAGCTCTTCAATGCAAGGCATGCTTCCCAGCTTACGTGGTGATGCCTCGGTGCTACCCCTCCATGAGCGGCGTTTTGCACTGTTCCCTCCCTGCTGGTGTCCTTCCCTTCCACCACTTGCCAATCTACGGTACTGTGTCTGCAGGGACTGTCAAAGCTCCCAAACAGCGGTGATTCACCGCTTCCCCCGTTATTGGTTCTCATGATGCCATGCCATCGGTTTCGTTGGTCGGGCGAAACATTCTACTCTTGTGGTGTTTGTTATCGATCTAGCGCTTTGGGTTGGACTACCTTAGGCATCTAAAGATGATGCATCCACTCATGGTGGTTCCCTCCTAGCCAGGAATTGGGACTTTTGCGTCGCCGACCGGGGGAAGGGGTCAAATATGGATGAAACATTGGAAGAGCACTAGAAGCTAGGACTGAAGATCCAGGAGCGCGGTCTTGGACTCCTCACAACGCACACCCTGGCTGCCCCGCCACGGCCTTGCGCGGAGTTTAAAGGTACCACTTGCTGCCCCCGGAGTATCTGGGGATGGAGAAAGCACATACCACACCGTCCGGGGAGGACCGCATTTGCTGCACCACAATCTCGACGGGGAACGGGTCCCGGAGCACGGATCGAGAAATAAGGTGTACTCCTCGCAGCGGATGTAGCAGACGGATGCCTGGATATGGTTCCGTCTGCACTGGGTTCCCGGTTTGGCAATTAGAGCTACCCAGCTGGGGGATCCACGACCCTGCGACGGGTCTTTCTGAGCAGTCCGGAAACAACTTCCCCGGTTGATCCTCGACCTGTGGCTCGCACGGGGGGAAGACGCATCATATGTGTGGCGTCGCATTTGGAATGTGTGGTATATTTATCTGGCTACATACAGAGTGAGGCGAGGTATGTGGCGAGGGTGAGCGGGGACAGGTGGCTTGAGTTGACATACACAGTAGTACTACGGTTCTGATCTCCGGATAGGGCCGTCTCCAGAAGTCAAAGGGTTGTATTATCGACATGACGGCGCGGAGTCCATGCGCTCTGTAGAGTCGGTCACCAAGCCTTGACTCGTTTCGTTCTATTCCCGCCACCTGCGACATAATCGGCAACTCCGCAGTTTAAACAAGTTTATTGTTGGCGGGCGTCGTCATTTACTGTTGTCAACACCATAGTTATCCTTTTCTCGCATGTCCATCTGACCACGACTATCAGGCTTACGATAGCGTTCAATATCGGCATGCGCTCCGTTGTTCCATGCAGCGACCGACCGCTTAGGCTCATACAGGAGTCGTCCTACACGGGCGGGGGTTCTGTAGACAAAGGCCATTATACTTATTCTGGGTTACGAAGGTGAGGTTGGACGGTGCAACGTGCGGGCGGGCAGTGCTTGCGCTGACGTTTCACTCTCGATCATCTACACGGACACGCGGAGACGCCGCGGATTGCAGTCCCCAGATGGAGAAGGCCGTACGGGTCAGCAGGTAATCCCTCGCGTTACACTGAGTAGGATGAGTAGGATTCGTATCATTGGAGCCTCATTGCAGAGCCGCGTTGAATGCATCATTCTCTCACTGATTCTGTTTGCTGAGACCTCGTAACGCTTCAGCCTTGTTGGAATGATGCTAGGGTTTCATCGGGTATGATGTCGATGGTGGTGGTCGGGGATTATTGGGGATGATGACGATGATGATGATAGACACGTTGACATGGATTTATCCACATTTACCCCATGTTTCTGGCACGTCGCTTGACACCGATCATCTTTGACAGCTACTACAGCAGCTGCTGCTGCTACTACCTCGGGGTGGCGAATCCGCCGCCAAGGGCGGATAGGATATAGTGACTGTGACTGTAATCTTCATGTTTACTATCTCGGTTATATTTACTAATTGTCCACCATACACAGTGGGATAAATTTAGCCACATAATCAGATTCGACATTTTTACACCGTGAATATACCAAGCAGCCACCTCACTTGGAATTAATAATATCATGCCCCTCGCACAAGATCCCTCACTAACAGCCACAAACTACTCACCGTCCATCGGCCATGTAACCCACTCTAAAATAGGATGGTGACACAGCATTTTGTGTGTATATTTCCTAGAATATTCTTAATTCCTCAAATAGCCATTTCCGGCTCGATCGCATAGTCTACTAACTATGGCAAACAATGAATGACTCACTGATGAAGGATACTAGATAAGCACACTATACACATGTACATACATCGCCTTATCGTACAACCGGACATCCCCGTCATCAACAAACATTACTGAAATCACAATAATAACATCCCACATCACACGGGAGGGGTAAATAGCAATCCAGTAAGTGGTGAGGTAAGTAAGCCCGTTCGTTCTGGAACGTTTCCACACACAGGGTGGATTAGAAATTATCATTACCCAACTTACTGCTTAACCTGGATAATTATAATAATAATGATAATTATTATTATTGGTTTACTTATTTATCCCTGACACTTGAAAACATATTTTGATATTATTATTATTCAGATTGTCTCGGATATGACACCGCTGCAACACTGCGATGGTGCAATGGTTGGTTGGTTGGTTGATTAGTTGGTTGGGTACCCAAGTAAATAAGGAGTAGATAGTAGGTAGGTAAGTAAGCGTGGCGCCTAACGAACATTCCATCGTTCCATTATCCATCCATCTCCATCTACTACCCATTCATGATAAGCTATGAGGTACATATCCTTGAAACAAGTGGGGTGTGTATGTACCCTGTCTGTCTGTCTGTCTGTCTGACCGGGTAGATCGGTTAACACGGGATTTCATGACACATGTTACTTACTTACTTCAAGATCCTGATGGATTATAGGAATGGATGGTTGGATGGGTGGATGATAAATATTCAGGAAGCGCTTGTTGCGCCGCGCCGGTCGGTGGTTCGGCATAATATATTTTTATCTAAATTACAAGTTGTTGGTTGTTTTATATGTGGGATGATGTCCACGTGTATGTGGGATAGGGATATATTCCCTTAACCTTCATTACGAAGTATCCATAGTAAGGATGATATAACGGAAGATGTCGGTACGACATAATAATAGTAGTAGTAATAGTAGTTCACTACTAAGGGAATGGATTAATAATGAAGGATCAAAGATGAGGAAGAGGATGAAAGCTAACTGACGGACAATATCCGATGATAAATAATCCCACCAATTAGATAACTACCTATCAATCCTCATTCCTCCAGCTTATCTTAGCTAAGGATATATTCACCCTTTTTTATCAGGAGAATAGTACAAGGATCCCCTCGTTCCAGAAGGTTTCCTCATTTCATCGGCTAATTGCATGTGAGATTTACTCTGTGTGTGTGTGTGTGTGTGTGTGTGTGTGTGTGTGTGTGTCACGGCAACCGTTTACCGTTTATCCTTCCCTTCCCTGTTCTTTTTCCCTTCCGTTCCGCTACTAACTACCGGGAGAGGGGGCCGTGAACTGGCGGTGAGAAAATGATTCCTTGTTTGGTTGTACTTGGTGTGATCGGCACGAGGGGAGAGGATTGGTTACTGATTACCCTGTCTAAGGTTTATCTCTTTTTCTTTGTGTACCAAGTAGTAAATAAAAGTAGTGTGGGTGTGGGGATAAATTCCTATTCGAGTGGGATCTGGAAAATAGCAGGTTTTGGGAGATATATACCATAGTGGGATGGCGTTGAGTTACGTAGTACTCAGTTATCTTCCTCAACTAATCCCCGCGCGCGGCGGATAGAATATCCACCACTATTTAGGAGATTATCTTGATATGGTTTCCTTACTTTAGACTTTCCGTGGCCGTTGAATTAACCAAAAAACAGGGAAAAAGAAAAGAATGAATGACAAGTTAGATACCCCACGGGTCGGTGTGTGTAGCCGGTCAACGGCTGGCTACTTACGTAGTTGGCAACTAGAATGGGAATTGATATCCTTACCTGAACTACTTACTTACTAGCTACTTCTGTATATTGTATTATCCTTGCTGGAGGATGGGGTTGGGGTTTAGCGGTGAAAGAAGTACTACTCAGAATTCATTCCTGTTGTGTTTCGTTGTTCTTGTTTGCTGGTAGTTGGTGGATGGTTGCATCGCTTATTGAACTCTTTCTGCTTTTCTTTCTTGTTTTGTTTCTTGATGCGGAGGGACTTATGGTTGAGGTATGGGTCTAGATCTAGACTCGGTGGGGGTGGTGGGTGGGTGGGTTTGTTCTTTTGTTCTTTGGTTCTTCGATGCTGGTGGCGGCGGAGCGGTGTGCGATTATCTTTGTGTATGATTCCGGGCTTTGGTGGTGTTGCTTGAAATAGCCTTGTACTTCGTAGGGAGGTATATAATTATCGGACTTTGAGACAACTAGGGTCTTTGAAAGAGTTTTATTGTATACTATAGTGAAAGCTCTGTTCCAGCTTAGTTTGGGTAGTTACTATTGGGAGATGTAGCTGTATAGGTCTCAAGGGAAATCAAGGCCGTTGCAACGGTATCTGCATTCTATATAGCATCTGTCTACTTAAAAGGGTATAGAGTGCATTCAGAGAGGTTGGGATACTGTCACAATGAGACGGGCATACCTTGAACATTACGGTATGAATCAAGTCTCATATAGTACTGAAAGGTCTTCGGATTATGAAGGGAGAGTACTAGATTGGGGCATCAGAGAATCTATATTGGTAAACAGATTAATATATTGAGATGCTGCACAGGCACTGATCCACGAAGGTGGAGCATGTCTAGTAATAGTAAGATCTCACTTCTCAACTGTAGTATGGAGCTTCAACGCGATATGCAGCTCCGTGCACATGTGGATCTGTCCCGATATCTATCATCTGCTTTGAGAATAGTAGCAATGCGCTAGAGTAGAGCCTCAAGCATGACTAGTGCAGGTGCTAGTTCGTTCATATCTATTGGTATAAATTAGTGGATTATGTTTGGTTTATCCTCTGTGCGGACTGTCCTCGTCAAAGGCCTTGAAGTGGTCAGTCCTGTCATGAATCTGATTTCAACATCCCTTCCTATCATAATTACACTGTCTGCCCGACACTGCCAGCATGTTGATTGCTTTATGACTGGCATGGTTGATTTCGAGCATATGCGCTGTAATGCCAGGTACCGCACTCAGGAGCTTTGATGCAGGCCACATAGTAGGTTACTTGCCTTAGCATCCCATTGGTTTGAGATCTCCGGGCTGCTGTAGCGTACGACTGGTGTGACTGGCATGGCTGGTAGTCAGTTCCTGCTAAGGCAACTATCTTGAAGCAGAATGGTAATCTTCGAGCATGCCGATCCATGTTTTGAGACTCGATATTTGCTTTGACGCAGCCTAATTTCACTATCCGTTCATAGTGGTATTAGTGTTTGAGCAGGCAGCTTTTCAGCTGTCCAGTATTCCAAAATCCTTCAATATTGACCGCGGTGTTATCGGAGTTATGGGCATTCCTGATGGAACGGAGTTAAGGCTCGATATTTCCGAACGGCGCAGTATATAGTGTTGAAGATGGCTGTAGTTGCAACCACTCATAGAGCACCCTCAGCCTGCAGAAACATCTATTAGTCTGTACTTCACTATGGCTGCTGAGCAAAAGCTGGTCCTAATCACTGGTACTTCCCCCACCTTAACAATTAGCTTCATCTAACAACTCCAGGGGCAAACCAGGGCATCGGGTTTGAGACAGCCAAGAACCTAATTCTCTCCGACAATTACCATGTCATCTTAGGCTCGCGAGACCCAGCCAAGGGTGAAGAAGCCGCCAAAACCTTGGAGGCCGTTCCCGGTATCAAAGGCAGCGTCTCGTCGATTCAGATCGACGTGACAGACGACCAGTCTGTGGATAATGCTGCTGCCCAGATAAAAGCTCAGTATGGACGGCTTGATATCCTGGTCAACAATGCTGCGATGAGCTCGATGAAGCATCCGCCAAGTCGGGAGGCAATGCGCCAGATTCTGGATGTAAATGTGGTCGGAGCACTCAGCACGACAGAAGCATTTCTCGACCTGCTTCGAAACTCCTCTGAGAAGCGTCTCGTATTTGTCTCTTCGAGCACAGGCTCCATTAGTCGTGCGGCAGACCCCTCATCTCCCTTCCACATAGCCAGTGCCACTGAGTATCGAGCCAGCAAGGCTGCACTGAATATGATGATGGTCTTGTACATGTGCCGTCTCAAGGATGAAGGTTTCAAAGTGTTTGGAGCAGATCCAGGGTTGTGTGCCACGAACCTCACCGGTGATCCTGAATCTCTTCGACGACGAAATGCTGCAGAGCCATCTGATGGAGGGGAGAGGGTGGCGACGGTGGTGAAAGGGGAGCGAGATGCGGATGTTGGAAAGGTGTTGGGAGTATATGGAGTATCTCCATTCTGAATGTCCTGATAGAATTTGATTGTACCACCAGTCCGCTTATCTCAGTCTGTATACCACTGTAATCGAGTATGTTGTATAGATTGATTGCATGCCAAAACAATAGATGGCATCAGACTAAACCAATCATGGCATGTGCCTGAATGAGTCATGGCCAGTCACGAGACCCAGCCCAAAGCGGGGATGACGGCGGTGAAGCCAATCGGTGGCAGACATTCCAGAAAGTCGTATAATTTGCTGAAAAACTGGTGGGTAACCATCCAGACACTTTATGCCACCACCACGATTACCCCTCGTTTGCCGGTCGCTCTTTTCACGCCGGTTCTCTCGTTCGGCCATCATGGAGAGTCGCCAACAGCCTCCCTGGCAGCAACCGCCTGCTCATCCCGACACTCGTCTGCCGCCCCTCAAAGTATGGAACTCCCTCACCAGATCCAAGACGCCCTTTGTGCCATTGGACCCCAAAGGCCGGAAAGTTAAGTGGTACGCTTGCGGTCCGACAGTCTACGACGATGCGCATCTGGGCCACGCCAGGAACTATGTCAGTACCGATATCCTGCGTCGAATTCTCAGGGATTACTTCAAGTTCGACGTGGAGTTTGTCATGAACATCACCGATGTCGATGACAAGGTATGTGTCACTACCCCGCCGGTGACAATAGCTCTCGAGTGTTGACTCTGGCTCCAAGATCATCCTGCGTGGTAGACAACAGCACCTGTTCAACAAGTACATCGCCGAGCACCCCACCGTTACGCCCGACGTTCTCGAAACCGCCCGCAAAGCATACAGCGCCTACATCAAGAAGAACCTTCCCCTGGTCGATCCCGATACCGAGCCGGAGAACTTTGTCGCAGAAGCCCAGAAGGTCTATGGGGTTGTGCTTCAGGGAGGGGCTCTGGAGGCAGACAAAAAGCCCGGTGATGCGGAGGTCAAGATCAAGATGCACATCAAGACCGTGACAGCCACGACGTCGGCGATTGCGGAAGCCGCTCAGAAGCTCGCGGGCATCGATGCTGCATCCAGCAAGGCTTTTTACGATGCCGCCCAGGATGTCTTCTGCTTCTATCTTGATGTGACGGAGGGGTCTACAATTCCTGGCGATGCACATGAGATCTTCACGAAATTGACGAAGAAGTACGAAGACCACTTCATGAGGGATATGCGGGATCTGAACGTCCTCGACCCTGATGCTGTGACCAGAGTCACGGAATACGGCCAGCAGATTGCCGACTTCGTCGAAAAGATCGTCGCGAACAAGTTTGGCTATGTCACCTCCGATGGCTCCGTCTACTTCGACATCAAGGCATTCGAAGAAGCTGGAAACCACTATGCGCGACTTGAGCCTTGGAACCGCAACAACCAACCTCTGCTAAGGGACGGTGAGGGTGCGCTGTCGCGGGCAACCGAGAAGAAGTCTTCAGATGATTTTGCCCTCTGGAAGGCATCTCGTCCGGGAGAGCCCAGCTGGTCAAGCAAGTGGGGTCAAGGACGGCCAGGCTGGCACATCGAGTGCTCGGCAATGGCATCGAGCTGCCTTGGTAGTCAGATTGATATCCACTCCGGTGGCATTGACCTTGCATTCCCTCATCACGACAACGAGCTTGCGCAGAGTGAAGCCTACTGGTGCGAGCATAAGCAGCAGTGGGTCAACTACTTCCTGCACATGGGCCATCTGTCCATCCAGGGTTCCAAAATGTCGAAATCCTTGAAGAACTTCACTACCGTCAAGGACGCTCTCGAGCGCGGTGACTACACTCCTCGCAGCTTGAGAATCGTCTTCTTGCTTGGTGGATGGCGTGATGGTGTCGAGATCACCGATGATCTCATCAAGAATGCCTCTTCCTGGGAAGAGAAGCTCAATAACTTCTTCGTCAAGGCGAAGGACCCCTCCAGCTTCCGTTCTTCCGATGAGGCGCCGACTTCTTCATCCGAGACCTTATCACAGGCCCTCAAATCTACACAAGAAAAGGTCCATGAATACTTCTGTGACTCCTTTGATACCCCCAAGGTCATGGCCGCCATCTCTGAGTTGGTCACGACGTTCAACGCCCTTGACAGTCAAACCTTGGATCTCAAGGTGGTTGAATCCATGGGCACATGGGTCACCCAGATTGTCACTATCTTTGGCTTGAATGGCGCTGCCTCTTCTGACAGCTGTGGCATCGGCTGGGAAGGCACTGACATTCCGGAAGCAGCCAAGCGTTTCCTATACCCACTGTCCGCCATGCGTGACACTCTGCGCCAAGCTGCCATGTCCGGTACTCCCATCACCGCCGAGCAAGTGAAGGATATCGTCGCCACCTCTGCCACCAAGGAAGCAACTGTGTCCGATTCTGACAAGCCCTATTCCCAAGTCCTGGACAATTTCACTTCTCAATTGGCCTCGCTCAGCTTGGACGATACCAAGCAGGCATCCAAGGACATACTTTCTCTCTGCGATCGTTTGCGTAACGTCGATCTCTTTAACCTGGGCATTTACTTGGAAGACCGCGAAAACAAGCCCGCACTCGTCCGTCCTGTCACCAAGGATATGCTGCAGGCCCGCGAGGAACAAGCTCGTAAAGCCTTGCTGAAGCAGCAAGAGAAAGAGAAGCAAGAGAAGCTTGCCCAGGAACGGCTCGAGAAAGGAAAGCTTAATCCCGTGGAAATGTTCCGCACCAGCGAATACAGCGCCTGGGACGAAGACGGCATTCCCACGAAAGATGCGGCGGGAGAGCCTCTCGCCAAGAGTAAGAGCAAGAAGCTCCGGAAAGATTGGGAGCGCCAGAAGAAGGCCCACGAAGCCTGGCTTGCAAGCCAGAATGGAAAATGATAGATTATATGAATCAATGAATAATACACCATCCGTCTTGGTTGACCCAGAAGGATCATCATTCTAAATCCGACGTGCATAATCATCTGGAAGTCATCCATTCGTCACCTTGATTTAGGAACTCATCATGAGGTAACCATGCCAGTAGTACTACGCATCGGTTACATACAGCCATGTCCCTTTCCTCTAATTCTGCAGTTCTGTATCCCCTGTGTCATATCCATATTCACTGCGCATTCCTAAAATGGCTCTTGACAATGCTAGACGTGTCTACAGTGAGTACCATTCATGTCATGTACCAGCTTTCGTTCTCACAATCGTTGGCAACCAGTGACGCGTAGTGTCACGGCCCAGATTTCCCATGATGCAAACAAGTTTTACCAACTCCCAATTGAGGTATATTATCTGATCGTCTCATTCCTCGGTTATCTTGACCTTCGCCCCTTGCGTCTTACCTGCCGAACGTTTTATCGAGTGTGTGCAGTCCAGCTCAACAATATCGACCTTCATACCATCACTACGGACCTTTCCCGGCTCCATGTGCAGCGGTTGATGAGGCTCACCGCAAAACAAGCCTCGGATATCAGAGAATTGTCAATATGCAGTGCTTCTGGAGGACCTCTGAGTCTTGGTTATCGCGTTCTCCCGTCGTGCCCCCTGAAGTCACAAGCCTCAAAAGACTTGCGAGAAGCCCTCAAAAAACTCAAACAATGCCGCACTCTCCGAATTTCTGCAGTGGAAATTAAGCATACTGACTATGAACTAGCATGGATGGGGGCTATTGACATGACTCACTCAGTGCTATCCGCATTCTGTGAGACTCAAAACTCCCTGAAATCGCTCACCTTAGATTTCAGGACAGATAACGTAGCCTCACTTCTACGTGGTGGTCTCGAGAGAATACCGTCCTATGGCCCCGCTGAGCTGTCTCGTTTCCCATTTGGAAGTTCAAGAATTAACCACATATCACTCAATCTCAACGCAAACATAGCAGGTAGTCCTGGCTTGTGTGAGAGACTTTTACATCCGCTATATACACGCTATGGAGTAAATGAGGTCTCACTTGACCTTGGAAAAGCCTATGCAGAGAATGTCGTTCTGGATGTCTTGAGAGGTAGGTATTTTAACACAGGAGAACCTGAGGTGATCAGATTACGCAATGTTACAGGCATGGGCCATCGCATGCTTGAGCCAAAGTTAAAGCAGTATTGCCATTCTTTGCGGGTCCTGACTATGGAGAACATCATCTTCAGATATAACTATTGGCTGAGATTTTTACACAGCTTAAAGCGTGAATTCCGCCGTCTTCAAGAGGTAAATCTGTTTTGGGAGGTGAACACTAGTTCGGAAGTGAGTTTGCCCCTTCAGTTCTTCGGTACTCTCGCTAAGTGACTCTAGAGCACCTCGCTCATCACTCAATGGAATCACAATACAATCTATGACAACACTCAAACTAGGGTGACCTACACTGGACCTGAAGAACACGGTGCCCTTACTGCTCTTGAGAAGATAGCCAGTGAAGACCCTCTCTCCGTTCATCTGTGATTCCGCCAGGATGAAGAATAATCTGATACATCCGCTCTGTCTGCTTGTCATGATGCAGTATAGTTTGTCACCGTTCTTCAACACTGCTCTTGTGAACCAGCGAAGCTGCTCTCGTATGGATGGAAGCCTGCAATTCCATCCCATAGAGTATGAAATGTACGACATTGATAAAGTCATGTGTCTATCAGATTCAACATTATAGTAGGGCATAGGTGATATCACCACATGGTATGCTTGATTGACGCACGCACTCTCTTACCACCTCTTCAACGCTGCAGTACCTGGCCGATCAAATCGTGGCCAAGCGATTGTATACCTTTAATGTAGTGTATCCTCCGCTGAAGCGCTCTATCAAAAGAGTGTTATAAAGTATATGCCGTTCTACAAGTCAAGCTTTGAAATCGCACCACTATCAAAGCGAAGAACTGGGCCTGAAAATAGAGTCATCAAGCCGTACAGTAGAATTATGTAGACCGGAATCTAAACTAGCAGAGACACTATACAGATATCTGTATTAGAAAAACATGTGAGTAGACAAGAGTTGTTTCAGGAGTGAAGCAACCCATCAAAGCTCACCTGAGGAGCGGTGGTGGTTCTACTCCGGTCACCTGCTCCTTGGGGAAGATACTTACTTCCCCTGGATCTGCCCACCAAGCAGCTCTGCCTTGACACCGCATCACACAACCAGTCTCCAAAAGAGTTTCGCAGCTTTGCTATGGTGGAACCATACAGAAGTCAAAACTCGTCTTTATACTCTTCCGTCTTTCTGCTTGATGTGTTTCTTTGTTGAGTTCCTACATACCAGCATCCCCGAGAATTCGCTGCGGCTACGCAACAAATATCACACCACTCCTATAATCCTCTACCATGAGCTCATTTCCCATCATCTGTCAGCAACAGCTGAAACAGAATACAACATGGTGCGCTGGTACACAGGATTATTGCCTAACCTCACTCAGGGGAGATAAAGTTGCTAGACTTACAGTAGGAGAGACTTCACTACATCTTGCCGGCGATTCCTATATTGCCATCAAGCGAAGTTTCAGAGTGTCGTGAACATCCAAGAACTGGAAGGCTCATGACTGCACCTTCAGACCTGGAAGTGCTGACATTGTTATCGTAATGGTGGCGTAGTGCCAGCTTCACTAAAGGACACCGGCCATACATCATACCACTTGATTAGTCCCGTCGACTTCCTACAACTCGCAAGTTCCCATCCCATTCTCCACTATTCCAATATCGGACACATTATAACACTTGATTCGCTCATTTCAGCCTCCTGCAATATGCATCAAAGGACTCGTTCTCCACTTGAAAGCCTCAACCTCTCCCTCTCAAGACTGTCAAGGGACAAGAAGATGCATGCATTCCACTTTCACCTCTCACAAGAAGCGAAGCGTCAGAGATTGCAAGACAAGATTCTCGCAACCCACGCTGGGATCGAAGAATACTCGGCTGGATATCTAAAGCCATGGCAATTACTGAAGTTGAAGATCGACGCGTCTGAAGTCAACATAAGCAGCAAAGATATAATCAAGTTTAGACCGTGCTTTTTCTCTCCCTTACCCACTGACACTATACGGACGTGCCTATCGAAGCAGCCAAACAAGAAATCTCCAGATGAAAATAGTTTAGGCTATGCAGGACGTGCAATGCCATGCCCAAGCACAGTCGCTCTGATGCATTATCCACTTATCCTTGATCTCTTTCGAGAGAAATATGCAACCTCCGTACGCAAAGGTTTCTGCTTGGACAGCCTGACCACTCTTCGAGAGTGCGGGTAAGTTCGTATAAATCTTCCAAATATCCATATGTTCAACTAACGTGCAGAATACAGAGCCACTAGCAAGGGCAAGTGGAAGCAGCAACCAGGCCTCGAACTCGCCGAGAAGCTATCTACCGAGCGCTGGCAAATCCTGCGCATTTTAGAGGATCTGGAGCATGAAGTACCCCACGCCGTCTGCGATATCCGTCAGAACATCCAAGTTGACAGAAAGAAAGGTCTCACGGTAGCGGAAGTGAAAGCCATTATGAGAGTTATGGCTGTCCGCATAGGGCTGGACTGCTACCGGCCGCATTTCCTAATGCCAGTGAGTCATTTGCAACCCTTTTGTTCTCAGTCCGGTCAAATGTCTGACTGACGAGTCAGATCCTGGCTATATCATACTTGAATCGAAAGCAAGGACGAATCTTACAAGTACACCATGATGGGAAACGGGTCGTTATCCAGTACACGAAAGTGCTAGACTTTGATGGACTTGAACATCACCCTATCGAGCTCTTCCTTCGCTACTACTGCAGCCAGCCAGTCGGAAAGACCGCCAATAAGCAGAAGGATTCATCGTCAAGATAGGGCTAGAGAATTGGCTCCACTGACGCCCCACGGTGGTAAGGAAGGGCATCACTTCCAAAGGTCAAGAAGAATCTAGGCTCTAGATTACCAGCCGTCTTGCATTCACACTATCGCGGTTTCGCCCCCGCCAAACTTGGCATCGCAAATGCGATAACGCTATCGGCTTGGCTCCCCAATCGGAAGCAATGCACGCCTTATCTAAATCATCGACTCTAAACTGCTCAGAATATAGCAAAGCAAGGGATTCCTTAAAGAAATCAACTGTTCGACGTGACAGAAAATCATCACATTAGACGATTCGCAAATTCTGAAGATGTCTCGGATTCTTCAGAGGTCGCCTTACCTGTGTAACATTACGATTCACGAGGCCAGCTTCTCCGCATTCCGGGGGTTTGATTGCAGGGTACCTCGGCCGTTATCAAGATAGGCCTGGCCGACATGCTTCTTATCGGCCTTGTTACAGCTGCCCAGACGCTAACGACGCTCAGGTGCTCCAAGTCACCACGCGTGGCGATAAGCACTCAAGCTTTCTCTTGATCGGCCTCCTCTTAAAAGGAGGGGTTATGGCCTCCTGCGATGTCTGCGGTATCCCGCCCTCAATCACTGGGCTTCTTGGTCATTGTGATACTCGTCTACCGCGGAGATGGCTGCCAAAGAGATGAATGAGAAATCATTCAAATCCCCGCAAGTTAGCGCGGATATCGAGATTCAACAAGGCGGATTCGACGAAATACAACCGGAATTTGACCTTTCTGAACAAGAGAAGGAGCAAAATGACTTTGACTATGAATCAGAGCATTCGCCTTTCCCAGAAGGTATGCGGCCTTTCATATACACACTGACCCCTCTAATGGGTGACACGCCTAGTACGCGCGGTCGTCCCTGAGACGGACGACCCAGGTCTGCCCGTCAACACATTCCGCATGTGGGTGCTTGGGTTCATCTTCACCATTGTTGGATCGGGAATCAATCAATTCTTCTCGCTTCGATATCCGTCGGTCCATATTGTGTCATTGGTAGCAGAGCTACTGGCCTATCCGTGTGGCGTCTTCCTGGCTAAGGTCTTGCCTCTATGGACTATAAGCCTTGGACGGCTTGGATCGTTCACCCTCAACCCAGATCGCCATTTCAATATCAAAGAGCATGCTCTCATAGTCATCATGAGCAACGTATCTTTCGGCTATGGAAGCGCAGATTCCACCAATATCATCCAGGCGTCGAGCGCCAGGTTCTACAATTTCGGTCTCTCAGCCGGCTTTTCTGTCCTCGTGGTCCTTTGCGCACAATTGTTGGGATTTGGAGTCGCTGGCCTGGCTGCACCGTGGCTAGTTGAGCCAGCAAGGATCATCTGGCCCCAGGTCCTTTCTAACTGTGCCATGCTGGAGACGCTCCATTCACGCGCAAACACCGTCGCCAATGGCTGGAAGATTTCCCGTCTGCGGTTCTTCCTTTACGTCACTGCAGGTGGTTTCGTGTGGTATTTCTTCCCAGGGTTGATGTTCACTGCCCTCTCGTACTTTACGTGGATTTGCTGGATCGCTCCCCGCAATGTTGTCGTAAATCAGTTGTTCGGAATGCAGACTGGCTTAGGACTAAGTCCTATCACATTCGATTGGAGTCAGGTTGCCTACAACACGAACCCCCTGCTGTCACCTTCATGGGCCGCGATCAACGTCTTTGCCGGATTCGCCCTGTTCTTCTGGATTGTCGTTCCAGGAATCTACTACTCCAACACATGGTTCACAGCCTATCTCCCCCTTATGACTGCCGACGTCTATGACCGGACCGGCACGGTCTACGACACAGCCCGTGTCATCAGCGCCGACAACACCCTGGACGTCGATGCCTACAGACAATATTCGCCCCCATACTTACCAGCTACATACGCATTCGTCTACGGCCTGTCCTTCGCCTCAATCACCGCCGTTCTAACCCACATCGGCGTCTGGCACGGCAAAGAAGTCTGGGCCGCACTAAAAGGCAAAAACAAGCTCGACATTCATGCCCGTCTCATGAAATCCTACAAAAAGACCCCATGGTACTGGTACGCCGCCATCATCGCCATCATCACCGCCATCGCCATCGTCATGGTCGAGGTCTACCACACCAAGCTCCCCGTCTACGGCGTCTTCCTTGGCCTCATCATCCCCGCCATCTACATGGTCCCCTGCGGCATCATCCAAGGCATCACCAACGTCGACGCCAACCAACTCAATGTCCTAGCCGAATTCATTGGCGGCTACATGTTCGAAGGCAAGCCCCTGGCCAACATGATCTTCAAGATTCTCAGCACCGACGTCGTCGGCCAAGGCGTCTACTTCGCCATGGATATGAAACTAGGCCACTACCTCAAAATCCCCCCTCGCACCCTCTTCATGGCCCAAGGCCTCGCCACCATCCTCGGCGCCCTTACCCAAGCCGGCGTCACCATCTGGATGCTCGGCCACATCCAAGATATCTGCTCCTCCGACCAATCCGACGGCTTCACCTGTCCCAACGGCCGAACCGTCTACTCCTCCTCCGTCATCTGGGGCCTCGTGGGCCCCCGTCGTCTCTACTCCGTCGGCCGCATCTACTCCTCCCTCCTACACTTCTTCTGGATCGGCGCCATCGCCCCCCTCATCACCTACTTCCTCTACAAGTACACCCGCAAACAATTCTGGAAATACATCAACTGGCCGCTCATCTTCGTCGGAACATATAATGTTCCCCCCGCCACCGGCATCAATTACTCCAGCTGGGCCCTCGTGAACTTCGCCTTTAACCACTTCATCAAAAAGCGCTTCTTCGCTTGGTGGAAGAAATACAACTATATTCTTGCTGCCGCGCTGGACACGGGTCTTGCGCTTAGTGGTATAGTTATCTTCTTCTGTATTTCGTACCCCGGGGCTGTGTTTCCCGATTGGTGGGGAAATACGGTCTATGTCAATACGGCGGATGGGGAGGGCGTCGCATATAAGTCTATGCCTGAGGTCGGGTATTTCGGGCCAGCGAATGGGACGTGGAGTTGATGTGGTTGTACTAGTCATGATTGTTTTGTTGCTCGTGGGTGGGAATTGTATGTATTTATGAATTGAAGATTGCCGTGGTGATCGCTATGGTATGGACCATTACTATCAAATAAATGATTTTTCATCCTTACATATCAAGTGATAGAGCTGGACTGTTAGTAATTGTGGTAAGTGGTTGATGTGTTGGTTGGGAAACAATTTTAGGAGAGGTTCCTGACATAGTGATGCAGTCATGTTTATATGTTACTGTGATGTTGTAGCAGATGGGCGGTAATTTATCTCCTTCAGAGAGCAAATATACTCAATATCCGATTAACCTGCCCAATACGTCTGCAACAATCGCCTACTATTACAATGAACACATGTGCTTGCCGTTTTTGATTGAGCAAGTATATTAGTTACATGGCTTTCCCCATCCCACCAACGATATCCGAGTAGCACTGACAACATTATGAGAGAAAAAAGAAAAAAGGAACCGGGCACACTAGAAAGACATATCCGAAGAGCAATGATGAAATAACGAAAGCTTGAAACTCGAATCCAACCGGCAGACCCAGAGTGCGTAAAGATTGGCCGAGTGGCCGGTCAAAGCCTGGCCCTTCGCAGTCGATACAATTGACTCACGCGGTCGTGTAGAGTCAAACGTAAGATGGGACATTTACTAAATAGTTTATTAGCTCTGGTTCGCACAACAACTCGTTGACAAAACTTACGGAGATCTCCGCCATTCCGAGGTCTTCGCCGCCGGTAGCGGCAGGCTGCTGGGGGGCAGCACCGTTTGCTTGGGCATTGCCCTCCGCAGGGCCAGCATTCTCGTTAGTGGTAGAGAAGTAGTCAACCATCTCAGCATCAAGCTCCTCCACAGTCTTGGGCTTAGGGCGGTTACCACGGCCGTTAGGGCGACGAGCACGGCCCTTGCGGCCCTTGGCACCAGCAGCAGCCTTGGTAGCGGTAGCGGGCTTCGGTTGGGGCTTGGTTTGTCTTCATCGCGGTTAGTCATGATTCCCCAGTACAAGACAATGGAAGAGGACACTTACGCAACGCGCTCGCCCAGAGGCTTAGGGGCAGAGACCTCAGGAGCGTGGGAGGCGTCGACGACAACCTCAATCTAGTATTTGTTAGTGTCCATACGTAAGAATAGTGATTGGTTAGTGAAAAGCTCACCTTCATGGGTCTGCCATCAACAAGGAGTCCATTCAAGTCCTTAGCAGCCTTGGCAGCTGTATCGGGCTTGCTGAACACGATCGAGGCGATACCACGGCTCGTGCCGTTTTGGTTGTAGGTGAGCATGACTCGCTTGACAGGACCTGCTGACTTTGTGAAGTATTCCTATACCAGGAGACCAAATTAGTATGTCGAGCCAACAGAATGCAGAAGGCGCAAGGAATTCCGAAGAGCCAAAACATCGAAGAACGCGTGACACCGGCTTCAAACGCGATACCAAAGAGCACCAGCGAGCACACAGCGGCGGTTAGTAGTAATCAGTGCATGGCGGTTCATTCCAGAACACCGAGACACTGTCATATCTAGAGCACAGAGCTGCTAGCATTTATCCCAAGAACCACAACGATGAACTCCCTCAAAAGCCTTCACAGTATCGTGTGTCCCCCTTCCAACTAACCCACTCAGCAATCGTCATCGACCTTTTCGCAACCAGACAAGGCGCTAGCCTCAAAAGCTACGGGCTGTGTGTGCCAGCAACCTTCGCCCGGGGACAGACAACACGAAGACTACGTGTGCGGCAAATCCATGGTTCTGTTTCCCTAGAACCTCTCTAGCAGCCCATGATAGGGAGAACAAGACACGATTTGTCTCACGGAGGTGATATGGGAAGATGCGTCTTTCCTGCCCGACACTGAAACATTTCCCATACCGACCGCCGGTAGCATGATGCTTGACAGTTGATCACCTGCCGAACTAGTCGGTCACTGCTGGTAGGCTGATGCGCTCGCTGATGCCCGACACCTCGAAACGTGGGACTTTGTACGGGTGTAGCCAATCGGATTGGTTTCGAAGATGGTATGTTTCAACAATCATCTGTGGCACAGTCTGCTGCGTGGCTTCAAAGGCGGATGGCTGGAAGATCCGCCCGAGCTAACACGCCTTTCGCAAGACTACGGCAGAACTCCAACTTCGGCGGACTCGCAGGGTGCCAGCGTGCAATTACCGCATGCGAAGATTTCAATGGAGTTTGCTGCCTATGCTGAAGACCAAGAATCCATGACGGTGATATAAAATATATATAGATAACGTGGCAAGGATCGAAACGCGCGCGAAAGCCGTTGCGCCTCGAAGGTTTCGAGAAGAAAACATGGCGATAGAAACCCAAGGCCAAGGCCTTTCGATCAACATACCTTGATATTGGCCTCATTCACATCGGAAGGCTAAAAACGTTAGTAACGGTTCATTTATCAATAGAGCAGAGATAACGGGTACTCACCAAGCCGCTGACCATGATTTTGCTCTCCGTAGAGACCGGGTGTCCATTCTGAACAGCCTTTCCGGGCGCCTTGGCAGCCTTGGTGGTCTTCTTCACACCTCCGACTGGGACAGGAGCGTTGGCAGCCTTGTTGGGAGCCGAGCGGCGAGCGCGACGGCGAGCGCCCTGGCGACGGCTGACGAGGATCTCGTCGAGAGACTTGTCCAACTTGGCAGACATAGTGAGAAGCGGAGTATAGAACGTGGAGGAGTTGGGTGTCGGTAGTTGATGAAGGTTTCACGAGAGTGTTGAGTGTTACAGGTGTTGCGCCACGGAGAATCGCGACGCTGGAACGGGGTTGTTTCTGGAGGTAACGGTGTCCAGAAGCTGGCAAATTAATCTGGACGACGGGCAGGTAGCAAAAATGTCGTGCTAGATGTAGATTGCAGCGTGTGGAGATAAAAGCTGCAACGTGGGTTGATGGAAATGTTGGGAATAGAGAGGATGGATGGAGGATGAAAGGAAGGGAAACGGAAGAGGGATGGAGAAGATAAGCAAAAGGGAAAGGCGGGAGGTTCAGTTCCCTCTCAGTTCGTCAGCCGGATCTTCTTCCCAAAAAGGCTGAGCCACCCTGCCCACCGCGCTAGTCCCCATCGGGCCCATCGGGCCAACACTGCAAACAACACAGCCTGGCTCCTTTCAGGCCGGTGCCCAAGCAGATCATGGCTTCAACTACAGTCCAGCTTACTTCAAGCTAATGTAACAACGCTACCTAGCTATGCAATCTAATCTCGTATATTCATTTCGACACATGAGTCCAGACTCAATAAGCTCGCGGTGATCTGTAACCTTCCGCTGCGCCAAGAGTCCCTGCTGCCCAAAGACTCAACCGAAGCAATCAAGCCCAGTGCCAGCCCAAAATTGCGTAGAAGGAAACATGATCATGTATATTTACGAGCAGGGATATTATCGGGGAAATTCTTCAAATCAACAGAAACAGCTCAATCCGCTCAAGGTTTCCAGTTAAGGCCAGTCCCGTAGTCAACATTAGGACGAAATGAGCTCATTCGATACTTAAGATCATCCCAAAGACTCCCGCCATCCTACCCAAACGCCGTTCATAACATGAAAGGAAAGCAACCCATATTCAACGGCATATTGTGACTCATTATCCATTGTCACATAGGCCCGAAGATGCAGATGCACGCAAACGTCTTCATTGTTCCTCAGCTCTTCAAGGCTTCGAGCCGTCCTCGCATCTGCTCTAGTGTCGCTTCTTGATCCGCGAACTCGTCCTCTGGCTCCGGAGCCTCTTCCAATGGCTTCTCGGGCTGGACCCCTTCGACCTGAGACAACTTGCCATGGAGGATCTCCTGCAGGACCTTGTCGACCTCCTCCTCTGCTTCCTCTTCCTCTTCCTCCAGTAACTCGTTGTTAGGAATGGCGTCATCGACCATCTCCTCGATGATCCCGGCCCGCACCAGTTCCGTCGAAAGCTGACGCATCGTGGCATTCAGCTCGGGCATCTGGACCAATGTGTTGACGTCCTTCATAATCCCCGTCGATTTCTTCAAGCTGCCCTGAATCTTCCGAACCGAGAAGGCCTCATTGACCTGCATCTGAACACTCTGCAGTTGCGCGCGACTGGTATGTAACCGGGTAGACTGCTTGCGAATGCGAACAAGCTCTCGTGCAAAGGTCTTGGCCTCCATGTTGGCCTGCTTGGCCTGGGAGGGATTGCGTTGGGCCCGCTTCGACGAATTCATAATGTATTGTCGTGTCTTGCTTTCCAGAGTCTTCAGTTGTGCGATGTCACGATCCAACTGTCGGGTATTGACGCGGATGAGCTGGTTACATTTTCTCATCTAGAGACAGCAATCACGGTCAGAAGCGCCAGACATTGTGGCTGGACAAAATCGGCACTTGCCTGTGTTTGAGGATCCGGGCCGAAAAAGACTGCTTTGAGGGTCTCCATGGTGAATGGCGCAAGAGAAATACGGTTTCACAGTTCGATATCTATAGCTGTAAAAGTCTACTTTGGCTTGAAGCGGGAACGGTCGAGAGAGATGTTGTCAGGGTGCTGGATCGCTCAAATCTGGAGTGACTTTGGTAATACGGTGGGGTGTGGATTGGAGGTGGTCAAAGGTCTTTCCCCCACACTTCTGCGTTGAGGAGCGTGATAGTTGATCTTCTGACAAACAAAAAAATACAGCAAATAAGACCAGATGCCAGAGAACGTGTCGAAGAGGCGCACCAACCAGGATGTGGACTATTGCATGGCTGCTGGCTGCTGCGGTGCCTGGGCTCCAAGATGGACGGATGGAGTGGATGTCTGGCTGTTCCACTCGGCGGCTGAGTCAGCCAGATACGGACGGGGGCAGTGACGTCGCTGGGCGGTTTTGAGCCTCAGGCACTGAGAGGCCGCAAACAGAACAAACGGGCGGCGGGAGAGTTCCAGTACTTTCTAGCATTCATCACTAGTGACTCGCCGGCGATCAGCAGCTAAGAGCAACCCGCCTGCTGCTGCAACTTCACTGTCTAGCCCTCCCGACATCATCCTTTCCCCATTACCTCCCTTATTTCGTTCTTGACGAGATTGCTACCTCCCCGTCTCTCTACTCAAATTCATCCTATCCGCTATCTACCATCATCATGCCCGAACTCCCCCAGGTCCACCCCGAAGGTGAGTTTACTCCCCCCTCTTGTCCCTCATTTCCTTCCCCGCTCTGGGTTTTCGTGCTGGGAGGTTTCGGCTACCGGGGAGTTGTCATGCCATACCATGGCCTTATTGTTCCCAATATTATCGCCCTGCCTATATTTCCATGCACACATTCATCTCTCCCGGCATGAGATACTGACAAGGGTATTTCACTAGTCACATGGGCTCAGCGCTCTTCGGACTCGGATGCCGAACGCAACTACCTCTACGTTAGCATCAAGGCTGCCGATGTTGCCCGTCCTGCCGCAACTATCGACATCAAGCCTACCAGTGTCACTTTCACAGGCGACTCCAAGAAGGGCGTAAAATACCACGTCTCCTTGGATCTGTTTGCCGAGATCGACCCCGAGAACAGCAAGGTCAACCACACTGACCGTGAGGTCGAGCTGGTGCTGCGCAAGAAGGAGCTCAAGGCAGAGTACTGGCCCCGTCTGCTGAAGACCACCCAGAAGATTCATTTCTTGAAGACCGACTTCGACAAGGTACGATACCGGTTCTAGTTTGCATATTCTTAGGAAACAGAGTGAGCTGACTACGAGGCAGTGGGTTGATGAGGATGAGCAAGACGAGGTGAACGAGGACGACTACGCAAACAACTTCGGTGGTTTCGAAGGCCTTGGAGGAGAGGGTGGTCTCTCTAACATTGACTTCTCCAAGCTTGGTGCCGGTCTCGGCGGTGATGCCGGTGCTGCTGGAGAGGAAGAAGAGGTACGTTGTCCACCAAAACCAACCGATTAATCAAGACATTCAGTCACTGACACCCTTACCAGGAGGAGGAAATGCCCGAGCTTGAGGAGGGCGAGGCTGAGGGTGCCAAGTCTTCCAAGATCCAGGAGGTTTCCTAAATGCTATGCCCTTCTACTGAGATAGGCAACGACTACTACGCAAGCAAGTAATCAAAAAAAAAGCAAATAATGCCGAGCGACGAATCCTGTAACCTTTGAGCTTTTCTTTGCTCATTGTTTTTCTTTCACCTATACTATACCGCTGATGATCACGGTTCATGGTTTGGAGCGACCTGGCGCACTTGGACAGGTTTCTGGCCTGCCTCGAGAGGCGAAGGGAAACGGAAAAGGAATTCTTAACTATTTCCTCTTATTGGTACTGAAATGACGAAATGACTAGCAAGGATTTCTCTTTTCCTCAAATGGCCCATTCCTGGACTGCGATCCATGCGTAGAAGAGATGCTGAGAGTCCGACCGAGAAACGAAGACTTGCGACCGGACAGTGTAGTAACACCACCACCATCTGTACAGAGTAGTTTGCAGTGCGTGTCTGTCGCGTGATTAAAAGCCCAGAAATTAGCGCCAATTGAACCAGACTATCGAGTTCACGTCTGGCGAACAGAATATGCGCAAAGGACAAGAACCTGTCTGGTGAGGAGTTTGGTCGGGACGGCGAGAGGAGAGGAACGAGGAGAATCCAACTCGATTGGCGGAGAGGCCGATTATGTGAAGTTGTTCCGCCACACTGGCAAACCCACACCGTGAAAAGTGTGGAGGAAACCTTGCACCTCCTCACGGATTGACCTCTCTCTCCCTTCCTCCTCATTTAGACAATCTTTAATATTTCCCCATCTTCTTTCCCCTCCCCATCAGAAAGACAGCCGAGGTGTCGTCAGAGTTCTTGACCTACTCCGTCGGGACGTCAGGTCGACCCCTCCTTTGGTGATTTTTCGTTGCGGTTTTCTTCCCTTTTGCGGCGCATCTTTTCTTCTTCCCTTTCTTTCCCCCCTCCCTCGACGTTGGATTTCTGTGGGAGGCTTTCCCTCATCGTATCGGCGCGCAAAAGTTATATATCCGGCATAGAATTTCATCGCTATCTTTTTAAACTTCATTTCTTTATACATATTAGAGGAGTGCAAATCTACAAAAATCCGCCAAGATGCCTCCCAAGAAGCAGCAGAATGAGCCCAAGAAGAAGAAGGCCACGGTCGAGGATAAGGTTCGAATGCCACTCTATCAATCGATATTGTCGACTAAATGCTAATCTACGATTTTGTACAGACCTTTGGCATGAAGAACGTACGTAACGAGCCCTTCTAGACCCGCATACCACTCCCTCAACCATCCATTATCGACTCCCGAGAAAAGAAAGTACAAGCCCACTGACCGGTATTTCTCTGTACAGAAAAAGGGTGGCTCGGCCAAGAAACAGATTGCTCAGCTACAGGCCCAAGCGGCATCCAACAAGAACGCCGATGCAAAGAAGAAGGAAGCCGAGAAGGCCCGCAGAGAGGCCGAGAAGAAGGCCGCCGAGCAGGCCAAGAAGGAGGCCTTGGAGCTGTTCAAGCCCGTGCAGGTTCAGAAGGTTCCCTTCGGTGTGGATCCGAAGACTGTGCTTTGCGTTTTCTACAAGCAGGGTAACTGTGAGAAGGGTCGCAAGTGCAAGTTCAGTCACGACGCGAGTGTTGAGCGCAAGGCGGCCAAGAAGGATCTCTACACCGATTCCCGAGACGTGAAGGCGGCCGAGGAAGAGGCGAAGAAGAAGGATACGATTGACGACTGGGATGAGGAGAAGCTGCGCAAGGTCATCCTCAGCAAGCACGGTAACCCGCGCACGACTACGGATAAGGTCTGCAAGTACTTCATCGAGGCTGTCGAGAACCAGAAGTACGGTTGGTTCTGGACTTGTCCTAATGGAGGTGACAAGTGCATGTACAAGCACAGTTTGCCCCCTGGGTATGTTTTGCTCGTTAAGCTCTTGACCTATGTTTACTACAGTTGCTGATGGACTACAGATTCGTTCTGAAGACGAAGGAACAGAAGGCCGCCGAGAAGGCTCTCATGGACAAGTCGCCACTGAACACCTTGACCCTCGAAGACTGGCTGGAAAGTGAGCGACACAAGCTGACCGGCAACCTGACACCCGTAACGCCCGAGACCTTCGCCAAGTGGAAGAAGGAGCGTCTTGACAAGAAGGCTGCCGAAGAGCAGGCCCGCAAGGCCAAGGAAACCACTGGACGGACACTGTTCGAGGAGGGCAACTGGCGTGCTGACGACGAGAGCAGTGACGAGGAAGAGGACGATGGCGCGTGGAACCTGGAAGCTTTGCGGCGCGAGACGGAGAGGATCCGCGAGAGGAAGGAAGAGGAACGCCTGGCAGCGCTGCATGGCACACCAGTGCCGGTTTCGAACGACGAGACGATTGCACAGGAAGGAGCTGGCTGAGTTCTATGCGATACTTCCCCAAGGACGCAAAAGGCACTTGGGCGAAAGGGGTTGCGGACCTCCCCCACACTGGGAACGGTGTCCCAAGCCGTCGTCCGGACCTGGGATGCCAATCGGGTTGATGGATGGTAGATACAATGCTGATTCTCTTTGGGTTCTTTGCATTGTGATGAAGATATACCAAACTAGATCGCCTTGTATCGTTGTCCGCGACTGGGTTGGATGGCTCTTGCGGTTAAACGTGAACGGTTGGTCGTGTCGCCTGGATTCCTGGTTCAAACACCGTTGGATCGGTGTAAGCTGAACAGAATCCAAATAGGCATGGATTGGGGCGGAGTGAAATATCAATGGGAGAGAAGATACCAGATTGATTGATTGAGAGACATCGACAGGGTCTGGAGGTTCGTTATCCAGGGGATGAACTGATTCATGATATGATTTGCTATGCCCGATCTGTACGTAGAACGTTTGTTTTTTTGGTTGAAATGAGCCAGCATTGCCCTGAACGTGCAAATGAAAAGTGCAATTGATCCAAACTATCTTGTAACACATTGACGCCGAATTGGACGGTCTGGCTTGTACCTTGCTGCTCCTGCTGCTGGAAACCCTCAGCTTACATTCCACGTCAGGGGAGGGTTGGAAGCTGTCTGTCTCACCCATGAATGTTGTCACTCGTCGGCTGCTGCTGCACGATCTTCCCAACTGATGCTCACCGATCTGTCCATGCAATCTCCACCATCCCTTTCTTCCCGATCGAACTATCCAGGAACGCCCGCCCATCCTCTCCCTCCGCGGATCTCACTATTCCCTCCTCATTCCCGAAGTCTCTTATCCCTCTCCACCATGGCGCACCCCAGTCCCCTCGACAAACTGAATACATAAGGTTAAGACGATGGCAGCTCAACAGTACCGCCACAGTCCCCTCGTTCCCAGTGGTCCCATCCCCACGCCGCCATGACCCAGTCCTTCGTCTCCTTCACCGCCGTCCTGTTGACGGGATTGCTGTCGCATTCCCAGCCTGCCGCGGCGGTGGGAATCAGCTGCGATCCAAACACCCGTCCATACTCAGCCTGGATGACAGATAGCGTCATTGCCCGACGAGATGCCATTCTAGGTGACTTTGCAGCAGGAGATGATATCTACCCGAATATCTCTCGGATCGGGCTGTTTGAGTCAACCGTCATCCGGTTGAAGGATTACTACGATGCCGATTCTTGCGGCCAGGTGGATTGGCACAGTTACACGCTGCAGGGCGCGGAAAGCCTTCTTCCGGCAGTGTTGAATGTTTCGTTTGATGTGAATGCTCCGCTCACTGTGTTTGCGGCGGGAGATCCTATGTATCACCAGTAAGTCATTCAATCTCACCACTTAACTGGCTGGCCTCAGGGACAATCAAACCGACATCTATATTGTTAGATACGATCGCGCGCCAAATGAGACCTACAAACAAGCCCTTGATACCCTTCACGATGCCTTTAACGCAAGAACCCGCGACTCAGAAGGTCGGACAACACCCGCGTCAATACCAACAACTCAATCCCATACTCAAAATCCGAAGCATACTAATTATATGAATATCCAGGCGCCTTCTGGTACTTCAACCCCTACCCCAACTGGGGCGTCCTTGAGGGCCTCTACCCTCTCGGCTCCTTCATCTCCATGTGGAAAACCTACTTCGAGCCCACTAACACCACCCTATCCGACTCCCTAATGCTCAGCCTCGATCTATTCAAAGACCACTGCCACGACGACTCCAGCGGCCTCCTCTTCCACGGCTACGACTCCAGCAAGACCGCCTCCTGGGCCGACCCCACCACCGGCGCGAGTTCCTACGTCTGGAACCGCGCTCTCGGAAACTGGTTCATGACGCTGGTGGATCTACTTGAACGATCAGGCAAAAACAGCGCGATTCTCAACGAGACGCAGCGCGACGACGTCTACACGAAATACTGGAATGTCGCTAACACGATCATCAACGACGCTGATGAGGAAACTGGATGCTGGTGGCAGGTTATGTTGCATGGTGGGGAAGAGGGCAACTATATCGAGTCTAGTGGATCAGCTCAGTTTGTGTATGGATTGTTGAAAGGTGCCAGATTGGGCTATTTGCAGGGGAAGACACCCAATGGAGTGGGATATACTGATGCGGCCGATAAGTGCTATAACTATCTGGTGAGCGAGTTTGTCAAGGAGGAGGCGGATGGCTCGTTGGGGTACAATGGGACTGTTGGGGATTGTGGATTGTATGATCCGACCTTTGAGGTATGAATTTCTTCTTCTTCCATTCTTTTGTGATTCGGCTGAATGCTAACGCAATTGTATTCTCAAAGTACTACACCACCAGACCCATCGAATACAACAACCTCTTCGGCACTTCGTCTTTCATCCTGGCAAGCTGGGAACATGAGATGTTTGAGACGGGGTATTATGATTAGCTAGCTAGCTGAGGTGGATTTACTTACTACTAATACTACTAATACCATTACTACTCGTTCTTGCGATATCTGGTAAATCCTATGACAGCTCTTATAATATACAATACCATCTAACAGCATTACTGAGGCCGATGATAAAATAGAACGACTTCACAGATAAATACATATAATCAACAAATCAATGCAATTATATTAATCTTACCCCAGAATAAATGCTACATCTAGATAGTAGATGGGACGTCGGAGACAAAAAAAAAAAGGTGTGGAGAGGGGCGGGAAGGGGGAGGGGAGGAGTCATTGAGTTTGAAACCATGTCTGAGCGTAGGTTACAACTTGAGACATGAAGATATAGTATCTGCAAGGGGGGGAAGAGGGGTAGTGCTATTGGGAAGTGGGAAGGGGGATAAAACTGAAGTTTAGTGCTGGTCCTGGAGACTTAGGCAAGTTAGTTTTTAAGCAGGGTCTTGAGACAACTTAAGTTCGTGACTATTGATTTAGGTCTTGCATCCTTGGACGACCTTGGGTGACAGTTGCAGTGCTCAGCTGACCCTCTTGAAGAAGGTGGATTAGGGTCTTGAGGTGACCTAAATCTTCTTTTACAACTTGCATAGCAGAGTACGGAAAGTCAATTTGCCTATGGGATGTTCAAGGAAACAATAAAAAAATTCCGGTCAAGACATTGCAATTACGCAGACAGGCAGAGAGTCAGTCAAAATCTGGCTTAGCACTAAAGTGATATGTTAAGATTGTGCGGACCAAGTAAGAGATATCCCATGTTCTCATCTCATTGCAGTCATCACTTTCATCATTGTCGATCATTCTGTTGAAATTGGCCGTTCACATAAATATCTATTTATATATGTACGGCGCACCGATAATAACCATCCTTTTCAGTTCTTGAGAGGCTCTTGGGGCGAGCGCAGAACATCCTCGAACCACTTGTACGACGGGACCAGACTGTGAGGGTATCCCATGTGGGGTAGTCCATGGAAGAATCTAAGGGGCGATCATGGTTAAGGACTAGGCAAATGCGGAATTGGAGGGAGCTGACTGACCTTCCCTCTTTGGGGCTTCCGTGATTGAAGAGCATCAAGCAGTCTTCGATGGGGGTGACGCCATCATCCACACCCTGCATAGCATGGGTCAGTATCATACAGAAGATCGCGGCTGTATCGGTCTTACGTTGAGCAGCAACAGTCTGCAGCTAGGCTGATCCAAGATGCCCGTCTCTAGAAGAGAGAACTTCTTCTGGCCATGCTTCTTGAAATCCTCCGGGTTGGAGTAGCCGTACTTCTTGGCCCAGGCAGGGGTGAGCCTACAAAATGTCCCATTAGTGTCGTTAGCAATGACACACGTGGTCACAGTACTTACAGGAATGGGTACTCGTGGTCATCAACACGGCTCAACCACTCGGGGTCCAGGAAGTAATGGCAGCCCGGTCCGTGGGCGAGAGTTCCCACGAAGCGATCACGGTGGGTATGTGCAGCCCGGATGGCGTAGAACCCACCAGCACTTAGACCCCAGGCAGCAACCCGGGACATGTCGAACTCCGGACGAGTCGCCATGTAGTCGAGAACGGTAGTCCACTGACGGTCCGCCGATTCGGGGTCGCTGGGATCGGCAGGCGAGTCCGCGGTACCGGGGATCTCACAGATAACTGTTGCCCAACCCCGGTTGATGATCTCATGCGTACGCTGACTGTTGTCGGGACGGTATCCATCCAGACCAGTCATTAGAACTACAACTGGGACGGGGTTCTCCGCCGTCGCATGTTCCGGGACACGAACAAAAAGGGGAACATAGGCTCCGTCGGTGGCCGACTTATGCTTGTGCGGGATGATGACCTCCTGGATGGTGGGCTTCCAGAAGGATGCTGCCTTCAGATAGACCTTCTTCTGGCGGTTGAAGGCCTCTTTTTTGATGTCTTCTCTGGTCGGGTCGACATATGGGAAGCGGGAGATACGGTAGACCACAGCAGCTCTTCGGAGCAAGTCAGATGCCATCTCCACATTGTTGTTGTTCAAAGCAGCTGACGCCTTATTTTCGAGTGCCTCAGCAACCGGGAAGAAAGCCTGCGTGTAGGCATCGGTGTAGGCATCGTTGATATTTTCCTATCTAGAAGTGAGTATTTTACCCTTGCGCTCGTAAGGCGCACATGGCAAGATTATGATAACCTACATCGATAAGCTTTTGGAAGATAGGTCGAAAGTCTTCGATGGCACCGTCGTGAAACGGATAGACTGATTTTTCACACTGCATGCTACGTTAGATAAGACCTGGCTGAGCGGTTGGCCAACCACTGAGCAAGGGGTGGTGATGCCGACCACCAGTGAAAACTTACTGCAAACTTCCACTTCGTTTCCCAGAGAGCTTTGATAGAGCCCTTGTGGGGGTAAACGGTGTTGAACTTCTCGCCGAGGATCCAAGGAGCCATTGTGTTTGCTTGCTTGTTCGCGCCGTCCAGTCTGTGAGTAGACAATGTGAAGATTTACAGTTCAGGCGGGAGACAGCATTGAAGGACCCTTTTTAAACGTAGCCCATTCAATGTAAGGTACTCACGGCGAAACTTGCCGACTGGGTTGCACATGAACTCTCCTCCAAACCTTGTGACATCACAACCACCATTGAGAGTACTTAGGGCTACAAACGCAGGGGGGCTGACCAATCCACGGCCGCTGAGGGAACAAGGGGCGTCACTGTCTGTCTCGGGTCTCGGACAATCGGTAAGGCTTGACACACTGTTCCGCTGACAGAGGTTGGGGTGAGAGTTTGCTTTGGGTGGCAGTAGTTGAAACTCCCTTGCCTGCGTTGTGCCATGTTGACGACTTTCCGCTATACCAGATCATGCTTTAAGTCCCAGGCATCCATGTTCGAGCCCAACCAAGAGCTTCTACTTGGAAGGAAAGAGACCGCTAATCCGGGAGCCTAAACTTCTTGGAGTATGTGTTGCTGCACAATTAAAGTAGATCGAAGCGGTCGATTGCCGAGGATAGACGTGATTGGTTGGCGTACATATTATACTCATTGCAGCTTAACTAGAGTCAGAAATACTTCATGTAAGTGCTCGATGTTGAGAACATCGTGGTAGCCACCTGGTGGACCCAAATATGTACTGCCTACGGGTGAACAGGGCATGTTCACAACGGTAGTTCTTTCATCGAGTGAATGCCTTGCATCCCCCCGATTCCAAGGCGGAAGGCGCATTCCAATGCCTGCTGTCGCGGTCTGGATGAGGAAGGATTGTTCTCTGCTTCAAGGTCTCGGTCGCGGAGCAGTGGTATGGTCAGTTTCGACCAAGCAAATATGCTTTGACAAAAGAGGCCAAGTATTCCGAGGCCGGAGACTTCCAGAGGCCTATTGGCACAAGAAGAGGAACACAAAGCATGGAGACTTACTCTACTCCGTAGAGAAGGCATCAAGGGCTAGCGTGCAGACAACGACATTGAAGCGAGTTACTGTTGCAACAGTAGTGCTCGGACATCTATCGCACAGTGCCTTGCGATTTGGCCCCCTTCATAGCTGAAGTAACCGCCATTAGGCGTCAATGTATCCAGCTATCCAGAACCAGACAAGTGTGCCAATACCTCAGGAATTTTCTTGCCGGGGCATCCTGCATCTCTGAACTGGGAAGGTATCTGCATGTAGGAGAAGCTGGCCGACTCCCTACTTCTCCTTCCCCATCCCTTGAAGCAAGGACAGGTTACATGCTTGCATTCTATGTCTATGCTGGAATGATTTCCCCCGGGCGGCGACTGAAAGCACGACTCGCATCGGATCGGCTCATTTGTAGGCTTGCGCTCCGGCCATGCGAGAAATGTTTGTTTGGATCTGATGCCGAGGCGGCGACACCGACGAGGCATCCAAGTCGCCAAGGGTTCCTTTCCTTGTTGCTCCGCGGGCTGAACTAACTTTTTGTTCATAATTTAGCAGCCCGAGCAGTTGTCTGTACATACTTATTTTCGACTTCCCTTCAGGAATTGCTCCGAAAGTCTGCGCCCGCGTCCGGTGAATGCTATACTTGAAGCCGCGGCAATGATCCGAACCCTCATCACGCTCGGCCTGTACGGGTTCGTCCAACAGGTATCGAGCAAAGATGTGTACCTGGATTGGAATATAACTTGGGTGACTGCAGCACCGGATGGGTATGCGAGGCCTGTGATCGGCATCAATGGACACTGGCCTTGTCCTCAGATCGACGTCGATGTTGGCGATAACCTCATCGTCGACGTGTACAACGGGCTGGGTAACGAGTCCACCGGAATCCATTGGCATGGTCTCCATCAGAACTACAATGGGTACATGGACGGTGTCCCAGGAGTCACTCAATGCGAGCTCCACCCCAACCAGCGGATGCGCTACATTGTTCCGGTAAGCTGACCCTGCTTGCTGGATCAGTACCTGAACTGCGCCTTCTGACCCATGGATCTAGATCAACCAAACCGGCACATATTGGTACCACTCCCACGAGCCCGGTCAATATCCTGATGGGTTGCGCGGACCCATCATCGTGCACGATAATGTTCCTGCGCCGTATCACTATGACGAGGAAATGACTCTCACTCTATCAGACTGGTATCATGTACAAATACCTGTCTTGCTCGATGAATTCATTGTTCCATCGGACCATGCCCCCTATGGCGGTCAAGAGCCACTGCCTGATGCGGTTTTGTTCAATGACATGCATAACACCAAGATCAGCGTCAAGCCCGGCACGACCTACCTGATCCACGTTGTTTGCATGGGAAACTTCCCCGGCCATGCACTCGTCATTGACGACCACGACATGACCATTGTTGGTATGGATGGCATTGCAGTGGAACCGCATTTTCTTCCACCCCAGTATCTGCGTGTGGCCGTTGGGCAACGAGTCGACATCCTCCTCACCACCAAAAACGATACTAGCAAGAACTATGCGATCTGGGACGGCCTCGATATTGACGAAATGTTTGTTCAAGAGGGAAGGAGCCCACCTCAAGGGTACAATCCCAACGGCACCGCATGGCTCATGTACAATGAAGATGCTCCTTTGCCTCCTCCACCAGTGATTCATGTCAACAATGCAAGTCTGGACTTCCTCGACGATGTGACCTTGACACCGAGAGACCATCTTCCGTTGATCGACCCAATACAACACCAATTCATCTTCGATGTCTACCCAACCACAGTGGATGGAAAGCCCGCCTACAGCATCAACAATATGACATATAACGCTCCCGACTCTCCCACGCTGTATACTGCCATTTATTCTGACCCTGAGGCTTGCATGGACCCGGACCTTTATGGGGATGTGAACCCTTTTGTTGTTAATTATGGTGATGTGGTGGAGATTGTTCTCAACAACCACCATGACAACCTCCACCCGTGGCATCTCCACGGTCATGATTTCCAGGTGCTGCAGCGTACCTACCCGTACGGTGGCTTCTTTGATGGCTACCGTAACGTTTCGGCGACTCCCATGCGCAGAGATACGCTCATGGTGGAGCCTCTGGGACATTTCGTGATTAGATTCCGTGCAATGAATCCTGATAAGTATTCCCTCGCTGCAGATTAGATGTCTCCAAACTGACGTTGATCGGTCAATTACGCATCTGGATGTTCCATTGCCATATTGAGTGGCACGTTGAGATCCGCCTCATGGCGATCATTATCGAAGCACCGGACCAGCTGCAGAACATGACTATACCGGATGATCACCTCAAGATTTGCGGAAATACCCAACCCAGCAATTGGGCCCCATTGGCTCCTTCGCCATAGTCAGCCCGACCCGGCATCAGGTATGAGTGCCGTTGATATGTTCTAAAACTTACTGACTTAGTCCAGAAAGAGCCAATTGGCCACGCACACAACATCTCTATCTGTTGACAATGCAGGTTTTGAAGCCACTATACTTTGTCAATGTGAGTGTTACAAGGATCTGAGACACATACACGAGACCCGCTGGCGATCGGGAGACTCGACCTGTGTGAATGGGCCCTTCCGATGTTTGGATATGCTTTAATGTCCGTGGCGACCATATTCCGTGATAAGTAATGTTACGAACAATAGACGAAAAGTTGTATCATCTTTCTTCTACCGAAGTTGCAGCTGCCATGCAGTTTTCACTCATAGATTTGTATGCCGCATGTACTTCCTGTAGCGCAATAGCCGAGCGACTTTCTGTAGTCAGGCGGATCTCTCAGGTGGGCAACTCTATAGCGAGGCTTTTGCCTTTATTAATCCGTTTTGTCGCATCAAGTCGTAAACATCCTCTGCCACACCCCAGGACAATTCAAAACCACGACCCCCAGCTCCGTATGCATGAACTATCACTTCCTGACCTTGATTTATCTTCTCCACTTCAATCCTCATGCCCCCCTCTCGTGCTGGTCGACGGCCAACAATATCACGAATCACATCGAACTCTTCTTTACTTCCCTCCTCGAAGGGAAACCACTTGGCAGCATTCGCCAATAGCTGGGCCCGTGTTTCCATTGACGGATTAGGATCCCAATTATGCGGCTGCTTCGTGCCCCCAATAATTGTCCCACCACCCAATGGGCGTGGAATACAGAAGGACCACGAGCCATCGCTATTCTGTCGAGTGATAGTAGCCGAGCAAGGATTCCTCACCAGACACGTTTGCCCTGAATAGTGAGTCAGCAACATCAAGATCCTCCAAGAGAAAACAACCACTCACCCCGAATAATATAACTCTTTTCATCCCCAAACCCCAACCCAGAACAATTAACCACAGCCCTCACCCTCTCCGCGAGATAAAACCCCTCCCTCAAATCTACGAACGTGTACTCTTTCACCTCCCCACCCCTCAACACAAACTCCCTCAACAACCACGCACAATACACGGGAGAATTCACCACAAACGTCTTATACTTCACAGCCCATTTCACATCCCCCGGCATCTGCCCGGGCTGTAAGTACTCAAACCCATCCAAATGCCCATACGCAGCCTGGATGTTCTTCTCGTTGAGGTACTCCGCCGGCGGGTTCTCGAGGTATTCAATGCCAGTAGTGGACTGAACACCTGCGCCCGGCTCCTGAGCCGCGAGTGTCTTGAAGTGTGCATAGGTGCGGCGGGCTTGTGTTTCTTCTCGGGTGTGTTGGGCGTTGGAGCCAGGGACGGGACGGTAGTGGGCGCCTGCCCAGGGTGAGGCGTAGTTTAGGGATGTGCTGTGAGGAAAATCTCGGGCTGCAATGAGGACGCGTTGGGATGGGGAGAGGCGTTGTTGGATGTAGAGGGCTGTTGTGAGGCCGATTATGCCGGCTCTGTTTGGTTGGAATGGGTGGGGGTGGTTAGTGGTGCTGTTGTTGTGGTTGAGGGGGTGGCATTGGGATACGACGTACCCTATTACGACAATGGTTTCTTTTTCGGCCATTATGCTGTGATTGTGATTGTCTTTGCAGACTGGTTGGATTGTGTGTATGTGTGTATGCAAGTGGTGTGATGATAGTGTTGGCGGAGATTGAGGGGATGATAAGCGTTTCTGGAACCGGTTCCCCGCACGCGGAGGAATTGAGTCACACTTTGCGCCGGCCGGTGTGCATTGCGTCTTTCATAGCTATCAATCGTTACGCTTTTGGTCAATGGCTTAGTACTACTGCAAATGGCTACGCAACAGGTGATTAGTGATGTGGCCATGGCCTGATTGCGTGCAGAATCACCCGGACAACTATCTATTGTTCGGGGATAGATACGAACTATAGCTAGTATTCCGAAGTGAGCGTGGAGATTAAACAGAATACGATTAAGCTGCTATTCGGTTCTAGCTGCAATTAGCAAGGCTAGAACAGCCGGCACTGACCATTTATCTATCTGCTATCTAAGCTCTCCGAGTATCGGCTTCCGCCTGTCTCGCTTCGTCACGTCCACCCTGTGCATAACATGATGGCGGTCGTTAGAACTATCTGGTCATCAAGTTGGACCAGCCCATGATGCACGTCGCAAGCCAATATGCAGCTCGACCTGGCCTGCCAGGTAGCGTTGCCATCGCATGGACTTGCACAACATCAGACAGGATGATCGTGCTCGGACGCAGTGGGACCAGACGAGCTCCTCGTTTGTAAGATGAAGACGAACTGAATCCGCATCCGCTAGTAAGCGGTGCTTGGGGTATATCTTCGTGAAACGTCGTACTGTGGCGTGGTATCAAACACACATCTTCTTTCTTTTTCTTTTGTTGCCTTGCTTTTTTTACCAGGCTTAATCCAAAGCATCGGGCAACTTCTCGATGGTGAATTTGCCCCTAGCAACCTTCATGATCGGAACACCAGGAATCTTGCGCAGGCGGCGACACAGATCTTGATCATTGGTCGCCACAATGTAAATTCTATGCTTGGTCACCTACAAGAGTCGTTAGCGCGCTGTGCTACCCAAGAAAAATTTGAGTAACCACTCACCCGATCCACGATACAGTCATCTGCATAGGTACCCTTGTGAGAGCACTTAACCCTAGACCACCGAGGGTCTTTGGCAACCCGAAGTGCGAGGCGGTACTTGTCACCCAGCTTTTCCAATTCCGCGATAGTGCAGTCTGAGAAGGTCGGAATACACTTCGCGTACAGCCTGCAGCCAGTCTTAGCATATATCCAAAGTCCAAATAGTGTTCCAACTCACAAGTCCATCATCGAAGTAAGTAGGTCCTGCTTGGCTCGAATGGCGTGGGAAACAAAGTTGGTATCGACCAGCACGTGGTAGGGAGGGCCAAGGGCAGTGTTCGCGGCAAAGAACATGTTCGAAGGAGCTTGGGTGACTTGTCGAGTCAGCTGATCCTCCTTGGGCGTCTCCTTTTTCGCTTCCGGCTTCTTCAGTCGCTCATCACGGGCTTTGATGGCGCGCTTCATCTATAGATTCAGTAGGATCAGTTTCCGTTCCGTATCTGCTGCGAAGCCACAGAGACATACCTGCGCGAACTTGCGAGTCTTCTTTTGCACACCCATTTTGTGATAATAGACCTTCGCCGCTAAACAGAAAGAAAAAGTACACCAGCGGGGAACGGGAGCGGTATTCGTTGCTATCGATATCGTTGAGCCCAGAAGATTTTGGAGAAGGCGGAAAATCAGATCACGGGCCGATGTTTTGCCGCGATAGCCAGAGTCAAGTAGTTCCGCTATCATGTGATCTACCCGTGACCGCTTGTTGCGTTGCACGGCATCCCCGTCCGGCTAACTGGAAATAGTAGTTCCCTGTCGCGAAGTCTAGAGCTTCTTGTTACTCTCGTTGGCATCATCGGAAGGAACGTAAAGGCCCAGGTGTATGTACAGTTGCACTCTGGCTCTAGCTGAAGAGTATTCGTCTAAATATTAGATGACCATAATGCCATTGTCCCGAGCGTGACACAGACTGAATCCTACCGTGCACGAGGCATCTTGGTGGATGATGAATTTCAGTCAGTCTCCGTTCGCCATTATGGGCCGAATGCCTGCCTCTCCCGATGCCTTTCTTATCACATCCAAGGAAGAGGCAAAATCTCATCACCGTCCGAGCTCCTCAACCACCCCCGCAATGTCTAAGCCCCGGGACCTCCCACTAGTCCCGAAGGACGCCAGTCACAGCGCAGCTTCTAGTTGATCTCATCACATTGCATGCACAGGCCGTGCCCATCTGTGGAAGGGCTATTTTCGACTCCATACTCCGTATACTAGTCCAGCCATGTATGTATGTCTTAGCTGGATGTGCGTAGAATTGTTGTCTCACCAGCTCCGACTGTGACCGACCGTTCAGATCGTTAGCTCCTGTCAGTGTCAAATGAATCGCCGATGAAGGTACACCATATTGCGGCCATCTGAAGTATTCGGCCTTCCCAAGGGAAAATAACAAGGTCGTGTAGACGGTGATGGTTTTCGCATTCATAATCCTAGCGTATTTTCAGTCTGGAAATTGTTGTGGTAGAGTAGTACCATCGGTTACTACACCGCCATAGTATATACTAACCATGTAGCGCCACTATCCATCTTGAGAAGGGTGAGCGCAATTCAGATGGTATCGGTAATAGGCGGCCTTACAGCACTTGCAATGATGGCTTTTTTTTCGGTTTATCTTCAAGGTTTAAGGATAGCACCTGCGTGCGCCATCTTATTTCCACATTTTCAAGGCAAGATTGTAGTATGTCTCCTGTTTATTTCGGTTCTTCTACGTACTATTTCAGTGTTCCAATCCACGTAAGTACCCAAGTATATCACGTACCTCAGTAGTTCCGTCCCCAGCACGTCGAGGGATGTGATTCAAAGTCCCACAGTACATCACCCAAGATTAGCCACAATCCTGCTGACCACACGGGTTGAGCAGTCGAGGGGAGGGTTCGGCGATACCAGTCAGAGCGCTCATTTACGCGCCGAGCAGGTCACTTGAGGGCGACTCCAGGGCGGGTGCCGGCGCTGATTGGCACAACCGAGTGATGAGGCCTGCAGCGTGAAGAAACGCCCTCTGCAGTCCGCAAGCCAATCAGGCCTGAGGAGCCGGCGGGAAAGGTCCCTGACAGCAGCCGCTGGCCATGCAGAACTCCCCTTAGGTAAGGTATTGTATACCTCTGCCTCCCATACCAAATCTTAGTACTAACTAAGTCACTGGTACTACTCCAGCCCCGCCTGGGAAAAACGGACGCATGCAATAGGATTGAACTAACCACCACCCACAACTCCGTACTAACTACTAACTCACCTCACTAGTATGGCCCCCGTCCGATTCTCTCTCTCACTCCCTCACCCCCCCATTTCCCGCCCATCTTTGACCGGTGCAACAATTGGCGCTCATCTCATCTCCTTCATTTTTAGTCTCAAACTCTTTCCTATCCACCGATTGCGCTTCATGTTGATTGTGGGCGGCATCGTTCGATGATTAGCCCGCTTGATCTTCCTATAGCTCCTGGTTAGCCCGCCAACGGCGTAACACGAAGATGACTGAACTCCTCTCGCAGCCCCCCCTGGTCAGACGCGGCAGGATCGACTGGCAGTCTGCTTTGCACTCCGGTTTCCACGTCCCGCTGCTGCATGCTTGTTGGTGTGCCGCTGATGGAGCCACCGACAGCTCCTCATGTCGCTCGACGGGTCTTATTTGCTCTCGTCCGCTAATTAAGTCGTTGAACGCCCTGCTCGTCCCATATCGATGATATCCTGGTCCATGGAAGCGCCGTCCACTCCCCTTGGCGCTAGCTCGTGTTGCTTGATGGCTGGAGATTTCGATCGACTCTCTCCGCTGCCTTCGGAGACGTCTCAGATTTCACAGGAAACTCTCCTTGATGACCACACAACGGACTCTCAAGGCTGGCGCCTTCAGGAGAATAATAAGGAATAAGAGTCCACAGGGCCAGAGCACGACTATCAGTCCATGCTCTGCGTGAATCCTGTGTTTTGTGTTAGTGCAATCGTTCCTCATTTTACTTTTTGCTCCCCTCCCCGCCTCTGCCCTGGTCTTCCTTATTATCTTTCCCCCCTCCACAATTCGTGCCAGCAACGTGGTAGCCTGCCTAGTGCGTTGTATCCCTGGTCGTTCCACTGCATCATTCTTTGTCTTTCATTTGCATTTTTGTGCGTCTGCCTTTTTGTTCGGTTCGGATTTAGCGCGCTATCACCATCGTCTGTCGCTGTACCCTGCTATAACCTCGCTTCTTCCTCGCCACCCCCAAACCCCAAGCCTGTTGAGACGAAAGGCCGTCATTCGGATCATTCCTCTTACTCGTATATCAGCACTCTAACTGTTGTCTTCTCAATTCTCTAGTCAAATGTCTGTTGAGATCACGTTGAAAATTGTGTTCTCGAGTCGGTAGTCATCTGAAGCAGTGACGTTTCGTTGGCTGTCCTGAGCGGGACTGCACTCATTTGGTGCTCGTATCGTTCTTGTCTTGTCCTACGTGCCAATGGGAGGTTTATAATTACCATTGCTCGTTTTGGACGGATAGCGTCTCTGCCCTTGTCACGCCGTCATCGTTGATTATTTAACTGTTACAGAAGTGATCTGTGCCCGGACCGAGCACTTGACACTTGCCTGTCTGGAGACGGAGCTTGGGATTGGGACAGGGAACAGGAAATAAACACTTCCAGCACCCCGTCCAGGGACCTCTCTGCGGCGCAGTCGAAACGATGGTTGAACTATCATGGAACAGAAATCCAGTTCAAGTCCCAGATCCTCGACCTTCGAGAATGAAGCCCGCCGCACCCCCGGTATCAACACAGCCACAGACACCTCCTGCCCGGCTTGAGCCATGTGCGTCTACTGCGTCTTTACTTCTCTATGCCCAGGGCTCGGTGATTGTATGTCTCCACCATGATACTTTGGCGCTCGAACGACGCTTCGAAAATCACCAAGACGATATCGGATTCATATATGTGGATAATGTTAGCGAGCGTGGTGCGGGAAGGCTGGTGGTCAGTTACGATGTCAGCCAGACTGCAATTGTATGGGACCTGTTCACAGGAAGCGTACTCGCTAGGTTCGCCTCGTTCGAGCAGCTCAAGGTTGCCGCCTGGATGCGGAACGGCAATGTGGCCTTTGGTAACACCCCTCCCACCCACAAAGTTCTCTTATAAACAAGCGCTCACAACCATCCGCAGGTAATGAAAAAGGAGACGTGATCATATTTGAGCCTTCTACCTCGGAGCATATTTCGTGTCGCACCATCTTTGATCCCATTACCGCTTTAGCCCCCGCTACGGATTGTCGAACCTATGCCATTGGGTAGGTAAACTGCGCCTAGTCCTCACAAGAGTCGAATGGTCTAACAGTTCGGCTTAGTTATCAAAATGGTTCCATTATGCTCGCGACACTGCACCCAACATTCAGCATCTTACATACCATGTCCACTTCACGAGGACCATCGGCGATAATCTCGTTAGCGTGGCATGCATCCTCGTCTAAACAGAAGTCAGATATGCTAGCCACTTTGGCAGCCAATGGTGATTTGAGAGTTTGGAGTGTAGCAAAACCACCGCAGAAAGAGGCCCCACGCGTGATCAGAGTGCTCAAGAGGTCTGATGGCTCCCCAGCCACTGAACCAAAGTGGATGGCTTGGTCTAAGAATGGCAGGATCGTGCAGTTTCTTGAAGGGTAAGCAGGAGTCTTCATCTTCCCCCGGGTTATGAGGCTAAAACCCGTCAACAGCGAAACGTGGGCTTGGGATGTCAGGACAAAACATGTCACGTATGAGCCCATCCCCACCATAGACAATCCTCGTGGCTTCGCCAACTATGGGCCGACCGCCACACTATTCACCCTCGGCCCTCAATACACTGTTCAGCAGTACGATATAGACAGCCCTGCCATGGTCGCGAATGTGCAGCATGCCCCCTCTGGAGCTTTGCCGGCGCCTATGGAGCAACCGAGACTACGCACCTTGCAGGAACCGCCAACAATGAGGGAGTCTGGTGCGATGTTTGGCTCTCGAAGGACCCCATTTGACACGAACGGAATTGAGGCTGTTCGGCAACAGCGTGCAGATGTCGCAAGCCCCGTGAATAGGAGCCATGCCAATTCGGTCACGAATTCCGTTAGCTCGAAGGCTTCCTCGGGCATGCACAAGATACCATTCTCACCACCCAGTAGGTCCGGTCAGACGACCACATCATTCTCGTTAACCTCAGCATCCGGGAGAGAAACGCCCCAACCATCCGGAGCTTCCTATGCCTACGCATCGTCCGTGTCAATGTCGTCAACCAAAAGCTCTCGCGCCGGTTCACGGCTGAGGAACGAGGTACAGCTTAGTCCTGCCGAAAAGCCAGTGGATCTATTCCCATTTACGCGCGCACGCCTCAATGATGTACCTTATGGACACCATCAGCCCCTTGACGAGTCTCGCCTCACGCCAGACGATCTGCGTCAACAGATGCTGAGCGTCGTATTTGGCTTCGATGGAGATATTGAAGAATTGATTAGGGATGAACGTATGTTAGAACCTGTGCTTACCAGATATGTTTCTAAACATTCGCTAATTCTGTGACCAGTGAGCAACCATCCCGAAGCTAGCCAAAGCGCCGTTCTACTTGCTCAGTGGATTGGAGAATCCGATACAGACAATATGCTTTCCATGATCAGTTCGGGGCCAGCCTCAATCACAGACTGGATGCTCCTTGCATTTAGCCAGATGTCTGGAGAATCGCAGTCGAACAAGATCGGACAAGCATTGGTCCAGAAGCTGCTAGAAATTGGAGATGTCCACACGGCAGCCACCATACTCCTAGGACTGGGAGACAGAAACGATGCCATCGAAGTCTATGTCTCTCAGAACTATTACATGGAAGCCATACTGATGACATGCCTTGTAATGCCTACAGACTGGCAGCGACAATCGTATTTGGTCCGTCGGTGGGGAGAGCATGTTGTGTCACACTCTCAGCAACAGCTCGCAATTAGATGTTTCATGTGCACAGGTGTAGAGCCCTCCGAGCCATGGACTTCTCCTGCTGCACAACAGGCTACATCCTTCGCGGAAGCTATCACCAGAAGGTCTCCAATGACATCTCCGGAACCTTATCCGAACCCAGCAAGTCTTATGGTGCCAAACTCTCACCCAAGTCCAGCTGTCAATGGCAGACCGGTATCGAAGACACCAGCGCTGAAGCTTATTACTTCATTTGACTCTCAACCAAACAATCGATTCAAGTTCCCTGGACTAAAGTCAGATGACAGAACGCCAACAAATGCCCCCGGGGTTACTCCGATCGCAGAATCTGCAGTCGTCGAATCTGCCTTGTCTCCGGGTGGGTTTGGATCGTACAAGCTGAATAATATTCAGAGCATAAATAACGCGATGAATACGCGCACAACAACGCCTGCCTTCAACAGACGGCGTCTTCCATCTATCGGGGAGACCCCAATTGACGTACACCCTCCTACATTCCCCTCCACGGGATACAATAAACAAGCGCTAGACTATGGATCAACTTCAGAGAATGACGAGAGCCAGCCGCTAGAGCAGAAAGGGGGGGAAGCAGATGACGAACAGCTTGGTTTGCTATCATCTGCCCGTTATGATCCAGAAGAGTACAAGCCCAGTCCTCAGACCGCAGTCCAAGCGACAGCAGATACATTCTCTACCATCAAGGGTCTTCCTTCTCCGGCTGCTGGAGTTTTTGAAGCCTTGAAGGAGCGTTCAGACAGCCGAAACGGAACTAGAGACCGTAAACCAGATGGCTTGCAGCTAAATCTTCATCACCGCAACGCATCGGAAAATGACATGCACGCTCAATCCGAGATGCTGGCCAACTTCCGCAGTCCAGCGTCAACGTTGAATAGTTTCAGTTCCGCAAGGAGCCCCAGCGTTAGCGGCCGCAGCATTGACCCGTATATCAGTAGCCTTGGCGAGGCGAACTATCACGCGAAGAAGTATCAAGGAAATCATCATAACGGTAGAGGAAGACGGAATACGGACGACTCGGCCAGTCAGACCTCGGCGCGGAGGTACCGTTCCAGGAACGCTTCACAGGAGACGCGTGGGCGAAATGAAAAGAGATACATTCCACCCGCCAAACGTTCTCCCTCATCTCCTGTCCCAATGTCGCCAGAGGAACTGGCTCGTATCAACGTCAATGCCGCCAACAAGCCATCGTCTCGAACACGCAGCGCTAGCAGGGTCCGCAAGCCACGTTCGCGCAACTCCTCTGAACGCCGTCAAAACCGTTCTGCCAGTCGGAATACAACCAACCGTCTTGGTACGGAAAATCAAGATCCCTCCAGTCGAGGACGCAGCATGGACCGTCAAGAATCAGGCACCCGGTCTCCCTCGTCTCCATTGCCAGGATCCAGTGCAGAAGACGCATTGAGACTAGTTGCGAGTGATAGAGAACGGTTGCGAACCCGCCAACGGAGCGGCAGTCGTCGACCTCAAAAGGGTGCAGGTGGGAGGGGCGAGACGCCATCTGAGTCGAAGTGGGCGAGAGCAAGGTCTCGTAGCCGTCACGATACCGAGCCGACAGAGAGCGCGCAACAAGGTGTCCTAGAATTTGTCAATGGCAGTACCGCTCATGATGACATCTACATCGTCGATAACAGTCCTAGTGCCAATAACATGCTGGCACAGGCATCTCACGCGGAGCACACTGCTGTCCTCCAGGATAAACTTGTGGAACAGCGGAGGAAGGAACTTGCCGCTGCAGAGCTTGAAGCTCGGCGCCTGTCGCTGGCACGCAATCCATCGGCGCCTAACATCCCATTTCCAGGGGAGTTGCAGCCGAGTCGTTCTGCTTTGGAGAATGCAACATTTTCCATCAATGCTTTTGCGCCGCGTACCCCCGGCCGGAACCGGACTGCTACAAACAAGGGCTCTCCAGAGTATCCAAGCAGCTCTGATTCAAACTCTTCGAGGTCTGGTGTGCCTTTGGGACTGCCCGCAACCCCGAAAGCCATGAAGCACCCCAAATATAACGGCTATGAAGAAACAGCACCGACGCCCCCGGTACCTTCTGATGCCGGTATCCTACTTAGTGATGCCAAGTACCAGGGTGATGCTGAGCGGATCGGTCGTTCGATGTCCGTTCCAGTCCCCGAAAGCCACCAGTTTGGCGCTGTACCAACGGATCTCCCAATGCACCCAAGATACAACCCTCATCTCCCGAGAAGTCGGTCCACGAGCCGAACGCGAAGTATGGCTCCCCGTCGAGACAGTGGTGGACATAGCTACGGCGGCTCCCCTGTGACAGTTAGCATAGAGGAAACCATTGAAAATGCAATGGCAAACCAGCAGACCGAGAATCCTCCTATTTTGCCGGAGCTCCAACATTTGAGTCCTCCTCCACCGCCACCTCCCCCAACTGCACCTTTGGCCTCTCCACGCGAGTCTTCGGGGACGATAGACATCGCCATCGACAATGAAGACTTCGGTCGACTGCTGCCTCGCGCGATGACCACAGGACCTACGCTTCACATGGATGGCCGTCCGGGTTTGGAACAACGCCGTATGTCTTTTGAGCATCGTCGGGGCCGCAGTGTCAACGAGAGCCTGAGTAGCAAGATTCGCAACTTGGCCCGAATGGGCAGCACCAAGAGCACAGACTCGTGGGTTGCTACTGATATTTCGATCCCGTATGAGAGCGTTATCGTCGACGGGCGCATATAAGCATACCTTTGAGGCATTGCATCTAATGTGTCGACACTTGCGGTTGGACATTCATGATTGATGACATTTTTTTCTTTTTCATTCTTCCAATTCTTTCTACATTTGCTTATTTTTCTCCATCTTCCCCTTAAGCCAAGGCATATCTCCAATATTGGTCATTGTGATAGTTGAACTGTATACCCTGGCAGTACTCTTCCCTGATAATGATGAACAAGCAAGAACTTACTCAGCTACCAGAAGATGCACTTTAATGGGCTTTCTTTTCTATTCTTACCCTTCCTCGTCTCTAAAAGTGGCCCTCGCGGGCACGAGAAAAGTCGCTCCTTCACCTATTTACCTAAGCGTTGCCACACTATGTAGGCATTTAGTGATTAATCAAGCTATTCCAAACTGAAGCGGTTAACTGCACGGGAGCATTAGGCCTTACGAAAGCATTACTTGTAGGAGACATGCAGCTCTATCCGACTGGGACCGGACAAGTATAGGTCAAAAGCAAGGAATCAACCGGCAGAGGGGAAAGTCGCCATTGTAGTTTACCGGCCCATGCCGTGGACAATAAAAGTTAGCGCTATGAATACAGGCCGCTATACAAACAATCAGTCCCATTTCGCCCACCACCCAGAACGGTTCTGCTGTGGAGTGTTCAGACTGTCCGTTGACATCTTCCGCTCCGCCTCCAACATTCTGTCAAACTCCGCCTGCGCCAGCTCACGCTCACTCGGTTTGTCGTAGGCCGGAGCCGGAGCAGAGGCAGTTGAACTCGGGGCAGGCCTAGACACAGTACTCCGGGTCTCCCGCTGAGCCGAGACATTATTTTGCCTCCGGATGCGCTCCCAGGCACTTTCACCAGACATCGACTGGTCCTTGCCCCGGTACTCGGCAGCCACAGGACTAGCATCATCCCAGAAGTCACCATTCCCATCCTTCGACGGACTCGGTGCCTCATCTGCCGGCGTAGCCACCTTCTTCGTCTCACTTCCCCACGACGTCGTACTCGACCCGAACCTCGCCGCCTCCTCATCCGACCCCGACTGCATCCCATACCCATCCCCCAGCTGCTGCGGCAGATTCTGCTCCTCACTCTTGGGCACCTCCTGCCCCGTCGGCCTCGGCGCCGGTGTCGTCGGCACTGGCGGCGGCATCTTCCCCGTCGTAACATGACCTCTCAATTCATCCCTCCTCTTCCTCGCCTCGGCCCAAAGCCCCTTCAATCTCGAATCACTCATCATATGATTAATATCATTCGCGCCCGCAATGCCATCTCCCAGCATCAGCCCCACAAATGCAAAAAGCGCCGTCTTCAACCCTGCCCGAATAGCTTCTTTCCTCCACGTATCGGGATTCGCCCTCGCCCACTTCTGAATCCCCTCAAGCAGCAAATCGACCCGCCGCAGGCCCGCTTCCGACGAGAAATTTTTCTTCCACGCCTCCGTGTTCTGCGCCGCCTTGTAGGTCACGATCGCGCCGGCGAGCACGCCAACCGGCTGGCCGATTCGGCTGTGGTAGAGCCGCGCCGTGGAGTGCTCGATTGTGGCGTCCGCTTCGGCTTGTGTCAAGGGACGGTTTGCGATGCGTTGGTGTTGGTCGAGTGTCCGGATCACGTTCATGGTTGCTACTGCGTTCCAGACGCTTTGGCCGCCGAAGCCCAGGTACATCGTTATCGGGTCCGGGCGTTTGAAGAGCTCCGGTTTGACCTTTAGCGGGTAGAAGCGGGAGAATGGGTCGTTCGGGTCTTTCAGGACCGGGGAGGTATCCCCTGTTGATGGGGGGTCGGAGGTGAATGACATTGTGGAGGGTGGGCTCCTGTGGTGTGGTGTTTTGGTTGGTGTTGTGGTGGTGGTAATGGACGGGGGGAGCTTGGATGATGATGGAATTGATGATGCGGAGTGGTTGTGCTGTGCTGGTTTAGTCAGCTGCATAGTGGGTTGTGCGGACTTGTTGCTTGGGTCTGCTGGACTATCTACAGTAGGCGTCGCTGCATGTTAGACTCGTTTAACATAGTTCTACCAGATTCAGTTATCAGCTTTATTTATATTGGTAGCCATCAGGAGATTTGTGGGAGTCAATCTTTTCTTTGGGACTGTGGAATCGATATTGTAGTCCACTTAGATACTACTCCGTACCCTGTGCAATTTCACATCCTTGAACAATCAAAATTGGAATACTACTCCCAATGATACTACTCTCCCTATTTTCCAATCTTCTCAATCACCACCTCTCAACATACGGTCTCAAATCCAACTCAAACCCAAACGTCGTCCTGGGCTGCGTATGTAAATGCCAATACGAATCGGCAATCTATGCAACATCAGCATCTCACCCCCAAAACAAGCAACCAAACAGCGAAAGGAAAATGAGATAACTTACAGCCTCAGGATCTAACTTGGCATCCTCCTTCTCGAACACCCACCCCTTCGTCCTCGGGATATCAATAACCCCATCAATAATAACATGGGAGACATGAATGCCCTTAGGCCCGAACTCTCTCGCCAACGACTGCGCCAACGCCCTAAGCGCGAACTTGCCCGCAGCAAAGGAAGCGAATTGCGCCGAGCCCTTCACGCTGGCTGTAGCGCCGGTGAAAATGAGAGTAGGTGGGTATTTCAAACCTCCTTGCGACTCAGCCGGGAAAAGTGGGAGGACATTCTGTGCGAAGTTGAATGCTCCTTTCCTATATCACCACATTAGCATACCATACCCAGTTAAAAGATTAGAGAGGGGAATGAAGGTAGTAGCATCATACCCCTGCCCCTCAAACCCGGAACTAAACTCCGTCTCCGTTAACTCAAGAAACGGCTTCCTCACGAATCCACCGCCCGAGTTAAACACTGCGGCTGCTAGTGATGAACCCTGGAACTGCGATTTGATCTGCTCAAAGGCGGAGCGGACACCAGTCGAGTCGGATAAATCGGTGCTGATGCCGGTGGCTTGACCGCCGGAGGAGTTGATCTCGTCCACGACGGGCTGATAGTTTGCTGGGTTGCGGGCTAGGACTACGATGGGGTAGGATTTGGCGAAGCGGCGGGCGATGGAGGCGCCCTTCTCATTTATTAGTTGTTTGTTTGGGTTTTGTTTCAAGGGATGGATATGGTTGATATAGTATGGGAGTTGGTGGTGGGAAGGAGGGGGGAAGATGTACGTACAGTGCCTGGGCCGACGCCGGCGATGATAGCGAAGGGTTTGGAGGCCATTTTGATTATTGGAGAGTTTGCTTTGAAGCAAGAGAAGAACTAATTTTGGGATGTTTATGGAAAATGAGGGGTCGAAATGGGACTATATAGTAAATGAGGAGGTTTTCATGGCGTCATTCCAGTCGGGGTTCTTGTCATGCCGAGATTAGAAATCCGCGATGCGATCAGTAATCAAGGGATGGGGGTGTAGCCGTGGTTGGAATTGAAGTCTAGACTTTGGAATTAGGAAGTATATAGCTTGTAAGAGAAGAGAAGAGTGAAGTCAATTGCCTGATGGGGTATTAAGAGCTATTATAGCTATGTGGCATATGGTTAAAGTCTGACAGGTACAAGTAGCACATGGGGCAACTATACCCAAATTGGTCGCTACTGTTCGGATAGCTCTGTCTACAGATTGCTATCCTTTCCCCCCTCAAACAGTCATGGCAAGCAGTTTACCACTCTCAATATATGATGTATATCATTATCATCCATGTTTTATTTTGTATTACATCTCGCAAGACCAGGTACACATAGTTTATCAGCGTGAATGAGATAGCAACGCTAACCCCAGTTTGTCGATGGGGGAACATCACGTGTCTGTATATAGAGTGACTGCGATGTATACAACAAGTTCTTATTGTTTGAGAAATTTTACACATTCTCATAAAGTGTCTCATTGCAAGCCAGTGGATAATAGAGCCAAAAATTATCCCAACATATCCCGCCATGTCAGTGGTTGAGCCTTTGTGACCTTGCTGTCTCGGATCGTGCAGCATCGACTGTCTATACTGCCGAGCGTTCAATATGGATACCGACAAAGCAGCAGAAACAACGCGTCTTCACGAGGAAAACGAAGATCCAGCTGTCAAAGACGTCATCCGCGTCGCCTCATATCATCGACTCGACTACGATCTAGCAGTCATCAGAACTTTCCCTAGACCCCACCACCTCATACGTGACTTGCTGACCCCCAAAACCCTTATCATCGACCTGAATTCAAGACTGGGTGTCCTGGATGTCTTCCCACTAGAATTCATCCACGAAATATGTCTCATGCTTGATGTCCAATCCTTGTTCCGCTTCCACCGAGTCAACCGTCGTGCTCGACAAATAGCTAGCGCCAGTGGATACTACAAAGCAGTAGTCAAACATGCCATCGGGGCTCTGTTCGTTATCCTAAGAACAGGCATGGCATCTTGGTACAAATTATCGGACCTATATGACGTCCTCTGCACAAAGAACTGTGCAATCTGCAACGACTTTGGCGGCTTTATCTTCCTTCCATCGTTCATGAGATGTTGTTTCTTCTGCATTGAGGACGACGAACTTCCTCCCGTTCTGCCTGCTTCTCAAGTCAGACCATACCTGAACCGGCGTTCAGCCCCTCCTCTCTCCAGTCGGATCCCTATGATAAAGACGCTGCCTGGAATATACTCGTTGGATGAATCAAAGCGAACCAGAAGATTCGAACTTGTACTGGAACAATCAGCCATCTCGCTCTTCTCGTCTGACCGGGTTCCAACTTTCCCGAAGAAGTACTCTAGGGACACAGAGCTACAGCGTTACATGGTCAGTACGGCCCTACCTTACCTCGACAATAAGAACGATGTCATCGAGAAGGGTGTCTCCTGCAGTGGCTGCCAGATTTCTCTGGAGAAGGCCTTGCAATCGTCAGGGGCCGAATATGATGTCTGGGATGACCGAGATAAAATTTATTCGCATGATCAATTCATGGAACATTTTGAGACTTGTCCAGAGGCTCGCAAGCTTTGGGAACTAAGCGAAGGGGGCACAATCGAGCCTGATATCCCGGCGTTTGTTAAGAATGGAGGCTGCGCTAAGAAGAGGGAGCTAAAAAATGTCTTTTATCATTGAATAGCATGTACAGGGGATTGGTTGTTGGATGATGTGGGGTTTTGAGAATTTCTGAGGCAATATTCAGGGAAGTAATGGAATCCAGGATAGTAATGCAATTGAAATAATTCTCCTTCAGTATGATACCGACCAGACATGTATGATAGGCGCACATGCAGATGATCATAGCGCACATTTCCAATAGGAGACTCCCCACCCCCGCTTCTCTCACTGCAAAGTATTGACCCAGTGCTTAGTCCATACTCGAGATGCTAGTCAAGTCTTCCCATTAGAGATAGTTTCTCTTGAAGATTACCTCTTTCCATGAAGACAACTGACTTTCTGGAATCCCACCCACCACTATCTCCTACAAAGCCTCTTCCGCACTAACTCAATGAGCCCAACCCATCCCTGCCCTATGATACTCTCAATGGATGTCTCCAGTATGGATGACAGCGACTACCGAATATTAATACAAAACCGGGTCAGATACTTGACAATTCGTCCCGGTACATTCGACCGCGCAACCCTTTCCATGCCTCTCAGTTCATTGCCTGACCTTCCGAAAGACTGCACCTGGAATTCTGCGCATCTCAGCCGAGATAAATCCAGCGGTGAACTCGTGGTAGAACTACAGAAACGAGACCTTGTTGGCATAGCGGATGTCTGGCATCCTTCGCAGGTTGACTGTCTCAAGCTTAGACGGACAAGGCAGCTTACAGCTACTACATTCGAAGCAACTTACTGCGGTAGTGAGCCGATAAGCTCTCCTCCTCTGAACGAGGACACTACAGTAATTGCCAAAGTTGCCCGGTTTGAGTGGGAAATACCTCGTTTATCCCAAGAGACTTCCATATACAAACAGCTACAGGACACCGGTCTTGCTCCACGCTTTCTTGGCCATGTCCATGAGCACGGGCGTGTGATTGGCTTCATACTCGAAAGGCTCAAAGGGCGTGAAGCGGGCATCAAAGATCTTCCGCTATGTCAATCCGTGCTCAAACGCCTGCACGATATCGGTATCCTTCATGGCGATGTCAACCGATATAACTTTATCGTTCGAGGTGATGCAGTTCGCTTGATTGACTTTGAGAGAAGTCAGCAATCCAAGGGCGCGACTACGCTGATGCATGCTGAAATGGAGAGTTTATGTGAACAACTATTGGAGGATACAGGACGCGGTGCAGGTTTCACTCGGTCGAATCAGCAGATTGAGTAACAGGGTATTGTGTTCCATCTCAGTGCGATGCAAATGGATTTTTCTCAGACAATTGCTTGAGACCCTCTGGTAGCGGCATGTTGATGGATGAATAGAAATTGTTCCTGCTGGAGATGAATCTCTAGATGGGCAAAGTACTCGCTCTAGGTTTCAAAAGTGACACAACAGTCAGTGCAGGGATATGCTAGTACTAACTTGGTCAATCAACCTTTCATCCCACATTTTCCATCGCTCCTCTAGAACCAGTAGGAAACACCTTCATCATAACATCTCTTTATCTACAGGCAACCCGTTTACTTGGTTATCCCGTTTCGACGGTATTCATCCAATCCAGCGGGCAATAATGTAAGGGATATATGGCACCCGTATTGGAGCAGCAGGCAGCAGATAAGAAGATACACTAGGAACTTCCATTTAGAACCAGCCCGTGCATCCAGGAGATCCACTACGAGGGAACCCGAACAACGAGTGTGATCAAAAGCCCGGGTGGCCCTCTTCGGATATGTGACGCTCACAACGTATTTGCTAGTACTCTCACTGAGAACACGTTAGTCCCTCGATAGGATTTCATGAATAGTATCCCAAACATCGCCTTCGAAATAAGACTTGTTCCTATCTCTTTGGGAAGAATCAGGGCTTGGTTGGATGCCTAGCCACATGAAAACTATTTGAGGGGTCATCGAAAGTATGATTGATACCTGTATTTCAATATGAGCTTGTGGAGGTAGTTGATATTCTGTAAAGACTAGACATAAGATAAATTATATTACTAAGGCTCAACCCCCACCATCTTCATGTCACTTATGACCTCGACACCTAAAACGGAGTCATCTTTTTCTGCCCCAGGCACCAACACCTCAAAGCTCCCTTATCGATAAGCCAATCTCCGATACGAAAATCCATCCATGCTATCATTTTTTCTCCGCATGCGACAGACAACATCCACCTCTTCCTCCTCAATAAATAACCCAAACCCCTCCACCACACCTCAACCTAATACTTTAGTCTCTCATACCACAGAAGAAAGAAGAGCAATGTCCACCTCCACCCCCGACTCCCCCCTCTCCGACCTCTGCTCAATCTGGTCCGTCCAACATCCTCCCATCTCATCCCAAACCATTCTCCCAATCCACACCAACTAACCACAAACCTCTTGTTGTCAAAAAATAACAGCCACCTACAACCCCCCAAATACCGCTGTCCGCGCTGCTCGACCCGCACATGCTCCCTCCCCTGCACGCGGCGCCACAAACTCTGGTCCCAATGCTCCGGGGTCCGGGACCCAGCTGCCTACCTACGACGATCTGAACTAGCAACGGAATCCGCCTTTGACCGGGACTTTAACTTCATTACGGGGATTGAGCGCTCGATTGAGCGGGCGGGACGGGACGCCGAGAATAGGGGGATTGATGTTGCTTCGGAGGTAAGGGATTTGGAGGCGGTGGGGTTGGATAGTGAGGATACGGAGGGGGTTGCCGCTATGGGGAAGAAGGGTGGTGCTGGTGCTGGGGGGAAGAGAAAGAGGGGAGATGGTGGTGCAGGTGGTGGGACGAGGGCTGAGATGGAGTTTTTGAGACGCGCGGAGGAGAGAGGGGTTAAGGTTGTTAGAGCGCCGAAGGGGATGAGTAGGAATAAGGGGAATGGGAGTCGGTGGTTGGGAAGGTATGTGTATCTCTATTTCTTTGCTTGATTTGGGGTGATTGTTTGGTGGGGTTGGGATGAACGCTAACTGGGTGGTATGTAGGAATCAGTGTTTGGTTTGGACGGTCGAGTGGATTCTGAGTGATGGGGAGAAGAGGATGAGAAATTGTTCGGAGACGGCTCCTGTTGCGGATTCTTATGACCGCGTGGTTCCTGTTCCCAAGGAGGAGGGGAGTGATGAGCAGGGTCAGAAACAGACTGGGGATGAGAAGCCGGAGGGGACGTCCGAGTTGAAGACGGAGGAGCAACAACCACAGGATGCTCCCTCGACTACAGCCCCCGAGCCAGCCTCGACTACAGAACCTACACAGCCGACAGACGCACCAACTGCTCAACCGGAAGCTTCAAATGCGACACCAATTACATCGGACTCGCTACCACTTACCCCCCACCGTGACCTCTACTTCTATCTTCATCGTCCGCGGACAGCTACGAAACAGCCTGTTCTGGCCCCCCTGCCCCCAAAGATCTCACTTGCTGCTGCTCTACGTGATCACATAGTCTTGGAGTTCCCTACTATCTACGTACTGCCGGACTCACCTGATACTATACGAGCCCAGGAAGATGCCAAGTACATCCTAGAGGAAGAGTACCTACGCACGCATCAGTCGCCGGAGGAGAGCAGCGATGATACGGGGGATGCAGACGACGCTCAATTGCCTCCGGGTGCCATTGACCTCCGAGGCGTCGACGAGTCCAAGGTTCTGGAAGTCCTCCAGAAGGATCTGTTCGAGCCTTCGGCAGCAGCGTAGGGCCATCTAGACTTGGCTGGAGCATCATGACAGAGAAGGAGGAGGGGATCATTCACTTGTACCTAATACTTGTTCATATCATAGCGACAACTGGAGAGCCGGGTGGAACCGTGCTTTACTTTGGCATCTGTACTAGGAAGAATCATCTATGATCGGCTGATGCACTTCAAGGCAGTCTGAAGCGGCGAAGTCAGCGAACTCGATGCGCATACGTAGTTACTCGAAGTCCCGACCCGTTCGTCCCGGATCGAGCTATGCTTGGTCAATAATCACTGGTTAATTGTGCACTCAAAATCCCAAGTATGTACGCTAAATCCAATATCCAAACATGGGGTATCACATGAACCAAAATCAAACTTAGGACGCCATTTATGCTTTGTCGGGTATCAACGTCCGTGACGGCTTTAGATAGCCAGGATATGACAGATTGTCGATATATGTCAAACGCTCACTTTTGGCGAGCAACTGTCGTCTCTGCCTTTCAGGATATTTCATCGGAGGTTCCAGCAGGCTCCGCAGCCTCGATCAATCGATGGCGCGACATAAGCCTGGCGCGGAACGGCGTTCCAAGAATACCCGAGCGTCTGCTATGCAGCGGCAAGGCGGTTTAGACGACGTGACTGACGTATCGACGTATTGAGAGATATCACAACTGCAGTGTGTATCCCATGGGGCTCAAGTCAGCGGACTCGAAGCATCAGACGCGGTGTCTGGAAGCTCGTGATCTCCGATTTTCTCGGCATGATCAGAGGAAATAGATAATACTTCAGTAGGAATCGTATTCGGCAGAGTTGGTTCATCCTCAGGTGCAGCCTTGCTGTTGCGAGAGCCAGCTTTCGACTCGGCGGCTCTAGACTCAGTGGGCGACAAATTCGTCCGCTCCGATCTGTTGGATCGAAGTCGGATTCGGCCTTTCTCCAAGGCTCGAAGCAATGTGCCAACTTCGTCCGATACGATCCCACGAAGCTTGCTCATTGTGTCGTCTGACACATCAGAGTAGGCATTCCAGCCAAGCTTATCAGACTCTTCAGAGGTCAAAGACTTAGACTCCACAGAGGGTCCAGTGATGAGCCTTTTCAGCGTCGTAGGTGACACGGTTGGCCGGCGTGCCATTTTGACCGGCTTCTCCTTGCTCGAAGTAGCCGAAATAGCCTCTTCCTGCTGGCGTTTAGGTGGGCGAGTAATAGAAGCATTCGGGCCTTCGCCCACTTCGTTTCGAATCTTATAATATACCAACCCCAAGGTCGCGGCCAGCGCCTGGTGTGCGGCCTCGGGGTATAGGCGTACGGCTTCTGCGCGACTTAGGTTGGACGGATAATCACTGGAATCACTGGAATCGCTATCACTGGCAAAGAGCGTCTGCTCTTGATGCATGCGGCCCCAATACTCGTATCCTCCGAGCTGATAGAACTCGGCCAGTTGCGCCAATCGATTGACTGATTGATGTTAGATGCTTCTTGTTGTGAGGCACATGCTTTCTGCACTTACTCCTGCTTCGCTTCTTCAAACACCAGAACCTCCAAACAGTGCGAGGGAAGTATTCGGGCCATTGCAAGGACCCGTCTTCCTCGACTACAGGAACAGGCGTGATCGGGGCGTGTGTCGTGTGGGCCAACGAGTTGAAACGGACTCGTTCAGAATGCTTCATCCGAGCTTCGATGAGAGAGAATCGATTGAACACAGAAGTCAAATGCCGCGATGTCTCATGTTGCAGGGTAATCAGATCAGTTCGAAGTTGGCTGATGGTCGCATGTAGTTTGCTGATCTCCACGCGGCATCCGCATACGTCAGTCTGCAGGTGCTCAACATCTGACTGGATCTGTTCCACGTTCTTCGACAAGCGGTCGACATCACTGCGAAGGAAGACGGTCTCATTGCCGCTTTGGCCGATACTGGACTTGAGTTGGGATATCCCTGACTTTAACTGGTCGACGTCTGTCTTCAACGCCACGACATTGAGATCGATTCGGCTGGAAATTGACCGGTGTGCTTCGAATTCGCGGCGAATGTGTTCGTCTTCGCGGTTTCGTCGGTCAACGTAGCCATCTTTAGTCAGAACGCTGGAGCGTAGCTCGAGTAGGCGGGAGTCCAGAAAAGTCAGGCGGTCATGGATGTGTGATAGGGACGGATCTGCTAAGGCTGGAGGCGTGTTTTCGTGGATGAGAGATAATCGGGGGCTTGAGACAGGGATGGACATGCTCGACGTGCGAGAGAGGCTGCGTTCGAGTGTTGTGGTCATGATGGGCGAAAGGGGGGAGACGGAGAAATGGTATAACTGCGTGGGTTGATATACAAAAGCACGCATAGAACGCTTTAGGCGGGTATCAGCAACATTTTGCCTGAGTTTTGAGATGACAGCGAGATGGTTGTGGTGGAGTTCGATGACGGTTGTTGGCGGTTGAAAAGCGATGGCTGGGGCGTTGCAAGAGGGAAAAGAGACGAGCGACCGACGAGAGAGAAGGGGTTCCAGGCAGATCCCGCCCCTCGCTGGCTGCCTTCCTTCGTGGCACCCGCTTCACCCAACCGAATTCATCCCAGCGCCTGACCATTAACACCTACAGTTGCACACATGGGAATTGCCATCGTAGCAGCGCTTCTATTATTGTATTTCTCAATCTAAACAGGTATACTTATGGCATACTTTTCTATTCCGTTGTATCTCCCTCATAGTATGGTTAATCGCTGAGGATGTTATCGCGAGCCAGTCATGACAATACATGGTACACTCCATGACAATACGGATCACAACATATCGGCGGCTTGGCAGACACACTGCATTCAGCTGACCCAAATTAACCAATCACCATTGTTCCTACTCATCTCGCCACCCGAATTGGAGAGTTGCATCACCCGTTGATTGGACAAGATGAATAACTACGGGCAGGGCTTCAGCGTCATGGTCGTCAGCTTCGTATCAATGACCGTATTGGTCATATTGTATACGCGATGAAAACGGTTGCTCCCAAGGCCTCATTTCCTCAACCAGACGGGCGGGGCTCGCTTATCATAGATTGAGTGCATCGCTGACTTCAGATTCGGCAGTAATACAGAACATTCGAGCAGCAATCTCAGATATATCGAGCTCAGCCGATGCTCCTCCGGGGAAAATGCCATCAGGAATGAGGCATCTTGCCCAGATAAAGCGTCTCAGGAGTATAAAGAGAGATACTAATCAGCGCCATTGTCCTCATAAGTGCTAATGAGGGAGTCCTATACTGATGGATGTCTGGATTTGCTTCGTCGCAAGAAGGAAATGTGCACGTCGCTAACCAAAGAACGTCTGTAGTTTCTCCTCCCTCATCACATCCAACCAACTAACCGGGGAGCAAGCCCAGTGCTTCTTGAACTTATACTATCCGCGCGCATCCATACTCCTTCACACTAAACTCCTCGCATGGTCCACCGATTCAAGACCAAGTAGCCGCGGTCGACGACGGAATAAGGGCCGAAAGCCAATGCCGCGAGTCGCCGCCAGTGGGCCGCATGACAGCGCCATAGAGTGAAGTGCAAACAGCGAAGAGCATGACTTCTAGAGCGAGGGCCCGAGAAAAGGCGAGATAAGCTAACTTGGACAGAGAATAATGGCACCTTTGTAAGCCGAAGTCATTGGCAAACAGGTCCATTATCTCCATCTCAGTGGGCTATAGTGGAACAAACTCCAGTATACATTGGAGTTCTTGCGGAGTTCTAAGCGGCAGCGCTTAACCCGTTTCGTTTAAGATAATTATATTATAATTATAATAGGGATCTTCTGAGATAGTATAATTATAATATAATTATACACGAGATCGTTAGCGGTCGCACTTAAGGAGGTTGCAATGAGAATTCATTCCGTTTCCCTCTTCCTCAATGACCATCCATCAAATCAAGACTGGCCCTTCAATTAACAATAATATACCGCATCGCCTACTATTTAATACATCTTTGCATCCTTAATCACGGAGTCACAATGCCAGCGTCTGACAAAAAGAAAAGGGCTCTTAAGATTGCCTTTCTGACGCTCCTGTGGGTTCACTTTGCCGGAAAATTAGACGAAATAAGTGGAGAGGCGGACGATTCAGATGCAGACGAAGATGAAACAATCGCTCTGACCGATGCAAGCGACGAGATGATGATCAAGGCCATGGAGGCTGCGACGCGATTACTGGATGAATGAATAACACTTGGATTAGGGACATAGGGACTGGTTTGCTGAAGATACTGTCGCCTATACCAGGTAAGAGGTTGTGAATATAGTCCGAATTATTTCAACGCGCGTCTCGCGACGCGACGCTGACAATTCCGCTCATTGACACGAACAATAGGTTTCCCGTTACGAATTCAATGAGATCGGACCATTATGATTTAGACCATTCGAGTATACTGAGAGGCTTTATGAAGCTTGGACCTTGTGGGCATTGGTTGGTTGTTAGGGGGCGGCAATTGTGGATGGTTCGCGATGACTGCAGACAGTGTGTGTTTAGCAGAGTTCCAATTAATGAGCAACGAATGGAAATCGGCTGATCGCCTGGTTATATGGCTACCCATGCCACAAACATCCTCTACCCCAGATAATAAACCCACAATTGACCAACAAGAAGAATCCTCAAGCAAGATTTCCGGTCGACCTCGCGGTTTATGATCCCCATGTTCCCACCGACCTCCCCAGGATGAGGGTTGTGCGTGCAAACGGTGGTGTGGCAGAAAGTGATTGCGGGGGGGACGCATCTCCATACAAAGTGGGCCACTTTGTATACTTCTCGTTCCCAGCAGCATAGTTCCCTCCACAAATGAACCCATCAAGGATCAACTCACTCCCAAGGGTGTGGTAAAATACCATACTACATCTATTTCATTATCCAGACCCAACAACTCTCAATTTGATGGAAGTGACTGCCATGACGCACCTTCCATGTCAACATATCCTATCATCAAATCACCAACATCATCATTCTCTCAACCATCCTCATCATACAACTACTACCACTATCCCTAACAACCCCCTCCTACATATATCCTCACACCTATTCCTACTATTCATACCACCACTTCTCAAAATGAAACTCCTTCTCACCACTCTCATCCTCCCATCCCTCCTCTCCACCCACTTGCTCTTCGCAACCGCAATATCCATACCATCACCCCAAGAAACCCACCCCGACGCCAACTGCGACTGCTACATCACTTCCAGCTTCACCTCCAACTCCAACCTTACAGCCCCAACGTACTTCACGCACTACAAATTCTGGGACTTCCGCAACGCACCCCTTCCCCAAAGCGGCCCCGAAACAACCCAAACCAACCCGTCCAACCCGCACGACACCTCCACGTTGGAAATCTACCCCCTAACCAAAACCCTCTTCTCGCACGACTGGCGCGCCCAAACCTGGGACCGCGAAGCAACAGACATCAGCCCTGTGCCGATGAAAAACACCGACGGGAATGTCTTCCTGCTCAAGCACCCATCCAGCACACCCAGGGACCCTCGCTCATCATTCCTAGTGCTCCGCACCACTCGATTCCAGGACCACGCATCAACAGCCGAAATGGAAGGTCTATTCGGACACATATACCACTGTTCGCTACGACTACGAATGAGACTGATGTCTCGAGACGATATCGTAACGACAGCAGCATCCACACACCCTAATAACCAACCAGGTTCGCAACCCGGATCACAATCCAAAATCCCCCAAGGCAGCTGCGCCGGCATTTTCACCTACCGGTCGTCGATCTGCGAATCCGACATCGAAATACTGACCACCGAAGACAGCCACACAGTCCATTACGCCAATCAACCAGACTACGATCCTATCTCGGATACCTTGATCCCAGGGGCAAGTTCGATCGTGAATCTGACCAAGCCGTGGACGTCGTGGACGACGCATCGACTGGACTGGGTGGCTGATATGTCGGCCTGGTATGCGGATGGGCAGTTACAGAGTAAGAGTAACTATTCGGTGCCGGATCGGCCGAGTATCGTGGCGATGAATCTGTGGAGTAATGGGGGCAACTGGTCAGGGGATATGAAGGTCGGAGAGAGTGTGTTCATGGGGATTGAGTGGATTGAGTTGGTGTATAATGTTACTAAGGCTGATCAGGATCTTCCTATTAAAGATCATCCGGGGCATCGGGATCGGTATCATCGGGTTGGAGGGCTTGGTTCTGCTTCTGCTTCTTTTTCTTCTTCGGCTTCTTCTGTGGGTGGGGATTTGGTGGATGAGGAAGATGTCGAGCGGCAGATGGGGAAGGCTAAGGAGAAGAGCGATGGGTGTCAGAGACCGTGCTGGATTGATCCGTGGCATCCTGTGTAGGGGTTGTTGTGTCGTGTTGTGTTGAGTTGTGTTTCTATTCTTTATTCAGTGTCATAGATTCCTATCCTAATTCTACACCTGGAATCTTGCGTCATTCACAGATCGATCGTAGCTGCGTATGTAGCTAAAATGTTTCTTGAGTATGTACCTTCGTAAGTACAAATGGTCGAACCGAAGGGGCTGTACAGTAAATTGGAGGCATGACTGAATACATAACCATCCGCTGTTCCTCTCAGTCTTCAAATCTCATGCGCCGTGCTTGATGCCCAATGCCTATGCCAAACGTCCAATCCCAAGACAAATCCCAAAACACGCACCAAAACAAAGCCGAAAACATGCATGCCAGGAGCTGTGGCTCGACTGACGGGGTATCCATACAAGACAATGCGAAACGCTTATAAGCAAACCCAAAAAAAAAAAAATGCAAACGATGCCCTTTCCTCCTCTTCCTTCTTGCCTAGAAACCTGGACCTGTTTGTGGTTAGAACGCCCAAGCCAACAAGCAGAGACCAAACACCAACGTCCAGGAAACAAAACAAGCGCAAAGTGAGTACTTGCAGAGCAAGCACCGAAACATGTAGATACAAGATCAAGGAAAGAGGAAACAAAGAAACTGACGCTTCGTACCTTTGCCATGAAATTCCCTCCTCTTGTCGCTTTTTCTTTTCTTTTTCTTCTTTGTTTTGGTCCTCTCCCCAAGAGGGAGGGGAGGGCCGCCGTCCCCGTCCCCGATCATAGCAAGACATGGTCTTGCTGGGCGGGGTCAAATTCCCCCTCCAGGCCGCCGGCCATCAGCTCGGCCACTATCTTACGGCGCAAGAGCGGTGTGTCTTGCGCGCCGTAAGACAGTGGCTCGAGGCCGATGGCCACAGCCTTGGCCGTGGTGAGGAGGAAGACCCCGCAATCTGAACCATTGTCTTGCTGGGGGGACAGGGACGGCAACACGCGCCACTCCTCCTCGACGTACTTGGGGCCCAGCTCGCCGCGGAGCCAAGTTTGGACTACCGCGATGTGGCGGCGAGACCGGGCCCCAAGAGAATCGAAATGCTCGATTGAGCGTTCCCCCGGTCGCACAACAACCAGCGTCCAGTGCTGGCTGTTGTGGACCGGGATATAGACGGTGTCTACGTCGAGGAGGAGTGAGCCGCCGATCTTGGCCCGTTTGGCCCACCGGGCCACGGACTCGTAGCCTTTGTCTCTGAGATTCGAAAAGAAAAACGAATTGAAGGCATGGAATCGGGGCTTGTCGTTGCGGCCGGCGTTGTGGTTCTTGCGTCGGAGGTAATCAACGATGAGGGCAAGGTATCCGTTGATCACCTCGTCGTTAAGCCACTCGCCGCGCGTGTAACAGGTGGCGAGGCTCCTCTTCGTTAGAGGGTCACCGGAGAGGGTGGTCGCGACGGTTTTTCCTCCGGATACGCGCCCATCTTGAAGTTTTTTTTTATTTGAGCTTCCCATTCGGGAGAGAGAGGCCGTACAGCTGGACCATCCGGTTTAATACGTGATGGGAGCGCTTTCTGCCTCTCTTCTTCTTGGATCTGTCTCCAACGGTCGGCGTACACAGACTCGGTTCTGCCCTCTGGAATGGGTTTTGGCTCGGGATAAAATAGACTGACAGCTGATACTGCTCGACCCAGCGGGAACTCAAAGGTTGGTTGGGACCAGGGGTCAACGATGGGCTCATTCTCTTCCTCGTTCTCCAGGGCTGGCGGCACGTTTTCCTTTTCTGTGTACTCGGCTTTCGTGCCAACACTGGTTTCGGTAGTTCTCTCATTGACATCAAGCGTATCTCCGAGATGGGGTGCCAGGTTGTCCTCCACCTCACCCCAATCTCGCGTGTCGTCAATGAACTCGGCTACCACAGGCTCGCGGAAGCGAACCCTGCGCGGAGTGGCGCGGCGAGATCTAGTTCTATTCCCAGAAATGCTGGGCCTTCCTCTTATCTTGAGAATTGTCTTGGGTGCAACAGTGATTGATGATGAGAGAACCTTTTCAGTTGCACCCAGTTGATCAACTGCAGTAAACGAGCGAGACTGAACATTCGCCAACATGTTCAAGTCTTGAGCTCTGTCTAGTTCATAGCTGCTTCTCATCAAGTTTAGTTCAACCGGACGGCGACCTGCGGCGGAGGCTTGACGGTCACGCGCGGCCTGAGCCTCCATAGCTTTCTTCATGCCGGCGATGTCCCCAACGAAGAGGGCTCTGAACGCAGCAGATCGCTCACGGTTCTCGGCGCGCTCAGCACGCGTAATGTGCTTTTGCTTGCGAATACCCGGGCTTCCTTGCCGACGGAGAGGCTTTTGGGCTGTGTCTTGAGTTGAACGTTGAGCTGAACGCTGAGCCGAGCGTGGAGGGGATCTCCGAGCTGGCTGTTTCACTGGCGGCATCCCAGGGTGTTTGCGAGTTCCCACATTCTTTGGCTCATGAGCACGTCGCTGAACAGATACAGAGTCACTGAGTGCCTGGGGCATCTGCTCCTGAGACACAAGGTCCTGCAAAATCTGAGAAGACTCGACTGTAGGAGCCGTGTTGTTGTTATGGGAGAAATTAGGAACGTTGGAGAAGTCGGGGAAAGATTTGTCGGTACGGGGGCTGGATTGTCCGCTTCGGATTCTCCTATCACGATCCACACGCTCCTGCTGTTCCGGAGAAAGGTTGCGAAGGTTGAGGCGCGTGGGCGATCCAGGAGGCGAAGGAAGACGACGTCCACCGCGGCGATTCCAAAGTGCGCACACGCGTCGCCTAGCAGCACCAACCGCATTCGCAGCGGACCTTGCCGCATAGGAAAAGTTCTGAGTAATTCCAGTGGGAATGGAGACAACTGTCTGCAAGTAGCTATGCCACGTCCCCCAGTAAGCATACCAAGGTGAGGAAGGCTGTGGTTCGGCGTCCGAATTCACGGGAATAGTCGGCTCTCCAGCGTCGGCCATGTCCGTATTGTTGGATAGGATCTCTTCATCGGAAATCATAGGGCTATCTTCGATATCGGTGGCGGCATCGGTGGACCAGTGAGACGGCACTGATTCGGGCCACGCTCCAGGCATCATATGGTTCTCTGGAGTGCTAGGGGTGGTCGAGACCGCAAGAGCGGTGACAGGCTTGACTTTGGAAGCGTCCAGTCGACGCGACTTAGGAGAGGTTTCAGGAAGAGCGAGATGAGATTCAACTGCCGCAAGGGCTGTAACCATGTTTGGTTCGTTGTTGTGTTCAGGAGTGTCGATGTCCATGGGGGAACCAGGGTACCAATCATCTTCGTTGGCAGTGGCCTCAAGTTCAGTAGCAGCACTGCGTGCAAAGCTACCAGCCCTCACACGACGGAATTTAGCAGAAGGTGAAGTGATGGGTTGAGCTTGCTCATAGCCATCACCTTCCATTGATCTCTTGCGAGAAGGCGTAGTAAAGCCAGAATGTTTATTGACATTCATATGAAAAGTTTTCTTGTCTATACCAATAGACTTGCCTCCAAGAAGGTAACCGGTTTCATTTGACCTGTCTGGACCAAAAGGGAGGCTGAGAGGTTTGTTATTCGACCAGGAGACGTGGTTCAGGCCGGCAGATAGATATTTGCTGGTACCCAGATGGCTTAAAAGATGAGATGAATGCGCATTACGACCGCTCTTCTGGAGGGCATCAACGCCGAGGAATGAGGCCGCGCGACTATTCGGGGAGAAACGATGATCGGGTCTGATGAGCGGGGTGCGGAGGGGGAAGGAGGGCTTGACTTCATGTTTTCCATTGAGTCTCACAGCCTTTGGATTGCCGGGAACATGCACGGATCGGAGCTGATACTTTGGAATCTCTGCGGAGGGGGCTTTGGCAGTTTCCTGAGGGATGTTAGATGCGGGGGAATCGGGAGCACAATCCATGGGGTCATGGGCGGTATTATCGACGGCCTCCTCGTGGGGCGCCGAATCTGAGGGCATATAGCATACGTCAGGCATTGGGTGGTCCTCCACGCTGGGTCTCATAGTCGAGAAAACCCCAGACATGGTGAGAAGTAATCTAGAAACAAGTTCTTTGGGTGAAAGAAGTGGTGAAAGAAGCGGTACGAGTTCGATCGCGAGGAATGGAAAGTTGCTGTATTCGCTAAGCTCGTAAACGCGTCTGAAGGTAATGGGAAGATGGGTGATAGGAGAGAAGGGAAAGAAGAAGAAGAAGAAGAAGAAGAGAAGGAAGAGCAGGGTGAAGAAGAAAACAAGAGCGGCGCCGGGGTGAGCGAAAGGGAAGGAAGAACCAAAACAAATGTATTCACTGAGGGCAGCCATGGGCGACTGCCATAGTGATGGTGGAAGTCGCGCGCGTCGCCGCAGTGAATTGGAGCTCCATAGGAACGCGCGGGGGGAGCGCGGGGTGGGCGAGGGGCGAGGAAGGCGCAAAGACGGAGGGGAGGCGATGAAGCCGCGAGAAGTTGAGGAAGAGACGAAGCAAGTAATGGAGCAGCAGCAGATCAGTTCAACTTCCGAGGGAGCTTGGCGGCCACTTTTCCTCATCCAGCATGTCACGTGGTGTGTGCCGGCTGGCGGATGGACTATGCATTTGCTGTTCACTTTCTGCGGGTATTCCCACCAAACAGTGAACATGCGATCCATGGTTCCTCCTCAACTCGTCATATCTTCATTCTCTAGGACTCGGTATAGGATATCAGTACAGTGCTTAGACTATTGACTACTCTTCCTGTTCTGCCTATACACATATATCACACTATTCATCCACATCCACATCCACATCCATCGGCAACTTGGCTCAACTTCCACAATTAGCTACCAGTAGATCGCTACTAGTCCGTTCTCGTTCCTTATCAAGGATCAATAATAGCCAACTAGACTAAACCACCACCTTAAAATTTTAGACTCCCTACTAGAAATACTACTACTAGTATCAACTCTCATTCGCCTCCACTAATGGCTAAATATCCCACCTTTTAAGAACAAATAGAAAAGAGATCATCAACGGTGTATGTACAAGAACGGCAGCTATGTTATACACCAAGGACTTTGGTTAGTCCAGCCCGCTGAACCGTAGAGAATATAGCAAAAGGTTTACAGAATTCGAAATGGGTGATGGCCGTCGGACCCACCCAGCGACTACTAAGCTACTATGGCGCCAGCCCTATCCGATCGAAGAACCAAGGCGCTCCCTCCATCACAATCCAGGCAATGCCTAGTCAAACACAGTCAGCATCCGCAACTTTATAACTCGACGCACAGGGGTTGACCTACCGGAATATACAACAAGTTTCGTTACAACCTCTACATCATAGCGCACCCGGGGCTGTTTGATCTGCGAAAACACTTCCTTCTCGTCGGCTTCAATTTCCGACTCAAACGGAGGAAAGGGCACGGTCGAAGAAGCTTCTTGTGAGCTAACATCGACAGAACTCGCCACAGCAGGGGCACCTGTGCCCATCATATTCTCATACTCGTGTAACTTAGACGGCTTTCGCGACAGTTTCCGTGGCTCGGACTCCGAAACCGGTCCACCTTCTTCCGGCACTGGAGATGCTTGGTTGGCTGTTGAAAGACTTTCCCGTCTCCGTTTCTCGCGATAGGCCAGTGTCTCATACGCATCAGCTTCTGACTGCGGACCGATCGAAATAGCGCGTCGTCGGGGATGCCGTATCGTGGTTATAATTGAAGGTATCTCCGAAAAGCCCGGCAGCACTTCGTGGTCCCGGAGCTGGGATGGGACTTTCGTGTATTGCCTGTTTTGCTCGTTACGTTAGCTGTGCTCTATTTTGGCAGACACTCTTCGTCTTCTTTTTCTGTTCAAGGGCGCGCAAGTAGACTTACGAGGCATTCCTAAAGAATCTCCGGGGAAGTATGAGGCCCAGCTTTTCCAGGCCCCGGAAGACGGGAGGCAAAGCCCGGAGCAAAAGAGGTTTGGTGACGGCTCGCCACGTGAAGAGCATAAGAACACCAATGACGAGGCGGAGAGACGTCTTGACCAGTCCTACTTGCCGAAATTCAAATGGAACAGTGGCCGGCACAGGTTCATCCCACACTAGGCTTAACCTGGCTATATGCCAATAAGCCACTTGTGCTCCAAGCATGACTCCTGCAAAGGCCACACTATCGTCGAAGCACGGGCAGTCATCGGCAGGCTCTGGGTGTATACGAACCAACCCCAAAATCAAGAGAATCACTAGTGTAGCCCCCCTTCCGGTAGCAGAAAGGACATACTCATCAATGGTCGGTCCAAGCGTATACTGTAGGAAGGCGAGGAGGAACCCGAGCAAACATCCAATGACAACATCGAAGAAGCCATGCATACCACAGTACAGACGACCCAGAACAATGGAACAGACGTAGAGGTATGTTATGGCTTGGAGAGCGATGTTTACCTGGGGGCTCAGGGTGGATTCGGAAGAGTTCAATAGTGCGAGAGCGTACGCCGCGACCGAGACCGCATTGGTGGAATGAGTCGAAGGAAATCCGTATTCCAACGCCGCAGAGCCGGACATCGTTATCCGTTGGAGAGGAGGGGATAGAGGTCGCGGTAGGCATAGCAAGTCCTTGATGAAACCACTGAAAAACACGCCGGAAGCCAAAAGATGCACCATTCTGAGAAAATGAGTCGTCAGCTCGATTGCAGGCCAGATAATAGTTTTCCCTCTGTTTAAGGGCTCGTCATGGGCACCTACCCGCGCCCCAAGCTCGTATACCCGCACCAAAACAAGATCGGCAGGAAAACCATGAAAAAGGTATGGGTGCCCAGGTTGGCCGTGAAGGCAAAGTAGGAGTCCAGGGCCGGAGTACGAACCCGCTCCTGGACCCAAGCCAGATACGGTGTCTCATACCGAATCAGCGGGAGGAGCTTCTGTCGTGGCCAGTAACGCCAATAAGGAAGCTGGTTTCGATCTGATACCAATTGACGAGCAGTCGCGGTTAGTCCTCTGAAGACAATTGCTATTCCACATCGGCACCACATACAATGATCGAGGCTTCTCAGCCCAGCGTCCGGCTGGCCATTCTTCCCATTGACCATGCTGTCGTAGTTGTTCAGGTCAAGGCAGCCGATTCAATTTAGCGTGATGGTATGTTTGCGACAACCAACCCCCCATAAGGTTCCCGACAGATAGCAGTCTCAACACCCACAACGGGCTGATAAGATCATTGAGCACTAGAGTGGTTGGAGAGGAAGCCCGTGCTGTTCGGGGGGCCACTTGCTATCAGGGGGAGAAAAGGAGAGCAGCAGATCGCGGTAGGCTAAGTCATGCTCATCCGGCGTTATCGCAGAAAAGGTCGTGTTCTTGGCGGTCGATGCGGCCGTGATTTGTTCAACCACTCAACCAACACTCGGTCCTTACGTTTCCCCCGGCTGAGCTAAGGTTTTAGTCACCCAAACACGGCAGCGAACATGATCACTCTCGAAAAATAAGGTGATCTATCTAGAATCGGATCTACTTACAGCCACCACGGGGCTGTCACTTTTGGAGCTGCGAGGTTAATTAGAATAGTCTGGTTACAGCATGAGAAAATCTGGTTTTGGTATGCTATTCTGTATAGTTTTCATGGTGGCTTAGGATTTGGCTCAGTCTTCTAGTAGCCGTTTTAAGTACTATCTAGTGGTTCGAATATATAAAATCTACTACTAGTAACGTCACGCTGCCTAAGTAAATTTGCAACCACTAGAAACTGAACCGCGTCGAGTCATCAGTACTACGAAGCATACTAATTATCTGTAAGGGAGCAGCTTTGCGATCAAAAACAATACTCCTTTGGCCGAAAATAGTAATGCAGAGTTTGCGTGCATGCGACGGATCCCAGGCGTTCCTGTCGGGACGGTGTTTCTAGTCGGTGCTTATGCACTCACTCGACCGCAGATCAATGCAGCAATATATATATAGTAGTAGTAAGTACTCCGTAGTTAAGTACTACTAAACAACTGCGCTGTGGTAAACTTCCGGACCAAATACGATTTCTTTGATTCATGATATATTCTTTCAAGTCTGTAGGATACTACTAGTAGAGACTAATAGCTAGGAAATGCTAGAGCATTGACAATTGACATCGTGTCCTAGTAACTACTACTACTACCCGGACTGACACGTCCCATCCGTAGTGTACGATATCTGCGACTCTGATCTAGACTTATGTTGTAGCCTAGCCCGTGCCCATAGTGTTGAGGGGCACTGCACTAGATTGTTGCCCCCTCCTCTTCAGCACAGCTTGGCATGGTCCTGAGCTAGACCGTTTGGACGTCTAAAAGTCTTTCCATGTGGCTCAGTATTGGTTTCCTTGTGTGCCAATGGAAAGCTGACAATGACAGCGACGCGTGGAATGAGTCCAGCCGGGATAGGAATTTGCAGGCATCGGTGGCGGAGGCTAGAAGGCCGTCAGAAATGGAGCTACTATGATGGCTATAATTTTGGCACCATAAGGAGTGAAATTCCTAGCAGATAGGTCGCAATGCGTTCAGCAGCACCTACGAGGAATTCGCTCCATCGAGCCGGAGACATGGAACAGCCTAGCCAACATGTCTGAGTAAACAGAGGAGTATCTAACTACGCAGTAATGGAAATACTAAACGGGTAGGAATAATTGACCACCAAACAATTGCCTGTAGTAGTGATTAACCTCGGCAGGAACAGGAATTAATCAGTTCCTCGGGGCCAAATTCAAGGCTGAACGTGACATCGGAAGATATTACGTCAACCGGGTCTTCTGTCGTTGCTACTCTGGATTGCTGGGTCAAAAGCTGTTTCAGGGACCTGGACCGTAGACGAAGACAGTGTAGCACGGGCCTGCAAGGGATCGCACCAGAAGGAAACCTTGATCAATGTTATCGATAATCGGGCCCAACCCTGCCACTAAAGCCCGAATGTGATTCGAGGATCGGGAACGATTCCAAGGAGGACGGCGATAGAGTGGTGGTAGCCCGGCTCGGGGGCCCGGCCATCGTCTAGGAATTCCTGGTGAGCAACTCCAGGTAAACAACCAAGGAACCGACTGAACATCGGCTGAATCTGCTAAAAATAACAAGAGCGGATGAGGCAGAAGACGAATGGAATCAATGGATATGCGTCCAGCTGAAGGTTGCGTGGAGTGACAAGCGGAGCTCGTGCGTCATTTGTCCCGCGGCGTTGCCATGGCAGCCCATCGGCCGGTAAACATCGGTCTTCGCGGTTTCATGTCAGCCACGACGGCCTCGTTGTTGGAGCAGCCGTGGGAGGAGGCTGGCTGGCTGGCTGGCTGGGCTCATCGTGGAGAAACTAGCAGGAGCATCTCGAGCCTGACATCCCTTTCTTCCCTTCAGAACCTCTTCGTGCTGGTTTCGCGTCTTGTTTTCCTAAATCCACCAACCTCCTCCCCCTCCTCACCTCCCAAATAACCACCCACCACCCCCCCCCCCTCCATTAACCTTTTGTACAGAAAGCCACTTTACTTCGACATTCCTAACAACGCAGGGGAATTGCTCAACACACACCGACCCAGAAAACTTTCCGCTGTGCTTTTGACAAGACAGTGGATCGTTGAGCAGCAATTATTACCGAGCCGCATTTCCTGACCGACAATTCCCACCCCTTCCGGAACGGCACTGTATACTCACATTCCTCGAAATTCTCCTACTCCGCCATCATGTCAGGTACAATGTACGACGAGCACGTTTATGCACCCTCACGGCGCCATTCAGTTGCTACTCCTCCCCCATCCATGACTCCACGACATAGTCGGACCCGCAGTCAAAGTGTCAGAGTTAGCAACGGCACCGTGAGCACAAATACAAGCGTTTCGAGTGGGAGGATGTCGGAAGCTACAAACATTACACATCCACCTGCGTATTCCAAGAAGTTTGTTGTGGTTGGTGATGGTGGATGTGGAAAGACGTGCCTTTTGATCAGTTATTCCCAAGGTTATTTCCCAGAGGTAGGTTCCAATCATGTCTGCGAACTTCCCGTATCGTTGCTAAACTAATCACTGTGTATTTAGAAATACGTTCCTACTGTGTTCGAGAACTACATCACACAAACCACGCACCGAGCCTCAGGCAAGACGGTTGAACTAGCCCTCTGGGATACTGCTGGACAGGAAGAATATGACCGGCTGCGTCCACTTTCATATCCGGAGACGGACCTGTTGTTTGTTTGCTTTGCGATAGATTGCCCTGCATCTCTGGAAAACGTTATGGACAAGGTAATTCCCAAATTCCCAGCCGTTCCGCGACCAGTTATAGTAGCTAATACCGGCCGCAGTGGTATCCCGAAGTTTTGCACTTTTGTCCCACTACCCCGCTCATTCTGGTTGGGCTGAAGTCAGATTTGCGCTCGAAGAGAACGTGTATTGAACTTCTAAAGACCCAGGGTCTAACGCCTGTGACGCCGGAACAAGGTGAGGCGGTGGCGCGCAGGATGAATGCCTCTTACATAGAGTGTAGTAGCAAAGAAATGCGCGGCGTCGATGGCGTCTTCTCCCTGGCAGTCGATACCGTTGTCTCCGCCGAGGAACAAGACTGGAATGACCGCCAAACGTCTACTACTCCCGGAAGCAAACCTAAAGTCGGTGGTGGTGGCGGAGGAAAGAAGGTCAAAAAGCGTTCCTGCAAGATTCTGTAGACTTGGGTCTCCTTTTTGATGTTTGTCTGGTCATGATCATCTGCCCCTTTTGGTTTCGCCTATTCTTCCTCTTGCGATGTCTGTTTTTCCGCCCTTCCTGTTGTACCGAATGAGAAGCCTGGCTGCTTCGACGGTTTCCCACGCTTTTTGTATGTGACATGACATGACATGACCAAGAGGCCGTGAAGATGAAACACACTGCCACGATGCACCTGTGTCTCCTACTATGCCCTCTACCTACCCTCTTCACCTGCTATACATGCCGGCGGCTTCTTGAATTTTTGCTCCCTCCATGTTGCTATACCTGTTCGACCCTGATTCCCGTTTCCCTCAATTACCATTACTCTTATCATCATATCCTTCCCCACCCCTTCGACTTGGCGATTGTTTTTCTCTCCCTGTGTCTGAATGCTTTATGTTGTCACGAATTTGGTCCGATGGCCGCTCTTTTGCCATGCATGGGATGGGTGTTTACTGGCGCAAGCGAAAATCCCGTGTACTTGAATTGTTGAACTTGTTTTGTTGTCAAACTCATAAACTCTGTTATTGCCCCCATATGGTATCCGTATTTCGATATTTCCGATAGCAACTAGAGTAAAGCAAAAATGGAAAAACGTAACAAAAATAGCTACTACAACAGTAAAAGCAGAAGTAAAAACAAAACAACTCCTCTACCATACGCCACCAATCAACCAATCGAATCCGTACCCACAATAACAACCCGAGCCTCAAAACTAAATCATAGACCCATCTATCCATCTTCACCGTTCACCGGTCCTCCTCCTGGAGCTGACTCTGCTCCTCATCCTGATGATGCCCACCCCCACTACCACTAGCACCAGCCTTCTGCTTCCCACCATCCCCAGCCTCATTCTCCTCCCCAGGCCGACCCATAAAGTTCTCGAACTGGGACCACAGCGCTTCCACAGAGCCAAACTCATTCCCAACCTGCAGATATAATATCAGCTTAGTACATAATAGGCGGGACCTGATCGGATCTGATCTGAGCTGATCGACATGCGCGGAATGGATCGGAGAAAGAATAAGTGGGGGGTGGGCGAGTGATTACCCGTCTGTTTGGGTCATGCACTTACGGAAATGATGCTCTCTAGGTTCCGGTTCAGCCGGTTGATGTTTTGAAGGACTTGTTCCATGCCCTGGAAGTTTGATTATTGATTAGATGGGAATTGGGAAGTAGGTTGCAAGGAGTGCATAGTATAGATAATAGGGAGGTAGGGAAATACTCACCACTGCGATCTCCCTAACCAATTCTGCCCGCTGCTGCTCGAAGACTGTTGGGCTGGAGGATCTGTTTCTGGGAATTGGTGTTGTTGACATTGTCGATGGGTGTATGTGGGCGTGTAGTTTAGGTTCTGGATTGGGTGGAAGGAATCAGTGACAAGAGAGAGAAGATATTGGTAAGTGTTGCTAAAAGGCTTAGCGTCTGATGACTTTAGTCTTTCTCGTCCTTGTATGATATTGCTTGATAGCACGCGTGTTGATTGCTTTCGATTGTGATTGTCGGTTGTGGCTCGAGGCGGGGCGGTTCCTGTCTGGAATTGCCTGATTCGGTTTGGTCTGGTCTATTTTGCCCGCAGTGGCAGTTACCGCCTTGGTGGCCGCCTTGGGGCTTATCGATAAGGGATTAATGGTATGGATATGAGTGGAGAAGTGCATTGGCAATGCGTTGGGCGAAGGTTTGGGAATCTGGGTAGTATTCGATATCTATTCATATGCATTGATATAATTGTCAGGGTTCACGACTCTACTGTATTCGAGCGTACTTACCCATCGGAGCTAATCTATGGCTTGAAAAAGAGTTGCCGCAACAGCAGCACGCAAATGCCATCTTGCTCGAGCATTACAACTAACGATCATACGTGGGAGCGCACTCAGGCTCGTATGTGATCTCCTCACTGACACCATGATATCTACCCTAATTTGAGTCCAGATGAATTCAAAGAAAATGGCGCAGATGTTCCACAGTCCACTCCCAAACCTTCATCGACTTGACGTTCCTCTGACGTAACGCGTCGCCAAGTGTCTATATAACATGGAAAGAATATCAGACAATAATGTTAAATACAGATGAACTTACTCGTCCCATCCGATCACAATATAAAGATGAAGGCAATCGGCGTGGAGAACTACGGTCCTGTTGACCGTCTTGAAGCTTGGGAAGTCCCGAAGCCGACAGATCTTCAGCCTCGGGATCTTCTGGTTCGGTAGGATAGCTTCATTTTTCTAATTCCATGTAGTAGTCACTGACATTTACGGACAGGATCAAAGGTGTTGCTGTGAACCCTGTGGACACGAAGGTACGGAATGGTACATATGACGACTATCCTGGTAAGATTCAGACCACATTGGCCGAAACACAGAAGGTGCCGGTTGTTTAACGTCTTGACAGATTACTACGACCGCGTCCCTCGTCCATTCCAGATCACCGGGTACGATGCCTCAGGCATTGTTGAGGCTACCGGATCACAATGCTCGCTTTTCAATGTTGGCGATGAAGTATACTATTCGGGAAGCCCCATCAGACAGGGATCGAACGCCGAGTATCAATTAGTAGACGAGAGGAGTGTTGGCCGCAAGCCGAAAAGTCTCGATTTCGTGGAATCAGCTGCCATGCCGTTGACGTATATCACGGCGTACGAAGCTCTTGTCGAACGACTGGAGATTGAGAAGGAAGAAAAAGCAGCCCTTCTCATCATTAACGGCGCCGGCGGAGTGGGTGCTATGGCTACACAGATCGCACGTGTTGTGTTGGATCTCCCTGTGGTCATTACGACAGCGTCACGACCGGAGACAATCCAATTTACGAAAGACATGGGTGCGACTCACGTCGTCAATCACAGAGAGGATGTCGCCAGTCAGATCGAGAAGCTCAACCTCGAAGTACCGTTGAAGTAAGACGTGTCTGTGAGAGTCGAAATTAATCGCTAACAACAACCAAGGTATATCTTTATTACACACTCGACAGACCAGTACATGGACACGTGTGCTCGGGTTTGCGCGCCGTTCGGCAAGGTCTGCTCGATCGTCCAAGGCCAAGCCAAGATGTATGGAACCGAGTTCATGTCGAAGTCGTTGACGTTCGTCTGGTGTCTGCTTGGAACCAAGCCATACCATAAGGTGGATGTAGAATCGCACCATCGCATTCTGGAAGAGCTTACAGATATGATCGATGCGGGCAAGATCAAGTGCCATCTCACGAAGCGACTGAAATTGACGCTTGACGGCGTGAAGAAGGGACATGAGCTATTGCAGTCTGGAGGGAGTATAGGCAAAGTCGGGCTAGGTGTAGATGAGCCAGGTCCTGGAGAGATCTTTACATAGCAATGTGACATGTAGCCTCACTTGGCAGTTGAATACACGGAGATATGAACTACAGCAGTGCAGGAATATGAATAGCCATTATTGTTTCTTTCGTCTTCTTCACCTCACCGCCAATGGGATATACTAATGTGCGAAGATCGGCGCTTCAGATATTCGAGGTCATTTTTCTTTATCCACAAACCACCGCGACCACCATTTTCTTTCCCAACTACCTACATGGAGTCGAGCTACAAGAGAGCTCAAGGTACTCCGCAGCATCCAGGATTGACCTCCGGTAGGCAAGGATGTAATGAACAGGACATTATGATCCTCGTGGTATCACAGATGATTCCGCCATAAGGTCCTTGATCAGCTGCATACTAACAAAGGCCTCAACATGCAAGTTAACTCCTTAACTAGTCATATCATACGCTAATTTACCGACTCCACAAACCCTCGTCACAATCTCGGCGCCATGGTCTCGACGAAAAGCTTACCCTTTGCTCGCAACACGTCCGAGACTTGCGCCTCTCGCCACGGAATCAGAGTAACCCTGCACCAACCTCCACCAATAATCCCACCAAACAATATACACAGCCCAGACTACATGCCACGCGTACAGAGAGAGCCAAGCGAACAGTGCTATCAAACGTGGAAGATAATGAGCAGTGGCACAGACACTCGTTACGTCTTATCAGACGTGTTTCCAGTGCATCGCCACTGAGAAAAAGCCAGTAGACCAGTTAAATATACCGTTCAGATGTAATTCATATCTCCAGCCATACAAGATGCAGCAAGGCGTGCTAGTCGTGATAATCAATCACAACAACCAATGCTCTGGGATCTCCATCACGCCACCGTCACCCCATTCTTTTCCAATAGAAGGATCCGCTACTCCCACGTCAAGCACAGAAGAACTACAGAGACACGTGTATTTCGCCGAAGATAACGGTGATAATTGGACCTTTGAGCGGATTTAATGAACAAGTGAGGGCCCTCGATGTGGCAAAGACAGTGCTCTTCTATCTAGTGCCCAGGGCCTTACAGAAGGGGAGGTCATACTCCATGATTATGGTATCGTGGCAATGAATCTGAGTCTTGCAGTCTCAACAAGGACCCTGTAGTAAAACTATACAAAGTGCTGGATGGGATTAAAGTGGCTGTACGCATGTGTGTGAATTCTAAAAATTGACTTGAGCAAGGAATCGACCAAGCAGGCAAGTAAGATGAGATAACCACGAATCACAGTGACAAGGAGTTGATTGCGCACTACAGAAGATAGAAACAAGTCAAGTAGCCAAACTAACTATACATGACACTATAGTAAAAGCTCGAATAAATCAAGCTAATACCGGTAGGCAAAGTGGATACCATCATCACAATTGATCATAACCCACCGGGCCCAGTTGCGTACCCGTGGAGAGAAAACAAGTTCAGACCCACAATCATAGATAGCATCATAAAACTAATTTCTCTGCCTAACTAGCTAACTCCAACCATTTACTTTTTCTAGCTAGCTAGCTAGCTTTCTAGAAAGCAAACACTGAATAGCAGCCATTTGACCCCCCCATAACATAGTGATTTACCCCACCTTCTCATGCTATGACAATCAGCACAACTATCCAACTACTAGCTAGATAGCCAGCTAAATGGCTAGTGAGGTTACGCCATCACTTGCGTAAGCACTCAATCCAGAGCGAGAGAACCAATCAAGATGATTACCACCACGTAGCCACTGGTCTACACTGCACGGTAGGAGATAATTGTAAGATAGAAGATGGGAGTGGAGGCCACTAATCATTAGTAGTTCCAGTCGATGGAGCGATGATGTCAATGCACTTAAGCTAGCTAGCTAGCTAGGCAGGTAGGGCTTCAGGCATCAAAGTTCTCGTCATCACGGATGATATCAGTTCCGTGCGGTCATAGATCAGGATAGACAGCTAAGTGGAGGATGACGACGACGACAACGACGATGATGGTGATGGTTATTGGGTATCAATCAGAGAGCTTTATCATAAACGTGGTTATTGTGGTAGGTCATGGGAATTTTTGGAACGACAGTTCTAGGAAGCGCTCTCGAGTGCAAGATCTGGAAGTGAAAAAGATGTAGTAAGAATAGAAAGAATATCAAAATCCAAATCCGGTCAAATTGATTCTGCCTACTCCGTCGCTAAAGGACGAATAAAATAAATCCAACCAAATTCAGTCCAGGCCAGCTCAACTCAATCAATATGTTTGTAACTCTTTATCCGGATCTATCGAACTCCCGAGTCATGTCCGTGTCTTCGTATCGTTTCGTCTTGGCTTTTATCGTTTCTTTGTGTATATATCGTGTCGTAGCGTAGCGCATCATCTACGTAATTGACGGTCACCAGGACCGTGAGGCTTTTAGGCATAGAGTGGAAGAATGGGGAGGAGAGGAGGAAAAGATGAAGTGTATCATGTCGAACCTCTTCTAGCTGGAACGAGGATGGTGCTGAGTCGCTTCCAACGCTGTGTAGGTGAAGTGGGTGCATCGCGATCTAGACGGTTGTCTAGACTGGGCTTCGAAGAGGATTGAGTGGAGGATCGGGGTCTTGTGACAAGCGCTTCGTGGTCGGCTAGGACATCCTCGAGCCGGACATCGCAATCGGACATGCGCGGCCGAGTATCGTTGGGGTCGAGAATCTCGATAAATTTGGACGACATGTCGCGCATCTTTCGATTGATAAGTGACTTGGTAGAGGGAAGCTTGTGGTGGTTGTCGATTCTTTTTTCTTGTTGGCTGGAATGCGGCTTTAACGTTTTCTTTTTCTTGTTTCCTTTGCTACGGCGGCGATCACGAGGTGGATCGGGGAACTTTGTTCGTGAAATAGTCGGCGGTGGAAAAAGTAAACCCAACCGGGTCGGAGAAGTAGGTTCGTGATGGAAGTTAAGGGAATAACTAGGAGCACTGTCGACCGTGAAGCGAAGAAGATCCGGATAACCGCTGGCGGATATATCTTCCGTGCGGACAGAGAGTGGACAGGGAGTTGGAGATGAGCAGAGGGGTAAACGACTGGGACATGAAGGACAAAGGAGGAGAAGGACGAGAATGAAGATGAAAAAGGCACAGACAGTGCAGTAGCGGGTGATGCCGATTCGCTGAGCACGGTTTCAAGTATGCGCCAGGCAGGGATGTCGAGCGGTCTTCTGCGTCTGAGCGGATGAGCTGACAGAGAATGGCCCTGAAAGAAATACTCGTTGTTGGAGAGAAATCTAGGCGCCGTTGACGTCCGGGGAAGATGGGTAGTATTTATTATTGCAGACGAAGAATTTTACTTTTGAGTTCCTCTATGATGAGGGTGTACCCATTGACCCGCCCAGTCAAAGTGCCGCGAGTTCCGCATCACAGAGGAAAAGGAAAAAAAGCCAAATTATTTGCCAGAACACGCGGGGGTTGGGGGATGTGGGAAGGGATCAACTGAGGGACTGGGACGGTGGCGCATCCGCCAGGGTACGAGTGAGCAAGGGCATCAGCGGCCATATACGCCGTGTGCCCGGGTAGAGCATGTTGTGATGGGCTACCGGACCCTCTGATTGACGGGGCTGGCGGGGGTCCATCCTCAGGAAGGAGGGAGGAGTTCCGACGATGGTTCGTCCGTCATACCGAAGGGTGTGAGTGTGATTGCCGGTGCTGATGAAGCGGATGATGCGGTGGATGCGTGGCGTTGGGTTGGGTTTCTGGTCGTAGCTCGCCCGATCAGTCGTCAATCGTCAATAGTCATTGCGATCATGTCTGTAAGCGCGTTCGGATGGAGCTCCTGTTCCCTTAATTCCTGATCCAGTAAGACGCGATATCGACTCGACTCGACTCCACTGCCCTGCGGACCCTCCCGCCCGTCCCGGAGAGTGAGACTGAGAGTGAGAGCATGACGTCGCGCCGAATGCGATCCATGGGTCGTTTTCTGCAGAGCTATCCAGTGATTCTAGACGTAAGCAAGAGATACTGGTTGTCCTCAACCACTCTATCCATTGTTGTGGTGGGGTTGGGAGTCATCGCAAAGGGGGCTGAGGTGTCCAGCTCCATCGTTGCAGAGGCTGTCCATACAAATCGCGGGGATGACGGCAGATCGGCTTATCAAATGGATACGGCCCTCAGACGATCCATGTGCAACGCAACGAGTCCATCGATCAGCGGAGTTATTAATAGACTGATAATGGAGAGGAGTGGAATGCGTATTGGATGAGTCTCGCGGAGGAATTGAAAATGAGCCACGAAAAACTCCACGAGAAAGTTACTCCAGAGTCACGGGATACTTTCCCCCAAAGCATGCGCTCGCCGTGACGTCATGGCATCGTTGCTTCGCCTGTGCTTCGCCTCCATTCTTCGCCAGTCGCAACGATTACTGTCTTACTGTTGGCTGTCTGTCGCTGGCACAATGCCACTTCATCATCGCGATGCCTACTAAACGTGCAAGGAAAAATCCATCGGTGGCACAGAAACCGCCTTCCCCTCCGCTGTCCGAGAAGAATGCCGTCATCACGCAAGATATCCCAGAGGAAGAGGGAGCAAAGCGAGAATCTACCCTTCGAGATGAGTCGTACACACCTGAGCTATTCGACGAAGACGAGGAGATGCCCGAAGAAACGGAGAATACTATCGACCCCGACACTGGGAAAGCAGCCAAAAGAACGGCGGAATACGCACTAGGAGGGGGAGGGTACAACGCACTCAAGTCGTACAAAGGACAGATGTACTCCGGAATGGCTGTTGGAGGATCGCACACCTGGACATACGACCAAGGGACGTGGAAGGAAACCAAGGAAGAACCCGATCTCTGGAGAATCGACTACCAGACGAACAAAAGACGAGCGAGGAAAGCGCCTACAGGGAGTGGTGCGCCAGTGGGAACCGAGTATCACTGGCTGATTGTAGGCCATCAGGTAGGCTACGCCACTTCATCAGACGACGGCTGGCTCACCCCCACAGCATGTGAAGAAAATCGATGCCAATACGTACGAGACGCACCTCACAGGCTCGAAGTATAAACTGGCGTACAAGTCCGCGTCATCGAACGCTTGGTCGATTCCGACAGTCAAGAAGCAACGGGAGCGGGAAGTCGAATTGCTGGATGACGCCAAACAACGCGTCCAGGGACTGCCGCCTGTGCTGGCATCAGAGAAGGTCAAGGTTGAGAAACGCGAAAAGGGCCAGCAAAGACTCGACAGCATGTTTGGAAAGGCTGCAGGCGTAAAACGAAAGGCGGATGAAAATGCCTGATACGCGTTGCTTCCGACAAATGCTACGTGACTAGGCCATGTCACGTCTGCTTCGGCATACAATCTACGGCAATCATTCGGATTTACGGGTCGAAAAATGAGACATGATAATCAATCCATGAAGATATTATGGACATAAGCTAAAACTGGCTCGGGCGTATTCCGGGCCATATTTTGCAAAAGTTTTTACTGTGAGGCTATTCAGCAGGGTCAAAGCAACAATCTAGATCCTGCATGATAAAACTGCAAGACCGACGCTATGTAGCATAGCAACGGAGTCGAGAACGTAAGACAATTGGATAGGGCATGCCCACTCCGTGTACTCTATTACCCGAAAGCATAAACCAACCCAAGTATAGAGCCAGATCTAGACTCACCCGCGAACAAACAAATCTCAACCCTCATGGCACGATCTAGAACACCAAGAAGAAGTCAATCTCCGACCCACAATCTCATCCTATTCCTTGGAACCGTGACATCATCCACCCCAAACCCAATATAAGCTTAACTTTGGCCTCATTCCAGACCTCCCCTAGACCATCTACCCGCCGGTCTACCTTCCCCGTTCAACTCAACTTCACATCCGCCACCCAACCACCCGCATTTCCACCGCATCATGTCCAAACGCATCAGCACCTTCTTCCAACCTCTTCCGTCTAAGAAACTCAAACCGGATGCAACTACGACAGCACAATCATCATCATCATCAACAACAACAGTCCCACCAAAACCGTCCACCTACACCCATCACCCAAGTTATCCCATCCCAATCCGCGACCCGCCCAGCACCATCGCCACGCCTCTCCTCTCCAATCCAGCACCTCGACCTCCCAAAGCCTTAACCAACCACCCGCACCTGGATCTACTCTACTTTCAACCCTTTCTCCCCTCCCCACTGGCCCGAGACCTATTCCAGTTCCTGCGAAACGAACTCCCCTTCTACCGCGTTCGATATACCATCCGGCGCGGTGGAACAGAAACATCCATCAACACGCCAAGATACACGACTGTTTTTGGGGTTGACGATACATCGACATTTGTTATTGAAAACTCCGAATCTACTAGTTCCAATTCTGAGACCAGTGTCCAAGACGACACTACAAATAATCTACTAGATCCTCCTCCAGCCAACTCACCAATATTGGTCGACAGTAAAACACGCACTCCTCTCACCGAATCCAAATCCAAATCCAAATACCGATGCAGGCCTCGACCCATCCCGCCGTGTCTGGACATTCTGCGCCAAGCAGTGGAGAAGGCCACGGACGATGGGACCAGATATAATTTCGTCCTGGTGAATTACTACGCCACAGGGGACGATAGTATATCGTACCATTCGGATGATGAGCGGTTCTTGGGCCAGAATCCCACCATTGCGTCCTTATCGCTTGGCGCGGGGAGAGATTTCCTGTTGAAGCATAAACCAGGTGCTGCTGGTGGTACTACTGATACTGATCGTGCGATTGCAAATGCAGCTGCGAAACCGCTCAAGTTTCCCCTCAAGTCCGGCGATATGCTAATAATGAGGGGCGAGACTCAGTCAAATTGGTTGCACAGTGTGCCTAAGCGCAAGGGGTTGCAGGGAAGTGCTGGTGCTTTGGGCCGGATCAATATCACGTTTCGGAGAGCGGTGGTGCCTGGTGGTACGGAGAATTACTATCGATATAATGTGGGCGATGGAGAGGTGTATCGGTGGAGAGATGAGGAGGGGAAAATGGTTGCTACTACTGAATAGTTTATGATTATGTTGTAGCTTCATGCATATATAGATACACCCGGATTGGAGGGATGGGGGAAGGGAGACACTCAGTGCGAAGCAAACGGGTTGCTGTAAGCTCGGAAGCGATCAAGTGGCTGCGCACTGCTGAGGATCTTGTGCAACAACATCCCGTAGTCCCATCCGATAGCTGCGGCCGCAAGAGCAGTTAGACTGGCCTGGTCCTCGCGACCAGGTCGTCCAGGCCCGGTCATATTCTATTGTTGTCAGCGACGGCTCAGCAATGGACAGGGAAGGACATACAGGCTTCATGTTGATATCGAAGATGGCAAACTGTGACCCCTCGCTAAAGCGTCTAATGTCAATGCGAATTGGTGCCGTCGCGCCAATTAATTTGGCGACTTGCTCGCACTGCCGCATTGCGCTTCTGTACGACTCATCCTGCATTTCGCTTTCTGTGACAGCGCGCGAGTTCGCAGTCACTGCCACTGTACCATTGTATGGCGCAATGCCATCGACATGGTTAAAACGCGTGATCGGAGGAAGGCTCCAGTATTCTGGGCCCTCTCTCGATGGTGGCATAACAGTGATCGTTGCCTCTTCGCCCGTGAGGAACTCTTCCACCATGACAATGGGCGACTCAAGCAGCAGAGCGCTGATATGTTCCTCGAGCTCTGCTCGATCATGACATACCTTTACACCGTGGCTGCCGCGACCACGGACGGGTTTGCCAACCACGGGATAACAGGGAATGGAGTCTAGTATAGGGGAAATGTTATCCGAATTGCTGATCAGCCATGAGCGGGGGAGCGTAAATGAGCCATGGATACGGAGCTGATCATTGAGATAGGCTTTGTCATCGAAAGATTCGACTAGGGTTGGTGGTTGCCCGACAACAGAGATAGGGATCGAAGCAAGAGACCGTGAGGTTTGCAGTGGGTGTGAGGAGAAAAGGATCGTGTTGGCCCAAAGGTGCGTTGCCCCTTGGCGCACGGCAGAGAGGATCCCGTTTTCTGTATCCGGGAAGCACCAGCCTTCTTGCTCTTTGGGACTTGGGGAAGAGACCGGTGTCACGACTTGTACGCCACGGTTTCTAAGGGTGTAGGCGATGTCGGATCCCGAGTCTTGGTATCCTAGCATTTATGTTAGGATGAGTCTTTGGGATAGCAGGAGGGGATGTGATACCGCCAGGCTTTCGGGGCTTCCGAGCGCCGTTGATGATGGGCGGCTCGATGGCCTGGTAGAGGACTGCGACTACCGGAGGGGCAGTCGCATTATGCAAAGACCTGCTTATCTGTGTCATGGGTAGACTCATCGTGTTGTTTAGGTGGTTAGTTGCCTCGAAGCTGGAAATGACGAAGTGTGTTTTATAGATGTGGAGCAACCCGATAAAAGTGCCGGCATCGGACAAATCCAGCTGATCCTCGGATAGATCCGAAAACACGGAGTAACCCGCTTATGCCGATTGCACTCCTGATAGCTTCATTGTGTTATGGAATCAAGCGACGATTGACTGTTCAGGTGCGTAGAAAGATCTGGCGGGAGTTCTTATGATGATTAGCGATGCATCGTAAGTAGAAGTTGGACGACAAATGTTTCACTTACCGGACCCTTGAAAGTCGCATGCCCTGTGGCAAATTGGCAAAGTGGGTGATGAATCATAAAGTAGAAAGCGTAGTCGTTCCTTCCAGTATCAGAAACCTCAAACCGATGCTTTGATAGTTGAGGTTTTGGACATTTTATCCAGCTTTGTCGGATGCTGTCTGCTGGTGTACGTTCATCGTTCTGAAGGAGTGACTGATGTGATGTCTGAAATGAAGAGCATGGATTCCTCGTCGATAAGAGTTCCGTAATCACAGAGAATTGGTCTTCCTGTAAACAACCATGCTAGCTTAAATCTTGACAGTGAAAGCGGGATATCGTACTTCAAAGGTCTGGCGACAGCTGTCTGGCAATGCCGAGTGGTTCTCAATGCTGCCTCGACCTGAAAAGGACTCGAAACCAAACATTGAGACAGAGAAGGACTTGTGATATGCCCAAAGAAGCACTGCTACAGAAAGAAACGGACGGTTTGGAACAGTATCAGAGCGATTTGGTGTGATTGGAGTCTGCTGGGGGTGGGCAGAGTGGGCCTCCATAACGAGCATGAACGCACTAGACAAACCAAGCAAACGCCGGTGACTGGATCCATACTCTCAGGAGTACACCCCATCCTTCAAGCATCGACACCAATTCATGGCATATCAGTCTCTCTCGCAGCTCTAACTACGCTAAGACATAAGCAGAGTGGCAGAGATATCCATTTCTTCATGGCCGCGAAGGGAATTGTCTGTATCGGAACTTGCTAGGGAGCATTTTGACCTTGTCAAGCGGAGAATCCAGTCACTCCCTGAGACTAATATAGCCATCTGAACGTGAGATCGTCTTACCACAGGGTTTGTTGCAAATTTGTGTACTCATTATGGATTGGAAACTACAAGACTAATGTTTCGTTTAGCATAGATCTTTTCGAAAGCTGCCTAACGACAATCACCATTCAGCTTCCTTGATCAAATCACATACCCAGAAACTATAAGGTGATGGAACACTTGTTGCATGTTTCGAGGCCATTTCTGGCTTGACTCAAATTATGCCAGCATCATGTTTTGCACGGTATAGTAACAAACCGTCAAGAATGTGACTCTCAGCTGGGATACTCGGTTACCTCGGAGCTAGCGATATTATCGAAAGTATATCAGGCACCAGAAATTCTGGGATGAGGCTAAACACAGATCTATTTGGAGCAAGCATGATGACATGAGCAATGACAGCGTGTTTATGACGTATCACATCGCTGTAATGGCTTCAGTTGCTCCCACCGTATGTGTCTGACTCGATTTACTGTGTATAGGACGATCGATCCTGATGGGGCTCAGTCGGGGTTAAGTTTCCTTCGCGCTGACTATACCGTTTGAATCAAGTCGACTACCAGCCAAGAGAAACCATTGTCTAGGCCCTTTGATCGTCAGACACCCATGAAGACGGACTTCGCTTCTGCGGAAATCCGGGTAGGGATATAACAATCCCGGTCTTTGAAAAAAAATTTATTCTGACATATCACATCCGCCGGACCGACCGAGACATTGTCAATGGATGCAGCCATGACACGGTGCTTTTGTATCCGCATGTCTTGAGGATGAAGCGCCTTCGGATATGTCCGAATGTATGACGGTAAATGATTGATACATCACCTCACGGATTTGCCGATGGCAGACATGGCTAACCTAAGATGGCCGCACTTTCTCCAGGCAGAAGAAAAAATGCGCTGGGAGCTATCCTGGGCTAACCTCTCAACGCTTACTCTAGATAATGCCGATCTCTGAACTGTTAAGGCTGATGGAACACGAAGGCCGAGTGCATTAGCCCACAGACGATCCGTAATCTCGACAACCTGTAAAAAATCTGACACGGTTGCTCAAAAAGACACAACGGAAACAAAGATTTGGGAGCCTCGAGTCTCACTCAGCCTAATGCTGCTGACTGGCGCTTCAAACAGTAGTAGCGGGGTTGTTGGCTCAGCTGGAAAAAGTCAGCCTCCTTGCCCCTAAGATTTCCAAGGTATACCGTCAGCCAGACAACGGTGTTCCTGGATAATCCCGGAGAAAGCCTCCAAATCAGTTTAAAACGTCCATTTTTGGTACTTCTTATACACGGCTATGGAACACCCGATCTCACTTTGTCAGCGTTGCAGGGTTCTCCAGTTCAACGAGCAAGACTATGGCACCGTCGAAAACGAGTCATTGGGGAACTGCACTGTTGTGTTTGACCATTTTGATGATGAAGATTATTATGAGGACGATCCATTCTATGAAGATGACCAGGATATCAGAAGGCAGGAAATTTCGCTTGACTACCAGCTCCTTGACAAGTTTCCAGATTTTTGGTTCTTACGGCATCCACTGCATCTGGATGTGGTATGTGTACTTCCATGCATGAGAAGATACTATGACTGAGGGCGACTTATCTTTCATCGGATGGCGATGCATGGTGGAAAAATATCCCTGTCGGTCTTTCTCCACCCAACACGACAGATTGTCAGCATTGTCTGCAATGGCTCAAAAGCTTGCATTAGAGACAAAGGGAACACAGTTAGCAGAAATTTGGATAGAGGAATTTTATATCAACCTTCTCTGGCCACCCCAAGGCATGAGATCATTGGAAGCCTTCGGACCCCGCTTGATGATGAAGAGTCAATAGCACCATCATGGAGCTGGGTTAGTAACCCAAACCCGGTGAAATGGGGTGGAGAAACCAATAATTTCGATCCTCTGTTCATGTGCCAATCTAAGATTGCATCGATAAATATGAAGACTAACTTGAATCCATATGGACAAGTGCAAAAGGGTTCTAACATCTCTCACTGTTCACTAAGTTTCACCCTCCAATTCCTTCGACCATAGTACGCAGTGGAGGGTTTCGTCTTGGTCATGTCGAGTTCCCCTGTGAACTGTGTTCAGCTGATTGGGGGAGTACGTTGCCGATGTTCGCTTCGACTGGACCCATGACTCATCCGAGGCTCAGACACACTCCACAGAAAAAGAGAAAGACATCCTGAATATGTTGTCTATGGTCCTGATATTGAGATATGATGGTGAAGAGGAAGACTTCATGATGGGTTTGCTTGTGCTGCCTACGAATATGCCTAGTGTATATCGCAGATCAGGTCTCTTTTCTTGCGAAAATGGTCAAGAATTCTGGTATAACATTGATACTCCAATTGTCGCATTGGTTTGATTCTTTGAGTTGTAATTTTAAGTTTTCTTTTTTTAGCTCGGTATTATTTTGTTTGGTTTCTTTGCCCCACAAGAACAGTGAAATGGAGTCGAGTGGAACGCCTAGATCTGTTTATCATGGGTACTAAAGGAGGTGAGTAATGTCCATTAGCCATTGAGAAGGCCGGAATAGGGAGATTGAGTATGTACTGGCGACCGACACTAGATACAAGAAGAAGAGAAACAAAGCCATCGAGCCTAACGCAACAGAGCAACCGAACAGTAAACAAAGAGAACTATAACCTCGGTCTCCATCCACTCTCCTTGACTTCCCTGCGACTCTCTTCTCTCAACACTCGCTTGAGAATCTTGCCACTTGCCGTTTTGGGTATGCTCGGTACAAATTTGACTCCCCCGGTGAGCGCTTTATATCCCGCCAGCCTCTCTAGTAACCAGCTCTTGACCATATCCTCTGTCAACTTGCTCTCATCGGTCTCAGGTCGGCGGACCACGTACGCTCGCGGCAGCTCCGTCCCCGGGACCACATCCCGCAACCCAATCACGGCGGCATCCACAATGAGCGGATGCGCCAACAACACGGCTTCCAGTTCCGGTGGAGCAACTTGAAATCCTCGGACCTTGATGAGCTCCTTCTTGCGATCAACTATGTACCATTTCTGTGTTGCACAATCGCAATACGCGATGTCCCCGGTGTGGAACCAGCCCTGCTCATCGAAAGATTCCGCATTGGCGACCGGATTGTTGAAGTACCCAGGTGTGACGGCAGGACCGCGGACACACAGCTCGCCTCGCACTCCATAGTCGGAGATATCGGTGCCGTTGTCGTCTACTAATCTACATCATTATGTTAGCCTCGACCTGATGGAAGAAAGAGAGAAGAACATACTTAGCCTCCATGTTCGGCACCAACCTCCCCACCGACCCTGTCTCATCCCCTTCATCCCACCGGAACATTGTCGCGATACAACATGTCTCTGTCATACCCCAAACCTGCGTACAATTGGCCCCTGGGCCGAGTAGCCTTTGGAACCGTTTTTGGGCATCTTTGTCCATTGGTGCCGCGCCAAGATTACTCGCCCGGATCGAACGCAGATAGCCCCGTTCGTAAGACATCGGATGCATGATGATGGCAATGGCAATGGGCGGAACAATGGCCATCTCGGTAACTTGGTATTTTTCAACCGTCTGCAAAAAGAGGGGTAGGTCGAAGCGCCGCATGACGTAGTTGATATGGCCGGCTTTTAGGCTGCCGAAATGGCTGCTGGGAGCAGCGGCAGCGTGGAAGAGAGGAACGGCGATGACTCTGCTTACCTTAACACATTGAATTGTCAGCACTTACGACGTGGAGGTTATGAGATATGGCTTTTTGAGCTGAAGGGGAAGGTACACACCCTCCATGGCCTCGGATTAAACTCGAACACGAACTCGTGCTGGGCGACAAGATTCATATGCGTGATCTCAGCCGCCTTGGGAAGCCCCGTCGTCCCACTACTAAACAGCCTGGCTGCAGTAGTTGTCCTGGAAAGATTCTCGTCATCAAACCGTACCCAGTCTTGTTCACCATGTTCGAGCAGCTCCGTCCAGGACACCGCTCCATCTGGTACTGACTGCCCAAGAACATCGAATACCCGAATCCGATGCTCTGGGATTGATGCCGCTTTCGCCGCCGTAGTTATTGCATCTAAATGTTCTGGCTCTGTGATGACGAAGTTCGTAGCCGAAGAGCGGAAATGATGGCCTAATTCAAAAGCTGTGTAGGCTGGATTCGATCCTGTAAAAATCCCTCCTGCGCCAACGATCGCCAGGACCAGCATGGTATAGTAGATCTGTCATCTGTGAGTAATCAACTCGCATTGGAGATGGAGTTAAATGAAAGCCGTACATCATTGAAAGAGTGAATGGCGACACAGTCGCCTTTTTGCACGCCCCAGGCGCGCAGCCCAGAGACCAGTTGACGAACAATGGTCCGGGCTTGGTTGTAGGAAATGGAGCGAGAGGGATTGTGGACATCGACGTAGATCTATACCGGTTAGCGGTGTTCTGTAGGCGAGTAGGAAGGAGTTTGAGAAGGGGAAAATGTATCCCCCATCGGAATATTACCGGTTCATCATGATCGTATGGCGGGTCAGAAAAGACATAGGAGATCACATCGGTGCAGGGCACCGGGGCCCTGGCTGCAGGTTCAAAAATCATGCTAAGTGGAAAATAGTGAAGGACCAGGGGGGATGCGAGGATGCAAGGATGCAGGGACCAGGAAGACACATGATGACCGATTTATAACTTCAGCTGAATGAATCCAGCCCCGATGCTGAAATAGGGTTTATCGTTTTGTCTGGAAGGCCAGCACGGCACGTCACCCGGAGCGGGCAATGGCACTGACTCGAGTGCTGGACACATGGCTGGCATGGTGTGACTGGGACCCCCGCCTGCGACAAAGGCATTGTTGTTCAACGGCTTTACGGGAGACCATTCAAGGAACGCCAGACCTGCAGGCCGGAGAATATTGAGGAATTAGCGTGCACTGGCCTGGCCGGGGGTGCTCGGGTTTTAGTGTTGCGCGTCGTTGGGAAAGGGTCAGAGAGACCAATGGCTGCGAGGCGAGCTGATAAACCACCCCCAGCAGGCAACCCACCGACCCGCCACGCTGCATTTGGCAGCTGCCTTCAAGCCAATAATTAGGCTCTCCTGCGCCCGAGAAGCTCGCCAACGGCCGTGGCGTGGCAGTTTGGGTCCTCGGCCCATGCTTATCACCGATCACAGCCGAACCTGCAACCTCGGATCCCCCTTCGTTCTCCGCACCGCTACAATGGTCCCGAGCAGAAGAACATTGTCAAGGCGATCAATCTCCCGCCAATTTGACTCACCCCAGTACGAGACTCTCATACTTTGTCGGCCGACTCAGTGGCAGCACAAGACCTGATAGCGACCGCAGCACTGTGCTGATTGTTCTCACCGAAGTCGAATCTTCCAGATCCGCTCTTATCCGGTCTGCAATGACCGCGATGGAACGAACCTGAGTGTCGCAGACCATGCGCTTATCAGCAATTCGATCAGCCTAATACATGATGGGCTAGCCGTTGTTGTCCTCGAGCGTTATGGCCAGATTATGACAAACAGCCAACCTGAAGGATTAGTTAGCGGTTAGTTGATGACGGTGAATATCGCCATGACGGGGATAACAGAGGAAGCACCAGGGATTACAGGGACCAGGTTGATTTGTTCAAACATGCCTACCTCTTGAATGGTCATCTTCATTGCTGAAGGAGGTTCTCGCCTCCCCTTTCCAAACAATCCACGCGCATCTTGAGAAAGCATTCGTGGTCTTCACAACTTCCTAATCGATCTGATGGGCTGCTGTATCTCAGACGAGATGGATCATTGAACGGAATCTGGCCATACTGAAACCGCCGCTACCGCCATTTAGCGACCCTGGGGCCCATCCGAGACATAATGAGATGTGTCATGTGCCTGCATAGAAATGTACAACGATTCGCCGCCATTCGACGGGTTCTGTTTCAGCTCCAAATTTCAACCCCACAAAGGACATAACCTGGATTATATATCAATATGATTAGCAAGGCAATCCCAGAGCGAACCAAGGCGACGTAATAATACGTTAAGAGCGTTCAACGCAAACCTTTTCTCACCAAAAGAAAGCCTCGGACGGAGCTGCCTACAGGATCTTGGATTACCTCACGTACCCAAGCAGCCACAATGACCATTCACTTCTTGAACGGCAAGATAATTTTGACGGCGCCTGATTCGAGAATGAATCTAAAAAACAGCCGCGACAGTCATGACGACGTGGACAGTCTCTGCGCAATGTCACAGGTTTTTTGAAGAAAAGTTTTAGATCACTACAGACCTAGAAGCTCGTGACCCGACCGTGTGTACATGCCAGTAGCACACAGGTGGCCGCGCTGGATAAAGGTTGGATCGGGTGTGGTGTAGCACCCGTGGTGTAGATATCGACCATGGAGTCCCCTGGGTCTCGGGCATAATCTTGACGGTGCCATAGAAGTGCTGAGTTAGCTGACCCAGATAGCATTTGACAGGTATTTGTGACCCACCTAAGTTGTAGATTCTACAGTACCGATATTTCCTCGCTGGAGGAGAACAAGTTCGAGGATATTCTTTGAAATGGCAAGGCCGCACCAACCTACAGCAAAGCCATCTGGCGCTCTTCATAATGCGGCTGATAGGCTCGTACCTTTCTGTACCTGCCTCCTCTTTGCCTACAATCTGACGTGAGTTGTGCTCAAATTCAGAGTCATCTTAGGCTGCGACGGCAACATTAAGTCTACCCTAGGGCTTCGTGCCAGAATGCAATAGCCGGGGCCGGAAGCCTCTGTGACGTGGGAGCGTCCTTTATGATAGAATGGGCAAACATAGCCGAGTACCACATCGGCTTTGGTAAGCAATGAATGGCCATGTAGCTGAGATCTTTGTCTCGGGTGGTGGTTGCTTTTCCTGGCTCTCAATACGCGGCTGGGGTTGTGGTTACACGAAAGTTTATCCAATCCATGGAGGAAATTCTGCATCGCCTCATATATCACGCGGAAGAGGCGTCCCCTTGGCAGGCGTATCTGCATCTCATTAACCGGCTTGGCTGGTCTCATTTGGCACATAGCCTGGTGACAATGATGGCTTCAATCTAGACCATGTTCGGATCCGGAGTTTCTGTTGCTCGATAATTCAACTCACTTTTCCTTTATTCCGATCGATGAGCATATTTGCTCTGTTTTTCTTCCATTGCCCCGAACATCAAGGTCACAAAGATATTGACGTATCCCTTACGGTCTAATCCGAGTCATTCGTGAACGTGCAGAGTAGAGGGCCTTGCAGCAGGGAGCATGAGTGGATTTTTGCGGCAGTCCCGATAAGCAATATTCAGGGTGTACGTAGTGTCTTGCAGGGATCCCCGCAGCACAGAGAAAATGAAATGCCCATGTCTGAGGTTCCGAATCCCAAGGTCCTCTGGCTGAACCCTGCTCGACGCAGGGTCTTCCACACGTTCAACCTTAAGTGTCAGAGTGCTATTTGTTGTCGAGTTTTGCTCGTATGACATGATAATACGTTTGAGCCAGGTGAGCAGTATACCAGCTTTACAAAGAGGACGTATGTAGCGAGGTAGCACAGGCCAGCAGAATGCCAAGAGTCTTCTGCGTGGGTTAGCGTTGTACATGCTTGGAGTTGCAAAATTCGCCGGGGTTCTTCCGAATGACGATCTCCAAACCGTCAAACAGAAAGCTATGCCTCTCCTGACGGTCGCGATCCAGCAAAAAAGCTAGACTGGCATCGAAGGAGATAAGTTCCAAATCTTTAGCTCTGGAGTGTTCTTATTCGTAGTCAGCCGAATGAGAGACTCTAGCGGCAATATCGATGTTCTCGCCGTCAGAAAGCCGCCTCGCAATTGAAATCCAGACCTAAAATGTCTTCACGGGCAGCACGAGGGGCGCTGAATAACATATGCCTAATCGCCCATGTATTTAGCGCATGTCTGGGATGTTTGCCAAAACGCCACCAACTTCTTGGGTCGGGATGACTGGTCAACGCTGCTGTGGTCATCTTTTAGCCGGTGGGTCTGGATTAGGGGGAAAGACGGTGCGGTAATTTGCAGCAAGGTTGACGATTTTGACAGAAAAGGTAATGCCAACTCGATTTAGACGGCTGTCTGGATGAGAGGATCGCCTGTAAGCCGGATGTTAGTCTCGCTCCGTTCTTTCATTTCGTAGCCACCCGGCGGGTAATCCGTGCAGATGGCTCAGCAAGGGCTGGATACTTCTGCTATTCCAGTCGTGTCAGGTTGGTGGGAACACGAAAACCAGCACTATAAGCTCTGGCAAAAGGCAGGGTATGTTCGCATAGTTATATGATCTTCACTTAGGTAAGATACGACTCGGGCGCTCAGACGCCCGTTGTGGAAGTGAAGTTGGTCAGCTCCTTAATATGGAGACAGGTATTTTACTTCGATGGGCAACAAGAGCCGTAATGTACCTCTAGCACTATTCCCTCTGTCATACTCGAAGTCAGATTCTTAAAAGACGGAGTATAGTATGGCTAGCCTGTTGGGTGGCTCCCGGGCCGGTGAGGGCTCAAAGGGGAAGCGTAGGAGGAACGTCACTAATTGGAACCAGTCAACACTATCCCTCGCTTGTCCAGAACAAGTAAATCAAGCGGTACGATTGCTCCGAGATCCGGTTACGGAGACTTTGTATTGCTGTCTTCTGAGGTATGTTCCTAGAGAGGGGAAAACTTACAGTAGCGTGATAACCAGGAAATGGCATGTGCATGTGTTAACATGATCAGGTTGATAGCGATGGTTGGTTATTTCCCTCTTGTGAGAGTATCTGTGTTGCAGAAAGACAGCAGACGAGTGCTTTGTGTGTTCGCGTGAACCTTCTTCTGGGCATGGCTGCTCCACTCCCCTTCACAACACTCGGATAAGCCGAGCATCGAACACCTGCAGAGATCAACCTCTGTGGCGTCTCATGGTAAGGCGGCGGCCTCATCTGCTTTTCTAGTCAAATCGACACTCGCTTTGTAGAGGCTTAAGGTTGCCTTGCTGTAGCCACGCGAAACACCCTCAATGTATCTGTTTATGTAATTCAGAAGGCTGTTAAACCAGGGGGTAATAGAAAACTACCCTAGGCCATTAATCTTGACGGCCTAACAGATGGAATTGGACGCAGATTGGAGGAATTATGGTCTCCGATAGATCAGAAGTGATCATCTTAACTGATAACATTCTGCTCGGCGGATAAGTGCATGCGGCACTACAACTGTGCTACTGCATGACACGCATGGCTCTGGCTCCGCACGCAGTTCAAGTTATTTTAAATTATTGTTTTCCTTCGACATAGATCCTCTGTATAAGAGCATTTTTGGCTTGTTGCACGGGGGTTTGGAATTAGAATACGGGAGATCAAGTCATAAGGCTGAACGGTTGGTGGCATGGGCGCCCTATAACACACAAGTGGAAGATCAGCACAGTTCGAGAAGTCGGAAACGGGACGATCGACAGAGGTGGTAGGTATAGTACTGGAAAGCATCACAAAGAGATCTAAATCTAGAACAGAAGATTGGCTAATTCCAGGGCCACTGAAATCATAATGGTTTCGACGAGCTTCGATCACTTCCATCCTGGGTGTCTCACATGCAAGTCGAGAGTGAAGGCTTGCAGGTGTGGCAGCCTCTTCAGCAAGTTGCAGTAGGTTGAGGCGTTTGGCTGGTTTGCAGCAGCCAATCAGCGTGATCAGATGACTTCTTTATAGAGAGTTGTATTTGGAGGTCACTTGGTAGTGACTCTTAGTGACTTCCGAGGCGCTTTCCAACTTCCAATTTCGCACTACTACATCACAACATCCTCTTACATTGCGCAAGAGCCAATCCCACCCCCTGCACTTCCACTTCTCCTACATCCAGTTCTTCTAGCGCTACCTTCACTTCCGAATATGGTAGCATTGTCAACTCTATACAATACACAGTATCTCGGGCACTCCACTCATTATCATTCCCTGTTTTCTCCCTCTCATTCCCGACCTGCTACCACATGGCGTGTCAGCTTATCCTACGGAAGCTCGTATTACCCTCCGACTATTGAGTCTAGCTGTGGCCCCTAGAATCAGAATCCGTTGGCAATCCACTAACCAGATCGAGTCGGAAGATCGACGTCGCGTGAGTGAGCGTCATATCCTATTTTTCACTGCCGGGTTTCCGAGCTTCTTAGCTGACGGTGTACATGACTCGTGGTTATATTCTCCTGAGGCTCCCGGTACGAAAACCGGGAGTTGGCCGCCGCTAACCCAAGTCACGGAGGTTGTAGTTTAACGCGTGGAGACTCCGCCGGGGTCCCAGAATGGACGGGTGTTGGCGCCTTTGGCTGGCGGCCTGTGGCCTATGCTGGCCTATGCGTCTCGGGGCTCAGCGGAGTGCGTCGCATTTCCCCATCTCCATCCCCTTATCGGCTGGCAATTCCCCCCTTTCCTTTATCTTCCACGAGACCCCAGTCCTAGAATATATCTGCAGAAAAGCCCGCCAACAAGAAGACTAGTACATATTCGCACCAAGTCCGATGCAACTGTCCCTGCTATTGCGACGGGGGAAAGATAGCAGTTGTCTAGCCACTCCACGGATAACATCAAAGACCCCGGAAGAATACGTGATCAAATCAGGAAATTGGCTAATTCGTATTCAATGGTTCAGGATCTACCTCGTATCTGTGGATGACGCTGGATTCGGGTCAGACCTAGACGGAAGCATCGCGCAATATCCGCACCGTCGACTCAGAATCTATTTCCAGGAGGCCCGGTCCACTGTGGCACAAGCGATACTCGCGTGAATTAACCGGCCCCAGGAACCACGTTTCCTTCAGGAATTGATGGACCGCGGAGTCTGGATTCATAATTGCAGAATGTCTGAGTGGGCGGGTGGGGGGGAAGCGTTTCCTACGGCTAGCGTGGACATCCTGCGACAGCGCTAACTTGCGGGCCATTCCGCTGCCAACGTGCTAGACACCTCCCCCCTCCCCCCCCCCTCTTGTTGTGCAAACACTGTGCATAGAAGAGGCCTCCTGATACGCCGAGCTGACCAACGACAGGTGTGAAACGATGGTCGGTCTAACAGATGCCTAGAGAATTAGGGTGTGGCGAGGTATACGGGATGGGGGACATGCCAACCGTCAGACAGCCAGATGGGATCCGGGTGGGAGCGCTAAGTCCGTTAATAAGCGGAATGGCAATCAGGGTTGGTGGCCGTGGAATTATGCCCACTGGCAAAAGGACGTGTGGCTTTCTGCGGTTACATCCGAATAATGTTGAAAAAAAAAAATAAAAATAAAAATAAAAATAAAAATAAAAAAATAAATCCGCTGCAATGTGATGATCAATCCGCACTAGCTGACGACCATTGCGGTTCCATGACTGGGCGGATTATATTATTTTATTTATCTTGCCTAACGCGGATGGCTTGGACTTGGTCGATCGCCGCCTGGCGTGGCGTTGCGTTCTGGATTCTCAAACGGGAGATCGAATCCAAGACATTCATCCTATCGAGGGACTATGGAGCCGAGAAGGAGGCACGCGCTCCGTGGTTGGTGGAGCAGCCTCCGCGGGCTGAAAAAATATCAGGGATGCAGGGCAACTTCAGATTAAGCCATGCAGGAGCTCATACAGCCCCCCATTTGTCGAGCAATTATCTCAGCAGGAACTAGAGTTACCTTCGTTAGGCCGGGTGAATCTGATTAAATCCATCCCATGCTAATATTACGCAGACTAAGCTACAAGCTACGGTTTCGGGGGGGTTCCGCAGTCTGCAGGCCGAACGGGGGATATTCACCCCCCTCGAGTCGGGTCAGATGTACCAAAACAAAAGGATCAGGATCCTTCCATTTGCTTCCCGATCGGTCGATAGGGCAGCTTGAGCGAGACTTGACTAATCTGGCCTATTGCTTCCCCTCAACATTCGCCCCGGATCCGAGATGGGTGGCCCGGAGGTTGTACTTATCGACGGCGTCCCCTCGGTGCCTTTCCCTCTTCTCTGATCCTACTATTCATACTGCCTCAATACAGCTATATCTTATACAGCTTCCTCCCAAACGCCACTCATTTCCATTCTGCTTCTTCTCTGATTCATCCTCGAACAACTGAGCTGCTTGCTTTCACTGAGTGCGGCTAGTCAAGCTATGCCCGCTATGACCATTACACTGAGTGACCAGACACATACTGTGTCTGAGACCTCATCGACGAACAATGGCATCTCAGGGACAGAATCCAAGAAGTCAGGCACTCGGAATGGCCATCCCCAGAGCAACTGCCACCAGCTGCCGCCTCCCCCATCGCAACCCACTGCGGAGGGGGAATACCGGTGCGGAATCTGCAACAAGACATACAGTCGACGTAGGCTACTCTTTTCTTTATGGTTGCACAGTGTTGACACATTTTCTCCATGACTACTGGCTCCCTTGATCATTCTCAGAGAGACGGCCACTTAATGCACACATGTGTGGTTAACAAGATAATAGTTGATCTGCGGGACCGGCACCGTCGCCGTTGTATTAAGAACATTGGCCAGGAACGCCAGTCCAAGCGCAAATCCTGCGACGCCTGTGCGCAGAAGAAGCTGCGGTGTTCCATGACCCGGCCCTCCTGTAGCCGATGTATCCAAAGCCGACGGCCTTGCGTGTATCCGCAGTCTTCTATTCCTGTTCAAGCTCCCAATCTTGATGATGCTCAAGATAATATTGTTACGTCTTCCGGCTCCCTTCACTCAGTTTCGGTCTGCGCCGGTATAATACCTGGTGGCACGACATGGGCCCTTCCCACATATCCGTTCGACACCCCGTCTACTGCCGACGAAGTAAATGATGTTTCGGGCTCCTCCTGGAGTCCCGAAACTCCAACAAATGCCGAACTTGCGTTCCAAACCGTTAACGAGAGTACTATGTTTCCCATGCAAGATGTCTCGTTGATGAACTCCCCGCCCTGGCAAGAGGATCTCCATGAACGGCCCGAAACCCTTGGGCTGGAGGAGTTCTTTTCCGGGTCGCTTGACAGTTGTTCGCCAGCTATGTATATACCACCGACGATGGGGTCCTCTCCAGTGACCATGGTACCTCCTACCCCGGCTACTCTCCCGGGCGACTCTTATGCTACGGGAGGCGGACTGAGTATGTCATCGGTATCCCCTGGCTATTTCGATAATTTCTGGCCCGATAACATGGCGTCCACCGATGAAGACCACGAAACTTGGCGATTCGGCACGTACACAGATAGCCGGTCCGGATCGGGGTTCGGCCAAAACTTCCTGCCCAAAACAAGTCATCATAGCCCGGGTGACATCGGTGATCTCTATCAAGAGCTGTTCAGCTTGTTACGTGAGTACCCCGGGCTGGCACTGCAGAGACAGTTCTACTCGCCTTTCCTACACCACGAGCTACAAGGGTATGCGATGCAATCGTTGGGCCAGCCAATTAGCACTACTCTGAGTTCGATATCATCCTATGCTAGTTATCTGGAGGCTTGTGATACATTTGATTTGTCAATGCACGATGGGGAGCGGCTCGCAGCAGCAGAAGGCTGCGTGGTAGCGCTTCATGCTGTCTGTGTTCAACAGATCCTGAGCATTTTCGGCGATAACTTCGCCACCACCGGCTTCAGCAAGCTCCCAAACTTTGCAGGCGATCAAGGGCATACCGAGACTCCTGTTGACATTCTCTTGAGGGTATGTTTCCCCCCACTCCGATTGCCCTACGCCCCACCCTATGATTTGAGCTGACCTGAGTGGCCCTAGATGACGCAGCGGGTCTACAAACTTCATGAGGACGTTCTTCGCACCCCCCATGAAGATGAAACAGATTGGCGCCGATGGAAATTCGCCGAATCCCTGCGACGTAATATTTTCTTCGCCAATATAATCCGAACATTAGCAGGACGGGCCCGCCGTTACAACGGGATCAACATTGACCCGCTAGATAGCGCGATCCTTCTTCAGCTGCCGTTGCCGGCGCCGGAGGAAATGTGGCGAGCACGCAGCGAGGGGGAGTGGATGATAGCCCGCGCACAGACGCAGCGGTCGTGGGCGCGGGGCGTGGATGGCAGCATGCTGCCAGCCCTGCGGACCCTACAACAGCTGCTGGTGCTGGAAGAGGTTGGCAGTGTAAGTGTTACGTTATTGCTTCCCATCACACGCATGATTCTGGCGTGTGCCAAGCTCAATGGAGCTTCATATGGCTGAGGTGGACCGGTGGGCCCCGCGATAGGGCGATTATGATCGTCACGGATGAATTTCTTTTTGCATGATTTTCCTGTTTCCAAAATACCCTGTTCTTCTCACGAAGACTACGATCATCGTGGGATGTATTAGTTTTGTATCCGCTAGAGAGTAGAGACTAGATCCTGATTGCAAGGCTTTATGATTATGATTCTCAGTGTTGTTTCTTGTTCTGTTGTTGAACCCGTCCCGAAATCGGAACCCAATTCCGTGGGGGATCTCGACATTGATAGATCGCATCACGTCTTTAGCCGTCGCCGGATTTTGATGATAGCCCCATTGTGGCCAAACTAACGGTGACTGCAGAGCCCGTGCCGACATGCACGGATCAAAAAGGGATAGATTGAAATCAGCCAAACAAAAACTGTTGGGCGCATGTATGAGTGAGAACTGGACCTGGGGCTGGGCTTGGCTGGCTGAGACGCCAAAATCCGGACACACGGCGATGCCGAGGCCTCGACTCACGACGAACATGCAGGCCGTCAGGCAGGCAGGCAGGCAGGCAGACAGGCTGGAAGACGAGGAATCGCGACCGGACGGCGAACAGGGTCCAGGCAGGTTAGTGAGGATAGGTTCAGCGAGCCGATACGGTACCTCGTTAGTGCTCCTTAGTTCTGACCAGCTTGCTAGCCTTCCCGCGGATGGTAACCTCCGGCGGGGGTCCGGCATCCACCCGTGGGATTTACTTGGGGGGTTTTTTTGTACCTCTCGTGTCGATCGCAGCTATCTCCTCCGAGGTTCGTGGCCAATCGTTTGTATGCAGGAGATGCAGTAGTGTCGACGGGCTAGGACGAGTTGGTTAACATCTCCTGGGTGGTGGATTGGTCTCGCCGAGTAGTAAGTAGTATCTAGTAGTAGTAAGTATCTTTCTAGTACTAGCCGTTGTTTTCATACTAACGAGTTGTTGGCGATGAGGATAGGAGTGGGGGAGGGGAGAGATATTATCCCACTGTGTGCTATTTTTTATTTTCTTCTTGTTCATCACCAGGTGCCACCTTGATGGTGTACACCATCGCAACAGCTATAATGATGTTCTTTTGGGGGTGGTTATTTCCACAACCCCCACTCATACGCATACACCCATCAACCTATTCACTAAATTCAACAGCCGCGCAAAAAGAGGATAGAAGACAATAATCAAAGACAGAAGAGGGGTAGAAAGGATGAAACCTAATCTCGATAAGCGCCGCCAAGCCCTGTAGGTCAATCTAACTTGCCCTCCTCCGTCAGTCTTTTATTCCGACCAAGAAAGGAAAGGCAGCAAAGCGAAGGCGAATCCGGCCCCCTCCGTGCCTCGCTCCTCCAAGATGGGAATATGCTGCGCTTGGCTGCGAGTTTGCCGATATTACACTGAACCTTTCCACCCCCGCCGCTCGTCTCCTGTGCCGAGTACTTGGCTATACGCTGAATGACCATTGTTTGATGGTGTGCTGCCGTGCTGGGTGCTTTTCTTGGGTTACAGAGAGAGAAGTCTTGGGAGAGGTCTTGGTGAAGAGGAGATGGTCTGGGCATAGTCCGTCCGCTAGGTAAGTAGAGGATTACTATAAGATCGCTAAGTTAAGAGTGGAGCATGTGTATACGTATGTATTCCTCTTTTGAATGCTGATGCCAAGACGTTGGCAGGAGAGGAGACAAAGGAGGGGGGGAGGAGGAGGAGGAGGGGAGGGTGTGTTTCGCGCCTAGGCCTGACGACACACTTGGCTTTTAATCTATATTATCTTCACTACTTGGTGAGATACTACTTCCTGTTTATGCAGTTGGGTCTCGGCGAAGTGGGGTGGGGATGAATGATACTAGCACTAGGCAGTAGGATCCAGTTCTCGTCACTGCTCTCTCTCTCCCACCCACTCAGCTTATGGACTGCTAGCTAACACTTTGCCCAGAATCATTTCTACCTATTTGGATCGGATTCGGGAGTCTCGGGACTCCGGTGGTTAACCAGATGATGGTGACGACTAACGATGGTCACGACGATGATCATATCCCAGTTAGAAAAGACGGTTTGACGAGACCCAGTCCAACCGATCCAACCGAACTGAAATGCAATGAACCCTCACTGAACCGGGACTGATCATATGCCGATGGAACAATGATCGCTGATGCCAAGCTCTTCTGCAGTGGAAAAGGGAGATCCACGCGGACGGAGGATTATGCAGTGCCAGTTACTAGTAGTTAGTCCTACCTCCCAAACTTGCACCGCGAGTAGTAGGTGTACTACTAGTAGGATGGATATAATTTCTCCGTCTTGGTGAACTTTCTGCACCTGCAGTCTGCAGTACATCCTTCATTTACTCTTTCCTTCGCTAGTTGTTACTATCGCTATCTCGCCTAAATTTCCTGCACCCATCTTATCAAATCAATTACCATCATCTGTCTGCATGCATCTCATAAATTAATCCCGTGTCTGGGTTTTATCTATCAGTTGCTTATATGCCGAGAAATATAAATGGCAAACAGACAAGGTCCGCGGAGCTAGGCATTCATCATCGGGGTCAACTAGGACTAGGTAGGGAAGTGAATGGAGGACTATGACTAGGTAGGCACCCTTGGGGAATAATGGACTCTACTATTGTCATGCCATTGTCTTTCCTTAGGCTCTATGTATAATCTGTCTCATTAATTGACTACTACGGAACCGATGCCTCGATCTGTAATGTGCAGAACGAGGCTGGCAAGTCAGCGAGGATAGAATAAGCCGCGTGTTAAGCCAAGCCGGTAAAGAGACCGGCAAGGAGCGGGCCGGGATGAGTGAGACATCCTCTGAAGAAAAGGAATAGCGAGAGGGGGGAATTGTCGGAGGAATTGAGGATTTTCCTCGTGTATAGCACGATCTTCTCTCACTCTTGCTGGAGCCTGGCCCACACGGAAAGGAAGAAAAAGAGGGAAAGAAAGAAAAGAAAAAAAAAAAAAAAAAAAAAAAAAAAAAGGCCAACGTACCGAGCATCATAAGAGTCCTCACTAATGTCATGTGCTTTGATGGATCTTGTTAGATAATTTCATTGTTTATCATGAGTAAGAGGATGAAGGAAGCGTAAGATGAATAAACTTTGGGATGTCTCTCACAAGGTAGATTAATTGGGGGTCTACGTTATCGGGGATTGGGATTGTTGATCTTCATGTGGTTGGACCCTGTTTCATTCCTCCTGCTTGTGCTTCTGCTCTTTGTAATTACATTGTTAACGTATACTACTACTGTAGCTCACGCAGACAACAACATCCGTATAGTACTTCCTCCCCATCCACCTCATCAAAGGAGCAGGATCTCACCAAAAGGATCTAATCACGCACGATCAAAAATAACAGTCCACCCTCCCTCTTCTTCTGCAACTACCAAAAGTCCTGCATAACTTATACCCCCATCCATCATCATAACCCATCACAAACCCCCACTCATACCAAAAGCACTGGGAGGATCCGATATTATCCTAACGAGCCATGGATATGAATCCTGTCGGCTCCAACTTCTCCCGAGGGTAAGAAATCCAGCCTTGTCGTCAGAGAGCCCAACACGAAGTACGCAACCCTCGTCTATATCTGATCCAATTATTTAAACTTTTCGTTTTTCATTTGACATTTTTCAATATAGCAAACAATATAGCCACTAGGCTAGACTCCGGAGTGTGGGAACGGAGTCGGAATCGGAAGGATATGGTCATCTTCACATACTTTTGTTACTGGATTACTAGATCTTCGGGGGATATTCCGCGCTTAGGTTACCGTGTGGGTGCCTTCAAGAGGTCAGAAATAATCTTTTGATTGCTGATCAAGACGTTTCCAGTGGAAGTGCTTACCTAATTACGTTGCATCTAGCGTAACGTCTTGAGCATGTCTCCATTCTGGACACTTATTTGTCGCATAGGTGAGGCTATACTACTCATAAGTAGTAGGGATGAGTATATCTGCACCTGCGATTATTTACCTGAAAGAGAAAGCGCCGTCCATGGGATATTATTACTGGTCAATACAATCTATCTGCCACTCACAGGGCGGGAAACAAACAAGGCTGTATCTTCCTGGTGTGGTAAAATCAATCCACCCGCCCATTTACTACGAAGATCTTCCCAACGTTGCCGATGATTACCTCGAAGGTGCATCCTTCCCACACCATAAACCTTCCCATGTCTGCCCAGAAAGCTTCTATAATCTTTTTGTCCAATACAAACTCGATGAAACCGGAAGAAAAGAGGGGTGGCGGCCAATGGACAGGGACAAGAACCAGATACGTGCCGTGTCTAGCTAGTGATGATACCATCTGCGGCTGCTACCACTCGTTTTGTGACCTCCCTTGGCTTTACTGTGGGCGCTTGTCGCCACTTGTTACTCATACTTTGCCAATGGAGAGTTTAGGACGGCAGTGCTACTTGTTACGAGTGTGTGAGGGACAACCGCGGATATGACTCTCTCGGAAAGATAAGTGACTCACTGAGTTTGATGGAGAAAAGGATAGTTGATCCATTTGACCGAAACACTCCCAGAGGAGTTGAAATAATCATCGAAGGAAAGGCAATGCTATTCATTGGTACGTTCATCTCTCTTTTCCACATCCTTATCACACTGTATGACAGTACATTCGCCTCGTGAACTAACTCCCCAGATTAATCAAAAAAGATACGGACGAAATCACCCAACATGCGATAATCCCCTTCAGACACCATCCCTCATTACAACAATTCTGAGTCCTCCTTCAAACACACATTATACTACCCCGGAATGCCGTCATCGTCATTCCAATTTGCTCTATCCTTGAATGCTGCTAAAGTGCATCCAGACAACACTCCCAACCCGGTCATTACGCCACTATCGTCCTCAGTGGCGCTCCAAGAGGGATAACGCTGATAAGTAAACTCATTAACAACTATCGTTGTTCATGCCTGCATGCAACATTATCCAACTGCGTCCCCGAGGTGGACCTCATTGCCGAAGTATGGATATCAGGTATAATCCATGACCCTTCAATGCGGGAAGGACAACTGTCCAATACCTTTTGCCTTCTTGGATAGAGAAAAATTGGATATAAGATACAATTTGTGTCTAGTCCTTGAATATCAAGTAGCAATATGACTTCTCATCGTCCCATTGTTGACAAAGCTAGAGCAGTTGACTGTACTTCAATAGAACAGCGAACATATACTTCCAGCCCACTTGTGAAATAAAATGCTGTCGTGTTATGGGGTAATGTAGAATGTGACATTCCAATACAGTGTCGAAATTCGTGTTCACGGTGCGGAGGCAGGGCATACAGAACAAGTAAGAGTATCTTTCTTAACGCTTGACCATCGTACATTGTGCAAACAACTCCTTCGCATTCTCCATCCTTGCATCCATAAAATCATGTGCATCTGTGCAACCGCTGCACTTGCTACCAGAGTTCCTAGCGGGACAGCTTCTCTTAATGCCATAGAGGTAATGTTGCACGAGGTACCTCTGCAAACATAGTGTAAGGATATATACCGGCAATTGGCAGTACAACTACATGCTGAGCATGGGTAAGTTCGTGAATTAGACCAATGGGTAGGTGAATGACATTGCATCGAGGTTTAGTACCACTGGGAACAATAGGCTTCTTCCTTGTGAGAGTGTCAGAATAGTATATCCCAGCCTTCGGGAACAAGAAAGATCGGTATTCTGCTGAAAGAGACCCGATATTCCAATTGCAATCTAATCCATGAATTTAATCGACATGTAAGTTGCCGTGAATCTTTCATTGGCATATTATGTTGTTCGGGATGTCCACGGAGATTGGTCGGTTTTTCTCAGGGTTAGTACAATCATATCTGTTCTTTCTTTCTTCTCCCCCTTGATCAAGATCCATCATCAGAGTATCCTTGCATAACCCCGTAGCTGGCAACTATATGATTTCGCTTTTAGCCTTTCTCCCTTCTTGTGGTATTCCCGCTGCTTTTGTTTGCATTGTGCCAGCTGCAGATGGTCTTTCGGCTTCATTACTGGACATCAACATCAATCATGCTCCTCAATTAGCGGTAGGTTTTTTGTTTTGGTTATAGCCGGAAGATCATGTGTATATTGGTCAATTATCTCTCTCTCCTTGGTAGATAGGCCATTAATATGTCCGATGTGTCATGCTTAGTCTTTCGTTCGTGGTCAAGAAGACAGTTTCATCTGGGAAACAAGTCAATTTGCGAAGGTGAGCCTGTCAAGCGACGCGCAAGCATAGACAACGAGACAGTAGGCGACGCCGCACATGCGTAGCATGAAAAGTCTCTCTATGCCGAGGAGCGAACGACTAACTGAGAACAGCGATAAGCATTTTCAGGAGCTGCTCGAGGCAGACTGATATAGTCCTTTTCCCGAGGAGCCCTGGCAGATTGACCATTCTTATATATAAGGATATCAGTGCTCTTCGACGGTACTCGGTAAATCATGAGAAATCATAGCATGGCCGCCATTCTTGCATGAAATCAATGGAACATGACCTGAACTTCACCACCGTAGAGCTGGGAAGCGGCATCATGCGCTGATCTCACGCACGAGTATCTTCGCATAGCGCGCGAGAGAACCTCGATGAAGGTTAGGCTTGTGAACTGCATGTAAAAGGGAACCATCACCTTGATGGCCAGGTAGACGCAGTATACCCTTCTGTCCCTCTATGTTGAGGATTCGATAACTGCGATTGATGACGAACCACCTCAAAGGTGGATGTCAGTATAGCATATATCTTGTAAAGCTGGCTATCTCTTGCAGAGACAACGAAGTAGGTTCGTATGATTATCATACCCTCCGTGGACTCTGAATGGCCCTTTCCATAGTCTTGTCGCCCATTGTAAGTGGAAATGTTCACATGTCTGGAAACTTTCAAATTGTTCGTGCGACGGTAAGATGTGCTTGCTGTATGCTGTGTCTCATGACATGTAGACCGCCATGATCTGTCCATTCACGATGTGTCATCAACAGGCCCCAGTCGCGCTCTGAAAGACTTTTAGCTCCACCAAGCTGTGTCTAATATTATATCACCCTGGGTAAGATGCAGCCTGTCGGATATTCCTGTAGAGAGTAGGTAGATCCATTTAATAGGTAGGTGGCAGCCAAAGAGTCTCTCACTGCTGCTCAACGTTTTCAATGCTTGTACCGGGACTGGGGGCTCTTCCCTTGCATCTCCGAAGTACACAAGAATCTTCAACTTCGATGTGAACTTCTTAATCTCACTAGCCCACTGCCACACGAGATGTGGTGGACAGATGATTAGGGTTGGCTTATCCGGTTCATATGTGGCATGCTAAGATAGATATTAGCGGTGGGAAAGAGGAGATCTGGGGAAGTTTTCCTCAGGGATCATAAAAAAATAGGGACATACATCCACTAAATAACCAGTAAGAGTCCAAGTTTTTCCACGGCCCATGACATCTGCCAACACACAACAACAGAGCATAGGATTCTTAGAAAACTCCTTGATAGCATAGATGGCAACAGGCTGCCAGAAGCGTAAAATTGTAGACACTCGCATTCCCTTAATCTTTGGTTGGTTGATGTCTCTGATATTGCAGGGCCCTGCACGCTTCCTCTTGATTTTTCCCGCTGGAATTCGAGTGCATCAATTTAAGAGCGATGCAGATGGCGATTGCAACATGATGTTCAAGCCAGATGTGTCAGATCAAGGCTGTTCATGTTCGACAATGTTCTTCGGCTTTGCTGTTCATTTCTGTCTCCATTTACCTGCGCCCAGATGTTCACATTGTCTAGGCCAAGAACCTGTGTGCCATGATCCCAGAAACATGGCAGACATCATGTAAAAGTCGTATCTGGCCATAGTTTCCCCGCACTTCCATATCCAGACCGGAATCGTAAGCGTAGCTTTATCTGATATACGAAATTTCCTCTTCATATACAGTGTCATGTTCAGTCATGTGTATGTTGACCCTTCATGTGATAGAAGACAGTGGAACTGGCGGGACCATATCTCCCACTGATCCGGTAAACCACAATTGATTCTGCACGCTGTGTGGCTTTTGCTCGACCTGTTATATACACCGACCGATGGGTTGATAGGCATGATCGATCGCGGCGAATGGCGCGGGATTGTGGTGTGGTCTTTCGAAAACCACAAGGAATGCGCAATTCTTCTAGCCACATGGGGGTAGGATATGTGGAACGTATTTTGAGCTAATATCGAACCATCTTAGTTCAACTGAGGTAGTACTGCAAATCAGAGTGACAAAGTTGCCAAACCAGTGCCCATTCCTTCACTCATATGTCCAAGCACTCTCTCATTGTACATCTCGACATCCGCAACCAGGCACCCGGTTACGGATGTCATTGACGCTCCACAGATTATGCCAATATGGACCTGACATTAGTATAGGACGTTCCTGTTTGACCGAGAGGATAGTATCTATATATCATGCCATATTTCGCTGTAAAGGGTAAAGGTAATAGCTTCGTCGATGAGTCTCAGGGGTTAGCTCCCGTCCCATCAGCGTATCGTTCTGATAAATGTGATATGATGCACGCCATTCTGGATCTAAACCAACGGTTTCTGTCCTCGGCGCAATATATATAGAAGTACGAGTTTCTTCCTTTCGGTTGTTCTCTTCCGATGGACTCCTAGTTGCATACTAGGAGTACTTGTAGTACTCATCAACCCAGACCAAGCACACGGGCTGTCAGGGTTCCATCATGGTTCCACAGAACATCCCACGAGGCTGTGGTTCATTTTGACAATGTCTGAGTTCTTTCATGCTTTGTCTCCATTGTCAAATTGGCATTGTTCGGCGTCGAGTCGTTCCTTTTGCGGATGCGTTTGTTTTCTTCGACCGTTGGCTAGAATTAAAGTTTAAACTTGCCTCCTATGCCAAAGATCCATTGGAGATTTTCAGCTGCGTGGTATATGCTTGAGCCGAACATATATTGTCACCGAATTTCGATTAGGAATATAATATAACGGTAACAGCCGCGACAAGCACGGTATCTGGGAGTTTCCGAAGCCTAGGGGCCCACCCTATTCTGATCCTCAGGCAATATGATGCGCTGCAGGGGCATATACTATATGACAGTTCGTGTTAGGAACCTCCAAAAGGTCAATTAGTTATCAGGAGGATCTGGCCAACTCACCAGCATGCAGGCATGTTACAGCAGAGCCCGGAGACATCCCACTTCCCCAATCGACAACCACCACACGGCTCACAACGAAGAGAAAGGCGATATCACTCTACCCATAGATGACATATTCAATTACCAGAATACGTAGTTTCGTCTCCGAGCTTAAATTCTGGCTGTGACGTAGAGAAAGGCTATACTTGCATCCTCTAACCCTAGTCCTCATTGGAGTCGCTAGGCATTATGGCGAGAATTCGGGGCAGGTTTTCTTGCGGAGACAGTTCCATAGGGCACGCAAAGAAAGGTATATAATGGATGTGTCAAGTCATGATGCCCTTGAGTGGGTTTTTGTGCGTGATTGTCTCTTATATATAGGAAATGGGATGATGGAGAGAAGAGCAGAAAGATGGGATGGATGTGGGAGGAAGGTCGGGTTTCTATAAGGGCTATTTCTACGGGGGTGAATTAATTAAATAAATGTGCGAGCAAGATGTTAATTATCTGTGGTTGAATATCACAGTTGAATTGGTGTCTTGGCGGAATGGAATGGAAGGATTCAGGGGTGAATCTGCCAAGTCAATGTATGCACTAGCGAGATGGATCATTAGGCTTCATCGTTTCATGGCTCGGCATCTATATTAGTTCTTTCGTTGTTGGCGATAAAGGCGGGAATCATTCACAGGCAGTCATTGTTGCATGAATAGAAATTCATTAGAAAAGGAAATATTAAAGAGTGTAGTCTATCGCTAAACCATAGTTCGGGCGAAGTCATTAACCGAACACCATACAGCCAGAAAAACACAAAGCCGCCCACCCAGGGTATACAATCATTAGTGAAAACTGCCATGATGGTGGCTTTCATGACTATCACCATCGGCCACCATCTCTATCGTCTGTGACACGTCCACCGTCTTGTGAATACCTCCAGTGTCATTACCGCCTGCCATATCGACCGTCCCTGCAAATGTAATCAGATGTGACTGGTCGGAGGCGGACTCGGTGCCATCGGCGCGACGGGAATTACCGAGGGAGAATCGCTTGTTGCTTCCTTTGAGTTTGCTAAGGTTGACAGAGGACTCCGGTTCGTAATAGCGTTGAGAGCTGTACTCCTTCTTGCGGAGTTTGTTGATGAGGATGTTGACCGTGGGCAGACAAGCACAGATCATGGCCACGCCTCCTTCGGCGTTTCTAATTGGGGGGTTAGTCTGTGACGTTGATTATTCCCAAAAACAACTTACCCTGACAGAATCACGATCATAAAGACAATAGTCTGGTCCCTGGAACTACCGTCACGCAAGACCAGAACCAGCCGGTACAAACTGAAGGCCGTGGCCAGACCACCCGCCGACAACATGCCGATGACCCGCAACTTCTTATTCCGGGACATCTGCAGCGACCAGGTGAGGGGAAGAGGTAAAATCAAGATGATAAAGTCGGTCACCACACTGATGACAGAGTCGGCAATCAGGGCGGCCCGTTGATTGAGACAACGTGCCTTTGGATCCTGCGTCCAGTATGCCGGAACCGGGTCGCACATGCGAATCTTGACGATCTCGGCGACAATGTAGTATATGCAGAGACAGCCAAGAAGGCCGTAGATGAAGTAAATTTTGGAACGGTAAGGATTGAAGATGCGAATGAGGATAGAAAGGAGTGCGATCTTGACGAAGAGTGCCATGGGGCAGTAAAGAACGGTGGCGATGTAACAGAACTGGTTTGATCCTCAATTAGCTGATGCTACTTATCCCCCTTCTGGTAACTGAGCTTTCATACCTTGCGAAAGAGAACCTGGTGTGCTTCAGAGACATCATCGATGTGGTAACCCCCGCCATAGTGACCCACTAGAGTCAAGTTAGTTGGAGCTGCTGGAGAGGTAAAAGCGATACATACCGGCAATGGCAATGCCACAGTATCCCATAAACAGAACCTGCAATTGTCAGTAAATCGCCCTATGAAGGGACCTGCAGTCTCAAACGCACCCATGCTGTAAGACATGACCCTGGGAGAGTTAGCAGTGTTTTCTAGAAAGAGAAGTCAAGCAGACATACAGTCTTCCACGCCTACGAACTGTTTGTAGTAAATACGAATAGAGAAACGCAAGAGAACGAAGATAGTAATGATCGGTATGCACAAACATTGTGTGACGAAATTGATGGTGTTCAAAACATCTTTGGGATGACTGACAGTCATGGCGTGCCAGTGGTCAATGCAGCCTCTTCAAGCAGGAAGAAACAACATGGAGCAAGACACTGACCCCGACGACCGTGGGGAGTCCACAAACATTTATAAATAGGTTCAAGTTAGAGGCGCTTGGTCTGTCAATGCGCACAGTGTCGTCGCCCGGGGTCAAGCTGGCGCTGCGCCGTCTATGATAGGCCCATGAAGTCGCCTAGAGAGGCTCTCAACTTTGGGTCGGAAGCTGGGAGTAACAATCCGAGAAATGACTTCAATGGCACTGGGTCACGATCGTCCCGCCCAGGTGTAGATAGAAAAACCTTAAAGGGATACAGCAACTCCCCGATGCAGTCGGACTGGGAGGCGACCATGGAGTATCCGAGCGGATCGATCGTGATAGGCCCCAGAGGTCATAACGTCTACCTGTTTTGGGAGATGATGGACAGGGAGAAGCAAAGATGCACCTTGCATTGGATCGGCGTGGCTGCTTGCCACTGGGGCGTCGCACGCGATCGTGGTCTAGTCTAGATATGTAGTATCGTGCCAAATACACTCAGTGGTGTTGCGGCGGCGGCGTCCGTGGACCATGGTTCTGAAAAATTGACACCCGTAGGCGGATCCCAGTAGCTAAGAGTGTCTCATTTCGACGCCGAAACTGGGGTTCGACGGGGGTGTCCATCTGCAATGCCAATATTTTTCATAATTACTATTGGATAATTGATTCTCAAATCCCTCCTCCCCTCCGGGCTAGCCGCGGAGACATGGCTGCAGGGCGTCGGAAATATCTCGAACGAACAATGGAGATAACCAGGAGTAATAACCATCGCCGATTATTGCTTCCTCCCCGGGCGCTCGTTCCAATAGCTCCTCGCACTACCTATGCACCAGATCCTGGCTGCATATAGGCTGTGGCAACCACGCACTATCTGTCATGGTGCTGCAGAATCACCCGCCAAGGACCCGAGTGAGGGATTAGTGATCGCCGTGTCCGAGCCAAACCGCAATAGGGTATTCGGCATAAAGGAGAACGCTGGAAAGTGGGTTGGGAAGCAGCGTCTGTGAAAAGCCTGTGATGCCGCGGGCTCCGGCAAACTGTCATGGAGCCAGTCAACCCTGGCAGAATGGATCCCCTTAATTCACAAGCTTGACCGGCTCGTTGTTGGCCTTGACGGGGGTTGTTCTTCCGGAAGACCGACTTGCGAGACCGACCCGTTGTTTAGCGTGTGCCCTAAAAGTCTCTAAAGTCTCTAACGTAAACGCCAAGCGCCGCGATGAAGAATTTTGACTTTCGCTTGCTGTGTGTCGAGTGGAGCGTCGGATGGCTTCCATCCCTATTATTTCCTGGCCGATATGATGGCTCACATTGACCTCGCATTGTTCCCCTCCCCCGTGTGATCTGAGAAGAAGAAATTGCCCCCAGGTTGTTGTTACCTTTGACGAAGGTGGCTGCTATTGAAACTCTCCTGAGCTTCTAGAAGACGCCTTCCCTGCGCCCGATCAGCAAGGCTGCAGAAAGGCTTGAAACCCACGCGGTTTGCCACGCGCTGCATGTTGTACAAGGGGTCAACAGGGAAAAATGAAACCCGAGGTAACCGATGACTAAACTGGAGTTGGGTGTAATCTGTGGTTCTGTGTAGGCTTCGTGGATACACCTCCACTTCCCAAGGTTCAGCCCGTCCCTCCCATCCAATTTCTCGTGTCCTCGACACTCTGGTTGGGTTCCAGCAACCTGTCAGGCTCCATCTGTCACCCTCATTTGGCAATGGGTCTGCTGCTCTCCGTTCCAGTCCACTGAGAAGAGGGAGGAGGCAATGAAGCGAGCAATAGTGAGAAGTAGCCCTCATGGTGAACACCGGTTTGCTGTCGCACCACGGCCCGTGTCAAGCCAGAAAGTTCCTCCTCCATTGTCCACTTGTGGCTCCCTCGTTTGTCTTTACCTTCCCAGGTAGCTTTCCCATAAATTGCACCTTTACGAGAATCCTCACAATGACCATTGTCCAGGCCCAAGGAGCGGATTCTAAGCTCTTTCAGCCGCTTGCCATTGCCAATGGCAAGCTCACTCTGAGCCACCGGGTGGTACACGCCCCCCTGACGCGCAACCGGGGCGAACCGTTGAACTCAAACAGTACTCCCGAGAATCCCAATCGGATTTGGTACCCTGGGGATCTGGTTGTCGAATATTATCGTCAACGGGCAACCCCTGGCGGGCTGATTATCTCGGAAGGCATCCCTCCATCGCTGGAGGTAAATATTCCCCAAATACCAGCTCCAATGGGTCATTCGTCTGTTCTTTAACACCAAAGCAGAGCAATGGAATGCCAGGAGTCTCCGGTCTCTTCACGGAAGAGCAGGCCGCCGGATGGAAGCGTGTCGTCGATACAGTACACGCCCAAGGGGGCTACATCTACTGTCAGCTCTGGCACGCCGGCCGTGCTACAGTGCCCCAGATGACCGGCTACCCTCCCGTCTCAGCCTCCGCCAGCGTCTGGGACGACCCCGAAGAGCGCTACACCCATCCCGCTGTGGGAGACTCGGAGCCCGTTCGCTACTCAGACCACCCGCCGATTGAATTGACGGTCGCGCACATCAAGCAAACCATCCAGGACTATTGTAAAGCCGCCAAGACTGCCATGGATATTGGCTTCGACGGCGTTGAACTACATTCCGGTAACGGATACCTTCCGGAGCAGTTCTTGAGCTCAAACATCAACCGACGGACGGACGACTATGGTGGCACCCCCGAGAAGCGCTGCCGGTTCGTGCTGGAGTTGATGGACGAACTGGCTCAGACGGTTGGCCAGGAGAATCTGGCGATCCGACTCACGCCGTTTGGACTGTACAACCAAGCGCGTGGTGAACAGCGCGTGGAGACCTGGACGTATCTGTGCGAGTCGCTGAAACAGGCGCACCCGCATCTGTCCTACGTCAGCTTTGTAGAGCCCGTAAGCATAAGATTTATAACCGGCTGAATCCCACTTACTAATTCATCCAGCGCTACGAGCAAATTCACAGTTACGAAGAAAAGGATGCCTTCCTCCGCAGCTGGGGCCTTTCGAGTGTCGACCTCTCCTCCTTCCGCAAGATCTTCGGCTCCACTCCCTTCTTTTCGGCTGGCGGCTGGGACCAGACCAACTCCTGGGGTGTCCTGGAGGCTGGCAAGTACGATGCTTTGCTATATGGGCGATACTTCACGAGCAACCCGGACTTGGTGGAAAGGCTGCGCAAGGGCATTCCCTTTGCGCCTTATGATCGCACTCGATTCTATGGACCCTTTGAGGATAGCGCATTCCACTATGTGGACTACGAGCCTGCTCCGCAGAACTCGACCGGGCAGGAGTCCGTAAACGTCTCGGTCCGACTATGATTGATGATTTGTATATGCACATAATTGCGATGCTTGTTTAGCTTGATTGAATTTTAGTTTGCACTTGGCCCATCCGTCAAAGAGGGCCGATCTACGTCGGTATTAATTCAGTGCTGTACGCAGGTAGATCAAGAAGCCACAGAGCTCAAGGCGCTCAAGCCGTGTAACCACCATCCACAACCAAGGCGGAGCCTACCATGTAGCTGCTCATCGGGGAGGCCAGAAACAGGACTGCATCGGCGATCTCCTCCGGTTGTGCCCTACGGCCAATGGCGACTCGCTGTGAATCTGGCACCATGTATCCCGCATCCCAATATGTGCGGATCATATCGGTGTCCGTGTATCTGGATCGTTAGCTAACTAGTGGATCTTATGCTGACCAACGGGTCACCTACCCAGGACAGATAGCGTTGATGCGTATCTCCTGTTGAATATACGCTTTGGCGTCCTAATCCGGCTTAGTCTCGCAGTCTGGGGGAATCATCATGAACAACAGACCATTTTTGAGAAAGCAACCACAGCTGCAACCATTAGCCATCTAGGTACATTCATCCACCAATCCCAGGCATCCACTTACCATGCTTGGAGGCTGTATATGCCGACAGTCCTGACCAACCTCCCGGAGCCACTACCCCAAACATAGAAGCCACATTCACGATCGTCCCCCGACCGAGACGCAAACCGCGCGATCTGCAATACGCTTAGCCGGCTATCTTCCCCTCAAGTGGACCAGTGAAACATACTCCTGTGTCAGCATCTGGCGTATCACTGCCTTTTGGCAGAGCAGCACCCCGGTCTGGTTAATATCGATCACCCTCTGCCATTCTGCTGCCGTCAGCTCATGGGTCGCGGACGGCTGCCCCACAATTCCGGCGCAGTGAACCGAGATATCGATACGACCGAATCGCTCGACAGTGCGACGCACGGCTTCATCCACGCAGGCCTCCTTGGAGACGTCTCCAACCGTGAGTTCCACTGCAACTTGGGGATGTGAGGTAGCGAGCTCGTCTTTAGTGCGTTGGAGGAGTGACTCGTTTACATCCAGAAGAGATACTGCTTCGATTCCATTTTGAGCAAGCGCGAAGGCGGTGGTCTTGCCAATGCCTGAAGCCTCTGAGCACATTTTCCCGATCGGGCTAGGTCATCATACTATTTGAGGAAACTTTTACTTACCATTTCCACCCCCGGTGATAAACGCCGTTCCTGATACTTTGCAGGCCATGATGGATGTTTGCGGTAATTAATACTCCCTATTAAATGAGATGTGAAAGGAGTTAGATTTCGTCGGGCGCTGGCGAGTGCTGGACGACCATATAACTAGCTTTCGCCCCTGTCAGTATTCGAGCGGGGTCAAGGCATTGTCTGTCTGGCTGGCTGCCTCGGTTATTCAGGATCCAGGCCAATGGACCAGCACTAAGTAGTATTATCCTTTGTGGCATAGATATGTCAAGTCTCTGCATTGTACCTTTATCTTGGTGTATTCACGTCTCTACATGCTGTTGACTGTAGTCTCTCTCGTCGATGAAGCGCTATTTGCTACTAGTATGACTACTAGTATTTTTCGCCCTCATTAGCTTCCCATTTGACCGGCTATGGCTTTGCGGGGAAACTGCCTGAGCATGTTAGCTTATGCATCTCTTGAATATGATCATCGTTCTTCACGCAAACTTACCGATCTGCTTAGATGTACACAGGACTGCTTACACAAAAGGTCCGAGAACAGTAAAGCTCCTTTTTTTCTGCAGGTCAGGGAAGGTGCACGAGAGGTTATGCCAGCCGATCATATATAAGGAAACGCAGATTGTATTCCATGCATACATCATAACTCATAAAATGATTCATAACCAATCCATATCCAAAGCCAAACAACAAAATACACCCAACAAAAACAATACAGGTATCAAGTCACGTAGAAGCGTATCCAACGAACAGCCAAATAAACAAGTATAACACCTATAAGCCCCTAACCAACATTAGCACTTCCATCCATACATAAAGACCCTTATTCAATGAACAATAAACTTACATCAAACCCAAGACAATCCTAACTAAACCACCTCCGATCCCGGATGCTGCTGCTGCACCGGATAAACCACCGGCTCCGGCTTCTTCATCATCGATTCCGAGTATCCATATTCTCCTTCGTTCATCGCCACGGGCTGCTGCCCCACAGCATAAGCATGATTATAGTAAGGCGGGGCCGGCGTGCCCGGCTGTTGCTGTTGTTGTTGCGGTTGCATCTGTGTATGTGGATACATGTACTGCTGCTGGAACTGTTGCCGGTAGTATTGGGCACGGAGATTATCTTCGCGGCGTTCGCGCTTGCGGTCGCGACGATGCTTGATGAGGAAGTAGATGCAGACGCAGATGAAGATAATGACGAGGATGGGGATAATGATGATCTTTCCGATGATCTTGCCGATACTCATTTTTGGGAGTTGGTATGGAGCTAGTTGAGGTGGAAATGGAGGAGATAGGGTGGTGGTATGGAACTGTGATGGGAATTGTCTGTGGGGAGATATAATAGCAGAGGAAGATCGGTATGGAGGTAGTTAAGTGACAGTAGACAGTATGAGACTTTGAATAGATAGATGGATGGATAGATATTAGGCAGGTAGTAGCCAGGCAGGCATAGGACAGAGCTAGACAAAGTCAGAAACAAATCCAGAAAGCCAAGATCTTCCCCCACAAGCTTATATATCTCTATCTGCCTAGCAAAGACAGACTGGACCCTCCAGCCCTACCATAGGTTGGCAGGTAGGCAGGCGCGTTAGGAAAAATCAATCCCCAGCACGGGGGGTGATGAGCTACACTCCCAAAGGGAGGACGTTGCTGCTGAGCGCTTCATGGGGAGTGCTGATTCGGTGGGTAGAAGCAGGACGGCAGCGTGAATATGCAGGCGGGTTCACCTCTGTCACACGCAGCCTTACGCGTTAGGTTAGCTCTTGGTGCATCCTTGATAAAAGCTTGGTTGATGGACATGACACTGATGGTTGGAGGAGAGTTGATGATCGGGGCTTGGGAGGGAGCCAATCATGGAGGCGGGTTTGGCGCCGCGGGTGACGGTCGCGCATCAGCCTGGTGTCTGTCGAATCCTGGTAGGGCTGGAGGGGAGGAGAAATAGTAGATGAGTGCTAAACGCTACAGTGGATTGTGTGATTTGAATCTATTTTTATTTAAGTTCGCATGAGGGTTTTGAGGAGTTAAGATACTGCTACTATAGCTTAAGAGACCGCAGTAGAAGCGATCCGCCCCCGAAATATACAATGAGGAACCCAAGGTCATTGCGCAGTTGTATTGAAATAGGGACGGCAAAAAAAAAAACGATAAAAGGAACCTTGGGCACTTTATAGCCCTACATGGCTAAAGAGATGCTTCAAGAGACATATTTTACCATCATCACCGTATTCGAAATGATTGATCTTGCCCCCTAGGCTCTTTCACCCCATTTTCATTCTTGCAGTTACTAGTAACACATCCTCGCGGTCGCCCGGACCTAGCTGACCCTTACAGTGACAGCAAAACAGAAAATTTCTCTGATCACCATAGAAATTACAATCCTAAAAATTATTTTCTGGTACTTTCCCATCAAGGGCTTCGGTTAGATCAAAATGGATCGTGATTGTCAGGGGTCTTCACCACAAATGTTGACCTGGAAGAACCAATCCCGAAATTCCCGGGCTCGCCGCGGAGTCCGCGGAGAGCACGGCGGGCGCGGGCTTCACGGAAGCGAAGGAGGTATACAACATGAACAGCATTGGAGGACTGATAAAAATCCGCGATCGCCCGATCAATGAAGAACTCACAAGCTCCATCCAAGGAGAATAATGTCTGCTATGAGCACAGCTACAAGGTAGGACAGATATCTATCGAGACAAGCCATGCACTGAATACTAAAACAACTAGCCACCAATCCAGCATGAAGCAATCCAAGGATCGCAGCCCAGAGGGGACATCCAACGCCCACGAGGATGAGAAACCGACATTCGAGTTTGGAGGCGCCCCTGGGGTTACCATGCTGATGCTTGGGTTTCCCCTTCTCATGTACTACATGTTCATAGGCGCGACCCTGTACGACGGCCACCTCCCGTTACCCGATGAGAACCAGTCTATCACCGACTTCCTCTCCCACCTCGTTGACCTCGCCCACACGCATGCCTACCCGAACCGCAAGGCATGGATAATATACTGGACCTTCCTTGTCCTCGAAGGACTCGGGTACTTGTACCTCCCGGGCGTATACGGAAAGGGAAAATGCCTTCCTCATCTGAATGGGAAGCAGCTGGATTATTACTGCTCCGCGGCGTCGTCGTGGTATGTTACCATCGCTGCTGCGTTGGTCCTCCACTTCTCTGGTATTTTCCGTCTGAGTACGCTCGTTGAAGAATTCGGTCCGTTGATGTCCGTGGCTATTTGCTCCGGCTTTCTGGTCTCAATTATTGCGTACGTGTCTGCCTTGCTAAGAGGTGCTCAGCATCGGATGACGGGGTCCCATGTTTATGATTTCTTTATGGGTGCGGAGCTCAACCCTCGTTTGTTTCAGTGGCTTGATATGAAGATGTTCTTCGAGGTTCGCATACCCTGGTATATTCTGTTTTTGTTGACGCTCGGAACTGCGTTGAAGCAGTGGGAAGACTATGGGTTCGTCTCTGGGGAAGTGTCCTTTCTGCTTTTGGCACACTTCTTGTATGCGAATGCCTGCGCTAAGGGGGAAGAACTGATCATCACTAGCTGGTATGTTCCTATATGCGGCGGACGAATCGACAGTACTGATATTGCCACAGGGATATGTACTATGAGAAATGGGGATTCATGCTCATTTTCTGGAATCTTGCTGGTGTTCCCATGAGCTACTGCCATTGCACCCTGTACCTGGCGAGCCACGATCCGTCAACTTATAAGTGGAACCCTATAGCACTGGGCGTGCTATTTGTGATGTATATTTTCGCATACTGGGTGTGGGATACGTGCAACAGTCAAAAGAACCTCTTCCGAGCTCAGGAGAGAGGAAAGCCTGTGAACCGCAAGACATTCCCTCAGCTACCGTGGAAATCAGTTAAGAACCCTGTCTGCATCAAGACAAAAACAGGAGATTCCATCCTGTGCAGTGGGTGGTGTAGGTTTTACTCTTTCCTGTATTGCGAATCAGGGCTGATGAAGTATAGATGGAATGGCACGTAAGGTCCATTACAGCTGTGACTGGTTCTTCGCTTTCTCCTGGGGCCTTATTACTGGCTTTAACTCGCCATTTCCCTGGTTCTACTCGTGCTTCTTCACTGTCATGATAATCCATCGTGCCCTGCGGGACATTGAACGTTGTCGCGAAAGATATGGAGAAGCTTGGCGCGAGTATGAGCGGAGGGTCCCGTACTTGTTCATTCCGGTAAGTCGCCTCGAGTTGGTGTTGTGATTCAGCTAACATCAGAAAAGTATGTCTTCTAAGTCATTGGAATAAGGGTTTGGGTCTTTCAGTTGGGCGTCCTAATTTAGAATGCATTGGCCAAACCAAGACTCACTTTTATTAGCTTATTATCCTGTTGACCTGCGTTTGCTATGCTTTACCAGACTGTATATAGGATTATAATCTTGGATAAATATAACCAGTCACATGTCCCAGTGTACCTGCCTTCTTTGTCGACGATAGACAGAATTAGCATATCGCAGACAGTGGGAAAGTTGTCCAGACCGGTCTTCCATTCTTTATGAGCACTTCAAAGAATGAAAGGTATGGAATTTAGAAGCCACAGCCAACAATTAGCAATGAAATGAAGATATGGTGTATTCATTAAATCGAATCGCTATTGGGATCGAAGCTTAGAATATCCATGACCGATCGACTTGTGCCAATAAAGCCATTTAGGAACATGGATATGTCTGCCTGGTTCATGGTGGAATCAAATGTATCTTCAGGCCATGGAACATCTGGTAGGGCAATATTTCCGGGCCCATCAGTTGTGGGAATAACAAGGGATCCATCTTGATGTTGTTCCAACCCAGTTAGTGTCTGTTGTGAGTTCACGAGGATCTGGGCAGCCCGGACAAAAGCGTCACAGATAGTGTATAAGTGCATTGACCCTCGTGAAAGGCCTTTAATTAGTTCTAGGGAGCTGGCGGTATCCTGTAGCAGAGCGAGATCTGCTGTACTGGCGGTCGTGATGGCGTGAGTAAAGACGATGACGAAGGGTGTAAATGAAGGATAAAGAAGTATCCTGTCCCTTTAGTGTACTATACCAATGCAGATTATCAGTTTGTCTTACCAATTTACGTATTCTGTTTGCTTATGTGTCTGGCGACCGCGGAAGTAGGTGAAGCACTTGAGATGACTCTGTAAAGCAGCAGTCGCAGATGCATAGCACTGGGAAGAAACCGCCATTACGTCGCGTGGATGGGTCTGCGCGCGGTAGATGACGGTCAATACTGAGTATGCTATAAAATCTGCACAGGCTGCCATCCCATGTAGTGAGTCGGCATAGAGACCCCGACTAACATCAATCTTGTAAAAGCATTAGCTGACTTGACTGCCTCATCAGAAGGAATGCGTACCGCAAGAAGCTTGTCCCGCACTGTCATTAGGTCGGAGGACAGCCGCTCAATTGATGCTGATCGTTGCTCGTCATCTGCTCGACAAGCAGAGGTAGAGTACAGCTGGTCATAGACTCTACCCTGAACATTCGCGAATTCGACGATCACAAGCCCCATTAAGTCCCACGGGCGATACTTGGGATCATTTGAAGGAGCATAAAGGTCTGCATCGATGTCGTGGTCCTGAAAGTGGGATGTCACGCCAATATTGAGAGAGATATTCTTGTCAATGGTGTAAAGTGCCCAGAACGCATGGCGTTTTGCCTCAGCAATAGCAAACTCATCCTTCTCTAAAGTGGAACGTCGGTGTAAGCCGATGCTCTGGCACATATTGAATGCCAGAGAAAGGAAAGTCCAGCACCTCTGGACGTCGGTTTCCTCTTGTGCTTTCAGAACCTGAATCTGTCAGAATGTGTATCACCTGGAAAGCTCAAACATACCCCAAGCAACAGTGCCTGTATCTTCTCCAAAGTTGGCTCGAACATGATCTCAGGTTTACTCAAGCCAGCGACAAAGTGTCGCTCACAGAGCTCAAGGCTTAATTGAAGGTCAAAGTGTGCCAGGTCGGGATCTCCTGCATGAAGATAATCGCGGATCACATAAAAAAGTATACCATAGAAGAGTGTGAGCGAGCCAGGTGGCACAGGATCTAGCGGGAAATATATCGACTGGCATAGATGTTCCACGCGGGTGGAGTCTAACCAAGATTGACTGACCAGGAAGAAAGGAGGTTGAGCTATATTGCGTCAGTGATAGCAACGAAGGGGAATGGAGATGTATACATTTAACCTTCTTCACCACTGCTACGACCAGATCTACAGGAAGCAATGTCTGATTTAGTTGTGCAGGTGATTGTGCTCCACTCCGATTCATGGCGTGATTGTGCCTATCGAGGCTACTTTTTAGAGAGGAGAGCGCAGCAGAGACATAATCCCCAACCTGTCCATCTCGGGCAGTATTAGCAGCAGAATATGCTGCGTCCCTGGCTACAAGGGTCTCATGATGGAAAGATGACTGTCCCTCAAACGGAGGAGCTGTTGGGCCGGTGGCTATGGGGTGAGAATCTGGCTGTACTGAAGTTGATGGCTTCGTTATCTGATGGAGTGCTTGCTGAATGGTTGCTAATTGTTCTTGGATTGCCGAGAACCTTTGCTCACTAACTTCTGTCAGCCCTGTAAGCAGTGATGATTTAAATAAACCCACTAATCGTCGGAATCGGCTCTGCGTGTTTCCGAAGACCTGACAGGCGTACCTGTCGGACCACAGGCGATTCCAAGAGCGCTGCAGCTGGAGCAAGGGACTACTTTATCACACTTAATCTAAAGAAATTTCCATGAGCATCAATATAATACAAAATTGGCCCTCAGGGTATGATACCTTCCGAAGCCGACAATTGTCGCACTGGTGGGATTTAGTACTTGTTATAGATCAAATGGTGGCGGACGAAGAAGCCGTACCGCGCGGGCCCGGAACGAGTTGCGGGCGATGGAAGGAGTTCGGGCAGCCATTGTAGGTGAAGCCGCTAGTTATGACCGATAATTCGCATAATATATCGATACTTCTTGCCTGGAACGTGACAACAGTGGCTGTACCCCGGCAAAAGGCTTGCGAGTAATAAAGTGCCAAATGACAGGCAAGGGAGCGAGTAAGGCCTCCAGTCATCTTGGGAAGGCGCCATTCCCGTTCAGGCTAGATCACACCCGTTTGGGTTAGCGAGTCCCGTGACGCCCACTCATCTCACCATGACCAGGCCTTTCCCGATCGGGAGGGTCTTGACGCTTCACAAACAAACCTGGATTCGATGGTCACGGAGATTCTCCGAGGCTAAACTACTAACACGGGAACTATCAGTAGAAATCCAGGAAAGAGCTTTCCGGCAAAAGTCGCCCTTGCTATGATGCTGTCAAACCATACAATTTACCCCGAACGGCAACAATAGCCTGAATACAAAGTTTAGCATGAAGTCCTCCCCCGCGTTCGTAGCCCGACAATGCGGGGAGATCTTGCAGACAGGCCATGACGCGCGTATATATGAATGAAGAAGAGGGCTGGTATTCTAGGTGTCTTTGCGATGGCATAGCCAGAAGGAACCCGCCACCATGAGAGGCTTGAATCTCTTTCAATTAATACTGGCTCTTCTGCTGTCCATGGTAGCAGCCGAGGATGGGTACGATGGCTGGCTCAGATATGCTCCCGTGTCCTGCGATCTGCATTGTCAACAGGCTCTACCGTCTCATGTTGTGTTGTTGAACAGCACCAAAGGAAGCCCAATCGAGACCGCCGGACGAGAATTGAAAGCGGGATTCCAATCGATTCTTTCGACGAACTTGACATCTCGTCCATTTCAATGCAATAGCTCCGCATCAATTCTGGTGGCTACTCTGGATGAGTACCGCCAAAGATGCCGGGACATTAATGTGCCTGAGCTCGATCCCGATGGCTTCTGGTTACAATCCGAAGGGGACACAGTTCGGATCTTAGGCAAGGATGCCAGAGGAGCCTTGTACGGAGCATACGAATATCTAGCTATGGTGGCACAGCGAAATTTTTCTCGTGTCGCGTATGCCACGAGCCCACATGCGCCGATCCGTTGGGTGAATCAATGGGACAACATGGACGGAAGCATTGAACGAGGATACGGTGGTGCGTCGATATTCTTCAAAGATGGCACGGTGGTGGAAGACATGGCTCCTGTTGAGCAATATGCTAGACTGCTTGCATCCATCCGGATAAATGCAATTGTCGTCAATAATGTCAATGCGAACGCAACACTACTGCTACCCGAGAATATGAAAGGCCTGAGTCGTATAGCAGATGCATGTCGACCATACGGCGTTCAAATCGGCATATCGCTGAACTTTGCTTCACCCGAAGCCTTGGGTGGTTTAAATACTTATGATCCACTCGATCCTGGTGTCATTGCATGGTGGCAGAATATCACTGATAGTCTCTATACCTATGTACCAGACATGGCTGGGTACCTCGTCAAAGCCGACTCAGAGGGCCAGCCAGGTCCTGATACATACAATCGCACACTCTCACAAGGGGCAAATCTGTTCGCTCGTGCCCTGCAACCGTATGGGGGTGTGCTTATGTACCGTGCTTTCGTCTATGATGACAACTTGAACGAATCAGACTGGAAGGCTGATCGTGCTAAGGCAGCAGTGGAGTATTTCAAGGACCTGGACGGTCAATTCGAGGAGAACGTCGTGATCCAAATAAAGTACGGCCCGATCGACTTCCAAGTGCGCGAGCCTACCTCACCACTTTTTGCCAACCTCTACCACACCAACACAGCCATAGAGTTGGAGGTTAGTCAGGAGTACCTGGGGCAGCAATGCCATTTGGTGTACTTACCTCCGCTCTGGAAGACGGTCCTGGATTTCGACTTACGCGTAGACCACAAGCCATCGATGGTCCGCGATATCATATCCGGTCAGCGCTTCAACAGAACGCTCGGAGGCTGGGCAGCTGTCGTTAATGTGGGCACCAACAGAACATGGCTGGGTAGCCACCTTGCTATGTCCAATCTGTACGCTTACGGTCGTTTGGCGTGGAGTCCGACAGACGAATCTGAGCAGATCCTCGAAGACTGGACTCGCCTCACATTTGGACAAAATCACCATGTCATTAACACTATCTCCGATATGTCAATGACCTCCTGGCCTGCCTATGAAAACTATACCGGCAACCTGGGCATACAGACACTGACAGACATCTTGTATACCCACTATGGTCCAAATCCAGCTACACAGGATAACAATGGCTGGGGTCAATGGACACGTGCTGATCATGATTCTGTCGGTATGGATCGCACAATATGGAACGGCACCGGCTATACCGGTCAATACCCGGAGGAGGTTGCTCGCGTATACGAATCACTAGAAAGCACGCCAGATGACCTAGTATTGTGGTTTCACCATGTACCATGGACGCACCGTCTGCACTCCGGAGTGACTGTTATCCAGCATTTCTACAACGCTCACTATGCGGGCGCAGAAGCTGCACACGGATTCGTCAGACAATGGGAGTCTTTGGAAGGGCTCATTGACCGGGAGCGATACGAAGCCATGCGGTCGCGACTGGTCTACCAGGCGGGACACTCCATTGTCTGGCGAGATGCTATCAATAATTTCTACTACAACATGACCGGAATCCCAGATGTGGCTGGACGTGTGGGTCACCATCCGTGGCGCATTGAAGCCGAGAGTATGGGATTAGATGGATACCAGACGTATACGGTCAGTCCGTTCGAGGCTGCTTCTAATACTACAGCAATTATTACCACTTCTAATTCAACGACTGGGACGGCGAGAACTAGCATCAAGGCCCCATCAGGAGTATACGACATAGGGGTGAACTACTACGATCTCTATGGCGGTCAATCGAAGTGGACACTATCTGTGGGTGATAAGGTAGTGGGCCAATGGCTTGGGGATATGGAGCATAATTCCCTAGGCCATACACCATCTATATACTTGGGTGGTCACTCCGCCACTCGGATTACGTTTCATGGGGTCGGCATTCGGCAGGGTGATCAGCTGAAGATTGTTGGTGAGGCGAATGGGGTCGAGCCCGCTCCCCTGGATTATATAGTGCTACTGCCCCCAGGCTTAGTTGACTGATATCTGTAAGGTTCTATGTACCATGTTGTTCAATGTATTCGCAGATGTAACCCTCACTGAATCTGCATATATTTGGTGTTCTTGGCAGGACTTACAATGCTTGGTTCTCGTGACGCTGCAAGCTATCCGACTTCACAATTTTCTGCTCTTCAAACAAAAATGAAAGGATAATTTGTCTTTCCATGTCCAAAATTGCTCAAAGTGCAAGAGTGTCTTCATTGCGAACTGCATAGAGTAGATGTGGCCAGCATGCATCCTTAACCGCCTTTATCCTAGCGGTTGACAGGCGAACACTATACTATCAACCACTATCCGCACTCTACAAGAGAAACAACGACTTGCGCAGGAATCTAATATTTTTTTTTTGAAATTACACCAAACCACAACGCCCTAGAGGTGTCATCTTCGGATAAGTTTCTTATTAAAGCTTTTACTATTCTTTGTTCTTTAGTTTTATTAAATTATCGCGATAATAATATAAACATATCTAACTAGCCCAGTTTAAGGAATCCGCTGTGGAAAGGCCCGATCGCGTGTAAGGTCTCGGGGTCTCCCAAGTACTTACTGAGACAAGCCAACGGAAACGTAAATATCACATGACCCTATCACGAGGACCTGTGTCAGAACGTGAAGGGCTGTGTGACACCGCAGGACATCCAACAACTCATACACCATTACGTTATTCGAAGGGCAAACCCTTCATTTACCCGCCAATCCTATATATTTATTTCGACCGTCTACGTTCGTTGGCATCTTCAACAAAGATGGACGGAGCCGAGTTGCAATCACCCCTACTCGATAATGGACAACCCCCCCTTGTCGCGAAGCGCGTAACTTCTGAAGAGCCGAATGCTGCCGCCGATGCCAAAAGACTCAAAACATCTGATGATAGGGAGGCACCGCCGCAGACAAACCTTCCCGCGGCAACCCGGATTGTTCCCTTTCCAGAGAAAGTATGCTCGGTCCTTGAAATGTCCTGAAACTCTCTGAACGTCTTGAAGCCTGCAGTTGTAGAAGAACGGAACTGCGAAATAGAATTTCGGGTTGTCAACAACGATGGTTCCACGGAGAGTACTGTCATTCTAACAGGTCTCAAGAATCTGTTTCAAAAACAGCTACCGAAGATGACCAAAGATTACATCGCCCGTCTCGTCTATGATCACACTCACTTGTCTTTGGCCATCTGCAAAATGCCCCTGGAAATTATTGGCGGAATCACATTCAGAGAGGTCCGACATCGCAGGTTCGCTGAAATTGTGTTCTGTGCGGCTTCATCGGACCAGCAGGTGAAGGGATACGGGGCGCATCTCATGGCCCACTTGAAGGACTATGTCAGAGCCACATCCCCAGTGATGCATTTTCTAACTTACGCTGATAACTACGCAACCGGTTATTTCCAAAAACAAGGCTTCACGAAAGAGATCACGCTTGACAAGTCCATCTGGATGGGTTATATTAAGGATTATGAAGGCGGTACACTCATGCAATGTTCTATGCTCCCCCGAATACGGTATCTGGAAGTTGGTCGTATGCTTCTCAAGCAGAAGGCATGTGTTCTAGCTAAATTACGCCCTTTGAGCAGAAATCATATTGTACATCCCCCGCCTCCACAATGGGCCAACGGCATCGTCACTCTGATCGATCCACTCTCTATTCCTGCTATTCGGGCTACTGGATGGTCTCCGGACATGGACGAGCTAGCACGGCAACCACGACATGGACCTCATTTTAACGAGCTTCGACGTTTTCTTAGCAAAATACAAGCCCACAAACAAGCGTGGCCCTTTCTCTCTCCTGTCAACAAAGATGAGGTCCCGGATTACTACAACTTCATCGAATCTCCAATGGATCTATCAACGATGGAGGAAAGATTGGAGAATGACACATATTCTACCCCAAAAGAGCTTATTAACGATCTCAAGTCAATCTTTCGCAATTGTCGGCAGTATAATGATGCAACGACGATTTATGCCAAAAGCGCGACAAAGCTGGAGAAATATATATATTCTCTAATCAAGGAGGTACCAGAGTGGTTTGACTTGGTGAAAGAGTGACACCAATGCATTAGGTTCTGCTCGAGCTGGGGCAAAGCTTCCTTGACACCTCATCTACTTAGTTGCATCACGAGTTAGCACTCCCCCAATCAGGCAAATTATTTGGCTACAGCGCTTCGTCCCGTATCCAGGAACTTTCGGGTCATACTTCCTTTTCGAGATATTCGCTTCTTGGGCGGCCTTCCGGTACTTGTCCTAACAGCCCACCGGGCTCAACTTCTCAGCTGTGTCCCATGTCGCCGGCTCTTTTTTCACCAGTGTTGCCAAAGCCTTGTGCATGCGATTGGCCAAATCGTTATTGAAGGATCGCCACGAGCAATAAATTAATATCTCTAAGACAGAAGCAATAACCACACTCTGCTGCGAAAACGGATCGTGACGAGCGCGTAGTGGACGCTGCCGCTCTTCTGGATGGGGGTGAAACAGGCCACAACTTGCCCAGCGGAACACTCCAATCAGCTGGAGGACTGCCAATATCTTCATTGAACTCGACCCAATCCAACACTAACTGCTTATCCTTAAACTATGATGAAGCTGACTTATATTGCTGGTTTATAGTACTTACTGCTGTATAAATATACTTTACTTTTGGTACTTATTTTCCTTATAGTTTACTACAGTAATAATCTTTCTATATCATGATATACGTTGCTTTGTGATGACATCTTTTACTAAATAATAATCAGAACCATATTCTTGTTTCAGGCAGTGAAATTAGTACCTATATAGCCCATATTATATATAGCAGGATTGATCAGGCATAAGAATAATTAATTAGAATTAAATTGAAAAAGAAAAAACTGCACTCCACAATACCAGTGCTCGGTCATCTATTATGCCGATGAAATTATTAAATCTCCCCCGCATCAAACATCAGCCCATCTGCGATGTCAACAACCGGTTAAATTGGCGTCTGATCGCAGGTCCTCCGCATTCCCCGCCCTGGGAGTTGCGGATCAACAATGTGGTAGCCGACTGCCCGCTTTATCTTCAATCAGTAATGTCAAGGGCAGCGAGGTATAAGAATGTGCTAAGGTGGAGTAGCTCTGGGGGAGTTTCGAAGCTCTACTGAGCCACCGGGCTGCATCTTGATCTACAATGAAGACCTCATTTTTGCTTGCTATAGGTCTGGCTGTGGAGGCTTGCCTAGGCCTGGTTTCCGCCCCGAATTATGTTCGTCAGATTAATGCCACAGACTCTTCCCTCCAAGACATCGTGACGTGGGATGAGTACTCCATAAGGGTACGCGGGGAGCGCATTCTTCTCTTATTGGGAGAGTTCCATCCATTCCGTCTCCCTTGTCCGGGGCTCTGGCTCGATGTCTTCCAAAAAGTCCGCGCGCTTGGGTTCTCGGCTGTGTCCTTTTACGTCGACTGGGCTCTTCTTGAGGGTGAGCGAGGGTCCATCCGGGCGGATGGAGTTTTCGCGCTCGAAGAGTTCTTTCAGGCCGCTACAGAAGCCGGTCTGTATTTGACTGCTCGTCCTGGTCCTTATATTAATGCTGAAGTTTCCGGGGGCGGATTTCCCGGCTGGTTGAAACGGGTGCAAGGCCGGCTCAAGACTACGGATCAAGGCTACTTGGATGCCATCACTCCCTATATGCAGGCAATAGGGCGCATTATTGCGAAGGCACAGATCACGAATGGTGGCCCGGTGATCCTATTTCAACCCGAGAATGAGTATACGGCTTGCGTACAAGACGAAGGCTACACGCAAGTCAGCAACTACAGCATGCCCGACATTAATAGTTCGTGTCTTCAGAAGGAGTATATGGCATACGTGGAAGAGCAATATCGAAAGGCTGGAATAGTCGTGCCGTTTATCGTCAATGATGCCGATCCTATGGGCAACTTCGCTCCCGGCACGGGAGTTGGCGCTGTTGACATTTACAGCTTCGATGATTATCCCTTACAATGGAGCACAGCACGTATGTATTCGATTATATTGAATGGACACTGTTAATCATCTACGTCTAGCATCCAATCCGTCAAATTGGTCATCCCTGATAAGCCCATTGCTCTCCTACAATGAAACCGTCCATGAAGAACAGAGCCCGACCACGCCGTTTTCCATATCCGAATTTCAAGGTGGAGTGCCTGATGCTTGGTATGAAATGAGTTTGATCTGTCCTATTATGGGAAGCATCATTAACTCACAATGTTCTTTAGGGGCGGTGTTGGCATCGAGACTTCTGCTGCATACATCGGTCCCGAATTCGAACGCATCTTCTACAAGATAAATTACGGCTTTCGCGCTGCCATCCAGAATCTTTACATGGTGAGTTGGTTGCTATGTATGCTTATGGGCCTTTCTCCCTCCTTGCTAATACAGTGTCTGTGCTGAAGATCTTTGGGGGAACAAATTGGGGCAACTTGGGCCATTCTGGTGGTTACACCTCGTACGATGTGGGTGCGGCCATCGCCGAAGATCGGCAAGTCATCCGCGAGAAATACAGTGAATTGAAGTTACAATCCAACTTCCTACAAGCATCGTCTGCTTATCTCGAGACACACTCAGATAATGGGAGCTATGGGATCTACACAGACGCCACCTCCCTCGCGGTCACCCGGTTAGCCGGGAATCCTACCAATTTCTATGTGGTACGCCATGGAGAGTTAACCTCGCGAGAGTCGACTTCATATAAGCTACGCGTGAATACTAGCGCAGGGAACCTGGCAATTCCTCAGCTAAGTGGATCCTTAAGTCTACATGGTCGAGATTCGAAGATCCACTTGGTCGACTACAACGTCGGAAATGTCAGTCTGATCTATTCCACGGCCGAGCTCTTCACATGGAAGCAGGCAGGCTCCAAGTCAGTGGTTGTTCTCTACGGAGGTGAAGATGAGCTCCATGAATTTGCTGTCCCTGCAAATAAAGGCAAACCAACCTCTATTGAAGGCGACGGTTTGCAGGTTCAGCAGATCAACTCGACTACTGTCATACAATGGGCAGTCCAACCGTCACGCCGAGTTGTGCATTTCAGCGATACCCTTGAGGTGCATCTACTTTGGCGGAACGAGGCATACAACTACTGGGTCCTCGACCTGCCCGTTCCAGGGGCTATAGGCCGACACGTCTCCCGATCACATACCAACCGATCTGTCATTGTCAAGGCCGGATATCTGCTACGAACTGCCGAAATAATTGGCACGTCCCTCTATCTGACAGGCGACATCAACACCACCACTACCATCGAGCTCATTTCCGCCCCTCAGCCAGTAACTAGCATTCTCTTCAACAAAAATCGTATCCCGACTACCATCACATCACCAGGCCGCCTCACCGGCACCCTCACCTACCACAAGCCCAACATCAGCCTACCAGACCTCACAACGCTCGACTGGTACTACCTCAACACCCTCCCAGAGGTCCACGATCCCACATACGACGACCACCTCTGGACTCCTTGCACACACACCACAACCGCAAATCCACGCAACCTAACGACCCCAACATCCCTCTACGCCAGTGACTACGGCTACAACGGCGGCACCCTCCTCTACAGAGGCACCTTCACCGCAACCGGCAATGAGACTTCCCTCTACCTCCTCACTGAAGGCGGCTACGCCTACGGCCACTCCATCTGGCTCAACAACACATTCCTCGCCTCCTGGCCAGGAAACCCAGCGTTCCTCCTCTCCAACCAAACAATCACATTCCCGTCCCCCCTCACCCCGGGAACCACCTACAAACTAACAATCCTAATCGACCACCTCGGCAACGACGAGAACTTCCCCGCGAACGGCGAATTCATGAAAGATCCGCGCGGAATCCTAGATTACACTCTTCACGGCCGCGACGACAAATCAGCTATATCGTGGAAAATGACGGGTAACTTTGGTGGAGAGAGTTACGCTGATCTAAGTCGTGGTCCACTCAATGAGGGGGCGTTGTTCGCTGAACGAAAGGGATATCATCTCCCCGGTGCGCCGACGGAGCAGTGGACGAAGAGGTCGCCGTTTGATGGACTCCCGGAGGATGAGAGGCCCGGGGTGGGGTTCTTCGCGACGAAATTCGATTTGCAAATCCCGGATGGGTATGATGTGCCTATTAGTGTTGTGTTTGAGAATAGTACTATGGCTGGTGATGGATCGGGGCCTGCGAGATTCCGGTCCGAGCTTTTTGTGAATGGATGGCAGTTTGGGAAGTACGGTATGTTGGCCTCCCCTACCGGTTTCTATTATGACTCTCATTCTTCCTACTTTGGACTCTGTGAGCTAACGCGTTCTGTTTATCTTAGTCAATCATATCGGCCCACAGCTTAGCTATCCCGTCCCTGAGGGCATTCTAAACTACAATGGGAGCAATTACCTTGCTCTGACCATCTGGGCTATGGATGAGAAGTCGTTCAAGTTGGATGGATTGCGGCTGCAGGCTAACGCAGTGGTGCAGAGTGGGTATCGCAAGCCAAGTCTTGTGAAGGGAGAGGTGTACAAGGAACGGGTTGATAGCTATTGATTCTGTAGGCTGCTTTGATACTTGTTAGATTCTATCCTAGGAATAAGGTCTGATCTGGCACATATACTGGGAATCATTTCTAGCAGATACTGATGAATTACACATGCGCTCGAATCTCAAATTATAACCTTTCTTACATCCCGTCATAGGACTCAAGATCCACTAGTTGCTAATCTGTAGACATACTTGGTCGCAAATCCTTTTCCTTTGACGGCGTTTCTGCATTTTTCGGGGGCTTCGGAGTCGCGCCAAAGACACGGCGCAACGTACAAGGCGCATACCGATTAGCGACAGTGACGTTTATAAGCGTCTCTGAGCCATTCCCACTGACAAAAGTGTTAGTTGCAACCATGTGATGCCTTCGGCTTAAGGCAAGGGTACAAGATCCATGGTTGCCGTATTCGTAAGCTGAAGCTGAGGCGCAGCCGCGGATGACTTGATCGACTATTTGCGAAAGAGTCATATCAGGCTTCATCGTCTGCATGCAGATCCAACCATGTACATTGAAGGTCGATGTGCTTTCAGGCCTTCTATGTGGTGAGATGTGGAATACAACTCCAATGGCTCTCCCGGAAGAATTGTGTAATCTAACAGCAGCCCATGTTTCCAGAGAAGTCGAGTCATTGGAGCTTAGTCGCAGTCTGTGATTTTCAGCATCCCAGATTCGCGATGGGTAGTACTCCGTTATGCTCAGAGTCGCTGCTCTGGACTCGTCTTGGTCGATGTTGAATTGACATGTCAGTTGTGGTCCTCGGTCGGGGACGTTTGGTTGTGATCGGATATAGAGATCTCGAGTCGTGGCTCTCGTTTCTAGCCCTAAGTCAACTCTCACTACCCGCCCGCGCGAGATATCATAATCGATATCAAATGTGTTGTCTGAGCGGGGCGTAAGAGGAAGGGCCAAGGCGCCTGTGACATCATCCTCATAGTGGCAATCCAGGAGCGCGAGGCAGCTATCCTTAGACCCGGATCGATATATGACGGGGAGCTGGATGTGGAGGCCTCGGTTTGTCATTGTGTATGGCCCACTGTTACGCGGACAAGTCCACTGGACGACGTTTTTGAGAAAGCAGGTTGAGGACGGAGCAAGGACTGTATACCGGCTCTCTTGCTCAATGTCACAATAGTTCCACGCGAAGATCGTGTGATCATCGGAACTCTTGATGATCTCCTCCTGAAGTCTGACAAATGAAGCTTTGCCTTCGCCATAGAGAATAGGCATATGAACATCGAACAGACCGAGGAGACAATACGCTTCATCCTCTATCTTCGAAGTTTGCCTCCTAGCTGCCCATGACATCTTCTGTGCGACACACACTGATCTCAGTGACTCTTTGGTGTCTGTCGAGTCTCTAAGAACACGCTGGTCTATGCCAGTGATCGTAGAGATGAGGGCTGTCATTGATGCTTTTGTACCAAGAACGTTCCAGCCGGACCCGTAAAAGGTCAAGTCTTTAGGCGCGATCAACTCCTGCAATGTCCATCCTCGAGTGAACCAGCGACATCTTGCAAAGGGGCCATTGATCGTACCATCATATTTACTAGGCCTGCGCCTTCTGGCGGGCTCGACGGAACTTCCGGCTTGCTCATCGAGCGGAACCTCCCCGTAGCCGCTAGGAATGTCAGACAAGTAAACGTAGCACTTTCTTGATCGCTTGTACCATTGGAACATGGAGTTGATCGCTTCAGATATTTCCGCACTGCTGCTTTTGTTGATGCAACATGTATCGACCCAAGCGTAGTCCAGGCCGTCCCTGATAGCTTGCTGACAGACATACTTGATCTTGAGGAATCCCTCCCTTCCTACAACACGATCCCAGTACCTGGAGCCTGTTGATAGTGCCTGAAGATCCTGAAAAGAAATCTCATCCTTTCCCCATGTATGTGATAGGATTGCGTATTCGGGGATTTCACTGTCGAGGTATTCTTCCAACTGGTATGTTTTCGCGTTGATGAGTCTCATCTTTGCGCTCAAGTTCAGGCCAAGAAAAATACTTACAAAGCTAAGTTTGCATGGTCTGTCCTTCGCTATTTAGGTGGCGTGGTGATGTGTTCTTGGCCTACCAGTTGGCTGCTACGTGGCAGGCAACACATTAAGAACCAATATGTCCAGCTTTACTGCATTGTTGGATACTTTCCCACACTTCTTCAATGCCAAAGGCTGTATCCTTTTCTTATGATATGCCGCGTTTCGAGTTGCCTCGTCGCTCGCGTCATCAGCTGGACAGCAAATGGCCAGGTTGCCGCTGGGAAGGTGTCTTCTTTGCCTCTGAGTTGTCTATGGAGCCTCTCTACCTTCTTTTGAGGTTCGAGCAGTCTCGCCAATCCTGGTTGGTATTCCATATGTGAAGGGTATTACAAGACCTGGGGTCTCGTATTTCTTTCTCAATAGCTGACGACGAGGATACTTTATATCGTTGTCACTCAGCGCACGAACACCGAAGTTAGTGACGACAATAAGGAAGCCACTATATCGTTGCTAGGCTCGAATATCGCAACGGAACTATTAGTTGTTCTCAGAAGCAGGGATGGGACTAATGTTGTGGAAGCATCAAAAAGCAGCTCACAAGTACAGGTATCCTGTCCATTACATGTAGACGCAAGAGCTCACTCACGTTGCGAAGCCGTTCGATGAGTTGGTCAGTTTTGAAAACAGTTTTGACAAGATGGTGATGAGATGACATGGATGGATCAGCTGACCGGCGCGTGGTAGTCACTACTGGACCACGTGTCTCCGCTTCTCGAGTGAGGACTATGAGTTCAGCCCATCTCAATCATCTTATTCTTATACCAACCCACATCTGTGCTGGCAGTTACTCACCAAGACTCAGTTATCCTTAATATGTCCGGCCACGTTGCGATTGTTGATGTGGAATTAGAAATGACAGAGTGACTGAAACTGATGGATAATGTCGAGAAACTAGTATATACTGAGCATACTACTGCATCAGTCTATGGCCAGTTATATATGGCTTGACAGGGCTAATCTACTACTCTCAGGTTCAGCAGGCTCTTTCAACTCGGCCTCGATGATGCTCTGTCCGTCCCCGGGTGGTGCCCAGAATTTCACAACCCTGAAGCCAGCCGAATCCAGAACCTTCGTCCACTGGCTAGCTGTTCGCTCCATGCTGTTACAGAAGATCAACATCTCCCAGTCCCACATTGCTGGCAGCATCGCACAGTCTTTGTCTGCCAATACAAACTCCTCTATGATTAACTTGGAGTATCCCATTTTCATGGCTGCTGCGAGATGACTCAGGATCTGACGACTTTCCTCGTCTGACCAGTCGTGAAGAATGAATTTCATGTAATAGGTACGCGCACCTGGGAAGATTCCGGTTAGTTGTGGGATGAGTCTCGTCTCTGGAAATATGCCCAATGCTTACCTTGGATTGGCTGCGCCTGGAATAGGTCAAATGATACATGTTCGATCTTTGGATGCTGGGTAGCCTCAGCCACAACGTGAGGCAGATCTTCCAAGATGAGCCGCCCTTGTACTTCGGAGAACTTGGACTCGAAAGCGACCAAATCATGGCCGCGTCCACCTGCTACGTCTACCAGGAGGACATTACTTTCACCCTGATGAAATCCGTCTATAATCCTCTCCTTGACAGGAAACCATTCAAGCCAGCTAGGGCGGCTCCCGCGGTCCGCTTCCATGAAAGTATTGCAAGCGTCCAAGAAACCTGGTTTTGTCGGCACCCAGTCCCAAAGCGACATTTCTGTCTTCTCCGCATACTGCAATGCGCCTTTCACAGCACCTGATGGGTTTTGGAAGTTGGTCATGCGCAGAAACTCGGGTACCTTAGCCAAGGTAGGCATACCAATATCAAAGCTATCGTTCTGTCAGTGGTGCAGCCACGCCACTTGAGTGACTGACTTACATAAATCTCACCACGGCCCCACTAAGCCTGTCTGTCATTTGTCTTGTCATTGTTGTGGGAATATAAACCCGTACATCATGCTCTGCAACGTACCCAATCCCTGCAAGGATACGCAGCACTCTTTCTGTTCCCGAAATAACTAACTTAGAAGCTTATTCATTGATGGGATTAGGACAACATTACCAGTCAGTACTAGATCTGCCCCTTTTGTGGCTGCTAGGTCCTCCAGCGTAACTGGACCATTCCGCTCACTGAGCGTGGAGAATATACCAAGGTCCATTGCGATGCGAACACACATTACATGTGTGGGCTGGTACGGGTCAGTCTTTCATGCTCATTAATTTTGCGGAAGCTTATTACCGAGTAAGCTAGATTATACACTGCATCTTGCGGCTTTTGAAACGCCTCCACCAGCTTCTGCGCCGCCTGGAGGGCAGCCAAGCGATCCGCTTCATCATGACTATTATGAAATGAATCTGCAGCCTGCGCGACCTGTCGAATAAGACCGTCGACCGGCTTTTGAGAGGCGCCATTCGCGTGAGAACTATTCGTAAACATGATGAAAGATATGCACGGGTAGCAGCACTACAGGGAACAGGGGAGAAGGAATGCCCTGCCCTTTTACAATAGTTGGGATCCTTATGTCTCTGGTTCAGCTGAGTAGAGCTATAGGACGGCTTTTTCCTCGATATGGAAGGAGGCGCACGACAGTGCGCACAGGAGTGGATCTGTCACCTCGATCAGCGTAGGGGGTGAGCGTCTACCTAATCCAAGATGCGGTACTTTTGGTTGTCAACGGCGGCCCGCAAGACCAGGCTAGACCAACTAGCAGCACTATCATGTTATTAGGGTTGGAGGGGCCCTGTAAAGGCCCGCCCCCGGCTGTCAGTTCCGTCACCTAGAGGCCGTCTTCCCACGCGCCACACGCTCTGGCTGCATTAGCGCCGCGCCGGTGCCTCGCGGAACCGCGATGGATATTCCGAGCCTTGACTCGGGCTCTGCTTTCACTCCTTCAATATAACTGAAGGTGACACTACGCCGCGGCATAAGTCCTGAACGTTGTCGAGGGTCTCTGGAGGTCATTGCGCGCATGGATGCAATACTATAGGCTGCCCAAAATTTGGTCCGCACACACCAGGCACGTCGATCTATTGGCTGGACGGGAGATGCCTGTTGAGGGCTGTTATGGCCCGGTTACTTAGCAAAAGCACAGGCCTAAGGGGCTTACAAGTGGGTCGTTTTGACATATGGCGGTCGAACCTTTTCCTATGCTCCGACGGCCAAATCACGGCAAATCCCGAGACATGGCTACCCCGGACGCCATTTGTTGATAGTCGATGTGTCGCTCGACGGCTGAACAAGGAATCTCTTTGTTCCTGTCAACTAGTCTATTGAATTATCAAATATCGACCATATCGCTCGATCGGGAACATGCCTGATCAAAAAACCTTTATATTTCAAGAATCCTGTAAAGAGTGCTCGTATCCTCCGAGCAGAAATGAATGATTGAGCCCGACCACCATGCCTGCCGACAAAGGCCCTCAGATAACTGCTGTGTCATGGAGCTTTGGGGGCGTGGCAATCATAGTCGTCACCATTCGACTGTATACCCGGCTGATACTGACTCGCAAAGCAGGCTGGGACGACTTCTTCATTGTTCTTTCCCTGGTAAGCTACCCCTGCAAGAGCCTCCTGTATAATACATCGGCTAACCCAGACGGTGCATGGATGCAGTTGAGCGCTATTGTATGTTCAGGGCTAGCCCAAACCGGCGTGCATTATGGGTTGGGGAAACACATGGCCGACATCTCCAATGCCGAATGGAAAATCGAGGCTTTTAAGTACACCGTCATCGCACCAAACTTCTCCATGGTCAGCACCACAACAGGAAAGCTATCCGTGGCCGTCTTCCTTCTACGCCTGATGGGTCAGACGGCTTCTCCGGCAAAACGATGGTTCCTCTACATCTTCAGTATAATATCTGTCGCCTGGAATGTGCTGGCCATTGTTGCCATCATGGGGTATTGCCGGCCTGCGGAGAAGATCTGGCGGCCTGAGGTTCCTGGATCCTGCTTCAGCTTGAAATTCCAGCTGATCGCTGGTATATCGCAAGCCTGTGAGCGTCAACACTGCCTATTGACGACACATTGAGCTAAGACTGCCGCACAGCATTCAACGCATTCGCCGACCTTACCTTAGCCTTGTTTCCAATTATCATCTTCTGGTCCGTCCAGCTGCCCTGGAAAATGAAGCTAGGTGTTATAGCCGTTATGGGCGCGGGAATCTTGTAAGCACCTCCAATACAGCCAAAGAAACTCTACTCATTCCAAAAAGGGCGGCGGCAGCAACCTTGGTTAAGGCCATTCTGCTAAAAAGTCTTCCGGCCCATTCAGACATAACTTGTGAGCACCAAATTCGCGGGCGGGCCCAGACACATAAGAAAAAGCTTAACATAGAACTCCAGGGTCTTGGGCCGATATTACAACATGGTACTCGTAAGCCACTCACATCTCCATGGTTCGTTATTAGTAAACCAAAACAAAACAAGCTAACACCATCCTCTCCGCACCACTAGAATCGAGGTAAGCAGGAACCTTCATCTCAGCAAAGCCTAGCTATACTTTTATCATGCGCTAAGTGGCGCCCATCCGGTTCATCGACAGATGTATGTGATCATCATCTGCGCCACTCTCCCTACCCTCCGACAATCATACAACTTTGCCTTGCATCGAACACGCTATCTGGGTTCATACTACAAAGGCTCCCACTCCGAAGCAGCAGCAGCAGCAGCAGCACGACAGAAGCCTATTCCTCTCCTTCGGCGCCAACCCGATCAGTCGCTTTTCGAGACATTCGCTGACGAAACCGGTCTGGTGAATGTAGCCTCTCACGAAGATAGCCACGTCTCGCCTGAAAGGGGTTCAAATCATACGTCCATCACAAAGACTACGGAGATTGAGGTCCACGAGGAGAGCAAGTCCAAAGGGGATATCGAGAATCCTCACTTCCCGCGAGCGAACCCCTTTAGGACAGATCATCAGTAGGATAGGACGGAGGAGTGATCCGGGGACGACGGTTCGTATGTTAGCTAGATCGATATTTCGTCAATAGAAACGGGTTTTTGAATGTACGACTGTGCTAGTGACTGAATTATTGCTTTTTAGCTGGGATCGGAAATAAATCTCCACGGGAGATTAGGAGGGAGAAGCAGGAGCCAATGCAATCACAAGTCTGAAGGTCAATCAACCATTTATCACCACTGCATCAATTCAACATCCATCTCGTCTGCAAAAAAAGTTCTTCTCATACTCATCTGTGTTATGATCAGTCGGAATTGGCTATTCACTTGCTATTTTCAACGCCATCTAATAGACAGTCAACCTACTCTCACAGCAAACCCTCCTGATTGATTCCCGAGCTCATGGCATGTCCCCCTACCGCAACCTGCCCTATCATATCTTCATCCCTCGTCACCAAGAGCGCTTTCAAATCTAAAGAAACACGTGAAAATGGCAGCGAAAGCGAAAGCGAACGCAACAGCCAACATATCGCCAAGTCCACTGGAAACGCAAACGCTGAACTGCAACAGACGGGCAAAGTTAAAGAGCTCTTTCAGGACTACGGTCATGGTCGATCGCCAGAATCTATCACGGTTGGTGGGGCATATGCGCCCATGAGTGGCTACTTTTTGCCGAGCAACTTGCTTGAAGATCAAAATGGGCCGAGGACGCCGAAAATAATTGCGGAAGGGCTAGCGGTACCGGCTGGGAAAGTGAAAGGAGATGACTCTGAGCCTGTGTCGTCAGCCATGGTTACTTCGAGGATGAAATTGAATCAGGTGCTAGGGAATAGAAGGAAGGTTGGTTGTGCAGCGTCGCTTCCTGCTGGGACGGCTGCGCATCCTGTTGAACATGGTCCTCTTGCTGGAAGGTCTTCTGGGGTTGGTGTGTCCTTCGGGGCTGAGGGGGATCCCGCTTTCGAGGGTTCATATGAGGATGATTATGATGATGCATGTGCCAACCACGCTGCGAGTGATGGTGATCGCGAAGATAAAGAAGCTTTGAAAAATGGCGGCAAGACTGATAATACTGGAGAGTCAGAATACCCCAGGTTCAGTCAAGTTGATTATTTTACGCAACATCAAAGCTTACAAATTCGGACAACCGGGCTTCCCAAGCGACCAAGATATTCTGCGGCTACTGTTGGATTTCCGTGTCCTGTTACCGTATGGGCTTTCATAGATAGGGGTGATCCCAAGCATGGGATGCCAACGGCAGCAGATTTACCCTGGGAGATCCGAACATTGCATGAGACAAACGAGCTGAACACGATTGCGGCTTATCTTGCTAGCATGCGACGAAACCTCAAAGATCTAGACGTCAACTTTACCTTTCACTACCGCCCAGTGTCCTTTATTGACAAAGCAGATCGTGTTAAGAAAATTGGGGGATACTCCTCCTCTGACAAGCAAAATGCTCATACCGTCGCAGACCTGTATATGCATACAAAGGACGATCGGAGTTGGGGGACGCTCTGCGTTACGAGGGAGCATCATGTCCAGGGAATGGCCTGGCATTACTGGGCAGTTGCTGCTATCTCACCACCCAAGTCGCCGTTCCAGTCAGTAGATGAGAAAGGGGTATACCTTCTCATGTACGACTCAAGGCCGCTCAAGGAACCGACCAAAAAGCGCGACCGGGATTACTGGAGGAACTATATGCGTCGTGATCAGTACAAATTACTGGTGGAGATAGGGAAGAATTTCAAGGTCCTTGATCTCGCAATCAATCGGAGGCAGCTCTCGGTCGAGGGTGAGGACGATCCCCTGCGTCTGACCCTGTGGTGGCTTTGGAATATTGCCCGGTACGGCGGGGGCTTCTATGAGAGAGACGGCGAGCTGGACGACCCACGCTGGAGGTTGACAGATGCCAGATGGCTCCACTTTGATCAGGATTGGTCGAGCAATGTGCGAACAGCATTGCGGTGGAAAAATGTTAAAGAATGGTTCTCAGAGCAACGGCTGGATGAGCAGCTAACCCACGAGCAAAGGATCCAAGCACATGCGGTAGCTGCCTAGAGGCAATGACCCGTTAATGTGGCATAACAAGAATGCAATTGGACCTTTTCTGTCATTCTGCAAATCTAATATTGAGCTTCGGCAACGCGGTTCTGCAGGTGGCTCAGTTTAACGAGCCTCGTGACCCACAAGACCGTCCATATGAGGGATAGAGATGGAGCGGACCTAGGGTGTCAGGCACTTACGGCCGATATGGTCTGGTCCCGAAACCAGTCGTCTAGTTACGCCAGTTGTAGCAACAGAGCCGAGATGAGGCGGAGTAATCTTGATTCGTCCGGGAGTAACCCGGGAAACATACTCAAAGAGGAACCAGATCACCTACAACGGAGCAAAGAATGCAGTAACAAGCCAATCATGATGCTGCTCATCGGCAGCAGTCCGCGATCTGGTCGAGTTAATCTGGCCTTCGATCTTTCAACTTCAATGGGAGATATCCCGAGGTTCGTTTTTGACTTTCGGAATGCGGCGAATTGTGATTGGAGTAGTTGCCACTGCCGCGGACTCGTTGACATCACTGCAAATTCGGCCGACGAGGGCTCTTGTGTTGCTGCAGCGGGCCGATTAACTAGGTTCTTCCGTCTGTGACTTTTCGGAGACGCCCTGAGAATGCAGAAGAAAGTATATAACCCTGTATACATAATGTTACATCCCGTTACCTTGCTTGGATAAAATTCATACCAACCCAGATGAATGTGTCGATGCAAGCCCGGCTTTGTGCGTCGCATCAGCCTCCATGACGCCACTCAATCATTGGGGCATCACCCTCGTTGTTGTCCCCATTGTGGCATGCGTCGTGACAACTCTCTTCTTTATCCTCCGATTATATTCTCGACGACTTGTCCGTCAGAAACTCGATCTCGGGGATGTGTTGATGGGTATAGGGCTTTTCTTCTCATACGGCCTAACCCTCTGTACTGTGATATGTGAGTCACTTCATAACCCCAATTTCAATGCTAATTAGCTTACATGTCATCTAGCGGCATTCAACGGCGTTGGTCACGAATTCTGGTCCCTCTCCAGGCCTACCAGAGGGACGGTCACTTTGGTGAGTATACCAATCTCCCGCAGTGAGGTCCAAGTTCTAATCGAACGGGGTAGCTCTTTTGGTGCTCAACGAAATTCTGGGTATTAAGCCACGTTTTCGTGAAATTCTCCTATATCGTTCTGCTCCGCAAGCTTTTCGGAGCCATCACATATTGGCGGAGGCTTACCACCGCATTGATCGTGTTCACGCTTGCCTGGGGCATTGCTTCCATCTTTGTCAGCATATTCCAATGTTGGCCTGTGCGTTATTTCTGGATCAAGCACATTGATGGTAGCTGTATGCAGGGGCGAAATACCTTCTACATTGTGGTTGGGTCGATTGCGCTGGCTGAGAATTTCATCTTGGTCTCAATGCCCTTGGTCGTGGTTTGGGGAATGAATCTGTCGCCCCGACAGAAGGTAGAACTAAGTCTTATCTTTGGATTCGGTGGATTGTATGTCTCCCGCTCTACAACTAATCGAACTGGTTGAATGAATGGTACTGACAGTGAACAGGGTCTGCGCCATCGGCCTCTTGCGTATGGTCACATTCAAGAGATACGTGACGGCAGATGCTACCAGTATGTTAATCCATCTACCCTCGTGGTCAAATGACAAGAAGTTGCTAATGCTCTCCAGCAAACGGATATCTCCAGGCTATATGGTCCATCGTCGAACTTGAGTTGGGCATTATCTGTGCTTCGGTGATATTGATGCGCCCGATATTCCAACCGCCTCTCGGAATCATTCAAAATGAAATGTTGCACCATGCGTGGCCAAACATCAAAGTCCAGTTACTCTTCAAAAGGCGGGCAGACGATGAGTTCGTTGTCATGGCCGAAGCCGCTGGCCTTTGCAGGGACGGGATCAGTGGATGAGTGGTCTCAAGTGCGTGCTGAAGCATACAGTTCGTGTGTGCGCGGTAGTGTGGATGATAATCCCAGTTTAGCTGGGATCCAGGACATAATGGTCGAGGTTTCGATTGATCGCGAGATGCGAACGGGGGAGGAGATGGTGTAGCACATGACTCCCATCATGTCAGCTGATACCCTGGCGTACTCGATGCAGTCATTATCTTCTCTGTCAATAGTAATCTACTATACTTGGTACATATTTTTATTCTGATAGATATTCTTATGGGGATCCAAAGGGATAGGAGTGCGCGCTATAGCCAGTCCAGAATGAGAAATGAGAAGGACTTCAGGGAATATGATGGGGGATTGGTGCCGATTTCGAGCTATATTGGAGAATCCGCAACTAAATTCATCTCCTGTGAGCAAATGTGAGAGATCTCGGGGCATTACTGGTCCTAAAGAAAGATATCCGGTGGAGTGATATGTTGTGCTGCGGCAAAGATCCGACTCATTCTCCTCCTCACGCGCAGTTTCGTCCGTGGACAACCACAACGCCAGCTCCACACCATCCCAGGTTATTCAGCACATGTCATTTGTGTTCCTTGATCGCTGACGTATCTTTTCTTTTTTTTCTTACTATCTAGGAATACGCTGAATACGATATCTGCCCTCCAAGATGCTGCATTCCATAGGTCACCGCTGCCTCGACCAGCGTATTGCGGATAGACAAGATGCTCATACGATTTCGGATTCATCTCTCCGGCAAGGGCTATCAGACCTGCTGCACATAATGCCCATTTGGTCGGCCATGACTGGCTCATCAACTCGAGTGATCGTCCTAATGATCGGCACCCCGCGCTCCCCATCCTCGGTCCGCGTTCCGTTCAAGATAGTGGCATATGAACCCGTTACTATGATGATGCAACTACTACGGAGGTATACCACGAGGATTAGGCTGCTGACTATAGGAAACAATGTATAGGAGAATGGTATTACACAAGGACGCGACTTCTATTTTCATGCCGCCGTAGTATATATTGGGCACCACAGACCGACCTTCTTCATGGAGCATCCAGCATCATAGATCTATTTCTCTGTCTCAACATACTAGTGAAACATCTCGGATTCATCCAGCAAGATAACACTGTCCATCATGCCTCTCGCAAGTGATGCATTCCAGGCAGATCTCTCACGTCTCTCACCTTCCCATCTTGAAGTTTCACTTCCCGTCACCCTCTCTCTCGCCGTCCTGGCCTACCTTCTCCTCGTCTCCACCCTCCGCTTCCAGCGCGTTCGCATCCTCTACCGCGACTACCCACAGTATACAACTCGTGCATCCATGTCCCAAATGACCGTGGACGATGCATGGGCGATACAAAAGAACATCTTGCAACTTGAGTTCCCTACCACTGCAGTGAAAGCCCTCCAATTTGCGCTTTTTCGGGTAACGATTCCTCCTTACGTCCCCTCCTCTTGACATACTGACGCCATGTGATCTCCCATACAGACATATGGCATCCCGACCATCTCCTCCCTCCTTCTGCATACCTCCCAATTTTCAAATCCTGCCACCTCCTTCAAACGCTACGCAGACACGGGTGCCCTCATCGGTCAGTTCGTGACATGCCCTCCTACCTCCTCTCGTGCACGCACCGCCATTGCTCGTACCAAATTCCTACACTCCGGATACCGTGCCAGCGGTAGAATTCTCGAGTCTGACATGCTCTATACCCTGAGCCTATTCGCCACGGAGCCGATCCGCTTCGTGGAACGATTCGAGTGGCGAGCAATGACGGAATTGGAACGATGTGCTATTGGAACTTACTGGAAGAGCCTGGGAGATGCCCTGGATATCAGTTATGATGAGTTACCATCGGGAAAAAGCGGGTTTAGTGATGGCCTGCATTTCTTGGAGGAGCTCCGGCAGTGGGGTGACCATTATGAAGAAGAGAACATGAGACCCGACCACCGCAATAGATTGGTTGCTGACAAGACGATGGACGTCATTGTTTATGGATTTCCTAAGTGGGTGAGAGGCGTCGGGGTCAGGTTTGCCACCTGTGTGATGGACAACAGATTGCGAGAAGCGATGATGTGAGCTTTTCTGCATAGCACATTCTTTGTGATGGCTTCTGCAAAGAGCCATGTGCTGATAGTCTGAACCAGGTACGATGCGCCACCCGTGCGGTATCGGAGGATTTTTACGGGGCTGGTAGCCCTACGGAAGTATTTTCTGCGATACCTTCACCTTCCTCGGCCGATGATTCTCCGACAGGAAGTTTTCAGTGATACTCCCAATGAAGACGGTCGGTATTATGTTCAAATATGGAAAGGAATGCCGTACTACGTGCAGCCGACCATGTGGAACCGCTGGGGTCCGGCGGCGTGGCTGACGTGGGCCCTCGGCCTTCCACTTCCCGGCGATGATGGCGATACCTATTACCCAAGGGGTTTCGATGTAGCCGATCTAGGACCGAGGCAATTTGAAGGAAGGGGCCGGAAGTCAGTGGGTGAATATGTAGATGTCTTGGAAAAGGAACACAAAGGACAGTGTCCCTTTGGCGGGAGGAGTGACCAGCCGGAGATATGTTTGAGTCGTTAGGAAATTCTAGAAAGGACGTGGCCTATGAATGACTTTGCTAGAAGGGACATCAGCTGGGTCGAATACAACGCCTACTTTGCACAAGCAAATCATTCGATCGTCAGCGTGGGTCTAACCGTTGCGAACCATGGTTCTTTCACTGTGACAGAGAGCGCTGTCGGCGAGCCTTGACATCAGAAACCTTCCCGCCACACCTTGGGAAGCCCAGAACGTCGTGGACTTCGGTTTATAAACCGGTTGGATGTCCTCGTGGCTATCTCAATTCAGCAGCAACAACCATTGCCCGCCATGTCTTCCATTTCGGCACCGCCAACTCCTCCGCCTGAGCGCCGGCTGCCAGAGGGGATGGATGCGTGGATTCTAGGGGCCGGCATCTCTTCTCTGACTGCAGCTGTGCATCTCATTCAGGAGGCGCATGTGCCCCCTTCTCGTGTTCACATTCTCGAAACTCTCAGTCAAGCTGGCGGCGGGAGTATCAGTACGGGGGACCCCGTCAATGGTTATGATTGCCGCGCTGGGGGAATGCCTCCATTCAACGACGTCTGCATGGAAGAACTTCTTTCTCTGGTCCCCTCCAAGACCAATCCAAACCTGACCGTCCTCGAAGAATTTCACGAGTTCTGGGACACTGAAGCAGTGAAAGATCACCCTCATACTCGCTTCCTCACCCGCCATAAACATGGTCTTGAACGCATTGACGCCAAGCGAGCCAGTCTGGGACTGCGCGACCGCGTGGACCTATTCATGCTGGCCTCAAAGTCGGACAAGTCGCTCGGCCGCTCGCGCATCTGCGACCATTTTAGCAATAGCTTCTTCAAAAGCTATTACTGGATGCTCCTTTCCACGACGTGAGTCGTATCTTGGTACCGTTGATTTGCCATGCCTCACTAACAATTCCTCCTAGCTTTGGCATAAAACCTGTTCATAGTGCAGCTGAGTTCCGGCGCTACCTTCAACACTACATGCACGACATCCACGAGATCCACTGTCGCCGGAAGCTAGATGGTGGCCGTTACAATCGTCACGAGTCTATCGTCTCACCAATTGCTCACTTTTTGTGCTCCCGTGGCGTGGACTTCCGTTTTCACACCACAGTCACTGATATCATCACCACCCCTTCAAGCAGCGAACCGCACCGAGTATCGGCCATCAAAGCCATACATGAAAATGAGCCCGAGATGACGATAAATCTGGGGGAGCGGGACATCGTGCTGGTCTCACTAGGCTCGGTTATGTCCGGCTCCACAACGGGAACCAACACGTCCCCACCGTCCTTGGAACTAATGGATATCGAGAAAGACTTGGACGAGAATTGGCTGCTGTGGCTAGAGCTCTCCACCAAAAACCCTATCTTCGGGAACGCATACAACTTCTGCACACGCATGGCGGAGTCCCGCCTCGAATCATTTACCGTCACCTTTTCCTCCCCCGAGTTCTTCAACCGCTTTACCGCCCTCACAGGTGATAAAGTAGGAAGTGGGACTTTCGTCACCCTCAAAGACACTCCCTGGCTCCTGAGCATCAATCTTCCCCAGCAACCTCTCTTCCCGGATCAGCCTGCGCACGTGCAGGTACTCTGGGGCTACGCCATGTACCCCGAGCGGGAGGGCGACTATATCAAGAAACCCATGCTCGAATGTTCCGGACAGGAAATCATGGAGGAGATATTAAAACAGTTGAATTTCCCCGTGCAGGGGATCCTAGACCACTCAATCACCCTCCCATGTGTGGTTCCGCGAGCGGCGGCGACACTGTTGGTCCGCTTGCGCAGCGACCGACCTCCAGTGATTCCCCCGGGAATCGACAATCTCGGGCTCATAGGCCAGTTCGTGGACATCCCGGGAGAGGTGGCCGTGACGATGGATTACGGGGTCCGGTCAGCGCAGACGGCGGTCCGTCAGCTAATGGGGCTGGAAAGGCACAAGGTATTGTCTAAGCGAAGTTCCGCAATCAATTTAAAAGCTTTGTAGGCTCTTTACGACCGGTTGACCTTGTGGTTTGTCGTTGATGCGTGCTTCATTCAGCATTCCGCCTGGGTTTATGATACATGGATTCTTCGTTATACTGGCTTTCCATGTCATGATACTCTCATCCAGTGCCTCTGTCAAACACTCTGCCGATTCAACAATCTCTTCGTGCGATCACATCGAGGATTTACATTTCAATGTGCATCTCAACAAGACCAAAAGCACGATTTAATGCATGTACATTGTTTCCAAACTAGCGTGTTGTGTTTATGAGTTGTTATATTACCCTCTATCATCGATTTAGAATGAGCTTTCTAGCAATTCTACTCATAACTGTCGTAGTCTCGAACAGTCGACGGGACCTGCTCTCCTCTTATATAGGTGGGCAGGTGGGATTGAGATCACGAGATGGATGAAGCAAGTGTCCGGATATAGCACTTGTCGTCGATTCCTGTCATAGAGGAATGCAGAAGAATGAGTACCCTGATCTGATGGCCGAATATTATTTTCCAGGGATGTATCTATCTGGAGTTGTGTATCAAGACATATTTGGTGAAGGGATACTAGTAAAATCCATACAAGCTTTCCTGCACACCGCCAATACATAATCCGAGTATACATAAAAACCAAGATAAACCGATACCAATAACGATGTTTGAAGTAATATGATGCCAATCCGTGCCAATAAAAATGGTGGATATACCAATAAGGCGTACCTATCGCGCCAATAACGGACCCAGATTATATGCACTAATACCGCTGCAAATATAACTCCAATAGAAAAGAGAGTCAATGTTCGCCGACCCCGATGATGTTGATCAAATATCAGTCGACGTCGGATCCATTCCCATGAATACTTTATACAATCGTCTGCTCACGGCTGGACCAATGCGTGAATCGGTGAGGGCGCCGTTTTTGTTTGCTGATTTCTGAAAGTATAATGGTCAGTACCAAGACAAAGATATAATCGAATAAGGCGAGGAGCCGTAAAGGAATATACCTTGACGTCTTCTAATAGCCCCGGTCCATGTTTCCGCATCGCATTTACCAAATCCATCGCACTTGGGTATTGCGTCGCAATGCCATATGCCATTGACGCCGTGACTCGGTTCACCTCCTGGAGCATCTTCACGAATGCGTCGGATCGGTTCTCGCCGGGCTTTACTTGTCCTACATCCATACAAAATGCGGAGTCATTCAAGTCCATCCGCTCCCGGCGATAGGGCACAGTGGAAATATACTCAGTGAAGTTCTTGATCCATTCCGCGGACTCTGCAGGGGAGCTTGTATGATGGATTAGGCACGAATGGGTCACCTGTAAATCGAGGAGAGCGTCTTCAACCGTGTCGCTGTCTATAGGCGTAACCGGTTCAGGCTGCTGTTGCTTTCTCCGCGTTGAGGGACGGGCAGAGCTGTCTTCATATTGTCGTCGCACAGCGGCTTGGTAGGCTCTGTTTTGTGCATTGTTATTCTTCCGCATTAGACTTGTCAAGCCTTCGATTAAATAGATCGGTCGAGACTTTGGGTAGGCTAATTTCAGGCGCTCAACGTGGTCGTTGATAGTATTTCTTGGTTCGGTTGTTGGGGCCACGATCATATTGATAAAGTCTTGAGCCGCTATCAAACATAGGACATGCTCCTCTTCGTCGCGGATGTGAAGCGCGCACGGTTCCCAGTGACCAAGGGAGTCGTTATATGTAGCCCGAACCTTGCGACGCCACTTGACGATATTCGGAATGGTACTGGGGAAAAATGAGAGATCAACTTTGAGAAGGCGCATAAGCTCCGAGGTCTGATTCCCGAGACTTGTGTCGGTAAATGTAGAGGCGAGGTCAATTAGCATCTCATGCGTCGAATCCTTCTTGTCCACCTTGAGCTTGTTGACCTCAGCAATGTCCGCTGCGAGTTGCTTTTCGCGGGCTTTATCTTCCTTGGCTTTCTGCTTGCGCTCCTTTTCAAGTTGCCTGTCGTGTTCCCTTTGTGCCTTAGCCGCCTCCCGCTCTCTGGCTTTAGCCTCCTTCTCTTCGCTTGTAACCTTGATTGCTTTGCGCTGGGGCTTCCGCGGTGGCGGCATCTCTTCAACCTCTATATCATCGCTTTGATCCTGGATCCTCCGACCTCTCGACGACCTGGACGCAGATTCGCCATTGCTGCCACGGGAACGGTCTTCAAGGGTTGCTAGTAGATTCGCAGTCCGACTTGAAAATGCGTTTGCTTCGACTCGCTGGGCCACATCAAGTAAATCGTCGACATCCGGGAAATCCAATTGGTCGCTGGACACTTGAATCGCCTCTTTCCGGGGTCGGTTGTTACTGCGGGTGTCACTGGAATTGCCAGCATCATCATCATCGAGTGAGATAGTGTTTACAGCACGCGAGCTTATGGCTGGTCTGACCGGTAGATTATGAGTGGGTTCAGGCGCCGATGAGGTGAAGACAATAGGGTCGGATTCTCCATTCCAGGCCGGAGGTTTTGTAGGGGCGGGACCGTCCGAGGATAAGATTATGTCGTCATCGGAGAAGAGGAACAGCGAGTTCTTAGCTGGTGGAAGCGGTACATCTTTGACGGGTGTGATCTCATGGCTCAAGCGCCGTCGTTTGGCGGGCTGCTCGATGGGGTTATCGTAGGTAAATGCGGAGAGGTCAATTTCGTCGGAGAAGATGGAGTCCGAGGCGGGTACGACAGGCGGGTGAGAATGCGCTCTGCGGATGGAGAGCTGCTCACGTCGCTCTAACGGGGGCGGAGGGGTGGAGGAGAGGAGATCGATGACCTCTGGCATGTTGCCCAAAACACCAAAAGGCCCAACCTCGTAATGGCAACAGCGGGGATGAAGAACAACCGCCGAACTGGAGACGACGGCACGTGTCGCGGGGAACACGTCGGTGGCACGGTGTCACGTGAAGCAATTCAATATCTACTGGATGTGAAAGTTGATGAACTGAGCATCACGAATTGAATATAGTACACGCAAGTCAAGGGTATTATTCTAACAATCAATCAAAGCAGCTTCACAAGGAATGCAGCAGCGAGGGCAAGCACCACTCCCACCAATGCAAGGAAGGTAAGAAGCTGTTGGAAGCCATGGAACGGCCGCTGTTCCTGGCCGAGCATCTCTTCGATTTCCTGCTCGAGTTTCTCGCCCATAGCTGTCAGTGAGAACTCCTTCTCGACACGCTCTTTCGCGGCCACAGACATCCTGTCCAGTTCCTCCTGCTTCATGCCGTACAGCACCTTGTCCATCACCGCAGTCCAATCGGCATCCACCTTGGCGTCACGGAGCCAGCCCGTTTCGCCCTCCACAATGGTCTCCAAAGGCCCTCCAGTATTCGACGCAAGCACCGGCACGCCAGCCCGCATCGCCTCAACCGGTACGATCCCGAAGTGTTCGTTAATCGGCGTATACAGGAGCAACTTCGCCTGCAGCAAAAGGGTATCCCGGAACGCCGTCGGCACGGACAGCAGGAAGAGCACATCGATGGAATCGGGTATCGAAAGGGCCGAAATAACCGTCTTAGATGTCGCCGTCTGCAAGCCCAACCCAGTCGCCAATTCATCCAGCTCCCGATGATACTGCACATTCTCCTGGACGCGATTATCGTAACCACCTGCATCAAGCGAACAACCAGTTAGCACACTCCTCTCAACCAGCAAACAACGAGCGCAGCCTCGACGGCCAGACAAAAGGGAATACCCACCAGCAACAACCAATCTAGTCCCCTTCCTCTTCTCCTCCCCAAGACCATGATAGGCACGAATCGCCAACGCCAGGTCCTTCTTCCTCTCAAACCGATTGACACTGAGTAGGATCTTCTTCCCACCCCACAACTTCTCCCCATCCTTCACCACCCCCTCACCCCCATCCCCAGCCTTCGTATCAACACACGGATAAACGACACTCAAATCTCCAACCTTCTCCCTCCCAAACACCCCACTAACAACCCCTCTCGTAAACCTCGAATTCGCAACCACCTTATCCGACGCACTCACAGCCCACCCCTCAAACCAATCAAACGGCACGCGATACAACCCCTTAAGCAGCTGCAGTACCGAACCCCCCTCATCCCGCCTGGCAAGCAACTGATCCGGAAAATGACAATAGAACAAAATCCTCTGCTTCCTGCTGTTCTTCTTCCCACCAAACACCTTCAAAAAGGGCACACAAGCAGGCATCTGATCCACAATGAACACCTCCTCCTCCCCCTCCCCATTATCCCCACTCGTAGTCTCCCCACACAACAAATCCCACGTCAAATGCAATTGCCTCAGGATAGCCATGAGCACAAACAACCGTCCGCCCACATGCGCCGGGAAGATCGTATTCCCGCGCACCTGCACATCAAGTGTCCCATCGCGCGCCTCCTCAAAACAATGCGATTTATCCCGGTGCGAGGTGTAGATTGTGACGGGGTGGCCTCGCGATTGCAGTGCTAGGGCCACGTCGATGATTAGACGTTCTGCGCCGCCGATGCCGAGATCGGGGTGGATGATGGTAATTTTGGCGGGGGGCATTGTTCCCTTTTCTTTGTTTTTTTTTTTCGTTGGGAATTTGTGGGTGAGAGTGTAACTGAGTCGGAGAATTTCGTTTAGGTGGATATTGGCATTGCGGATTGAGAAATTGGGTTAATTGTGAGTGTTTTTGTACAGCTGTGACTTTGTAGTTCCAATTAGTTAGCTGCGGTGGTAGCAGCTTGAAAGAGACACGCGGCCGATTGGGAGATTGCGTCATGTGATGATCTATCTCTTATCGCTAGTCAAGACCGGGGTATGTATATTTGACCTCTATAACTATTGACAGGGCACTATGATCATTAAATTATATTAGTCTGGATAATACTTGTTACTTTATTGAATATCACGCTAATTTTAAATTGTTCTAAATCGAGCCACCGTCTAAGCTGGTGAAATGAAGAAAGTGATATCAGGCAATCAATCAATCAATATACGTCCCGGCAAATAACAACTTCACACCGACGACAATTCTAACTAGAAAAAGAGCAAGGCAGCGACAATGGCTGCTCATGCGGGAAACGGATGGGAATAAAAACATTCTCAGAGAACACATGTATCAATGTATGGTCAGGGTAGTCGGAAAATGTACAATCACAGGCCATACTTGTAAGTCATAAAGTCAGGATTCATCAAATAGGCGGAGCAGAAGTCAAGGGGGTCAGGTGCACGAGGGAAGGAAGAAAATAAAAAAGAGGTGAAAGGAAATACACAGAAGGTAAATAAGCGGTGGTATCAACGAGGCGAAGAAAGGGGGAATCGACGTTGAGTGGGTTCATAATACAAGAGAAGACTGAACATCGTGGCGCCAAAAGGGGCTTGAAAACAAAAGGGGGCAGGGCAAGACAAGGCGAATGACATCGGCTAATGTAGATCGATCAAGTCTAAAAGCAGTTGAGAGTGCTCTTCTTTTTCTTCTTATTGAGCGCATTCATCCGCTCCTCGAGCTGCGCCCGGGCGGCTTCGGCCTCCCGGCGAGCGTTTCGTTCCTCTTCGACGGCCTGCAGTGAGAGGCGCTGGGAGGCGCGCTCCTTGCGGAGCGTGGTCAGTTCTTCTTCCAGCTCCCGGGCCTTCTTCTTCCACGCGTCGCAGTCTGACTTGACCTTGTTGCTTTGCGCTTCAAGGTCTCCCAGGGCTTCTTCCAAGGTGGCAGTGAGCTGCTTCTCTGCGTTCAGGTGCTTCTCGATGGTGCGAATACGGGCCTCCTGATCATCGACAATCTGTGGGTTCACCAGCTCCTTACTAGTGTGACGGGAGCTGGGAGGAGAGATACTGCCCGTACCGTTGGTGGCCGAGGCAATAGTCGGTAGAGGGGGCAGGGGAATAGCGGGAGGTGGCGAAGGGAGAGAGGTTGCAGATGAGCTCTTACGGAGATTGGACGTAATCGAGCTGCTGCGGTCATGAGAGCTGTCTTGGTTCTTGATCTGGAGCTAGAAGAACGTTAGTCGTCGCCAGCATGTAGTCTTCGGTATATAAACACTTACCTCGAGCTGCTCGATCCGCACGCGGTATGTCTCAATATCCTTCTCATAGGCTGCAATCTTCACCTTGGCATCTTCCAATGCCTGGTCACGCTCCTGCTGAATGACGGAGAGACGGTTATGGTGCTGATCGAAGCTATTGGTGATCTGTTCCTCTAACTCCTCCACCAAGCGGACACTCTTCTCCTTTTCAGCCTTGACTTCCGCAATGATGGCCTCCTTCTTCTTGACCTGCTCTTCCTTTTGGAGCAGAGTATCTTCGAGGGTGGCAACCAGAAGAGCCAGCTCGTTGACCTTCGCTTCCTTGCTAGAGTTGCTCTGCATGAGCTCCTCCAGCCGGCCTTCATCGGATCCCTTGGTCTCAAGCTGTTTACGCAAATCCTCGTTGGTATCCAGCATCTCGGCATACTTGTCGGAGAAGTGCTGCTTCTGAGCCATGATTTCCTGTATTTGCTCCGCCATGGTCTCCGCGGTAACGTCGGCGTTAAGGAGTTTAGAAACCATATTGAGCAATTTCGTCAACTCTTCCCGCGACTCTAGGATCTCCGATCTCAAAGTCTTCATCGCCTCCTCATGCTCGGCGCTCATCGTGGCGAAACGCGACTCATAGTCACCCTGCGCAGCCGCCGTAGCCCGAGCTTCAAGTTCCGTCACCTCCTGCTTGTGTGACTCTTGTAGGGACTCCAGGTCCTTCTTGAACGAGTCAGCAAGGGACTTGTGGGAGTCGATCTCCTTCTCCAACTCTGACACACGAGACTGATGTACTTGAACCTCGTTGCTATCGTTGTCCTTTGCTGCCAGAAGTTCTGACAGCTGCAGCTGGGCTTCGCCGTGAGACTTTTCGAGGGAGGCAATCTTCTCAAGGTGGGCAGCATTGGTGGCCTTATGTTCGTCAATAACATGCTTCAGTTTTGCAACGAGTTCTTCTTGTTGCTCCCTCTCGGCCTCCAGCTCTCTAGCAGCAGCATCCTTTGAGGCAGAGGCTTCACCGGCAGCCGTCTGTTCAGAACGCATTGCGTCAATAGACGCCAATGCCTTGTCGAGCTCTGCCAAAGTCGCACTCAGTTCCTGTTCGGACGATTGCAGGGATTCAACGGCATTGTGGTGTTTGCTCTTCAGTTCCGTGACCTCTCCTTCGAGAGAAGAAATCTTTCTCTCTTGCTCTTCAGCGCACAGATCCTGGGCTTTAGCCGCTTCTTCCTGGGTCTTCAGGAGGCTCTTCAACTCTTCGATCTCGGCGAGAAGCTGCTTCTCTCTGGCGTCGTGTGATTCTTTCATCTCGTTGATGAGATTCTCTTGCTGCACCACTTGATCGCGCAGTTGATTGACCAGGCCCATGTCGACCGAGGACCCACCGCCTCCCTGCAAGCTCGACCTCTCACGAGTGAGTCCAGAGATGATGGTTGATTTTGTCTCCATTTCCTTCTTGACGCTTTGATTTTCGGCCTCCAGCGCCTGGATACGTTCCATGCGATTGTGTAGTTCGTGCATAGCCGAGTCGAGGTGGACTTCGAAGTTCTGCATGGTATCAGGGCGGGCCTCAAATTCCTCAACTGCAATATTACGCAAGGCGGCAAGGGAGCGGTGAGCCCGATCGACCGTACCAATCAGACTCTGACTTGTCTTCCTCCGGATTACAGGGGACTTGAAGCCTGGGGTGCTCGGCGGTGAAGAATTCTTCGATCGCTGCAGTTCGGCTTTCAGTGTTTCGATGAGGCTGAGGGTTCCTTCATGCTCCGACTGCAACTGGGCATACTTCTGCGACATGATGGAAACACCCTCCTGATGCTCCATGAGCAAACGACGCATCTGCTCCACTTCTTGAGCCTTCGCTTCATCTATCTCTCGAGTGTCGACGTGGTTCTCCTGCGGGACCTCGCCATTACTCAAGGTAGATTGCTCGTGCGAAGAAGCAGGCTCCCCGGCCAAGGATAACTCCGAAGAGAGTGATGGCGAGGACGACGGTTGTTTTCCATCGTTCGAGCCGGGGGCCTTGCCTTCCTCTAAAAAAGACACCGGGCGAGATTCGACGTTGGTGGAGAGAAGGTCCTGAACCTTTTCGTCTGGGTGACGGGCTTCGTCGGCAGCGTCCCGTTGAAACTCCGCCAGGGCTTTCATCGCTTCCGCATACTTCGCCTCGAGCATTTCATACTCACTCACAGTAGACTCGTGCTGCATACGCAGGTCGAACAACTCCTGAGTGACCGTCTCAAGTTTGTCCGCAACGACCTTGGTTTGGGTGGGAGTAGAAGCTCGACTCGCACGGGCACCGTTCTCCTGAGCCTCCAGGCGGTCAGTAGCCGATTCTAGGACCTTCAAATTGGTCTCGTCTGTCTCAGCAGTCGCTTCAGCCTCCACGGAAGCTTCGTGCACGGCTTCTGGGGCTGGCTCTGTCAAGCCTTCATCCGATTCGGGTATGGCGGTCTCCACAGCCTCAGTCAGGACATCGAGGGAAAGGGATGTTGCCCGGGTGCGAGGTTTGTAGGCGCCCTTGGCGGGAACTGGGACATGAGTCTCAAGCTCGTCCTCGGACTGCTCCTTCTGGTTGCCGTTCTGCTGGACATGATCAAGCTCATACAAAAGGTTATCCAGTTTGCCCAGGCTGCGCTGGCGCTCAATAACATGCTCCAAGCGCTCCATTTCCCTTTGCATCAGCTCCATATCTTGATCAGCTTCGGCCAGACGCTCCTCCAGCGTGGAAATATAGTCTTCGCAGTTGGCTTCGCTTTCGCGGGCTCGACTCAGCTCCTTCCGAAGTTCCGCCACGATAGCCGCCTGCTTCTCTTCACCAGTAGACTGGCCATCAAGCCGCGCTTCCAGCTCATGCAGATAGGTTTCTGTGCTGCTTTCACGGTCAAGCAGTTTCTGAATCCGCGCCTGTAATTGGGAGTTGACAGTCTCAACGTATGCGCACTTTGTTTCGCGTTCGAGAAGCGTGCTCTCCGTCACTGAGAGCGAGGACCTAGTGTTAGAAAGAGACGACTCAAGGCTCTGAATAGTCTTCTCGTACTCCAGGACGACCTGCTCGATCGACTCCGCAAACGATTGTGATCGCTTCAGACGTTCAACAGAAGTTTTCCCGACCAAGCTGACCACATCATTGGGGTCTGTCTCGCCAGCATGTTCGGAGTCCCTAGCGATCTCCGAGATCAATTTCGCATGACGCTGGCTGAGAGCGTTGTAACTCTCTTGGGTATCGAGGAGCTGATTCTGGAGCTCGACCTCCCTCTCGTTCTGTCGCTCCGCTCGATCCTGTGGGGCAGCGCTTCGACGGCCGTTCTCTTCCGCATTACGGAGCTGCTGGCGCAAGAAAGCGACCTCCGCCTTTAGTCGTTCGATAACTGCGTGCTTGTCGCTTTCGTCGGCAATCTGCTGGATGCGGGGCTTGCTCTGGATCGCTCTGGCTCTTTGAGCATACTGAACCGTATTCACGGTTTCACTCAGATGGAACTCCGCAGGGTTGACACATGCGATCATGTATGTATAGGCGTTACCACCCAGAGAGTCCTGGAGCAGTCGTGTGAGCTTCGAGTCACGATAGGAGACGTGAGCGCCGGCCTGGCGAGAGGATAGCTGCGAAATGACCTTGCCCAAAGCAGCAAGGCCCGCATTGATAGAGATACCCTCCTTTGCCCGTTCACCAGAGGCCCCGGTGTTCTTCAACCTCTCACTTCCTGCTAAATCCACGAAATGGAGCTTGCTATCCACCATGACAGAGGCATCAGAGCCAGACATCATATCCACTGGCATCGACATGCGCTTGTCTTTGGGTGTCGGGGACATGACTCCGTTGGATGCCTTCCGCTGAACAAGGTTCAGACTGAAAACCGCGTGCGATCGAGAAGACTTGGCGTTAATCGCGGTGGAATCGGTCTGCCGGATGGAGGAACCGAAGCTAAGAGCACCCATCAGATCTTCGTATGAGTTAATATTCACCTGGTGTAGACCCGTGAGAATAATACGTCCTTTGGCATCCTCACGGATGGTGACCGTGCCCCGGTCGCCCTGATGTGTCGATTCAGGCACAAGGAGATCTCGCAATTGTTCGTTGTAGATCTGCACACGTCAGTATCTTCAAATCGCGAAGCAACATTCGATGTGGGGTCACAAACTTCAACGTAGGTAGCCTTCAGCTGCCAGTTCTTCTCGACGCTAGCTTTCCCAAAGCTGGAGGCGGAGCCGACAGAATAGCGGGATGGAGTACGAAGGCCTGTGCCGCTGTTGCGATTCGGTTTGGCAGGGCCCTCTAGTTTTTCAAAGAGAAGCTGAGCCGCCCGAGGAATGATTCCTATTTTAGGTCAGTCGAATGCGCCGCAGAGCGCGCGATTCTCGGGGAGGACGAACCCATCGATCTCGGGTCACTTTGTTCACTGGGACCCGAAGTTCCCATGGTGTAGGACTTTCCCGCGCCGGACTGGCCATAGGCCAGGATGGAGACATTGTATCCCTGTAGAAACGAGCTCACACTATCGCTGAGGTAGTCCCAGACGCCATCCTGATCGACCGTCTCAGCGAACACACGGTCAAAAACGAACAATTTCCGGCCCTGTGGGACATCGATGGCAACACTGGTGGGATTGGTGACGTGGACCATGGGACGCTGGAAGCGCTGGGGAACCAATTCATATCCGGGATCGGTTGGCTTCAGGGGCGGTCGCACTCGAACAGCTAGAAAAGTAATCAGTATGCAGAGCTATACTCGTGAAGCCGCGCACGTGGGGCGTTTGAGGCGCCGAGGCGAGCGGTATCCGCAATACCGCATCTGAACCAGCTCAGCCCCAACGGGCGCACGCACTGAATGGAATAACGCACCGACTTTGACCGCAGTTTTCCCATCCTCATCCGATGCCCGACTTCCTCCACCGTGTCTACTGCTCATACTCAAGCGACTGGTGCTTCGGGGGGTCCGCATGATGCCGCTGAAAGGACGCTGAGGCGCATCCGCTGGCGATTCAGGCTGAGAGCCCGTCATGGCACTTTATACGATTGCAGGCCAGGAGGAGGGGGGGAGGAACGGGTTGGGCAGAGATAGATCGGCGAATGGTGGACAGAGATATGTTGATTGGTCATGAAACGGAGACGGGAGTCATCAGTCACGAATCGGTGCGCCAAAAGTGCGAATGTTCACTCTCGGTGTCCTTTGATTAGGATTATTATTTATGTGGGCGGTTCCGTCGCGTGAGATGGCGGCCTGCGGCACTCTGCGACGTCAAGCGGTCTCTAACCTGCAGGTACAAATAAAAAGCGGGAAGGTTCCTATCGAAAGTGTGAAAGCTGGTTAGAATGGGTGAACGGGAAAGGCGGGAGATGGACCGGAACAAGTGAATTAAGGTAAGGGGAAAGGGGACATAATTACAGGAGAGTGTCCCGACCACAGTGCGAACAAAGGGAGGGAGCAAACAGTTTGGACACTTACAGAGAGGCCGACAGAGAAAGAGAGAGAGCGAAGCTGCACCACCGGCGGTCACCGCAGAGGGGCTTAAGGGCAATGACAGAAGGGAGTGTGACAGGGAATGGACAGGAAGAGTTCCCCGGGTCTAGGCAGTACCAGCCAGGTAGAAAGGTATCTCTACGCACCCAGACTAGAAATCCGAGAAAAAACACCCAGGTGGGAGAAGCTGTCGCGGAGAGGAGGAGATGGAAGAACTCCTGAGCGGCGAGCAAAGTTAATTGGTGGCATCAAGGTTGAAGCGAACCGGGATGGGGCTGGGCTGGGGCGTTGGCCCAAGTCGGCCGCTTTACTATGTTGAGCTGGACTGAAGTGGAAACAAGTGGACGGTGCGAAGTGGAAAAGGAGGGCCGGCCAGCAACGGCGCTGCGGTGAATATTAGACTAATACTATTAATGAATGGAGAGAGAGAGAGAGAAAGAGAGAGAGAGGAGAGAGCCGATGGGAGGGGTTCAATTGATGGCACGCGGAGTTACCTCCAATTCCTGTCGGCTCTCTCTCTTTCTCTCTCTCGGTCTCTTAATACCTGAAATCTACTTTCTAATCTGCTTGAAAGTTGAAACAGGTCATAAAAAGCAGCCAGGTAAAAATAGTACCGCAGCTGAGACCGTGGTTCCTGACCATCTTCCATTGACGATCCAGCAATCAAGGGCCAGACTGCATGACACCCACAGCCAAAGCTGAAGAAAACAACAGATTGTCCGTCAGGCACCGTCCATGCAATTGGGATTAACCCTCAGGAACCAAGTCCCGTACGCCTTCCGGTATGGCCGTTACGACGCCAGGGGCAGAAACCCACTCCCAAAACCCACCCACCAGCCCAGCTGTCGGGGTCCAGAACACACCTCATGATCCCTACTTGGTGGCTATCTATCGTCGCGCTTGGTCCCTGGATCGCAATTTGTGGCTTGTCCAGATCATACACTGATGCGATCGGTGGTGACCTGATGGTCGGCAAAAGAAAACATACATATATTCCACATCATCCCCATCCGTTCGCCGGTAATAAAAAAGAAGCATTACGACTCACGAGCGGTTCCCGTATTGCCGACAGAAGTTGTTCCACGGTTCGCGGCGGATGGATTGCAATTCAGGAACCGAAACGGAGTCCGGAGTGCCACCTTTCCCAACCACATGGGGGTAAGGAACTCCATTCTTGTCATTTTTAGACGTTTCAGATTGGAAAGCTGCTGGAGATTCGCCAGCTGAGGACACGACACCAGCACCAGCATCACTTTTTTGCCATCCACCACTTGCTTCTTTACATTGGTTGAACAACAGCAACAAATCTAGTAACTAGTAGATAGCCATGCAGCCGGATCGTGAAAATTGTCATCCACAGGGCAGGGAAAAAGAAAGCAGGGAAGCCATACCAAAATAGCAGAAACCCCCGAGAAAAAGAAACGATAAGGAAAAGCACTCCAGAGAGCAAAGTGCGAACCCAGGCGACCAGGATGAAAACTTAACTTTAACCCACCATCTCCTTGACATCACATGCCTTTCAAGCGGAAAGAGACATTATAGGGTGAACGGGGGGGATGTCTCTCCCTCCCCCATTCCACGTCCACCGCTTGACACCAGTGTCAAGTGTTTTAGTTTAGTGATTAAACTACTGGAGACCGTCAAATGTGACCGGCAAACTCAGGAACCATCTGCATCGGGACGACGCATCGCATGCGCATTTCCCTCCCCAAGTCGGTAAGGTCAGTCAAGGCAAGCGAAATGACGACCTACCAGCCCAGCCTCCCAAGCCTGCACGGTCGGATAGGGACATGGCCGTCCAGTGCGTACCCTTTAGTCAGAGCCAGTCTGCTCGAAATGGAGAAGCTTGACCCGCGGGTGTTACAGTCTGTTGCTTGAGTGCGGGTCAACATGGTGCCATGGAGGGCGTGTGCGACAATCCATTCCCATTTAAAGAGTGGATTGATTGCTGTCCGAGTGGACACTAGACCGCGACTTAGCCAGTTAGCCTCCACCGGCAATGGATTAAAGGCTATGCTCCATCACTAACGGTCGTGCGATCGCGGTGGAAGAGGAAGAGATTGGCATCTGTCTTTAGTTAGCAGGCTACTGCTTTATGAGTGATAAAATGATAGCGCCTGGCATCCTTCATCTCGGTCGGGATACGTAAGTTCCCCCGACCGCCTATCAGCATCACTCTACGAAATTAATCCGGTTCCCCAATATTAGGCACTTCAGTATCCCCGACCGGAACGTGGGAGCTGGCCCCAAGCATGGATCATGGATCATGGACGCCTTTGAGTTCCCTGGATGATGTATCAACCAATCACCCAACTACTAAGCTCACACCTGGCATACTTCAAGTCTGTCGGTCATTGGACGACATATGCAGATGAAAAAGAAACTAAGTATTATAAATAAAGGAACATTAGAAATAAAGGAACATTAGAAATCAACCTGCGAGATTATTCCATTTTCGCAGACTAGTAGCTAGCCCATGGCAATTGTCGCTTTTGTCAACTACTCGGTAGGGTATAGTTCATTCTACTTCGGGCCAGAGATGCATTGAGACTGTTTCAAAGATGAAGCTGAGAAGGCTTGGGTGACATAAGGCAATCTTGTACAACCATCTGCCAAGCTGGGTGCGCTAATCCAGATCAGGCACGAGAGGCTGTATACCTTGTCGAAAACCTATTCAGATGACTTCTTGCCTTTACTGTGTCCATGACCCGACCCTCTAGTTGTGATGCAATGAATGCATACAGTTCATTCAGAGTCGGACTTCTAATCCATGGAAGCGCCCAACCCTTAAGTGTGCACATCTCTCATCTTCAAACAGCTCATCGGACGTTGACAAAGTCGGGGCTCGCAAGCTATGGCAGACTCAGGAAGAGCAATACTTGGGTATCACATACTACATTCATTGCATGCAAATTCCGCACTAGTCCGACAATATATATCCTATAGACGAGGTCCTACTCCCAATGACGTACAAATCCCAGTGAACCAACACCACTCCTACTTCAAATCGTTCCAATTTCTGCATAGTGATTCACGTAACCTCCATACTCGTTATGCACTTCTGTAACCAGCTATAAAACCTCATAATCCCTATATCATCATAGCAGCATAATCTACCCGCCTTGTTGTCAAGAACAGAGAAGTGGATGCTACTATATCTCGAGCCAAGCCGATTGACCGATCTATCAATCAATAACACCATAACCCACAAAATAGGATTCAACGGCTCATTGATTGCCAATGAGCCAGGGGAAAGGGATATCCGACCGAACGTTATTCTTCTCTGAGATAGATACTGCATAAATTTCTGGAGGTACCTCAATTTTTCTTCACCTGCCGCGAGCACGTTATTCTATGAAAACTGGACCCGATGGGAAGAAACTTGTTTAAGACAATTCTCTTCTGAAAGTAACCCATGTTTATAATTAGTAGTAGGCCTGAGCACGGGCAACTACTCCTACCCAATATATATAAAATGGGGGTCAGTCCATACTATGTAGAACTACTACTAATCGGTATCCCCACATAACCACCCACATTAACATTATACACTCAACATTATTCCACAGAACCGAACCCATCCATCAAGACACAAAGTAATAACCTAAATAATAAATCAAATAAAACCCTCAATAGCGCTCCCAACCCGCCTATCCCAATGATACTCTTCTATTCCTCATCATATGATTGGGTGGCCCCTGAAATTTCCAACGGCCGATCTTCACCCGGCAATCGGCACGTATATCTCCAGCAGAGTAACGATCGTCGAAAGTACCACCATTTTGTCCACTCTTCACTCCTCCACCGACCCAAGTCTTTTCTATTGCTTTTGTATTGTTCATCCACGGCAACCATGCCAATATTCATTTACGCTATTATTCACCTCTATTTTAACATTGAGGCTCATAGGAAGGAAGGAAGGGATGATAAATGTATTATATCCAGGTCTAGATATCTCCCGCTCATCACAAAACGCCACAACTGCCTATCCGTATCAAACCCCCAAACTCAAAACTGAACCTGCATAATCACCAATGCACGATTGTGAACTTGTCACACCCGCACCCCCATTCCACATTCCACCATCTTGAATCCTATCTTGACAGTAACTACTCCGTACTAACAGCGCAAGCAGCTCAGAACCAAAGACAATGAACTCAATTTCCACTGATCAACCTTGTCACTTCACATATAGAGTAGCAGGCTCGTATCGAGATACACTTCCTATTACGCATCATTGTATGGCATTACGGGGGGCTCTACAATAAATCGAATTCTTTGTTTAATGGCATAGCAAGTAGAAAGCTTCTTCCTTTCAATCATGAAATATTTCCGTAGATTGTACCTGCGTTTCAATCACAGGAGAGGAAAAAGTGATACATGGCCGATGGCCGAAGGAATGAAAGCAAGGATGCAGATACATAAGAGGGTACCTTACTTAAGTAATAAGGTTTATGCAAGTAAGGGGTCGCGTTAAGTTAAAGTTAGTCAACGCTCAGGCAGATGACAGGACATATTTATGGATAGATAGATGGATGGAATGATAGGATATATCAAGTAGCGTACCTGTTGCAAGGTAGATAGATCTATTCTGGAGGCAACTAACTTTGTACTTATATGCACGACTTCGGAGGGACGAGGAGATAAAGCATGATTTTAAAATAGATCTATCGGAGAATACGACAGACGCCAACGCAACAACTTTGTAAGCCACATGGGTCACTGGGGAGGCAACTAACTAGTCGGGTGACTAACTAGAAGCCTGTGCAATAATCGATCCCTGGCGAATGACAATCCACAATGGGGTAGAGATAGATCGCATCTTATCTAGATCAGTCTCATCGTTTCATAAGTGGCGTTGCCTTATGCAAGGGGACCGCTAGATCGAGATCGAGATCGAACGGTGGATGACAACGCAGGTGGATACCGAGATAAGACACTGTAAGTACGCTTTGGCATTTGCAACTAGAACTCGCACTATTCAATAATTCTGATAAAAGGTATGCGCTATGACATTTTTGATTCGTGTTCTCAATAACACCCTCCAACAATCTTCATGTGCTTCCTTGTTAACCTTCCATTATGGCGTCCCGGACTTGATCTTCCACTGGGGCCTCGGGTGCGTTAGCAAGCACCCATGGTAGCTCAATATCCGTAGGCGATATGCAGACAGGGTAGCCTTTGATTTGATCTTGTGTATACAGAAGACCGTTCACACACAGACATCCAATGAACTGCCAGAGTCTATGACACATATTGTAGGTAGAACCCCGTGGTATTCTCAGCTGCATATCGTTGAGTACCAGGCGTATATGTTGATAATAACCTAGCGAGTTCATGTTGCGCCCATTTAGACCGGTAATGTTATCCACCGTATCTGTGAATTGCCGGAGTAGGAAGTTCGGTATCCGTCGCGGTTTCTGCGTTGCTAGGGTTCGAATAAAAGTGTGAAGAGCGACATCCGCTTTCTCAATAAGCTGACGCTGAGTTCCAACGTGACGAATCAATGAAGCGTATGCACTGGGAGTGAGTATGTGCTCAGCGTTGTGGAACTCGTTCCGCCCCCAGTATTGCGCCATTCCGACCAAATGGATGAGACATTCGCGGTAGAGCTGGGCACACTGAATGTCTTGCGCCATTTTAGTATAGGCGAGAATATCGTCAGTAAGGCCAAGGAGGGGCTTAGAGGTAAGAGTCCAGGGAAGTATAATCTTCTCGATATATTCACGCACTCGGGGTACTGCCTGGAAGCGTATTCCGAGCAACACCATCCTTCGCCATCCTTTGATACCAACGTATGGTACAGGCTTGAGATATAACGCTTGCAGGAAGCAATGGAAGGACTCAATGGCGCTCGGGATACGTTCGTCTGGTATTTCGGGATAATCGCGGTAATATCTCTGCGGAGTTAATGCCACCTTGTCAGCGTACATTGGACTCGAGTATATAGAGCGACTCAGCATACCGCTCCCTTTCGGTAGATCCCCCAACCACCATCTTTCTCAGTTCTCGCCTCGAAATAGTGTACGCGACGCTCGGCATACTCGCCGCGCTGCCGTTCCTTCCAGATTCCAGTGTACTCCTTGATTAGACTTGAATGCGTTCGAAACTCCTGTCCAAAGATGTCGATGTGAGTGTCGGTGGGGCCTTGCTCATGCGGGCCGCAGAGAACAGGGACGCTGATTTTCTGTTCTCTCAGTGACTTGAATGGGTTATCATTGAATATCTGGGCTAGATCTGGGACAATATCGTCTGCAACTGCAGGGCTCAGGCAAGGGATCTCCATAAGCGACTCTGTGAGGTAAAGAACGGAAGGTGTAGTCTATAGGGACTGTAAAGATAGTAATCATGTATGACAGAATGAGGTGTGCTTAATCTGGTAGATGTCAGCAGTTTCAAGGATAGGCAGCCAGGCATTCTGGGACTTTGCAGAACCATGGAAGCATAGACTGGACAGGGCTGATGTTTATTGCCTATTCAAGCAGGCGGCGCCCTTAAGCTTTCCTCTCGCATCTGTCATGATATCAAATCTGGAAGTATGCTTGTCTCGCATACGTCAGTGCGGTTAGTACCAAACATTGTCCTTCTAATAGTGACTTCGATGCAGGTAATTTCTGCTACTTGTGGAAACGATTCTCGCCTGTTTTGTACTGGGAGTTTCTTCCCCGAATGTTAATGATATACCTGGCCATCGGATGAGCTAAAGATATCATATAGGTGGCCGAACCAACGGCTCCGATGCGCAGATCCTTCTGTATGTGATAAATTGACCTTGGCATCCCGGCCGATGGATCAGCCATCGGACTTTATCTGCTGTTGAATTACATCACGTTTTGGCTGATAGTCAAACTGCTTCATTTCATGATTCGAGTTGATTCTTTTTCCGGCGATAACCTTCGGGTCGATTCTTGTTTATTTTGATTGACGGTATCGCCCAATATCTCGTCCGGTCTGGAGTATGATGCTGAAACCCTTCGAATGAACGCGGTCAGTTACGCACAAGCACGTGTTTTGGCCTAGAAAATTCACACGTGATTATGTCTGGCCTATTGGCTTTATAGATCAATCTTTTTTTCATTGCGGGGATAATTGGGTCAAGTATTTAGCGATCATGCCATACATGGATAAAGATATGTGGCAATACCATTATACAGTCTTCCAGGAGGTATCACATTTACGGATAATTGTTATTATTCCACTCAAATTCTACGTCTGGACATTTAAACTCCTCTGACAACACCTCTACCTCCGTGTGAAAAGCTGTAACGCAATGCCTTCAAGCGCCAGATTCTGAAGTCATGGATAAAATAACCGCTGAAGCCCGTGACCAGTCAATTCCCCAATGCAGCGTCCATCAACTACAGCTCATCAGAGCGACCAACAGACAGCGGACCCTTCTTGACCATGATGGTAAGAACCTCATAGAGAACGTCTGCAGCGGCCCTGTTATGATGAATCATCAGTAAACAAGTCATAGGGTACTTGATGCAGGTTTGCCATACATAGTAGAAAGCTCAGCATTTGTATCATAAGCAGGTGCAACTTCAACGATGTCCGCACCGATGAAGTTCAATCCATCCAGTCCACGAATGATAGTGCGGAGCTCACGCGTCGACCAACCTCCCGTTTCGGGCGTCCCGGTTGCCGGTGCATCTACATATTGTTGTCAGGAAAGCCATGGGAATGCATTGTTGGAGATGACCTACAAGCAGGATCAAGGGTATCGATATCAATGGAGAGGTAAACAGGGTTCTCGGTACCAACCCTCTCCCTTATCTTCTTAATGATGCCATCCGTTCCTATCAAAGTGCATGTTAGTGGAGTACATAAAAGGTGACTGCACAGATGTACCAATAGTATCAATCTCTCTAGCTTCAACGATTTCGAACCCACAGTATCCGTCGTTCTCGTAATCGGAGGGACCGGAGAGCGTAGTGCGAATACCGGCGTGAATGTTGGTATCATTCTTCAGCAGGCCTTCCATCGCGGCGTGGTAGAAGTAGGTGCCGTGGTTAATCGCGGCGACCTGACTAGGTGAGCCGCCGAATACCTTTGGCTTCCAGGAATCCCTAGGGCAAAGTAAGCATTGGTTTCTCCGGTCCAGGAGTCAAACATACAGGTGGCTGTCAAAGTGGATAACAGTAACAGGTCCGTAGGCCCTATTTATACTGCGCAGCAACGGCAAGGTAATGGTATGGTCTCCTCCCAGGGTGATGATGCGTGGAAGGGTCTTTCCAGCCTTGGAGAGTCCGTACTTCTCAGCATCGGTGAATGGTTTGCGCATTAGAACACTATTGTGACCCTCTTCGATCTGTTGGATAGCCCAGGCGTTGTCATAACTATTCGCATCAGAATTTTGCTATCCCACCCGTGGTGTGGGAACCATACGACGTTACAGGGATATCTCCGCAATCCAGGACTCTCAGATCACTGACAAAAGGGTTCGCTTGGAGAGGCACATTATACCCGCCACTGAGAAGAATTACGGATGAGCATCAACGCCGTCAGGGATATTCATGGCAGGGTATAGCGTACTAGAGGTTGAGGCGGCGAGATCCTTGTCGGATTCCGCTGGGTCCGAATCTTGCTCCGGGTCTATACGATGTTCCAGTGTCAAAGGGAGCACCTGTTTAGTTAGTATGTATGATTATTGTCTTGTTGTAATACTGGATGAAGAGGGGGGGAGAGAGCAGCATACCGATGAATGCAATGTCATATCTCTCGGCTTCGCTGGAGAGACAAGGAAAGTAAGGCAGCCGGCCAAAGGTAGAGATGCCAGAGAAGACAGAGTCGGCCTGGCTTGTCAGCCAATAGATAAGTATGAGCTCAATACGAAATCACTGACCTGAGTGCCACCATCTCCGGGGAGTGTATTGTACCACAACCTTTGGTGCGGTCCAGCCAGAGGAGTCTGGTCATGACTGCTGTGGGCAGTTACGATACCCGAGAGAGCAAGTAGGCTCACAACTGAAAGATACATGTTGGAAAGATACCTGGGAGAAAAACGTAGTATCAATTTGATTGAAGAAAATGATGATCCAGGCAGGCTTGCAGGGAGGGGATAATTATATGCTTCCATCTGCGTCTCCGCTAGTTGGCTTCCCCAACCATCTCTCCTTCCAGTCCCCGCATGCCCTTTGGTTTCAACGACCCTTGGTTACACCGACCTTTACAGTACGCACGTTGAAGCAGAGTATGGATGGACAGAATGGCAAACTCCACGGTATGATCCCTATTGATGACCTGTCTGTCCGAAGTCTATACTCGAGTATTGGATATCTGACTATGTCCACTCACAGTACTGAAGATTACAGTCTACCAATTCCTTCTCCCAGGACCTTCCAGAATGAGTGAATAACTCGAGAACCTGGGAAAACCGAGTGGGGTACGACATCATCAGATGTGCATCATCTCTTGAGGTGTTGTAGTTGTGGGGTTGTGGGTATCATGCGAAGTCGAGATCTGTTCCATGGGCTAACGTCAGATGCTTGGCCAGTAGTATAAATTCGAAACGCATGAACGATCAAAACAGGAAGGCCGGAGGAGAAGAAAGTGGATGCTTCAGTGCATCAAGATCTTACACTGAAGCCTGGCACTAGTCTCATAGTATAATTCTAATCTACCGGGGCTTATCGTGCTGGTGTTCCACGGAGATAGCGGCCGGCATTTCTTATCAGCAACGCTGATCTTCATTCTGTGACGTGGGGACGGCCGAATTCCAGAACACTACTCCGTAAATTGACAACCAAGATAATTCGTACGATAAGCGTCCGATACCGTTCTCGCTTAAGAATTGAACAAAGAGCTGACAACGCTAAGGCTACCCATTCAAACTCTCTCGACCTTCCTTTTGGAGATACTAGATAGAGACCCTGCGTGGACTTTGCATGCTTCATACTTGATCTAGTTTATACCTATCTGCATTGCATATTACACAACAGTCGTGGCACCATTGGTGGTGTGTCCAACCTCCAATCGGTCATGGATATCCATTCGCTGAAACGCCTTATCGACCTCGCCTTCCCAGTTACTGAAGGCCACGATTGTCCACTCCAGTGCCCCCACAAGATACAATGCGATGCACTGTCCCACCCAAAGACCTTTCAGTCCCCATCCATTGAAGGCTAGCCAAATACCTAGAGGTAGTGCACCACAATAATAACTGGCCAGGTTGACTAGCGCGCCGACATGCTGTCTTCCCATACCCCTAAGGCTTCCTCCACAGCTACCGTTCAATCCATCGGCGATCTGGAACAACGCCACCCATGGTAGAACCTCCGCAGTGAGCTGTACGACCCCTTCATCGGAGTTGAATATCTTTGCAAAGACGTGTCGAGTCCCCATCAGCACAGCCAGCACGGCCCCTCCCAGCGCCATACTTAGCCAGGCCGCGGTGTTGGCCGCTCTCGATGCACCAGCTGCATCCCGGGAGCCTAGCAGGCTCCCCACCCGTGAAGATGTAGCGACTCCCACGCCAAATGGGATTGTGTTGAGCACTTGGTCTGCGGTCATGATGACGCTCTGAGCCGCCAGTGGGATTGTTCCCAGCCTTCCGGCTGCAAGAGCTACTATCTCAAAGGCCCACCACTCGGTGCCTACATGCACCACGCCCAGAAAGGCCAATCGGGCGAAAGTCCCAAGATTCTCGAATGCTTTGCGCGACCAGCCGCCCCAGCATTCGGAGCCGGCAATGAATCGGGCATACAACACGAGCAGTGCAAAGGACAGCCAGTAGGAAATGCCGGTGGCAAATGGCGCACCAAGCAACCCCATGCGAAAGGTGTAACAGAACAGGTAATTGAGCAATGCATTAAACGGCACCGTAATCAGCAAGACATACGTCCCAGGGCGCATAATACCTGTATCCTCTCATTAACAAACTTCCCAGAGATATGATGTCTGAGAAGCACGTCGGAAAAAGACTTACCCTGTGCTTGCAGATATTTTTTCATGGCCTCGAAGTAGATATAACCCAGACCGCCAGGGATCAAGCAAGTTAGGAAACGCGCACTATCCCGTGAAAGCTGGGGGTCCTGGCCAAGCAGAAGAAACACAGGCTCCGAGCATGTCCAAAGAATTGCAACGGGGACATAGAACAGGCCGAGGACAAAGAATGCCCGCTGCAACAGAATTCCGAGATCATGCTTATTCGAGCTGCCTGTGAACGTTGAGGAGGCTAGTGTGTCCAATGCGGTGGTCCCGCCTAAGGCGATCATCCATGCCGTGACCATGGCAAACATCAGTGAGAAAGCTGTGGTGGCCAGGTTCTCCGGAGAGGTCCGTCCCACAATCAACACCGAGGTGGTTTGTAGGCTGTTTTGCAGCGTGTATGCCAGAATGACTGGTATGGAGTCCTTCAACAGCCGGAAAAATTCGACCAGAAAGGAAACCGACGATTTTGCGCTTTTGGAGTCGGGGTCGGGGTCGACCTGCTTGGGAAGTAGTGGCGTATGTTCCTCTTCATGAGTGTGCGCGGAAGAGGTCTCCCGGTAGCTAGGAAGAGAGTCGTACATTATGCAATGATAGTAGGCACCCAGGGCTCAGTGTTTAGAAGAACGAAGTGTTGTTTACCTCGGGGACAACATGGACTACGATGCTATTAAAGCCTTCAAGTTTGGAGAACAACATAGCTGAACGCATTCAAAAGCACAAAACAGCCCCTTACCTCGTAGAAGCAGTCTGTTACTCAAATGGCAACCGCGCAGACCAGCAAATGATCCACCACGAGCTTATCCAGATCGGGATCACTGACCCACCAGGAGAACTTAGTCGAGCTGCATGTCAGCGCAGAATGATCCAGAGGCGGGGCTGCCTCTTTCTCAAGATATTCACCTCTTTGGGACGAGCGTGGGGGACTGGACAGGAAATGCCATCCACCCTTGCATGATCCGATATCGACCCGAGATGTCGAGACTGACATCATGGTGTCAATTCGAAGACTGTCTAGCCTTTTGATGCCCAATATTACAGATTAAGTTGTCTACTTCTTACGCAATATTAGTCCCTTATCTGGGATGCAAATCAGGGGCTATCAAGCATGTGCAGCATCTGATACTGAGTTGTACTCGGATCTATTTGAGTCCCGCCGATGTATGGTTCCCCAGACGGGGTCTGACTGGCTTAGCTTCTTGCACTTATCTGTTGCAAGAAAGGGATTGTTGACTCCCTATGCGGGAAGAAGAAGAAGAAGAAAAGAAAGAGTGCGTGGTACTGAAAAGAGAACTATGACTTCAATCGCCTGGATTATCAGGATTTACAGAGATAATCCACCATAGATTTGCGATGGCCATAATGGGCAACAGATATGATGTGAGCATCAAAATATTCATGGAATTGCTAACGTAGAGGTCCTAGCCAGTCAAAATAGCAAGCAATGTCAGGAGAATGCATATACTGCTTGTAAATAGAATGTAGAATACACATACTTCGTTACCGCAACGGGTTAATGTGATTCGCTTCCAATTTAGCCAGAACCAGGCCGAGAAGGCTATAATGAACTCATTAAGAGCAGGGGTCCGATTCGATTCGCTCGTCCATCCTAATACATCCCGTTGATGATAAGCAGCAGAGATATCCTTCAGGCTGGTGATTCGATGTCCGCTTGAGGCTGTTACTGATAAGCCTTGTTTCATACTGCAATGGCATCATTCAACTTCACCTGTCGACTCCCCTCCCCTCATGGACTCTTATATATGCACCTCATTCAAAAGGACCATGCATTGACAAAATTGCCTCATGGCTATACTAACGTACTCATAATCAATATAATTACACACAATGAATCTCAAGCTTACCCAGATAGACCTTGTCCCTGTTCCCGAGAAGCAATCCGCCAGCGACATCGACAGCCTCCCCGTTGAGCAACATGGCACGCACACCCACCCCGCGCCTACTTCTGACCCTCTGGATCCGCTTAACTGGCCCCGTTGGCGAAAGCATGTGATTCTGGGTATTGTCATGCTCAAGTTTGTACTACCTGAGCAGTCCAGAAGAACTCACAGATTGACAATGAACAGGTACTTCCTTTTCACCTACATCACAACCACCACTGTCCCCTCCTTCGCAGAAATACAATCACAGTATGACATCAACTACTCACAAGTCAACTGGACCGTTGCCATCCCAGCTCTGGGCCTATCGCTTGGACCACTCTTCTGGTCCTCAGTTGGTGACATCTACGGCCGCCGCATTGTCTTCATTGTGGGAACTGTCATCGCTTTAGTTGCTACAATTGGCGCTGCTGTGGCAGACACATATGGTGGGTACATGGCTGCTCGGTTCTTCCAAGGGTTTGGAGTCAGCCCTTCATCAACAGTGGGGATGGCAGTTGGTAGGTCACTTCTCTTCAGCATGCATTGCACTGATCCAAGCAGCTAACGGCACAGTCACTGATATGTTCTATGAATACGAACGTGGCCAGAAACTCGGCTTATGGGTACTTGCTCTTGATTCGGGTCTGCTTCTAGGCCCAACCTGTACGTGAGCCCATTCACTGAATCATTATGAACTCCACCTATTGACGTTAATCAAGTCGGCGGGTTTCTTAATCTCGTCAGCGCACAATGGATCAACTGGTTCAACGCCATTCTCTTCGCTGCACTTCTACTACTCGAACTCACACTCATGCCTGAAACCCTCTACCCGCGCGCTTTGATGCTCCAGCGCATGGCAGTCACCGAGAAGCCAGCAGAGTCGAATGCAGGTATAGAAGAAGCAGGGATAAAACGCACCAAGTCGCTTCCGTTCTTCAACCTCCGTCCCATCCCAGGTCTCTCTCATCCACCTATCTATGCCTCTCTTACCCGGTTCCTCCTTACATTTCGCTTCCCAGTCATCGCCGTAGCTGTTATCGGGTACTCATTCACATGGTACTGGTGGATCCTGTCCGTGATTACCATGGTCCCGTCTGCATATGCAACGGACTCGCCTCTCATACAGGGATTACTATTCCTGGGCCTACTGATCGGGACCCTAGTAGCAGAGGTAAGCTGCTCGGGCCGATTGAGCGATGCCATCGTGGGGCGATTAGCAAAGCGGAACGGGGGAGTTCGGGTCCCAGAAATGCGATTATGGCTAGCATATCCAGCCATTGTCTTGACTGCTGGTGTGTACATCCCCATAGCTCATGTGCGTACAATTTCTAACATAGCTATACAACCGGCAGTTGGTTTAATCCTCTGGGGCATAAGTATAGACAAAGCCTACCACTGGATGGTAGGACAGGTTGCATTCTTCTTATGTGAGTAGATCCCTCCACCTATCCACTCCTCCTCTCCTCTCCTTCCCTTGCAATTACCATCTACTAACCTCATTTACTCATCCAACGAGCAGTCTCCGCCGGAATCCAAATCGGCAACACCGTAACAAGCAGCTACATCATCGACGCCTACCCGCTCCAGTCCACCAGCGTGGTAATTTTCTACGCTGTATTCCTGAACCTCAGTGCGTTTGCTAATCCAGTATGCTCCCTTCCCATCCACTACTCTTGCTGCGATATCCTCAACCACCACGAGTAATTTATTAACATATGAACAGTTCTTCATCGCCCAATGGCAAGCCGCAATAGGCTGGACCTGGACCTTCACCACCCAAGCCCTGATTGTCGTGGCTGGCGGATGTAGTGTTTTCATTTCGCTGCATGTGTTTGGGGCGGCGTGGAGAGCGAAGGGGGTGCCGGGGTGGGTGAATCCGGAGTTTGATTCTTAGTTTGATTCATTTTTCTTTTCTATCTAGAGAATCCTCGAAACAAGAAATGTTGCGTTACATGTTACTGCTGAGCAGAAAGTTACGCATCGCATCGCAGGCTTTGCATGTAGAGGGTGCCATTGGCGTCAATGTCCAAAGTCTCTAATGAACACTACGACGTGGAGGCGTAGGTAGTATCAGTACAGAAAAGCGAATTATTATTTACCTCTCCTGCTTTAAGGAGACTCATGCAGCATGCGCAGATGTATGCATATATTCAATAATCGCTAATTACGATGAATCGCATGCAAGTACCAAGCAAAGTCACGAGTCGTCCAAAACGTCTGCTCCACGAATTAAATAACAAAACAGACCGTCTATCACGATTGCCATTTGCCTGGTATCTTCCCATTCCCACCAAACGCCACCCAAATAAGAGAAGAACAACATTTTGAACACGATACGCCGCCGCCAACGTGATGAGATCGACAACGCAGAAAAGAAAAATGCTATACATGACCGAATAGCTTCAGTCGATAGATACACGTGTGATTGCCGCCCCAGTTCGACGTGGCCCGAAATACAACCCTGTCCACCCGAACTTCTGGGGAGTCGATCACCGCGTCTAGTTCGAATCGCTGCACGTGGTGCGAGCCGTGGATATCGTATGTGAATTTCCCGACTCGGTAATATGTCGGTCCTAGGAGCGGATCATCAGAGTACGCAGTCGGATCCTCGGTGGGCCACGCGGACCGGAGGGCGTCCATAATCGGCTTGTGGATGGAAAATCGCTCCGCTTGCGTTCTTGCAGGTCGGCTGGTTCCCTTCTGGACGAGTACGTACTGGGCCCAGAGCTCCATCTCCCGGGGGGCATTTTCGGGCTTCAATGTAGCCGTCTTTGGCATGTGTTCGACGGCTACTTCCTCCGGTACAATCTTTTGGCCTAGGTCAATGCCAATCTGCGACATGCCATCCCGGGGTGTGCTGCACCAGCAATCTCCATAATCTTCCCAGGGAACCAAAGCCGCGAGCGGTGGTGATGCGGGACGATAATGACTACCTCTCCATAGATTAACATATGCCCACTGCCAAGCACTGAGCTTGTGTCCGACTGTTGGACTTGTGAGACCTGGAATAACAATAACTCCTAGTCCAATGCTCAGAAAGTTTGTTTTTTGCTCCGTTGGAGGACCAAGATCGGTGCTTCCTCTGCTTGGCGGCATGATCGGAGTGGGTGATGATCGCACCTCCGATTGCACCTCGTTCACATCCCATTTGACGGTGCGCATTTCCTTCGCCAGTGATGATACCTGCGCCCCAATTCGAGACATCTGGTCCGTAAGGCTGCTGACTGCTAGCATGTTGTTTTCATCCATCGGAATATACTGTGGCGGTCGAGAAAGGGAGGGAATGCCGCCAAAGGCAACCAGGTAAACTGTCGCTGCTGCCAAAGCTATTCCTGCGAGTATACGAGCGACTGTAGATACGCTGGGCAGCTGTGCTGATAGACTTCCTACCCAGGACCAGGACTGGCCTGTCTGACGAATATTTTGCTGGCCATCATCCACTGATGGTTCTTGTGATGGAGTCCTCCGTGCATATGCATTAGGGATAAGTGTCTTTGTGGGCGCGGTAAACTGGGCTGCAGGAGACTTCTCTCTGATAACCTCCGGCTCCGGCGTAGGCTCTGGCATAGGCTCCAGCTCTGGAATAGGCTCTGGCTCCGGCGTAGGCTCTAGTTCCAGCTCTTGCACAGACTCGGGTTCCGACTGTGGCTCCGGCTCTGGTGAAGGCTCTATCTGGAAGTCCTCGTAGCTAGGCTGTAGGGAGGGCGATCTCGATTTTGTTTTCAGAAGCCTTGAGTCCGGCTCTTCTTCTTCGTGAATAGGCTCGTTGGCAAAAGCCAGTCCGGAAAATCGACGAGGGGGTGCCTTGATATTCTTTCCATCGGAAAGCGTCCGTGTCAATTCATCGGAGTTGATGGCTCGCTCAACGGTGAACGAATATAACGACGAGTCGTCCGGTAGCGGGGAGCTTCCTAACGGTGGCCCGTCGTGCAATTGTGGGCCAAACCGCCCCATAGGAGATGGATACAGGTTTTCGGCTGGTACGTGGGGATATCTGGGTACAGGTAGAGACTGCGCAGGACTTGAGGCGGTAGAAAGAGTGTGCGGGATAGGAGGCGTGGGGGTGGCGGTGGATTGGTCGTTGTTGCTGTAGTTGCCCCGTACAGGAGTAGGAGACTTGGTTGCCTCGCGCAGGTTGTCGAGAAGCTGCAACTCATCCGGGGTCGGCTCCCGTCGACTCCGCCGAACCGGGGAACGGGTAATAGAAGGGGACTTCTGTCGACGAGATTTGTCCTGGGTGGTTTCTTTCTCTTTCATCTGTCGATCCTTAGCATCCTCGATTCCCTTGTCGATCGCGTCGGCCATCTCGGTCAGATCCATATGAGGCTGAATCTTGAGCTCCCGCGGGAGGATTGGCGTCTCAGCAGATCCATAAGCGAACGACTGCTTGGTTGGAAGGTTTGGCAGAGCCTGTGTCCTTGCTTCCGGACCCAGTTTGGACTGAAAATACGTCGACGCACTCCCTATGTCGGAGCGAGTAGACCCCGCGCGCCTGGTGGCGCCGCGTCTAGCAGGCATTGGAAGTTCAATGCGGAGAAGAATCGGCTTGATGTTTCTGTTAGCTAGAGCGCATAAAGTACAGCTTTGCATACTGAGGGTTAAGGGAAGAGAAAGTCCTATAGCAGTCGGACTCAAAGCTCTCTACTCACTGTGAGAAGATGGAACTGAATAAGACGCTTGCAGCCTTAGGCATAAATCGAGGGCTGGAGATGCCAAAGCACTGCGATGAAGTAGGAGAGATCCAGTTCAGAGAGCGCGATCAGGAATAATTTTGAACGGGCAGTCTGCAATCGAGCTTGTGCTACACTATGGCTGCGACCAGGATGACCAATTCAGATGTATCCTACACGAGGTACGTTAGAGATGAAATGAAGAACAAGTGAAAGAAAGCTACCTCCTCAAGTCTTTGTTCGCGAAAGACCATTGAGAAAAGTCAAAGACTTCGAGGTGCCCGGATGAGCTAAGGTGAGAACAGGCTATAGACTCACGATAGCAATCCGGGGTAATTGTCGACCTTCAAGCGCGAAAGCGACACGGCGCGAAAAGACGCGGGTGGAATGCCGATCCACAGCGTCGCAGGGGCGGTTAAGGGATTCAAGCACGTGATATTTAGGATAAACCAGGTTGCGCATGTATGATGCGCGTCGTACAAAGATTCCTCAGTGGGAGATGATGAAGAGAGAGAATGCTGAAGCCGCAAAACAATGCTAGACGACGGGAGATGTGAGGCTTGCTTGCTTGCTTGCTTGCTGGACTGAATGATGGATGGCCCGAACCTCCACTCGCTGCGGGTAATATTCGTATCTCCCGTTACCCGCCTTCAATACAGGATTGCCCGATTCGGCGAGGCGGCTCGTCGGCCTCCTTTATAGATCACCCTTTGGTTCTTATAAAAGTTATCCTCTCTCACGCAGAGTGTATAGACCTTACATGACAGGATTATTGCATTATTGCACTGTTGATTCTTTGTCTCAGTCTACCATTTGATTGCTATGCTCATCAGTCCAACCAGGCCTTTATTTCTTCGCTATTTTTATGCATGTTTCATCGTACAAAGAAAAATACAGGTCCTCGAATGCTTCATTTACACGGCTGCCCTCCCAGGACGCCCATCCTTCTATATTGCCAAAGTAAGAATAATATACAGTCGCTGAGGCAGTCAAGCAGTCACAAATACAGAAACATGATGATGATAGTTAGCATGTCCATGGCAAGTCTTGCAGGTCGTATAGGCTTCGTTTAACAAGTCCACGCCGCGACAATACCGTCCTTGCGGCCCTCAACAAGGAATCCATCCTTGAGCCGGACCCGCTCAACCGTGGCCGGCTGCGGTCCACTGTCATCGACGCCAACCCCGGCGCCACAGTCCCAGTGGTGGCCGTCCGCCTTGTCGTATACCTTGACAACGTTCTCTCCGGCTGCCGCAACAATGCGCTTAGTGTCGAACATCATGCTAGTGATGGGCTTGTCGTACGCGTAGGCATCGAAGATAGATCCAGTTCGGAGATCCCAGATCTGGCCAATGTTAGCGGTGCCGTTACCTCTGCATATAAACAAAACACTTACTCTGATGCTGCGGTCCTGACTTCCGGTCACCAAGTGTACATCGTCGAACTGTAGGCATGTAATAGGGCCGGTATGGCCAACCAGGCTCCGGTGGACTTGGCCGCTGCGAAGATCCCACAGACGCACCATACCGTCCGCCGTACCGCAGGCCAGCGCCGCATCGAAACACTGAACCGCGCCGACAAAGTCCGCAGAAGCATCTGGCAAGCGTCCCGATGGGCGCCATGTCGTCTCACTTCCTAGAGTCGACGCCTGGGCCGCTGCCCACAAGACATCCAGCGTCTGCACGCAGCGCCCTTTGACCAGATCCCACTGTCGCAACGTCTTGTCGGCAGATCCAGAAATCAGAGTGTCTCCCTTGAAGTGAAGAGCGGTTACTTCATCGACGTGCGCATCAAGCGAGTATACGTAGCAGTCTTCCAGGGTGGTCGAGTGAGATGCCATGGAGGCGTCATCAGCTTGCGCGGATTCCTCATCGTCCTCGCGCCGGGTGACGCGGTTGTCGCGAGTTGTGGTCCGGGCCCGGCTCAGATCCCAGAGCTTCACGGATGCGTCCATAGATCCAGTGGCGACAATGTTGTCCTCGATCTGTAGGCAGCGGACGGATGCGTTGTGTCCCTCCAGGAAGCCCACGCAGCGGCCGACGTTGAGATCCCACACCCGCACCGTATCGTCTAGGGCAGCACTGATCATGGTGCCAAACGGGTAGTCGAAGTCAATAGCGGTAACCATGTCTGAGTGCGCCGGCATCTCTTTGATTTCAGAACCGGGAGCAAAGTGTTCGTGCAAAACTGGCATCGATCGTTTCCCTTGGACCATTAGTACTGGACACTGAACGGGGAATGCTTTGGCATACTTATAGATCGCTGCTTCACGCTCTTCGGCGAAGGGATCTTCTGGTAGATGGATTCGGACATAAAGGAAGCACCCATGGCTGGGTCTTCAGAAACAATCGAGTCATCGTTGGCCTCGGAAGACTTGGGAGTTGCGGGAGGCGGCACCTCGGCCTCTTGTTGCTCTTCTTGAATATCCTCCAGTTTGTTCTCAATCTCGTTCACTGGTTCCATGTTAGAACGTTTCTGCCGAGTATCCAAGATTTCAGGTCACCCACGCTCATGTTCCAGATCCGCCTCCTCCATCTCAAGGCCTGCCAATCGGTCTAGCACAATCTTCCGCATGTTGTGTAGGTTCGCGATCTTGTTATCTATGTCGTGTATCTCCGAGCTGCACATATTCTTGCGAACGCCCATCAGTTCCATCCGGCGGCTCAACAAGTCCCGTTCCTTCTTCAGATCCGACGGAGCGGACGGCAGGGCGCCGCGCGTCTCCCCATCCTTCAGCAGCTTCTTGCTCTTGGAAGAGCGCCGGCGGTGGGCGCGGCGATACTCGATGTCATCCTGCGACGCCTGGAAGCCCTGGAAGAGAGAATATGAGCTGGAGTCATCGGGAATATTGGCGAGGAGTTCGTCAGGAAGGGAGGAGATGGCCCGCGACTGGATTTCGGTGGTGGAGAGCTTGGAGCGGACCAGATCGGTAGGGGTGGTCTGGGTGAGAGAGAAGACTTTGCGCTGAGTGTTGGGATGGCGTAATTCGCGCTGAATGTCGGCCATAGCAGTGTGGTAGTGGCCGCCGGTGGAGGAGTCGGGGGCCGGTCCCATCAAATGGCCAGCAGTCGATGTGACTTTGCGCCCGAAGGCCTCGATATGACGCGACTGGAGAGGAAGAAGGTCAGCGGAAGGGATTTTAAGCAGGAAAGACCGCCCAAGGGCAGGTGTCAAGGCCGCAAGAGCATACCGTGATGCCGGTCCCTAAGAGACCGTCCGGCTCGACAATATCTGATAGACCGGAGGGAGACTCATCACGGCGGCGGTGTTTGTCCATGACACCGGCGAAGGAGCGAAGAGTGAGCTAAGCACAAACTCCCATCCGGGAATTAACAGATCAAGGACAAGGATGGCGGAGAAAGGGAGCTGTTGTGCCCAGTCGGCAGTTGGTCGGCTTCAGGCTGGGATTGGAAAAAGAAAGGCGGATGGAGTTGCACGCGATGAATTACCGTGTTTCGGCTGTATTTTACAGCTTGCCTTTGCTGCGCCCGGCTACCACGGGCACACTTCTCTCAGCTCTGGCTTGTCTGGCTTCAACGTCCGAAAAAGCATATTCGTTCCCCTGGAAAGAGGGTGTTCCATTGGATATGGCTGGCTTAAGTATCCAAATGTCCCTGTTCTTTTGCCCCCCAGCCCCTCCAGCTTTCCACCTGATGAGGCTCTCCTTCTCTGCACATGACAGCATCACCAGCCACGGATCCCGCTGCGGGTTCTGTACTGAGCCGTAATGTTACCTGCGGACAACCAGAATCATGAATCACCATCCAAATCATGGGTTGCAGATGATGGCTGAGCCCAGCATTCCATGACAATCCATCTGTCGTGAGACTTCTTTGCTTTTTTCAGACTCAACAAATAGTCGCCCTTGAAGCATCATCCAGCTTAGGCCGATCAGCCAAACGTTAGCGCTGACTCCCCAGACTACTTAAGTTGCTCTATGATCTCCCCGAAAGCGGAGCGTTTTCATCTCGCTTTCCCAGTCCCTCAATCTACTTCTACGGTTGCTGCACTTCTGCCCGCTACGCACTCTACAACGCTGTCTCGATTTCCAACCAGCCTCGCCATGGATACAGCCATTGATCTGTCCGATGCCTCCAAGGCCTTGGACCTCGCCAACATCCGCTTCCAGTTAATGTAAGTGTCTTCCGAGGGATTTCAGTAGTTAGTTAGCCTACTCCAGATCGACCGAAGATCGGGGAACCAACTCGCATACAATAATTCACATCCCTGCGCGCAAAGTTCAACCCCGCATCCCCCTCCATTACTGCCAGGGATATAACATCAATGTCTACCAACACAAACACCTAAAATCAAGCAAAAAAACAACATGTCAGTAACTAATCATGCATCGATACAATTAGCCGTCTCGAAGACACCATCACCTTCCATCTCATTGAACGGGCGCAATTCCCCCTCAACAAGCCCATCTACCTATCCGGCGGGGTAAAAATCCCTGGCACCGACCTCAGTCTCCTCGACTACTTCCTCCGCGAACAAGAACGTCTGGAGTCGCGTGTTCGTCGGTACCAGTCTCCCGATGAATACCCCTTCTTCCCGGACTCGCTGGAAGAGCCCATCCTTGCCCCGATCAAGTACCCCAAGATCCTGCATGACAACGACGTCAACGTCAATAGCACCTTGAAACAGCGCTACATCGAGGATATCCTCCCCGCTGTGTGCGCGCAGTTCGGGCGCGAAGATCGCGGCGAGGCGCAGGAGAACTATGGATCCGCAGCCACATGCGATGTGCACTGCTTGCAGGCCCTGTCGAGGAGAATCCACTTCGGAAAGTTTGTCGCGGAGGCAAAGTTCCAGCAGGAGACCGAGCGCTTTGTTAAGCTGATCAAGGCGAATGATCGGAAGGGCATTGATGACGCTATTACCAAGCCTGAGGTGGAGCTGAAGGTGTTGGAGCGGTTGGCGCTCAAGGCGAAGACGTATGGTACCGATCCGGGTTTCCAACCTGAAAATGGACCTAAGATTAATGTTGATGCTGTTGTGGCCATGTACAAGGTGAGTTTACATCCTCCCCGCAGTTGATAGAATCAGGATCGTGCTGACGTGTGTAGGAATATGTCATCCCGCTCACCAAGGTCGTCGAGGTTGACTACCTCATGCAGCGACTCAAGGGCACCCAATGGGAGTAGTGTAAACACCTAGCAACTCCCATTTTGCAAACTATATACACGGAACATGACACGAGACGTCGTGACGAAACTTCTATAGAATTAACCCAAGATGGCATAATAGAAACGGACAAAGATCAAAGAGGCGAAAAAACAAAGAACAAACCAACTTTTTCGGGTGTCTATAACATATAATCATCGTAATCAAAGGCAAATTATATCTATGGCTTAAAGTACTCCGCCATATCTTTAACCGCCCCATCCAACTTGCTCGCCTCCAACAAAATCAAGCTCCCCTTCGTCACAATACCCAAATCCTGGAATGCGCGCTTCGCATCCGACAGTCCCTCCTCCGCCTTATGCGTATACTCCACAGGCCCAACACACACGGCATGCCTTTCCAGAACCTCATCCTCAGGATGGAAGAGGAACCGCTCGGCCTTCTCCCCACCCGCAGCCTTCTTCTTCTTCTTTTGCGGCCGCGATTCCTCCGCATCTAGCTTCGACTCGACCTCTTCGTACGTCTTCGACACGATCAAATAGTGCGAGAAATTGTAAGGCTCCTTGTCCTTGATCGCCCATTCGATTTCCTCTTGCAGCATCGTGTACATAGGCGGTACGACCTCTGCGGGCATGTTGATGAGACGTTCCGTCAGGATCAGGCCGATGGGAGGGATGGGAGTTTGGGAGAGGAGTTGAGCCAGGGGTGCGAGTGTTGGTACGGCATTGGCTTTGCGCTGGAGGTAGGCTGTGAGGTCTTTGATTACGGGTTTGTCCTGGTTTTTGTTAGATTCTCTTCCTTCTATCCTTATGCCAAGGAGAACGGAGACGCACCTTGTGCTCCTGAAGGTTCAACACAGTCAAGAACGCATACGGATCCGACTCATTCCCATCTACTTTAACAGTCGATCCAAGCAGAGGTTGCGAGAGGATCAAATCGGCCAATGCGGACATGTCGAAGATCTGGGCGTCGGTGTCGAAGAGCTGGCGGAGGAGGTTCTTCAGACCGTGGAAGTCGACAGCCGGTTGAGGGTCGAACCATTCGAAATCGACGTTGACCATGTCCATGTCCTGACTCAATGTGTTAATTCTACTTTGCGTATTTCAGGTTGTTGCTTGGCTGGGCTTGTATATTGCTTGGAGGGGTATTGGTATGTATGTACCTCGTCGGAGTCGTCGCCGTCGACGCGGGGATCCGTCCCCGACATCTCGACATCATTGTCTTTGAGTTCCTTGCGCTTGACCATTGTGTATGTTGGGTATGTGTGGTGTGGTGTGAGGGGTTGTGCTGGAGTAAATTGGGATTCCGTTCGCGGAGGTTCGTCGGGCGGCCGGCCGACAAAAGTTGATCTTCCGCTAACCGCTTTTGATTATCGATAGCTTATCGATACCGTTATACTAGACCTGATACATCATTGAAATCAATTCATATTCTTACTTTGAAGCAAGCTATGTAGGCACTTCACACTGTTTGAATGAGTATTCTCTAGAATGCCCTATTTACCCCCGCATCTCGCATATAGGTCTACACATCAGAGGAATATATAGAACTGAAGAACCATTCAATGTAGACAGACATTTCACTGACCCTGGCCTACTACTATATAAATTTGTCCTGCGGCCTTGTTTGATCTTCCTAATCTTCCCAACTCCAACCATCTACGTCATATAATGGGAGAAACATCGTAGTACTTATATAATTGAAATGAGATATCTCAATGATCTAGATATTCGATAATATATGCAAGTCGCAGTGAGACCAATTACCCATGAATAATACTAATATATTGGCAACAGACTTGATAGAAGGAAAGGAGATTGTCAAAGCGATGGAGCTTAGACCAGACAATCTGATCAGAATATATTGGGCTCTGAATAGACCAAATAGAGTTGGTTCATCATGCCTTTTGCTCAGAATGGAGATGCAGTAACCAAGGGTACGTCAAGTGGAGGCCATGTTACTCCTTCGAATAAAACACATGAGTGAAGACTTCGCAGCGGACTACCAAGTTGAAGAAGGCATCAAATATCTTAGAGAGGTAAAGACGACACTACATCCGTTTGTTGTGAAGGCCCCATCCGTTGGAAGCTATACATGAACAGGAAGCTCTAATGCAACCGCTCAGCCCGAACGGAAATGTATCTGCAGGATGTCATTCTTTCTGCGCAAGGGTACCGAAAAGCACAGGTACAAGCCAAAATAGCAGCATAACTCCTTCGTTTGGATCCTGTCTTTTGGGAAAGAATCCTTGGTATCTGGAACAGAACAACAGAAGCAACCCATACAGTCAGAACTCGAGAGTACCAGAGCCTGGAAGAGTATTTGTCCTATCGAGTGTCGGATGCATATGTTGAGTAAGCACGCAATTGATTCTGCCCGCTTCCACTGCTAAACTTCTCAGGGTGGGCATTAGATCTGTTTAGCTGGGCGCAGGACATTCATCTGAATGATGATGAAGAGCATATACATAGTAGACCGTGTCGACCAATCTCAGCTTCAAGATAATCTTGGCTGCCTCCTCCGAGCAAGACTGGCATCGCATCACAACCTGAACAGCATTGACAAGGTCCACTGTCAGGGGTTGTCCCTCGCCTGTGCTTGGTTACGTGCAGGGTTCAGACTGCTGCTGACGGCCATGTTGTTCTATAATAATATGAGAGACTTCCTGGAATATAAGAACTCCTCCTCTGGCCCAACGTCCAAGTGAATACTACAATGAATGCTGCGCGGATGAACCAGGTAATAGATACTATGCCTGGCAGTGATAATAAGAAAATTCTTTGCAGCTGACAGTTTCTGAGTAACTATATACTTAATAAAGAGAATGATACTAATATAGTCTCATATCAATACTGAAAAATCCTGATATGGTCGATGATCAGTAAAATACAAGAATCAGTACCGCTAATTAGCAAAGTATAAAGAATTAGAGAAGATATATCTCCGGCCTTTAAGAGAATTAAAATATCAAGCACAAAGGTTTTAAGATATATAAGGTTTATGAGACTGTTCACTGACATAATATATGTATTATAAATGAAGAGAATATTAAAAAGGCGGACCCGCATTATCAAGAAGTTCACCCGTGACCCTGACCATTGCATGGTGCTTGTAATGAGTTATATGATAAGTTCGGCCGGACTCAATCTGCAGGCGCTGTGCCATAACCTTCATCTCTTCACCGGCTAAACATGGATTTAGGCTCGATGACATTCAGGATGAGAGTGCACTCCGTCGGGGCAAACCCCCCACTCAACAAGACATTCGGTGTTGATCAAACAATCAGTTGCGCAACCTTTCTCATAAACGAGGCTTTGTGCTTAGTCCGGATATTACGCCATCCCCACATCGGAGAAAGCCATGGGCTTCATTGGAGGTATCATGTCACCGTTCCCTCCCTCCAAGGGAATCATGTCCTTATGATAGACAAAAGGAAATGAAGTACTGCAACATTAAAGAGATCCCTCCCACTAGTAAATCAGCACTCCGCTTCTTTTCATATACGTAGTATGACCTCGCTACAGTCCCGGTCTCTATACTTATTCTACCACAGGAGTAGTATATCATCATCTCTAAAGTCTATCCAACATACATACTATATACAACAACCCCAATCACCTCAAACATCCCCCTCGACCTCCTCCACACTCGGCACCTTATCCAACACCCTCCCATAAAACCCAGCAACATGCTTAACCCCCTCACACAAAACCCTCACATCCTCCAAACTCACCCCCAACCGTCTCGTCCCCCGAATATGCCAATGCGTCTCAATCTTCAAATTCTGACTCATAATCGCCGGCAACACCACCAACTGCGTATCCAAATCATCCAACACCCCCCGATCACTCAAAAACAACCCATACGTGATCTCCTTCGACAACCACGCGAAATCCTTATGCGCCGCAAACAAATCCAACGTCCCGGACGTATTCCGCGCATACAGCTTCTCCAACCACGCTACGCCACGCTCGTGATTCGCCTCGTCGCATTGCCAGTTCTCCCGTGTAAATGTGTAGTCTTTGTCTTCGGGAGCCTCGAGCTTGCTGATGGCGAGAATGGCTTCGATGGGTTTGCATACCCCGACTATGATCACGGATTTGATGAGGGCTTCGCGGATGCGGCGGATGAGGTCTTGCCGGGATGAGGGGGTCGAGTATTCGGGTTTGGAGGTTAGGTAGAGATAGAGTTGATCGGCGCGTTCGGGGTCGGGGTTCGCGACGAGGGTGGAGATGGCTAGGATGTACCATTTGTCGTGCGGGAGGGTGGTGGTTTGGAATTGGGATTCCAAGGATTGGAAGAGTTGGGCGTATTTGGGGTCGATGGTTGTGGTCATTTTGGTGGGGGCGCTGTTGCTGCTGGTGGTGATGGTTCGGAGGGGAGTAGCGAAGGTGGGAATGCGATGCGCGAGAGGGGAAGATGATGGTGTTGATGATATTAATGATGATCGGAGCGGCCTGTATCGGGGCGGGGAGAGGAGGGGTAGGATGGAGGCACCGGTGCCGAATTGCCGTTTACTAGTAGTCAATTGCAGACTACGAGACGGAGGGAGCAGACGCGAAGGGTTGCGGGCCATTATGCACCCTTGAAGATGCAATTATCCTTAGTCGTGGAGGTGAGTCGCGTGTATCTGTTTATTCTCCATGTTAGCCGGAAATGGACTTATCAGCCGATATCGGTTATGTAAGAGTGCATGGCATGGCTGAGTTCAATAATGCTCCTTGACACCACCCCATTCAGGAACACCAATGTCTCATCTGGTTGCACCCCAAGACTTCACCGAAAATGCAACACCAGACGATCCAACTACATCATCGAAGAGGAATATGATGAGGCTGTTCCAGCCAAGGGACAAGCATGCCCACCTTTGGCTTTGACCCACACAGCCATGGGTATGATCTCAGCGACTGCCATATGACATCACAACTATCAAACCCAGATCCCAACTCTACTCTATATAAACGCTGTTCATCCTCAAGCAATGTAACTCTACTACATCAAACAACGAACACTCATCGAATCTCTCTCTCTCTCTCTATATACAGAAAACAACTCACTCCAATCCTACTTCACAAATACACACAATGTCTTCCTCCGGAGCAGGCCAATCCAGCGTCGGCAGCCGCGCCATCTACGAAGCCGGTGACCAGCGCAACGTTCCCCAGTCCGAGATCAACGAGCAGAACCGCTACGCAGAGGGCCAGAAGAACAGCCACAAGAACCTTGATTCGAGTATGCCTCCGTCTTCCCTCCTACCTTCCAATCACTCGGGAGACATAGTGCTGACGAATACCAAAACAGAGGACCAGCGCTCCATCGGCAACAAGCTTGCCTCGCAAGAACGCAAGCCTGAGAGCGACCACCACCACAACTTTGATCAGAACCCTGAGGCTGAGCTCAGCAAGCAGGATCCTACTAAGCCGGTATGTCCCATCTCATATCTATATCTTCCTTGGTTGAACCGTGTGGGAAGCATGACTGACTGTCTCTGCAGGCCAAGGTGCATGGTAACGAGCCCTCCAAGGGTGCTAAGATCGATGCCGAATTGCAGGCTGAGGATGAGCAGCGCTTGCGTGAGAAGGGCATTAAGAAATAAATGATGTAATGATGGGCTGGGATGGAAGGAAGGATGGAAAAGCGATATATATCCTGTTCGAATGACTGCATGAACGATTGACGCCTGGGGCGATAGCATATCACTATTATTCAATCTACGATGAATTTATTACTATTCTCTTCAAGTGCTTTTTAGGGGATGTAGTATATTAACTCATGTGTGTTGAATGTCGTTACTGGGAAATGGAGGTAATTCGTTGCGGAGCGCCAGGGTATCCAACAAGACAAACGGTAGGATGCTAAATACCGCATCCACCAATATTATACATCTAATGATATGAATATGTAACCAGAAAAGGAACAGAAGGATATATACAATATTGCTGATAAGCAACCGTGTCGATCATAAACAGCATGGCGTAAATGGTTACCCAGTGATGTCTCAAGGCTCAGCATCGCAGTGCGATACGGCCAATTTCAGCTTTCGTCAGTGAACTTGGGGTCGTCATCATGCGGCTCGGCGAAAACGTTCGCCCAGTAGCTCTCCACTCTATCACAAACTTCATCCTTCCTTTCCCATGTCCGGAAGCTAATGGCAGGGTCGCAACTGATGTTTTTGATCTCCTCCCAATACGCTTTCTCAACGTCGTATCCAAATCGCTGGACGGTAGATTCTGCCACCAGCCATGCCCGTCCGTCCGTGCCATCAGGGCGGAGCGTGGGGGTGGTCTCCCATTTCATGCCAAATACTTTTTCACCAGGATTGAACTTGGGGTAGTTGGCGTGGATGAAAAAGGCACGTGGGGCCTTGGCCACAGACTCATCTTGCACGCGCCATTTGCCCGCACTGGTCAACGCATAATCCTCCGCTGGGTCGGTCTGCACCATCGCAGAGCCCGCAATGCCACCCGGCTTCGTGTGACCGACCGCCTGAACCCGCTCGCTCACAGCGTAGAAAGGTTCTCCGACAGCAGATGCAGCGTGAAGGAAGGTCTCCTTATCGCCTTCGCCGGGTGCGCCTTGCGACAATAGCCGGAAATAGTGCGACGGGCCGTAATAGTTGTAATAAGCAGCGAGAAGCAAAGTCATTTGATGTGTCTTTTTCGATACCAAGAAGACGCCCGCTTCCGATGACGCGCGCTCCGACAGCGCTGGCATTTCCTGCCGCGAGATTGTGAAGTAGAGCGGGGACGCCGAGGAAATCCAAAAGTCCGGCCATGTGACTAACCCCTTGGAGGTGAATGGTTCCGACTCAAGCAAAACTTCAGGCTTGTGGAGCGGAAAGCAGTCCGCGTCCATCCAGATGACCTCCTCGAAGGAGGAGAATAAAACCGCAAAAATCTTGAGCTGATAATGCTCAATGGCACCCTTGCCAACAATGTCCGAGAGGACAAGACAGCGCGCTCCCAAATCCGGGAGGATGTCATCACAGATCTGTTTTTCATATTCACTTTTATCCTTCATATACACCTCCACCGGCAATGTGGACCCCAGTCGTCGAAGCATTCGCAAAGAGGACAAGAACACGGGGAAATAGGAAGCCCCCGCCGTGGACACTATGCCACGCGTACCCGGTGTATGTACTGGTCGCAACCGTTCAGCCTTGCGACATTCTTCAATATATCCCGCATGAGACTCTTCCATTGCCTGCAAATCCCCATCCTCTATGATTGTCAGATCAGGTCGGGAATCGGTCGTCGTAGCGTTGAAGTGGACTGCGCTCACGTCTGCCAGGCGCTTCGGAGTCGGAGTATTTGGGGCATGTTCTTGCAATATCGGGTTCAAGACCTTCCAAAAAGCATTTTGACGTTCTGCGAGAGGGACTTCGAAGCGGTGCTAGAACTACTGAAGCCGGAGGCGGGGCCCAATAGATATACACGGTGCAAATGAGTAACAGCGCACCCGTGGCTGATATTATCGATTTCAGTTTACCTGGTCGAAGAATCGGCATGACTATGTTCGCTGCCCGGGGGCAGAGCTAGGGGGTATGGAAATATGGCTTTAAGTTGGAGGCAAATCTACCAGCTCGTTGTGTATGAAGGGAGTGCGCTTCGGCGGTCAGACCGGCAGGGTGAGTTGTTCAAGCAAAGCGCAGAGAAGGTCGCTTTAGCAATCCATCAACATGGCTGGCAAGCTCGGGTCTAGTCCAGGTACAGCGGGAGGGCGGGTTCTGGTTCAACGGGGGACAGGAAAGGCGGTGGAAGAGCCGCGGTAGTCAAAGATAAGGCACAGTCAAGCGCTGTTGTGTTGGCAAGACCTGGAAATGTTAGAATATCGCCAAGTTTTGGCCAGGAAACTTTCCAGCGACCACAAAGGCTTGTCCAACGTGGCTCAGCAGGCAGCGATGGGGGAGGCGATGGAGGCGCCGTGGATGCTTTTTCCAGCAGGCGGTGGCAGAACGAGCACTTACGTTGCCCGCCGCTATTGATAACGCGGTGCATAATTGAGTATGCCGTGGCTCCGGTTGGCTTCCCACGATCTTCACCCGGTGGCAATCCCAATATACCAAGTGCGAGGGATTTTCCTATTCCATGCTTGTGGTCGGAATCTTCCCGACCGATCCATTAGGGGTTCCAAGGCACCGCACCAAGCCTCGAACCGTAGCAGAGGAAAAGGGGAGGTGAAGACTGAAGACTGTACTGAGTATGTGGCCCTTCCTCCGCGGAAGGGCCAGTTCCACCGAACCGACAGAGTGGAAAGTGGAAGGGAAAGTTCACCAGTGGATCCCATTAGCTTGGTCTACCGAAACCTTAAGAAGTTAAGGGGAATCTGGAATCTTGGATCGACTGAGAAGGGAAGACTGGGAGAAGGAGGGAGAGGGAGAGGAATGAGGAATGAGATCCTCGGCTCGAGGAGAGTTGATCGTTAAGTAGTAGTAAGTAGTAAGTAGTAGTAATTAGTTGAGTTGCTGGCTCGTTTTTGTGGCTTGTTACATTGAAGAAGGACAATGCAACTGCCCGCTAGTCCTGTTCCGGCCGTAGATTGGGGGCAGCAACTCCTTCCACTTCAATCTTTCTCAACTACTTGAACTACTTGAACTACTTGAACTACTTGAACTGCTTGTAGGATATCTCATCTGTGCACCGAGTCGAGTTCGTCACGCCAACTCTGCAATCTGCAGTCTGCACTCTGCACCGGCTATGAACTGTTCCTTCTCCTCTGGGTCCATCTGAAACGGTGGCTCAATTTCGCCGACACTCGGCCGCCATCAAGTAAGATCGCTCCAAAATGCGGGCTCGAACACACTCGCCACGCACCGGTTGGCTGCTGAGCCTCGACTACTCGGCGCTAACGAGTTTATACTGGCTTAATCTCCGGCGCTGCTCTCCTAACGGCGGGTGATGCCGCAACGATCGTCGCTTATCATCATCTCCAAATCCGCTTCTTTCCTCCAGCGCGAACTAGATCCATCCCCGATGTGTTTCGATTATAAACGACCGTAAGCGTGGTCCTCCGCCGCCCCCCCTCTCCGATGTTAGCTCTTCTTTCTTGCTTTTTCCTGACCTGTTCATCCCGACTACTAGATACATTGCCTTCCACACCCTCCCCCCCCCAACAACGTGTTTGCGTGCTTTCGTCTGGCCCATCCATAACGCACTAGCTAGCCTGCTACTGCCGCCGTGTCAACTCGTCGTACCACTTATGGGACCCCGCACTCCGGGTTATCTCCACATTGTTTGCCTGGACCAGTTAGTATCTGCACCCTAGCAGTTGGCCAACCTCTGCGTCGGATCCGGCTATGGAACCAACCTCGAAGGCTCGAATCCGCAAAACTCCGCCGGTCTCCGCCCCAGCTCCCCGGAAAAGGCGTAGGAGGACGGTCGTAAGCCAAGCGGCTGATGATTGCTTTACTTGCGCCCGACAGGGTACTCCCTGCGACCGGCGTCGCCCATTTTGCTCCCAGTGCTTGGACAGCGCCCGCAATTGCGCGGGGTACAAGACAGCGTTGACATGGGGCGTAGGAGTTGCCAGTCGGGGAAAGCTTCGAGGATTGTCCCTCCCCGTGACCGGGGCACAGCCTGCGGTCGCACCCCCGAAGCTTCCCCGTGCGACAGGTCCACGAGCAGTGTCCAAATCGCAACCGGCTCTTGACACAGCCGCAGAAAAACGACGACTTCATGATAAGCAGCGTTCATCAGCCGCCGGGCTTACAGAGCATGGGTCTGTCTCGATTCCACCTACTTCACAACGCCGCTTGTGCTCACCGGAGTACTACACTGTGGATTCCCATGTTAAGCCGAATCACCATAATCCTTATTCTTCACGTGCGACAAAGACCGATTCTTTGAAACAATACCATGCCCCATTGGTCGCAAACCCCGATTCATCAAGGGCCTGGATGGGGTTAGAACAGACACCGGTACCGATACAGTGTCCGTGGCCAGCCCTGACTCCGGAACAGAAAGATAATGCTTCGGATGAGCAACATGAAGAAACCTCTTATAACGAGGTTTCACCACGTATGAGTGCTTGCCAGCCGCCATCATTATCTCAGCAGCTGCTGGCGCGTTCCGTGGGACGTACACCTCGACTTCGATACCTAATTAGTTATTATGCCGAAGTCATTGCTCCGATGATTGTGGCATTTGATAGTCCAACCAATCCTTTTCGAACATATATCCTGCGACTGGCGCAGGAGAGCACATCGCTTCAAGAAGCCATCGCGACGTTGGCAAGCTGCAATCTGCGACAGCGACGCGAACGAGGCACGAGGTCGACGGAGCGAACTTTGCCGGGGCGCCTGTCGTCCATGGCCCATCAAGCCTTGACCGACGGAGCATTACAGGACCGGACCGGTATCTTTATGCCTGAAGATTATGCCCAGGAAGAGCAGTATCATCGAGGCATGGCGGTCTCCGCCTTGAATCGGGAATTGGCCGACTCACATCAGAGGCTTTCAGACTCCGTCCTGGCGACCTTACTCATCCTCTGTCTATTCCACGGGTGTGATACTGGGGTGGCTCAATTCAAGACCCAGTTTGCGGGGGTGACAAAATTGTTGGCTATTCGACTGTGCAACTCACCTTGCATGTCGGATGAACTGAAGTGGTTTGTTCGCATGTTCACATGGATTGACACGATGACCGCCACCACCAATGACCGCGAGGTACAGCTTCGCGGTGCTTGCCTGGATATCACCGCCGCCTCAGATGGCGAATGGGGACTGGAAAATCTGGCGGGCTGTGATGCCGGACTTTTCAGAATTGTAGCGCAGCTAGGTCGTTTGAACCTTCTGAGTCAAAATCAAGAAGTCCGCACATCTACGCCACCAGACATCCATATACCATCCACTACTCTCCCGCCCTCGATGGCGTTCTTCCCATCGAACATTCCAGCCACCTCGTCCGGTCCTTTTGCATTTACCTTGCCGCCGCTGCCGCCTCCTGGTGATCGCGACAGAGGACAGCTGCCGCCGGCGTTCTGGGCTGAATGGTATTCTCTCCGACAGAAGCTTGAGTCCTGGCGATTTGTTCCCCACCAATCGCAGTCACAGTCACCTCTCTTTACATCCAGCCACGCCTACATCTCGCCACCTTCATCGCCGACAGACCAGCCGGTGGTCGCAGCTCACAATCTCAAGGACGTCATACACATCTCTGAGTCATTCCGTCATGCGGCGATCTTGTACAGCGAGCGACTCGCCTATCCAGACCTACCGTCCGATCACCCTCGTATTCAAAACATTGTGCAACACATAATGAGTCACATTATGACCGTTCAATCTGACGCGTATCTCCTGTGGCCACTATTCATCACCGGGTCGGAGTGCGTGCGTGCCGATCATCGCGCCATTATCCGCCAACGGTGCAAAGATCTATCCAGGGACTCTGGGTTCTTCAACAACCTCTCATGCTTGCAGCTCCTGGAGAAGATCTGGGCAGAGAACCCTGCCGTGGATGTGATCCCTGTTGTCTCATCCCTTGATTTCGGCTTGCAGGCAGCCGCCAGCGGGTGCGTGAGCGAGGTTACATTTCTCCCGCCTGGAAGCTGGGCCTCGTCCCAGCATGAGGCTTTCATGTCTCCGACACTGCCCTCTGTCTCTCGGAAGCAGGGATTCCGCTGGCACGAGGCGATGCAAACCAAACGCGCGGAGGACGAGTATATGACTGTATGACGTGACCTGACGGATACGTGCATCAAAACGACGAGTCCAGCATGAATTGCGAGGACCAATTATAATATAGAGGTATCATATTAGCGAAATATAATGAACATAATGCAACATTCCCCCACTACGTACACAGTACTGTGTGCCCTCAGTATCTGTCTATGGCAACCTGAACCTTCGGGCCACAACAGGCCCCCACTATCGGACCCATCGCACTAGATCCGTTCCCACTTCCCACACAATCCGCTCGATACGTACCATCACGACAGTACCCTACTGCGTAAAATTCTCCGTAAACCTACTGTCATCTGTCAGAACTCCATCGATGATGCATCTACTCCATCTGGTCCCTCTAGCAACCTGCCTCACCAGCCCACCCAAACAAACCACAAAAGTAGCGGCACCGGGCATCTCCCGAGCGCCAGTACGTCGGAAAATTTGTGTTGGAGGTGAGTTGAGTTTCGGGTCTGCGTGTCAGATGCTCATTTGTGGGTGTTGGACTCTGAGAGGGTGTCCACCCATCACTTAGATAGTACTGTGCCGCTGTGGTGATAGAATGAGTGGGTAAGTAATTGCCTAACTCTTGGAGAGAAGGGGTCTTGTTCACTTTGTTTCTTGAATTACTGGTTTGGTATGTCGGAGGGGGGGTATACTGTGCTGCGCCAGTATACTATCTATGGCTACATAGGGACTAATCACTACATACAGTAGTTAGCATGTAGTTAAGGCACAGTAGTATACCACTATTATAGTAATAGTAGTGGCAGTGGCAGTGACGGTATCGCCACTGGTGGACTAAATATTACTATCTATAGTTAGTATTAGATCCCACTAATAGTGAACGCTCATGCACATAGCCATGCTCTCTCTCTACATTATTAACTAACCACATAGTTAATACTATACTACATCTTAAATAATACCTCAGTCAGATTTCGTCATCCCCATCACCGGATAGATGGAAGGAAGATAGAAACCCACAAGCGTATCGCTAAGCGTGACTCTGACTCGTCTCCACAAGACAAGAGAACAGATTTGCAACGTGACCCAAACTTACTTTTACTTTTGCGGATAGAAGATGAGGGGTTCACTTTACATCATCAACTAGTACACATACAGTAATCAACCCATAATACTAGCAGGTCATCTGCCTCTGAAGAAAGACGCGGGGGGCGTGGGTTGGGATGGATAATGCCAATGTGATAGTGATGAGATTCATCACCTTCGGCGGCTATTCGGGGGTCTTATCCCCCCCTGGTTGGTATCTTTCCCGTGCGGCGGGGGTGAGGGTTAACTAGCTACGCCGTGGAGTGTAGAACAAGGGTGTTGTTGGGGTTGGGTTAGGTTGGCGGTTAAGGTAAGTGAGTAAGTACATTAGTAGTAAGGTTGAAAGTGATGTTCGGTGGACTGTTGTAGAGGAGATTAAAAAGAGGGGTAGTCTAGAGAGAGGGGGGGATGACATGGGGTAGAGATACTACTTACTTACTATCTAGACTAGAACTTTGATACACTGTGGTGGTGGTGGAGGAGGTATGGTATGTACATGATTTTCTTAGTGGTATTTATGGGAGGGGGAGGGTTGGGTGGGTACATCGTGTTAAATACTTGTTGTCTATTTGGTTACTTGGTGGTATGTTGGCGGTGGGGAGGATATAGAGGGAGTTGGATGTGGATTGAATGGTAGGGGATTAGAGATGATTTCATTAAAATGATATGGAGGTTGTTGGTTTTTGTATGTTGTGTGGTGTAGGAAGGACTGGTGTGAATTGTTGGTTCTGCGTATAGGTGGTACGCTGCGATTTTGAGAGCGTAGCAGAGAGGTAAGTAGTATATGTAGTATGGATATGTGGTTGTTCCTGGTCGCTTCTGGATCGCATATAGTCAGTGTAACATATATTATGGCGGTAAATATTCTAACAATGACATAATTCTGTTATTTCACGAGGTTCCAAAATTTAGATGGTATAATATGTGAATGAGCACCTTTCCTGCGCACACTGCAAAACAATGAAACTTCTATTGGAAATTATCCAATACCCTACAAGAGTAGAATATATTCCACGTGCATCCCTGGCATATTGACGTAACCTATCTACCAAGCACAATACATCCATGTACCTGGTTCATGGACTGTAGGTGTCTAGAGCCAAACGCAAAACATCATTGCAGCGGTTACACTCATCCCAAGTAGTACAACCACAGTGCGTATTCCTTACATAGTAACGTAGTACTCCCTAACTACCTAACCAAACCTAACCTAACCAACACGATCACGATCCTCCACACCTGCGGAAGCGGAAACCTGCAGACGTGTCGGGCTTGTTGACTTA